ACTACGCGCCGTCTGGGGGGGTGTGTCGTGCTGGCTCCGGGCCTCCGGACCCACTCTGCCGCGTCTCGGCCGCGAGGTCACGTGACCTCGCTCCAGCGACCGTATTCTTAAGCGTCCTTCGCTCCGCTCGCTCACTTAGAGAATACAAGCCGTTTTGTTCCTAGTTGATGCCGCCCGTGCCTGACGTCGGTCACCACAGGGGAAAACCATTCAAGCGAACTATCAAAACTACTTTGAAGGTCTGTTCACTAATTTAATTGTTTGGAAGATCAGTCTTTGTCTGTAGTTGACTGTGAATGAAAGGATGCATATGCTTGGTGGACGTATCTTAGCCATACCAGAAGGCATTTTGACGTTCAATGGAAACTGTTAGTCTAAGTTTGGTAGCTGCCTTTCAAGACAGCCGCGTCGTGCCGGGTTTAAAAACTTACAGCTCGTTGACCGAATACTATATTCAACCTACCTTTTGCAGGAAATCTTGGTGAAAACCGAGAAGGGAAGGTGCAAACAAAACTAGGTTTGACTATGCCTTACGATGGTAGGCTACATGATGACATCGACGACCAAAGTTTTTCCCCGAACCTCGTTCATCATTCGCAAATCATTGGACCGTGGAGATTAAATAAACGTGTAGTTCGCCATAGAAAGTCTACCAGATTTGGCGACAGAAGACACGGCTTTGTTGTGATATGATTTACCAACGGAAAAACAAGGCTCAAGTTGTTTTTAATTCTACTTTAATATGAAGCCACAAATCCCGCAAATCAGAGCCAAAACACTAGAGAACAAAACCTGGGGCTATTAAGTCTTAAAAGTACACATGTGTCACCCTAGCCTTGACTTTAAATTTTCGAGAAACTTGCCTCACCGTGAGTTTAGGCGGTTGCTCGTTACATCATAGCTACGAATGAACAGTTCGAATAGTGAAAAATGGGATAGTTTAATTGACCTGACCTTTTTCTTAAAACTAGTACGATGGCCATTGGGATAGGGCCGTCGATTTGTCTATATCGGATGATGACTGAGTTACCCTCCAAGTCAAAGTAGAATGACTCTGGCAATTCGATGTCGTTGTGTAGGCGTTAATGAAACTAAGGCCATGAATAGCAAAAACACATGATATTGTCAAAATAAACATGCCATCATCTGCAAAGGTCTAGTATGCAACTCGGTTTGCCGATTCGGTCATATGGTCATGATGGCATGTTCTTCCCAAGTCACTTGCTTCATCTTCTCCACTTCCCTTTCCTCGTCGCAGTTTCTCTTCACCTGTTACGGCTAAACCAGTCCTGTCATTAATGCGAACGCGTGGAGTCAATGCTAGTGAATCCTCATGGCTGAGAACCCCTACTAGGGGTGAAAAGTTCATCTATGCATCAAGCCCTGCATTTACAAAACCATACAACCAATGGCCGGTTTAGGAAGCAGTTTAGCAGGGAGCCTGATCCATGCACCCCGAAGAGAGGGAAGGGTTATAGTGACTGTTCGCATGCCACCCATGATACTTGCAGAAAACCCATCGTCTGCACTTCTCAAGGGCCAAGACAAGCTGTACGGATGCGGATACTCGGACCGTATACAAGGAATCGTGCCAAAACACAGCCGCTACACTGTACGAACCAGCATCCTGGTATTGAATGGGGGAGCAGGTCGCTTGGCGTAGCTGCCTAGGCGTGCTATTGAAATGAAAAAGGTTTGAATACTCAGAGAGGAAATACAATTCTAGATATTGCCAAGGTGTCATGATACCAAATGGGACATATCATGACAAAGTTTATTGAGTTCAGATCTTTTACGGATGGCACTTTAAGGGACAATAAAGCTCCTGATGTAACCTCATGGCACATGCGCCAAAGTCGATACCCTGTTCGTCTTCCCATAACCCATAGAAATTAACAAGTCTGTGGCGGCCATGGCGGTTCCAGGCTGCATCGTCCGAAAGCCAAAGCAGCTCACCGAGCTGAGCCTATATCCATGTCAATCGATAAGTACCTATTTGACCTATTTAGTCACTCCAACACCTGAAGGATGAATCCGGTTCGGCTCCGGATCCTCAGTGGCGGCGTTCACTCAAAGCAACGACGGAAGAAGGATTGCCTGCAGTAGTAAGCTCCCAACTCTCACCTGCGACATATTGGCGTCCCACATCGGTCAAGCTCGCCACCAATTCTCCGTCGAATGTTGTGCTGTGACTTTTACTAGGTTCAGTCATCTTTCTTTATCATTTAGCGCAGGTAGCCGCTTCTTAATGCTCGGTTTAATTTGCAAACGAGTAGCGTGTAGCGAGCAGAACCCCTGCCATTGACGAGAGTGGCTGTTTTTTTTTTCGACCACCCTGGCTTACATTATCGGCAGGGCTAGAGCACTTGGCCCCCATGGTGCACTTTTCACTTGTTGACAGCCCCCTTAGGGGGGTGGCCATCAAAAGTTTTGACTGCCCTGGTCGTTCGCTTTGCCCCCAGCTGGATGAGGAGGTCCGAAAGTACCCGCAAGGCGTCGTCTCTTGGCTTCTGTCGCATGCAAAATGGGCCACTGGCCTGTGTGATAAGCTTGACCAGGCGGAGATACTCCGTTACGATGTAGAACAAATCATCCAGGAGACCCCGTATTAGAGAACAACTTGCATCCATTGCTCCATGATTCCATGACTGATATTGATCCCAGGTTTTGTACAAGACGACTTGATTTAACCAGTTTCAATGATGCAGCATTTCTACGGCATATAATGTAGTATCGGCTGTGTGAAACAGCCGGCAGATGCAGGTTTGGTGCTTTGTGGCTTATGCATTGTTGCTGCATTTCGTTCAAAAGAGAGCAACAATAACAGCTGGGATAGGTGAGCAACGCCGCATCTGTGCGTCGCAACACATCCGGGTGTTTGGTATCGCGAATAGAACGATCTAGAAGGATCAAGTGCAACCCAACGCAGTCAGGGTGACGTGAGAGTTCTAGATCGAACTATTTCCCATACATGGCTGGATCTGAATATTATTATTTTTTTTGTGTGTGTCAAGTGAAACCACTTGATACCTTGTTGATTATGGAGTTTGCATCATGGCACAGAGGATCGTATAAAAAACGACCAAATTGCCACCGACGCGACGTTACATTCTGAGCTGCCTCCCAGTAGAGCAAAGGTGGAAAGGAGAAGAAAAGTACTGCTAACATCTTGGGAAATGATTTCAAGTGGCATGCCCCCCCTGTTTATATGACACAGACATCGACGGAAGTTCTAAACGTCAGGTACCAGAGCAAGATGGAATTAGCCGAGGACACGAATCCAAACTGCAGTTAGCGAGATGTGCTGCGCCGTTGCCTCGCATGAGTTAGTGAGCAGGGGCTGTCAAACTGGTAGGCATAACTGCAGGATAAAAATTTGGTTCCTCAAAGCTGGTCGTACTCTGTCGGCGTACTCTTCTTCCTACGAATGAATCGAGAGAAACGTCCGAAGGAGACATCCGGAGGAGACATCCGGATCTTGGGGGTTCAAAATCAAATCTGTTGTTGACAAGGGACCGACAACATAAGATGAGCAACAAGAAAAAAAAAGTCAAATGTCGTCCAATACCCTGAGTTTGAAAGGCTTGAAATACGGCCAGGCCCACGAAACCTATGCCTGGCGTGATTTAGTGGCAACCAATGGGCCTCTCGTAAAGTATAAACGAGGCCTTGTGCCGGCAGGGTAGTCCTTGTAAACGGGGCCGTGTTGGAGGAAAATGACCCCTGACACAAGGCCGCTGGCTCATAGTTAGTGGTGCGGCTGGTTCGAACAAAGAGGCGAGCACCAGGGTTAATAATGGGCCTGTGTCTAGTCCGCCTAGGCTACGGCATAGTGTTCCCGAGGCCCTCCACTCTTGAAAATGCTTAGCAGTGAATGGAGGAGACCAATTTGTGTCTGGGGGAGGAGAAATAAGGAGGAGGGGGGAAAGCAAAGTACACACAATGGTCATCCACTCTCTGGCACCCCCCCCCCCCTGTAAAGCGAACTTTTGCTCGCTCAGCCAGTTGACCACCCCCACCCCCTAACCGGTCCGAGATTAGCGGTTGTGACTGACCAGCATTGTCCCCTATCCCCCTGGCTGAACGAGGGATTTCTGTGTCCTCGTTCTTCTGTCCTTGACAGTTCGACAGAGGGTTAGAGTCACAGGGACTTCGCCTTTGGCCTTTGGGATGACAGACTGGCTTAGTTCAGAAAACGTCTAGAAGAAGCCAGCTGCCAAAAAGCAAACTTAAGTTTGTAGAAACGTAACCTTGGGATCTTACCGTCAGATTGTGGTTGTAGCGGCTTCTACCGGCGATGGCACAGACGTTGGAGAAACCCATCGCTAAAAAAGAACAGTCATCTCCCTCCCGCTCCCGCTCTGCCTTATCGCCTAGGGCGCTGAGAAAGAAAACGGCGGGAGCGTGCCGTAGGACCCTAAAGCAGCCAACAGCCGTCGACGGCGCGGTTTTGATGGTGTGGACGGTGGCATTATAGCGCCGGGGAGCTGCTCCGCGATCCTCCCGCCCCATGACAAGTACCTCGCCAGACGATCCCTGCCGGCCGCACCGACATCAGGCGACAACGACGCCAAGAGAAGTGGGATTAGAGTTTTCGGTTCAGAATTAGCAGCGGGGGTGAGTCGACATGATGAGAAACTGGGCCCTCTGGGCCGAGTGAAATTGGACGTCCACAGCACTGAAGGCAGAGTTCGTCTTGGCTGCTCAACAGAACCGAGCCATACTTGCAGTAATTCCCTTGGGGGCACCACTGTAGGAACGAACATTACAGTACGGATACAGTCCCAGTATTATTATTTCTCATTGGAGCCGTTTCTGTGTCCCCGTTTCGTTTGGCTGCTTGCCCGTATGCCGCTACTGCTGTACTGTTCATGTCTTGTGTCTGCACATCAAAAGCCAAAGTTTACCCATTCGTCAGTTAATACAACCCCCCCTACCTAATCCTAGGACACACATACGCTCACACGCACACGCACACGAAAGAGAGGAAAAAAAGAGCCATGGCAGACCAGAACGAAACGCAAGGACCCCTTCCCGCGATCATCGTCGGCGCCGGTGTCAGCGGCCTGTTGCTTGCGCAGTACCTCCGCAAGAATGGCATCCCCTTTCGCGTTTTCGAGCGAGACACGGACCTTACAACCCGTGGCGTTGGCTGGGGTTTGACACTTCACTGGTCGCTTCCAGCCCTTCGATCCTTGTTGCCCGAGGAGCTGGTTGCCCGCTTGCCCGAGGCGTATGTCGATCGTGCCGCCGTAGCGAGGGGTGAGGCTTCAGCGTTCCCATTCTTTGATCTCAGCACTGGGGAGTTGAAGGGTGCGAGCCCCCGCGCCCCAGAGAGCTTGCGTATCAGAGTGACTAGAGAGAGGTTGCGTCGTTTGGTTGCTACCGGCATCGATATCCAGGTATGATTACACTTTTTTCTGCCGTAAACCTTTGACCCTTGTGAGACACTGGCCAAGCCATCCACCATGAGGCTAAATTGCATGGCAGTGGGGGAAGGGCTTCACCAAGTACGAAGAAAAAGAGGACACCGTCGTCGCGACATTCGAGGACGGCTCGACATGTACAGGTTGCGTTCTCGTCGCATGCGACGGAGGTGCATCCCGTGTCCGGTCACAACTCTTCCCGGGCCAGCATGAGAGACATCGCATACCGGTTCGGGTCCTCGGTCTCAAAGTGTTCTTGTCCCCCGACCAAATGGAGCCACTCCGGAAGCTGGACCCCTTCTTTCTGCAAGGAACGTCGTCTCAAAACGATACTTTTCTCTATTTCAGCCGTGAGTTCTACTATTCCATTAAGCATTGCATTTTTTTTGGTTTCCCACTACTATACCCTTTTGGTGCCCAGGGGATGAGAACGACGATTAGTTTCGTCAACGAACCGGGGTTGTCCCTGGCCGCCTCACAAAATCCGCAGCGCCGCACTACTAGTATGTACCGGGGCAAAACAAACCTTGGTGCTGTGCTAAACACCCTCAATCTGTGTTTCTTTCATGTCCCTCCTCTTCTAGAAACGTCGAAATCCGCGGCGAATTCCAAAAAAGTCTAATACGTGCTTCGCGCCCTACTTGCAGTGCTCGACGCCCCCGGCAACCATGATGACAGCTCGGAAAAGTACAGCTGTCAGATGTGCGTTTCCTGGCCGGATCGCCCGGGCTTTCTAGGCAAACCGGAAGCTACAGATTTTCCGCCAACCAACGACGGTAGACTTGGACTTATCAAGTCGTTCGCCGAGGGATGGTCAGAGCCGTTCCGGTCCCTCGCACTCGAGATTCCTAGTGATACGGATGTGAAACATCTTGACCTTTTCGACTACCCTCCCGCAAAGGGTCTCAGGTCAAATGGAAGAGTCGTGTTGATGGGTGACGCTTTTCATGCAATGGCAATGTGTAAGTCTTGGCTCCCTATTCCCTTGTGTCACGCCCTACCCGTTAGACTTCCCGTCGCCCTTTATTAAAGTTTATGTTTCCTTGATGAGGCACATCTCTGATATATGGGAAACAAAATAACTGACGGCAAGCAAAGACCGAGGAGAAGGTGCAAACCACGCCATCCTCGACGTGTTGGATTTTGCGGTGAACGTTGTGGAGAAGTTGAACACCACGTTTCCCGACCTCAGGGCTGGCTTGGACGCTTATGAAGATGCCGTCATCGGCAGAGCTCGACCTGGCGTGCTGGCATCGCGGCGGGCCTGTCTGGATGCGCACGACTGGCCTAAGATTAGCCCAACGAGCCCGCTCCTCAGCAAGAGAGAGATGAAGCTTCAGTTTGATGAAGAATAGGTGCCACTATAGATTAATCGTAAATAAAGACGTGCGTTTTCAAAGATGGCGTACTCCGTAGGCTGACCGCATTCTTGGGATTATGATGGACCAGGTGGGGGGGAGATTTTCATCTGCGATCGTTCGACTCCCCATCACCCCCCGTGATGTGGGATATGGGGTAGTGAATCATGCCACGTACGCTAAATGAACCCCCAAATAAGAGACCCTCTCTTCCGGTGGAGCGAGATCAACAGGCCGTGCAGTCCATGACCCCGTCCTCTTGGGCTCCTTATCCATTCTTCCGATCGAGAGTAACGCTTCGTTGCAGACAAACTGAAAAATGATGTGTACGATTCAGTAGATCCCGTAATGGCGGGGACCCCTAAACGCTGAATAGGAAATGATCGCTGAGGAAACAGATATTTTTGTTGCCTTCTAATCGTTCTATAGTTGATCTACCCATTAATTCGAAGCTTTTTTTTTTTTTTTTTTTTTTTTCCAAGATCTTTTTTTAAACATTATCATGTACATCCTTTTTCATGATTCTTCCACACGGCGGTTCCCCATAGCTAATCTAATGCCTTCCAACCTTAATCTGAATCCCGCGAGTCCCTTCGTCGTGTAGATGATTTGGCATCCGGCCTGTCCGCGACCTGAACGCTGTAGGTTACGGACTTCATGATGTTGCCGGGAAGAATGTTCTCCTCGCTGCCGTTGTCTCCCTTGTCGTGGTTCGCCGAGGCGAAGACGCTCTTGTCGTTGTTGATGTCGCTCAATTTGTACCTCTCTGCACCCTTCAAGCCGCTTCGTCCGTGAGAGGATCCGCCCGAGTATTTGGAGCGATAGTTTTTTGCTTTTTTCATGCAAACAGGGGCGAGGAAGGGTAGGGAGGAGACGATGTTCTATGTCGTTGTGTTAGCTTGGGGGTTGCCCATGTATGACAGCTTCATTGGTTGGGGGGGCGGGCACTTACACCAACGTGGAATTCAATGGTTCCCCACAGCACCAACATGGTCGAGTTTCCGTCGCCAAACTGAATCCGGTTGATCTCAAGGTAACGCAGAATGGAGCACAGAGTTGTGAATAGACCGAGCAGAAAAATCGCGATAAGGCCCACTTTCTTCTCGAGGCGAATGTTAAGCTTGAGCAGAACCGGAATTGGAAGTATCGCCACGACAACATCAGACACAATCGTAACAACAGCATACGCAGTGAATGAAGGGCCTGGCGCCAGGCAATGTCCATCCTTTAGAGGATTCCATGATTTGTCCACCTACGAGTGAAAATTAGCAATTGTACAGAATGATGTTGCGTTAGACTCGAAGCAATCTTACAGGAGTACAGGCGAAAATGAGAGAAAATGCGCATCCCAAGTGTGCAAGGAAGATGAGGATGATGGTGAGCCAGACAGCACGGCGGTAGCTTTTCTGATCAGTGCCTTTTAGTAGACGTAGATAACTGATGAGAAGAGCAATCTTGAAAAAGCTGATGCCGATCTGATAGACTGGACGACCGGCAAAGTTGATGCGCGTATATTTTATCAAATTGGCCTTTGGGCGTAGTGCGATGGGCAGTCCTAGACCGTATCTCGTTTCTGAAGATAGCAATTTTAGAAAGCAGACCAACGGTCCCAGGAAAAGGGTAAACTCACGACCGATGGTAAGACCAGAGTAAATAAGAGCAAACACCTGAGACAACACAGATACCCAGTCGTCGGGGGCCAGTCCTCTGGCGTTATTACGAATCCATAGTCGAGACCCCACGACGGCAATCGACAGGACTGAAAGAACAGTACAGATGGCGATGATGGTCGGCCACTGCGAGATGGCGTCAACCTCAGAAGTGGCGTTCAGTACCCAACCCATGGCGGAGCGGGCTGCAGCAACGGCTCGCTGTGTGCAGATGACGTTCTATCAGGACCAACCAACAAAACGTTCAAGACATAAGCAACAAGCGCGAGAAATGATGTCAAACAAAAACCAAAATGGGAAAGGAAATCGAGCCAACAAAGTAAGAAAAGATGGCGTCTAATGACAGGTAAAGAAAAAAAGGCTAGCTAGCGTGCAGGTGGAAGCAAGGGAAATGGCGGAGGCCGAGCCACCTGCTCCACGACGTTGGGATGACTGGGGGGCGGCCGTTTTAATCTTTATCACGGTTTTCCTTGCTCCTTTCTGTCCATGGCCGGCTGGGAGACGAGATCATCTTATCCACATCAAATAAGGCAGCTCGGCCAGTGGCAGTATCCCTCTACTGACGTAGCAACCGGTATTCGAGCTACCCGCCTCCTTGGATGGCCCCTTTGCTAGCTCACGATGACCTTTGACTGGAAGGGAGGGGGAAGGGTTACTCGGGGGGTCGCAAGTGATTACACGGGGGGGAGAGGGAATTGTTAGGATGCCCTGCCTCACCAGCCTGGCAGATAAAAACTAACCCTCGACTGTCTCAACGTTCGCAAGGGTGGTTCGACCTGAGTAATTCCGAAGGACGTGATAGGGTTCTGCCAGGCCTTGTGCGCCATGGGGGACTAGGACTGGCATGACCTTGCATGACCACCGACTGGGCCCACCCAGGGCATTATTCACGGAGCATGGAAGAAAGAATATCAGTTTATACATAGTACCACTGCGAGTGGATAATATTTTTCATGGTGGCATTGGGGACTCTGAAAATCTTCGGTGCTTTTTGAGTGATCAACAGACCCCTCGTTGGAATGCACAGCTGCATCGTGTTTTTTTTTTTTTTTTTTTAATCTGGATAGTCTCTGGTCCATACGTCCGCAGGGCGCTCGGCTCATCAGGGGCCGGTACATGTCCCAGTTCCCGCAGCTTTTCTAAGCTTCTATGCTTTCTACAGTATGGTACGGGTACCACCCGGAGTTCCGTCCGAAGGCAAAATGGCAGGGATAGAAAGCCATTGGAATATGATATTCGGACCATTGCATGGATGGTGCAACAATTGACGACGAGACGTGGACATGGGGGGGCGGTGGTTAGGAGTTATAAGAGACCACGTCTTGGCCAAAATAGGATGGCAAGAATGCGGCGATACATCAGGATCAGGGAAAAAAAACCTGCAAGGGGAGCTGGCCAGCAAAGCGGCAACTCCCAGGCGTAGGAAGAGTCGTCGTTTACACTAGCTTGCTGTGCCGCCATCGTGCTGCTAGGCGAGGTACCCATTTCGTGCTCGGCACAATGTCGTCGGCTCTTGTTTGGGCGGACATTAATATCATTCCACCACAAACCCGAAACTGACACTTCGGCATCGGGGAATTAGGTCCGCCCTTTTTGGCCCGCCCTGTTGTTATTAAAAATGAAGCCCCCAACGGCATTTGCGGCCTCCGCCATAAAGGATAACAAGTTTGTTATTGAGTGTTGATGAGAGGCCAAAAAAAACCGCGGAATCTTACGTCCTACCCACCATGGCGTGATGGGAGGAAGCTTCAGCAGAATGCCTGAGGTGTAAAAGAACAGCCATGCTAAAACCCTCCTGATCATCGCCACCAAGCCGGATCTTCAAGATAGCGTACCAGGTCTAGCACGATGGATTGGCGCTGGTTATCGATCATGAGCAGAGATACGATGCAGGCCGGATATGAATGGGACAAGGCCCAATGGGACTCCGGCGGGGCTTAAGAAAGCCGGCATATAATTGGCTTCTTTCGGGTCCAGTCCTCGGCCGAGAACACATCGTATAACCTTGCCAACTCGCTCGAACGACGGTACTATGTATTTTGTTCTAGATGACGATACCAGGTTGCGAACGGAATGCCCAGGTTCACGCATCGGTGGGCAGGGGCGCTCGCATAGGAGGAGAGGACATGGTAGTGAGGGCCCAGCGGCCCTGGTCGACCGAAGTCACCAAGGGGGTACCCTCATCCCTGCACTGACAGCATAAACCTTGCAGCTGCAGGCGGGGATCGGGGGGGGAGCTGCGCCGTGCGGCACTATGAGAGGCCAAGGAGGATGGGTTACATCCTGCAAAATATTTGAAAAATATTGTCCAAGTATACAACATGGGGGGCGCGTTTAGAAAGATTTACTGGTACCAGATGCAGTTCCCAAAGCTCCAACAGACGCATGTCGTGCTTCTGGACCCCTTGAATTATAGCTGGAACCAGAACAAGAGCCATCTGGGACACATTTTTGCCCGGTCTCGCAGGGGTGGTTGTCGTAGACACGACTGATCCAATCGGTCCAATAAGCTACCCTCTTATCATCCAGTCCATTGCTTCTTTTCTCCCTCTTCATTACTACCATCCCGTCCCTTCCCAGCAGCCCTCCCGTGGTCACTTTTCTTTTCTTTCCCATCTGACACCATTGTTTTTCATTTCTCCTCCCGCTGATCAGCGAAACTCAAAGTGTCCTGCTCCGCAGCGGAAGCTTTTGCGCCCTTCGTCGATCACAGACATAGCCTATCTGTCGGGTTTTGTCACCAAGGACGATCCGTGCAGTGGTTCGTTCGCCTTTACCACACATCCGTTTCTTTTTCTTAAAACTATACATTCTTTTTTTCAAAGATATCCGCTTCAAAAATGTCTCTTGACGAGAAGGCCCCCAAAGATGTGGTGGGCTCGGCCTCGTCCGTCGATGACACGGCGTCCGGCTCCGTCGATGCGGCGTGGAAGTATCTTAACGATCACCGGGATGCCGGTGTTGATACCAGCTCCGTCGACCTCAATGCTCTTCGCCGTAGGATCGATTGGCATATCGTGCCGCTCATGTTCGGATGCTATACTATGCAGTTCCTAGACAAGGTCATTCTCAACGTTAGTCTTCCTCCCCCCCTTGGATAGTCTGGACGCCTCATTTTCTACAACCCTGGCTTTTCCACCCCTAGGGAGTTGAACCAGTAAATCTGACAAGTCACAATAGTATGCTGCTGTGATGGGCATCAGCAAGGACCTGAAGCTTGTTGGTAACGAATTCTCCAACATTGCCACCTTCCTTTTCGTCGGTCTCCTGTGCTTTGAGATCCCCAACAGTACGTTACACAGCCCTTCCCTTCCGTGCCTCACATCACCAAGAACAATGAAAGACGAAGCGTTTTGGGGCATGAATAAATCACGAACAATGCACTGACACTTCCCCGCAGTCTATTTCCTCCAGATGGTCCCTGCGGCTAAGTGGTTGGGTATTAACGTCATTCTCTGGGGTACCGCGACGGCCTGTGGCGCTGCCGCGCATAACTACACCTCCATGCTTGTCTCGCGTATCTTCCTGGGATTTTTCGAGGCTACCATCGGCCCTTCCCTGATGCTCATCAGCTCTCAATGGTACACTAAGTCGGAGCAAGCCCCTCGCTTCTCTTTCTGGTATCTGGGTTTGGGTCTGGGCCAGATCATGGGCGGCGCCATCTCGTACGGCTTCCAGCACGTTGCACCTGGCAGTGGCCTGGCCGGATGGAGAATCATGTTTATCGTTCTCGGATGCCTCACGGTCGCTATTGGCCTGGCCACCCTGCTCTTCGTCCCCGACACTCCGATGAAGGCCCGCTGGATGAGCGACACCGAGAAGGTTGCCCTGCTGAAGCACGTCAGTGTTAACCAGACCGGTATCGAGAGCCGCAAGTTCCGCCCCAAGCAGATCCTTGAGGCCCTCATGGACCCCCAGATGTACCTGATGACTCTGGCCGTCGTTCTCGTATGTACCGCGAAAACCAAAGACGGCAATGACTTTGACTAACGCACTATAGCTCTCCGTCTCTAGCGGTGTCATCACCACATACTCGGCCACCCTTATCCGCAACTTGGGCTACGACCCGAAGCGTGCTGCTCTGATGAACATGCCCTCTGGTGTTGTGAGCATTTTCTTCACGCTCTTCGTCGGATACGGTATTCGCCACCAGGCCAACCGATGGGCGTGGATCATTGCCTGCATTATCCCAGCGTAAGTCAATGATCGGTCGACGGCTGAAGGAAAAAGAAACTTGCTAATGCTCCCATAGTATCATCGGTGGCGCTCTCATGTCTTTCCTCCCCGTTAGCAATCGCGCTGGCTGCCTGGCGGGTATCTACCTTGTCAACGCCGTTGTTGCTCCCCTGACCGTCTTCTACGCCGTGAGTACTACCCACCAATACGTGTTGAGACAACATAAGATTCTAATGCATCTCCAGTGGACCGCAGCCAACTTTGGTGGCGCTACCAAGCGTGCATTCGCCGCCGCCATCGTCAGCGGTTCCTTCTCCCTCGGTAACATTATCGGCCCCCAGACTTTCCAGGCCCGTGATGCCCCTGAGTACCGCCCGGCTAAGATTGCCGTCATGGGCACACAAGCTGGCTGTGCTCTTGTCACGTTGGCTCTCTATGCCTACTACCGCTGGGAGAACAAGAGACGTGGTGCCAAGCAGCAGACCGAGGACGCCTTTATGGCCCCTGAGGTCTGGTCCTCCATGACGGACAAGGAGAATAAGCAATTCCGCTATAGCTACTAGAAGGAAGGTGCAAGCGCACTGCAAAATTGCAGCACCAAGTGAACGTACATGTGTATATAAACCGGTGGGGGGGAAACTTTAACCAACTGTACATTACAAAACATCTGGAAACCTGGTTACTGACCAATTAGACGGCGCTATCGCCGACCTAACCGTTATAGGACACGGGCATAGGGGTTTCAAAAAAATGCCTTGGCCCACTGGCCATTGTGCTTGAACTAGACATTATCTATTTTAGACCTTGCGTCTGCAGAAGCTTGTCAAACAGGCTTACTGTACTGGCCAACGAAAGCCTGTTGCCTGTCGAGACGAGCGATAAAATTTCATACAAGAACTTCCACCTATCGAGTTCCAAAACGTGTTACTGAGTGCGTCAAGTTTCGGTCTTTTTTTGGATTGGAAGCGGTTCTTCAAACTAGGTCTTACACACCCAGCACCGTTACTCTTCCGGTTTAAGTTCGTCGTAAGTTCGTGCTGACCACCCGATTTAGGCAAGCCGGGTAATTTCTTCCCACATGCCGATACTAAGTGGTGCCTAGTAGATGACTTGGGTGACCGTGCTCACAACTGTAATAACCTACTTAGTCGTAAGCCTTAATTCGGGACTTGGCATGCCTTTTCTACTTTGGGATAATATATCCAGGGGACTACTGACTGGATGTTCAGCAACACTCCAGCTCTTCCGTTGGCCTTTTCGTTTTGAGGGACGTTATACGAATTGAGGCATTTTTTGTTTACTAATCTGTAAAAGACTTGCTCAATTCTAGCCATGTATAGCACTTGAGGATTTTTATCATTGCATCTGAGTAATGCTGTCAACGTCAGGTCTACTTTTGACGTTTGGGGGTGGGGGTTTGGTGGCAGAAAAATGTGAAATATATAGCGTTCTTGATAGATAGGCTAACGACATCCGACGAAAATTCCAACAGGGATTTCTACAGCTGTCTTAGATGTCAATCTTAACATTAACAGCCCTGATCTCTGGTTACGGGAAAGCCTTCTTTGAAAGTTCAAAACCATGTTCTGGGCTAACTCAGTGACTTGTACGATGGCCTGGTTCCGAGCTCCAGCGGAAGTTGGAACACGCCCGCAAGTGCGCGTGCCACCAAGCTCTTTTCTCCTGGATCAATAAGCCTCGATATTGCCCAGGCAAGGATGAAGTGACATTTGATACCTCGGTTGTCCAAAAAAGATGTTATTTTGATGCTTTCTTCAGGTTAAGCAATAAGGTATTGTATTGTCAGTTCACCGCGAGTTGTGTAGAGTGCTTTAGGCCATCGACTGGAATCGGATCGGGAATTTAGGAGAGTCGCGCATCAGGGTAGCCTTGGATCGTGAACACTACTACATCGAGTATCTTGCAGCTTACAGCTGTGTATTAGACGGTGAAGAGAAGGTTACTTTTGTTTAAATCTAGGTAGGTCATGCGATTGTCGATACGACGAGCCGTAGGATGATGACGTTGCCAAGATTGCCAATCTCACACTTGGCTTGTGGAGGCATCAGTCTGTGCTTGACTCGAAAAATAAAAACTGGGTAGACTATCCTGGTTACTGCGGCCCTGCACCCGTATGGCCACGTTGTTATCGTTGACTTATGGCTGAGCTAGTGACGTGTTAGAATAGCGATATCTTCAACCGCATAGCTACTGATTATGAGGCTCTTTTGCTCCTGAAGTCCGGTTCATAATGAGGTACATCAGAGTATGCCTCTTTTTATAATCACGAATTTTCCGGGTCGATTCAATCTCGTCATCGTCAGCTCCGTGACAACCGGCGGTGCTCTTACGGAGTATGCCGTATGTAAATTGGACACTCGGCACCCGGTGGCCCCGTGCCGGAGTTGTAGACCCACATTACCGGTATCCCACTCGCTGAGTCACCTCGGATGACAAATGGTCAGGAGGGATGAGAACCAATCGTTGGCGAGGATTAGCGCGTATAACTGCCCCAGGAGGCTTAGCTCCGGCCCACGCCTTGGTAGGGGGCTCGGTCGGAGACAAGCGAAAGTCCTAGTCCGAACATCAAAACACACAAACCCAAGCACACACTACTATCCTATGCATCAGGCCCCTTTCAAAGAGCCTTTTATTTTTACTGATTTTAAGCCAATACGTTGGGATGGCCTTCGGTGTGATGTATCTGCTCCATTCGTACGTTAGTGGTGCCCAGCATGCCGTTCACCTGCGATCACGAGGGCTGTGGCCGCTCCTATCTACGCAAAGAGCACCTTACGCGGCATAAGAAGGAGCACGCCAAAATACCTTCATTTGAATGCCCTTCATGTGGTACTAAATTTACTAGAGGGTATGTAAACGGTAAACCTGTCGATTTTTCTCGTTTTTGTTGTTTTGAGCGGCTTCGTCGTTGTGGTGCAGCAATCGGGTGTCAATTTCCGATTTGAAAAAACAATGATCGGGCTTTGCTCCGATCAACACATTAGACTAACACTTGGATACTGAAAAAAAACAGAGATACTCTCCGCAGGCACATGGTCCTTCATGGCCCGTCTGCCCCGCCAACTCGAGTGGCACAAGCATGCGTATCATGCCACCGTATGAAGACGAGATGCGATGGTCAACAGCCCGTCTGTTCGACGTGTCATGAAAAAGGAAAATCCTGCGAATGGCCGCAACCACGCGGCAAACCATCGTCTTTAAAGACCGTTAGATCATCCCCGCCCAGTTCTAGCCTGTTAGCAGCCGCCTGCACGCCGTCTCCCGACCCGGTCATCCTGATGGAACCCATGATGCCAGGGATGCCGCCCGCCGGCTTGCTTACGCAGACGGCCATGCCACTCGGGTTGATGACAGATACCGACATGTTCGACTTTGTCTCTGGATCGATGCTCGATGAGGGTGTCAGGAGGCAATTGCAGAGTGTCTACTTTGAACACTTTCACCCCCAGTGGCCACTTCTACATCGGGAGAGTTTCGAGTCCACCTCTCAACCAAAACTGTTGATACAAGCCGTAGTCACAGTTGGCTTATGGTTTTCGCCAGTCCCCGAGTACAAGGACCTTGCCATCAAATTTCATGACCACCTTCTAAAAGAGATGGGGAACATGCTTGTAAGTCTTGCAGTGGTTTCTTGACCATCACCACTTGAGCTGGTCTATAGATTTGGTGGTCTTTGACCCAGCTGTCTTCCAGCATTATTGGCTAACATGCTTGTTCACAGCTCGACATGCTGGAGGAGTCAAGACAGGGCTTGCTATCTCCTCGATCAGACCTATTACCCATTCTTCAGGCTGTATTGATTTCAACAATCTTGGTGCCCTATCGGGCGGACAAGGCAATAGAGAATGTGATGATGACGCATGCCATGCTTCTCGAGATCTTCAAGGCAATAGGAGTTTATGACCAGCAGAAGATAAACACTGCCTCGCAGCTGTATGGAAGCAACGCATACCCTTGGGTTTTTCGAGAATTATATCAACGGTACGTAGAGGTCATCTTCGGCCCAAAGTGTCTCCATGAAAAGCTCGTAACACTGGCGGTTGGTATGAGCCTGTTAGAGTTCATCTAAAGGTGCTAACAAGGAAATCTATACCGATTTCCCGGTGTTATCTTCCAGGGGAGAGAACTCGGGGTACATGTCCTTACGCGAACAATTGCTGACAGGTTGTTCACAAACAGTCTTGCCATTTTCCAATTCAAAATTCACTTAGTTCTTCAAGCCATTTTTATCACTATATACCCGGCACTACGAATATCTCGAAACGCAGAGCCAGCCATGCTCAAAATCAATGTCCCGATGCCATTGATGATGTGGGATGGGCCCGCAGCCCAGTGGTCTGGCATGATACCAACTGATCCGGAGCTTCTCGACGATGATGAAGACGACATACTGATTATAAGCAAGATGTGCGACAGAGCAATATTGATGATGGATAACAAGCCGCTTTTACCGCTATTGTCTTGGGACCGATGCCTCGGAATGGCGATCTGGTGCTGGTGCATGAAGCACTCGCAAAGCGACAGGGAATTTATTGAGAGTATTAAGCCATTTGTGCTAGAGCCGTTAAATGGAGCTGGAGTTCATTATAACTCTGTAGAACACTAAATAGACGGGAATATTGCTGCCACAAGACTTCGTTCTCTATTCTGGTTGACATATCCAGCGTGATGCAAACCGAATCGCTCCCACGTGATGCTGCCCTCCGTCTTGTTACTTCCAAAGCCTTTGACATCCAAGGTAAGAATGGATCTTCAGTTGTCTGGGTAGTGGGGCTGAAAATTCTGGACGGGCGCGCCTTGTCGGCTCCCGCGCCTACGACCGACCCCCAGCATGCCGGTGGGATGTCGGCCCAGGTGACATAAATTGGTTCCGGCCAGGTGGTACTGACGCAAATGATTATCAAGGCTACTGGGGTATCTCAGTTGCCCTTCGGCTCAAGTGGGATGAACTCAATACTCAAATCAGACGTCACCCGGCTCGTTCAATTACTGACTTACCTTTAAGAAGGTGGCTTTTTGTGATCAAGAGACATCGATGGCTCAGTCGAGTCAGTGGCAGGTTGTTCATCCAACTTCAAGCTCTCCACTTCTCACCACACCTGCATCTCTCAAATAGGCGCTTTCCGCATCATTTCCCATTTCAAAATGGCGGACAACACTGACTGGACCCGGGTGCTCCAGCTGGTTAACCTGGTAGAAGCTGCACATCTTGCAGGTGAGGGAAAACTAAGGATGCCACTATTTAGAAGCCTAAGAAAGCTCACCTGAAAGCTTTAGGTTATCACTGGGCAAGCGACAAAATTGCTATGCATAACATTCTTCAGCTCCGGGATAAGGATACCATCGTCGAGCACTGGTTTCGCGGGTGGGACTTCGGCCGGAAGTACGGCCCCGCAATGGTGACGAGCACGGCAGCTGTCTTCGGTTTCCTTGCTTGGAAAAGTGGGTTCCTGCCCTTTGTCTTTTGCTTCATTTTAATCTCTTATTTGAACTGAGATACTACCTGAAAACCAGCTAACAGGGCTTACTATTTCTTACTAGATGGCGTCAAAAGCCCTGCCTTCCCCTTCAACCTTGCAGCGTCGGTTCTAATGGGGTTTGTTGCGCCGTACACTCAACTCAGAGTGTTTCCTGTAAATGATAAGCTTTTGGCCGAGCACGAGCGCGTAGTTCAGCGGGGAAAGAAGGACGACAATTTATTTTCGGGCTCCAGCTACGAGGATGTCCACCAATGGGCTGAAGACTGGAAGAGGTTGGACCTACACCGGCAATTGCTTGCATGTTCTGCCGTTGTGGCTGGTCTCATTGCGTTTCTGAGATCCTAAACTTTTTAGGGGATGGTAATATTCACCAGTTGCTTGTGTGTGTAACTACTGGTGAGAGCGGCATTCTCTTTAGGTGGAAGACCTGATATATTGGGCACACGATGTTTTTCCTGGATACTACGGCTCAGTACGTATCTGGATGGGCTGCCTTACAAAAGGAGAAGGTAGCAACGTTGTTCAGTCCATGTGGTAGGACCTATTCCCCAGCTATTGTTGGTGATAAACTGGGATGATTTTGGGTTCGAGAAGTAGCGGTATGAGAAGCGCCTCAAGCTAGCCAATGAAGGCTACACCAAGCAAGTTTCGGTGAGTTATTGTAAGTATTCAAGCTTATTCAACTATATTGGTACAATATCAAGGGATTTCTAGTCTGAAAAACATGGCTACCAGGAGCATGTCAATGTATAGAATGATGTTGAGGTTGACCGACTGGACCAACCAATCGAAGGAGGCAGGCAATCCCATCAGATAAACCGGTGCTCCAAGGTCATTACAGCCATAATCAAAACAGATTTTTTTGTGTTGAAAAACCCAAAAAGGTAATCACTCAACTCTTGAGTGGGATTTAACCACTGAAACTCCCCGAGGTGGGCTCGAACCACCAACCTCCAGATTAACAGTCTGACGCGCTAGCCAATTGTGCCATCGGGGATGTTGAGATGTTGTGTCTCTGTGAGTTGAGAAGCTGAGGGATTTTTTGGTTTATGGAGCTTTTGGTGTGGACCGGTTTTGATGAGTGGATGTGAAGGTTGAGATCAAGCGATATTGTTGGCTAGTTTAAGGCCAGTTATCGCGGGGCTATGAGCAGAATACAAGTTAGAGTGGGGAAAGAGGAATAAAAAGAAAACGATGAAGGGGAAACTATGGGATTATTTGATCATTGATATTCCTGTGTCGTCCTTTCATAGGCTAGGCACCATCTAGTTGATCAAGCCGTCATTGATTCTTTGTTATCCATACTAAGCTATCCTGTACATACCTTAATTAGTATTCAATTCCTCTGTATTGGTGGTCATTTGGGACTGGAGCGGGCCCACTAAATGGCCCATGCGCCACGCACGTGATGGCGCGCATCAAATTCCATTCGGTGCTTTTGTCGCCGTTCCCCGATCGCGTCTCACCCCAACGACGCAGCTCAAGAAACAGAACCTTTGGCAAACGAAAAAAGTTTTTACAGCCCAACAAAAATATCGACGAAAATGCCAGAATCATCAGATGAGTCCACTGCCGAAGGTGTCGGTCTTGTGCAGAACGATGCATCTGATTCAGAATCATCCGTCGATTCTGGTTCAGATGAAGACCAGCAAGGCCATGGCTTCCTCGACGTTGAAGCATCAGAATCTGGGGAGAGCGGCTCCGAGTCTGACAGCGATTCATCCGATTCTGATTCGGATGAAGATTCTATTCCTGGGAGGAGGGGTGGTCGTCATGGCGGCCCTCGTGCCGTTTTCACTCAATTCAAGAAGCTCCCTATCGAACTGAGGCATCGAATTTGGCAGTTCTTCTGTCCAGACCTTCACTCTTCACCGCGCGTTCTCTCATTCCAGATCCTCTGCAGTCCCCAACAGGACGTCATTTGGGAAGGCGCCGTTTTAGAGAACCAAATACACCCGGTAAACGCCATGCTCGGTGTTCATCAAGAGAGTCGTGAGATCGCACTCAAGGCCTTTCCAGATACACTTGCCATTCGCCAAGGCCGCCGTATAATACACGTCAACAAAAAGCGCGATGTCATTCACCTCAACGGGCATAGAAAGTCGTGGAATCACAACGCATTCGTCAGAGGCTTCTCGGAGAATATCCTCAACCTGGCACTGGACATTCCTCATCTGAACGCAATGGAGCTACGCATTTTTACCGCCTTTCCCAACCTAGTCAACGTTTTCAAATTCGAATGGCACAACGAGGGTCGTGCGCCGCTTAGACTGCGGTGGTGCGCCTCAGACGAAATCCATCGCTACGAGATCCAGCAACTACAGAAAGATTTTCGTGTGGGCGAAGACCTGCATTTTGTCTACTGCTGGCCGGATGTTGACAAACATCGTGACTTTGCTGAGAAACACGCGTCTGAGAATGCCGATGCCGGCGAGGCTTTAGACGAGCTTGAGGAGGCACGAGAGGGTGACGAAGAGCTTGCGGAAATGGTAAAGGATAACGTTATTGAGAAACTCCGTGGAATCGACTTTTGGCGAATGACCTGTTTTGGCTGGGATGCTGCAGACCGATTTCCAGCATTCTTGGCTAAACACGGGAAGGCTGCCGGCGATACACCGAGTGAGGATGAAGACGAACAAGAAGAATCATCGGAGGAAGACGAAGACACGGATCAAAATGAGTATGAGAGCGACGATATCGATGACGCTACTATCGATGAAGAATCTGTTAACGAGGATGAGGATGATCTGTTAATTGATAACCGAGAGGACAGCGAGGACGAAGAGGAAGGCGGTGCTTCTGACTTTGGCGGCTTCTCCCCGCTGAGGGATGAGGATGGTAGTATTCTAGCCGATGGGCCAGAGCCGAATTCTGTTGGAGGTAACCGACACCGAAGAGGTGGGCGAGCCATCATGTCGTCAGATGACGAAGATGAGGACGAGGAAGTGGAGCGGTCCGCTCGTGGCGCAACCCGCCGTTCAGCAATGGTGGTCTCTGATGAAGAAGATGAAGAGGAGGAGGAAGAGGAGGCAAAACCCTCTCAAAACACTGTCCGGTCCCGCCGCGTCATTCTATCAGACGACGAGGATGATGACGAGGAAGAAGAGACAACAAAACCCGCTCGTTCTGTTGGTCGTCGTGCTCGAGTACTGCCCTCTGACGACGAGGACGAGGATGAAGATGAGGGCGGTGCTGAAGTTGGCACCACCGATCTGAAAGAAGGTTCAGATTCAGAAGACGAGCCTGCGGGATCGAAGAGACCAATGTCTCTTGCCGAAAAACTTCAGAACAACCGCCGTCGAAACCCGATACCTGATGAGGAGGACTCTGACGAGGAAACCTCGGAAGAAGGGGAAGCACCGCCGAAGAAATTGTCACTCGCTCAGAAACTCATGGCACATCGTAGACGGAATCCTATCGAATCTGAGCCGGAAGATTCTGAGGGCAGCGTTGTCGACGAGGATGACGATGACGAAGAGGATGAGGAAGACGAGGACGACGAGAACGGCATGTTTATGAACATGGCTGACGAGGGAGAGTCTGATGACGAGCAGGATGACGATGAATACTAACTGAGGGAATATAACCTCTTTTTTTTTCCTTTCTTTCTCATGAAGTCTGGAAACTCATGTATGATATCCTAATAGCGGTTCAATCGGGTGGCATCTAGGCGGCAAAAGGAAAAGGCATGGCTACTCCCACCTTGGACATGACGTTGAGGTGGCGGAACAATACGGGCGGTATTTGGACCAAACATGGTTGATAATAGTACGATATCGACGAAATTACACTTGAAACTTTTAAAGATGGTGTCTTCGGTTCGAACGCCAGATCAACCAATGAATAAACCATAGTCGCAGCTATTCGCACCTCAATTCATCCCAGTCAGTTGTATTGAACAAACTAAATGAACACGTTTATACTTGATCGTTTTGCAGATCACTCGTCATAACAATCGATGGTTATTGCAGACTCTGGCACAGGTGTCAATTTTCCAGACACAATATTCTTTGTCTCTCCGGTTTACAGTCATGAGCATTATGTTAGTTACTTGATTCTGACTACGCCATTTGTTTCTTATTAAGATCTCAAATAGTCGTAATATGGCAGTTTTGTTTTGCTATTCTTCTTCAATCGCTGTGAAAGCTTTGGTTGCTTTTCAGAAAAAATACACATCTTCCTTAGACATGTTATCCCAGTGCTCCGATGGAAAATCATAGACCAATTACCGTTTTCTTTTATCATGTCCCTTTCAATCGCCCCTCATCCTGAGTCAAGCCTGGCAGTGCTGCCCCGCAACCTTTTTAGACATGCAGAAACGAGGGGGCTTCCATCTTACATGCATAAATGCGCCTCTTTCAATAGCTATCGCCTCCAAGTGGCCAACCCACCCACCTTGTTGACAGCCTTACCCGAAAGGTATGCCTCGGGGACTGTATGCTCAGCCCGATCATGCAAACTGAACGCTGACGACAGCCTTTAATTACTACCTTTGGCACTTGGTTGTTGCAGGCTGTAGGCTTGGTCGGCAACTGTCGTAATATGGTTCGACAGCCTTATCTAAAAGTGGCTCATGCCATTCAAGGGTGGTTTATCCTCTTCTTCTGCCTACAAGCCGTTTTTTCAAGTACATGCATGCGTCTGCCAGTCCTTTTTGGAGTCAGGTGTACCTCCCTGTGCTGCGCCACGAGGGCATAGCTACATGTCAATATGCCCGAAGTCGCCCCCAGTGCAAGGATCTTAGGAAGATGGGTGTGATAAGTAGTTGACTTGTCCCGCATTCCGTTCCACAGACGCACTTTAAGCGCTCAACTATCGCGATGCCCTGAGGGCTCTGAGCGACCGAGTTCGCAATTGCATTTTCATCATGGCAGATCCATTATCAATCGCCGCAAGTATTGCGGGACTAGTTACCTTGGCCGATATTGTTTTCGACCGGTTGGTCAAGTATGGGAGGTCGGTCAAAAATGCCGAAAAAGAGATTCAGGATCTCTCTAGAGAAATCAATCTTCTTGGCGGTTCCCTCAACAGTCTATCTCGACTAGCTAGGTCGCTGGAAGATGAATTATTCGACAAAAACCTCCGAATACATCACATTGAAGCGTGCAACGCTACTCTGGCGGAAATGGACAAGAAATTGAAAAAGCTGGACAACCCTTTGAAACAAAAGCTCATGTGGCCGTTCAAGACAGAACTAGTGAAGGGATGGCTCGAGGAGCTAAGCCGACACAAGGAGAACATCAACCTAGCTTTATCTGCTAACTCCATGGATGCGATGCTGCGACTGTTGGCACAGGAGGAACGTCATCATGCAGAGACTCTTTCCGAGCTCAAGGAGACTCGTCAGATCAACAGTCGTATTCAGCAGGATGCAAAACGGCGCAAGGTCCTAGAATTCTTTCTGAAATACAACCCCCAGAAGAACTACGATATGAGTCTTCAACTACGGCATCCAAGAACCGGACTTTGGCTTAACCCACTTCCTGAGTTCCAGCACTGGTTATCGACTCCAAACTCGAGGTTATGGCTGAAAGGCATCCCAGGCGCTGGGAAAACGGTACTGGCTGGATCCATAATACAAGCGGTCTTGGCAGAGAGCACGGAAACGAAAGCATCCGCGTTCTTCTTCTGCGACTACAAAGATTCAAGTACTCAGGCCATTGAAACTATTCTAGGGGCTCTTGTCTACCAACTCGCCATCCAGAAGGAGGAAGCATATGAAATGCTAGAGCGTTACTATCAAGAGCTACATCCGCTGAGAGGCTTGCCCAAATCTCCCAATGCCATAGGACTGGAGAGGCTCCTCAAAGAGATGATTGAGCTGTACGGTCAAGTTTTCTTGGTTATTGATGGGCTTGACGAGTGCGGCAAGCTCACAGAAGACGTCGTCGATACCCTGTTTGATATTTCAGAAGAGACTGAGAATGTCTCTATGGCCCTTTTGAGCCGTAACGAAGATGAAATTCGAGATCGCCTGGAAGAAGACTTTGTCACGATTGAAATCGCAGCCCATAAGGAGGACATTACAGAGTACGTTACGGCAGAGATTGAGGAAAGAATACGGAATCGGAGGCTACGCATTGATGGTCCAGACTTAAAGGGAGAGATCCTTGACGGTTTGATTAATGGCGCGAAAGGAATGTGAGTTCTTCTGCCACCATTCAATTCTTGTTTCGAATTTGCTGATCAAGTCTTCAAGGTTTCGATGGGTAGCCTGTCAATTGGACCACCTTGGGGAGTGTGACTCGGATCAACAATGCCGTGACGCACTCAAGACCCTTCCCCCCAATCTTGACGAGACGTATGCTCGTATCTTGGAAAGGGTCCCACAAAGCAAACAACGGATTGTCCAACTCGCTCTGCACTGCATCGCATACGCGTCGGTGCCCCTCGATATTGATGAGCTGAGGGAGATACTTTCTGTTCCGGAACCGGGAACATTTCTTCACCCCCGATCCATCATACGAGAGGAGGCTATAACGAAATACTGCAGTAGCCTTATTCGAAAATCAACTGATGGAAAAGTTTTTGAGTTCTCTCATTTTTCTGTACAGGAATACCTTGAGAGCGGCTCCTTACCAAACGAATCTCTCGAGGCTTTTCGCATCTCCAAATCCCGCGCCTATTCTTTGTTGGCTGTTGAATGCCTCAAGTTTCTTCAACTCAAGAACTTGGATCGGTTCAAAATCGACATTGAGTTGTACGAAACTTGTGAGAGGGAAATATTGGGAGAATTCAAGGCCTATAGGCACTGCGCCTGGCTATGGCCCGTGTATGCGAGGAATGAGTGGGAAAACCCACGGGTTATCAATCTTGCAAAAGCTCTTTTCCACCCACGCAAGACAACCTACTTCACACCCTGTGCGATCAGCCTAGCTGAATTCAACAGCGAAAACTCAGGCTTGGACACTGATGATATTGCACCGCTCATTACCGACCCTCATTTCACGCCACTGCATCTAGCAGCCGCTTTATCCTTGCCACAAATCTGTTCATTCTTATTGGAGCACAAAATGGATGTCAACCTCAAAAGTCCTGTAGGCACTCCTATGCAGTGCGCAGTTCAGGGCTTGCTATTTGTGACTACCAAGTTGGATATTTACGGCGATAGATACCTGGAATGGTTCGTCCCCAACCCGGAACCCAGCTACGAAGTTGCTGCTACTGCTGAGACAATAAATCTTCTGGCCGAATCTGGGGCTTCAATAGACTTCAAATGCAGCTTTCCATTCCAGGGCAAAAGTCTATTTCAGGCTGCACTTTCAGTGGCACGCCAGTCATACACTTTATTCGTTCCCATGACCTTGATTGAACGAGGTGTGCCGCTCGAGGAGACCGACATTCAAAGTGCACAGGAAATCATGGACGAGCTACTGGACTTGTTCGAAGATCAATACCAAGACAGTCTAAAGCCGTTTATCGATGTGCTGGATCGATCTGTCAATCAGTCTCCAACACATCTTCGTCTATGCTCAATAGCATGGGAACAGGCGTTATTCCTGGAGCTAGACTTCACATTTGACGCCACAACAATCGATACGAGAGTTACTCTAACAGAAGATGGCCTAGCAAACCAGGCCATTGCAGCAGTTGAAGTTGGAAATCTGCAAGCCCTTCAGAGGATATTGCGCGACCCTCGCGTGGAGGCTTCGGCCATCTCAGATAGTGACGGAGACACGTTGTTACACTTGGCACTTGTCCGAGAGCGCTGCACTGATAGCCTTGAAATTATCAAGCTCCTACTTGATCAACGTTGCGACGTCCTCAAGCTCAATTTGAACGGGCAGCAGCCGCTCCATAATTGGAACTGGTCGATCCAGGACGAAGAGAAGACTGAGGAAGAGTCGAAGATTTTCGATGAGTTAGCCCATTTACTCGCTACCAGTGGCGCTAGTTGTGTATCCCAAGACCTGGAGGGGTGCAACGCTTTACATATCAATATGGACTCGCCAGTTCGTCTCAAAGCCCTACTGAAACACCACTCGCCCGACGACGTCAAGACGGCCATGGAGTCCGAAAACAATGCCGGATACACCCCCTTTTCTCTGTCACTTGAAGAAGAATATCTACAATCTGCATTGATCTTTACCGAGGAGGTCGAAATCACACCGGCAGTGGTAAAAAGCCCAGAGTCAGTGTTACTACTAGCTGCTCGGGCAAATGACGAAGGCATCTTTGAGTTTCTTCTCCAGACAGGGATTGACTTCTGTCTAAAAGAAGAGGAAAATCCTTTGTACTTTCTGGGAACCAAATCAACGGTTCACTTCATCCGCCGACTGAAGTACCTGTATCCTACGGCTTGTGGTTATCACGTTCTCGGCAAAACGCCATTGCAATCTTACCTGGACGCCTGCCTAACCACTGACTCGATAGTCAGTCCAGATCCCGCGATACTTGATGAATTGTCCATCTCAGATCTGTTTGCAGCCAACCACAACAAAGATAACACTTGGGAATATTTCACGTCAAAAATAGTATCAAATGTCAGAGCGTTTAAAAAGAAAGGAAAATATTCCGAAGAAGATCCAGAAACTGCTCTTGGATTGGCAGGCAGTTCCTTGCTACGTCTTGGGTACTTGGAAGCCTTCGAGTCTTGTTCTCAACAATGCGGCCTTCTTCCGCTCCTGAGTCCCTTTGAACCCTTCCAACACCTCTTGGATCTTTCACCAGTATCGAGCGATCTTCTCTGTCAGGTGCTCAACCGGACGAAATACTGGTCTAGGGTGCAACGTTCGTCCCTCATGATTCGCTTACTACAAGGTGCTGTGAATTCATACGATTACACTCTTGCAAAGATACTTCTTGAGAAAGGCATAAGTGTGCATCAGCGAGTTGGTGAATTCTCTGTCCTGGAAAGATTCTGCTTAGGGTCGCCCGGCCCCTTTGACTTTGATGCAATGATGGGATTGCTCCTGGACCATTCTGACAAATTACGAATGAACGAAACGAGCCTCGAAGGTGATGGACTGGCACTGCTACACCGGCTGAACGCCCCAGGAGCAGAGACAATTGCCGAATCACTCATCCAACGAGGAGCAGACCCGGATTTGCGCATGACTGGAAGTCCCTATTCAACTCCTCTCGTACATCACTTACTGGAGAATCGGATAGAGATTGCCACAGCGATTTTCAGAAATGGGGCGGATCCGAGTCTGGCAAATCATTATGGATTTGACGGAGTTCTCGCTGCGGCATATTGCGGTGCGGTGTCCCTGCTGGCCGAAATACATGCCTCAGACAGAGACAAGGACCGAATCAATTGGCAGGCTACCAGTCACCTGTGGCTATCTCCAGGAGAAACCAGCGAGACTGACTACCGTCTCACTGGAGTTAGCGCATTACATCTAAGTGCTTCAGGTGGCTCCGTCGACACACTGAGTTTCTACATCGACAATGGCCTTTTGGAAAACCTCAACGTGAAATGCGATGATTGGTATACTCCTTTGCATGTCGCGGCTTTGCAAGGGCACCTCAGCGCCGTCAGGTATTTGTGTGCTCGCGGCTGTGATGTCAATGCCCGCACAAAGGATGGAGACTCGCCGCTGCACCTTGCGGCCGAAAGCCAGACTTTGGATGTCGCAAAAGCTCTTGTTGAGGCAGGCTGCCAACCGTTTCCCAACTTTTTGGGAATTATGCCAGCCTTTTACGCCTATCAAGCCAATGACGAAGTCATGGCTGACTGGCTACAGTCAATCGAGTCTAGCTCAACGTCTGGAGACAGCTCCGCTGCTCGGGAAATTGTACCTGCCGCTACAAGATTGCGTAACAGAGCGTTAGCTGGAGCATTCGAAGATGCCATACATCGAAACGATCTGAACAGATGCAAAGAAATATTCAATAACGGCTGTTCTCTAGAGATTTCTCTAAACAGCTGTGGCGGCTGCTCGCCCCTTATCAAAGCGATTGAACTCGGGAGAATCGAGATTATCAGATGGATCTTGCGTGAGGGAGCATCCATAATCCAGACAGTTTGCCATTTTTCACCTGTCTTCCCGGCAATCTACATGTTATTACAAAACCCCAATATGGTAGAAGTTTTACCTGAAGGTTTGGAGAACTACATGAAGAACGGAGGAAAGGTTTTAGGAGAGTCGCCCTTGGTACACTCAATCTTGACGAAAAACAACCTGCATGGTTTGGGAGTTCTTCTGAAACATATATGGGAGAACCATGAGCATTATGGGTGAGTGGTTCAGCATTAGCCATTCGTTTCTACATGAAATCTAATGAAGGGATCCAGGAAAATCCACAATCTTGCCCCTGACGCATTGCTTTCCGCGGTTGTCAACGAGGTAGACTCGGGTGGAAGGACACCTTTACATCAGGCCGCATGGCGTGGCAACTTGGCAGCTGTTCAAGTGCTGCTTGAAAATGGGGCCGATGTCAACGCCATGGACGCAGGAACCTCGCATACACCACTGCACTACGCGATGTCGGCCCAGAATTCACAGAGTGATCCTAACTGCAGTGTCGGATTATACTTGATAAGTAAGGGAGCAAACATTGAGTGCCGAAACGGCTTGGGCCAAACTCCAATCTTGCAAGCGGCATACAACAGGCGATTACCTATCCTTCGGGCTCTGGTCGCCGCGAAGGCTGATATTCGGGCTCTGGACTATCGATCTTTTTCCCTTCTCCAAACCTTGCCGAATAGCTTTGAAGGGAACACCGAAGTTTTTGGAGAGCTGGTGAATCTCGGCCTTGACCCTCACAGATCGAACCTTGTCGGCTCCTCGGCATTTCACACAGCCATATGCCAATCTTCTGCCATATCACTCCTACTGAATATGGACATTCGGTTGGAAGATAGCAAGCCATTTCCCTGGGACGCTGAGTCGTCGGTTCATTATCCTTGGCTCACCACTGCATACAAACTAATCCGGAGGAAGTACCAATATCAGACACTCAAGGATTTTGCAAACCTCACGCCACGTGGTGCATGGAGCCCATTGTGCAAGTCAGCATCGCGCGGTCTTGTGTCTATGATGGAGAATCTCCTGGACTTGGGTTCCGATCTGGATTCAGAAGGATGTCCTCTTGGATCAGCTTTGATGGCAGCTTGTGTGGCTGGACAGAAGCAATCTGTGGAGTTTCTTGTTCGTCATGGAGCGGCACTTTCATACGCCGGACCGAACGGCTTCAGGTCGGCCTACGAGCTCGCGAAAAATAACACGAGTATTCTGCATTGGCTGTTGGTTGATCGATTCACGGACCAAAAGAAGCTGAAGGCAGGCTGTAATCATGGACAGGACAGCGAGGAGAGCCTCAAATCGTTCAAATGGGGCGGGCCCATCAAGGCCGAATTGGTCATCAGCGGTTTGATTGAAAGACACCCACGGGAGTCATCCAAAGAGCACTGGGCGCGGCTTATGCGGAATAAGGCGGCGTTGAAAGGAGTTCTTCCAGTAAACCCAGCCAGCCGCACCACCCGACCTTCAAACTTGATTCCACAGGAATCCGTACGAGTACACCCAGGTGGCTATGAAACTGGAAGGGAGGAGGTGGTTAAAGCCCCGGGGAGTTTTCGAGGGATGCTGTTTGACGGTAAACTTTGGTACATATCGTATTATTGAAACCGAACACCTGCGGTTATGTGCACATATGGGCAGAAACGGAGGATCGATGTTTATATGAATGGGTAAAGCGGCACATAGAAGGGATGAGGCGTTTTGGTCTCTGACGTATCGCATTTTTCATAATCAACGGTTTCTGGCTGCTTTACGTTATTCATGAATATCAATCCAAACTTTTTATATCGGTTATGACAAAATGGCGTGCCTCTTACACATGTGTACATATAGTACTTCTTATGATGTTCCTTTCACAAGGTAGGTATCAAATTACACCTTTTGTTTCTTTTATAACCCATTCCGCTCTTATCACACCTACTAGGTAGTCCTCATAAGACACAATCTGGTAGCCATGCTACCACGCACGACTCTTCCCTTATTGGCATCGCCACGTGATACTACATCTTTACTTCCAGATCACTCTCACCCATCCACCTAACTAACATTTTCCAAGGCATCTTAGGCAGCCGAATAGATTTGACAGGCGTCTATAGTCAAGTATGCTTACTATTAACATGATCTCTCACAGTTTAGTAATATTTGTAAGATCAGCACGCATCTCGCAAATACGGGAAAATGTGGATAATCATACAAAAAATCCCATCTCGCCTTAGTAACACGCCGCGGCTCCATACCAGAACGAGACCATTCAACCCCCGACGCCCTATCCTTTGAAGCACCCGTATCAAGCCAAACTCTACGACGGCCGTGGGGCCTCGCCACATACTTATCCCGCTTTGCAAGGGTGGTTCACCACGTCACTTACTCAGCACCCCCAGCCGAAGTGGCCGAATTCCTGTATACATTGGCGGGTCTCAGCTCACATCTCGGGCGAGACCTGCGTCCGCAGATTTAGATGAATCTGCACGCCTGGCCGGAGCGGGCCGCGGTACAGGTTTCTGGCGGAGCACAACACATTCCCAACGCCCATGGAATCCAAACATGAGGCGTCGTGCTTACTGTTGGCCCAAGTGGGATTCAAACCTATAGATTTTCAGACTATCGACAGATGGTATGATGCTAAGACAAAGTATAAGAAGGGCAAAACTACAACCAAACCAAGAACCTCTTCCAGCAACAAAAAGCCATACCCTCGTAGACCACGACACATCCCCCACCCAACACATCCAAAATGCGCTTCCAATCCCTCACAGCCGCCGCCCAGGCCCTCCTCCCACTCCAAGCCCTCGCGGCCGCCGTCCCGGCGTCCACGACCCCGGAAGTAATCTCCGAGAAAACCCTGGACTCGGGCGTCATCCTCCGCGTCTACGCCCCTCTCAACAGCACAACCCAGGTAGACGCCGACGCCGACGCCGAACCCGAACAGACCATCGAGAAGCGCGACTACTGCGGCGAATCGGGCCAGTCCTTCGGCACAAACGACGCCGCCACGCTCTCGGCCCAGCTGCAGAAGATCGGCCCCAACGACATGACCTACGTCGGCCACCACCAGACCGTCACCTTCCAGTGGGGGTCGGCCAAGATCTGCATCTACAACGCGTACTGGTCGCAGAACACGCACGTGTCCAACTGGGAGGCCGGCTGGGTCACGGGTTACATCAAGAACAAGTGCTGCAGCGGGAACATGTGGTATGTCCTTTTCTTCTTCTCCGCCGTCGCTCGACGTGGTTGTCACAATTGAGGAATCTCTATAGACTTGAAATGCTGACCCGTATTTGCTTTTATAGTGGCGGCGGCACTGCTGTCGCGCATGGTGATAGCGGTCTCGCGCTGACTTGTCAGCTTATGAACTCTGGAACTGCGTGTCCCGTTTATTAGGTTGCTTTGGTTCTCGACGGGGTATCATAGTCGTTAGTGGGTTCGCCTTTGCCAGAGAAGATGATTCATGTATAATTATATTCTGAAAGCTTGCAGTCTTTCGCCATCTAGCATGGCCCATCAGGGAAAGCGATTTCGTTTGGTAGAATACGAACAACCAAGAGACTTTAGGAAAAGCACGAAGCACGAAAAAGTTATCAAGTATCATGACTGTATATTTTGAAATTGATCATAACTCATAAACGTATCGCACCAAATAGCAATGGTATCAACCCCCGAACGCCTATGACACCCAAGATGTCCTCAGCCATGCCTCCCCGTGACAGCTCCGACAGCCAACGTCTCAATCCTTCCAGAATAAAGCTTCATGACATGACACACGGGATCTCCCCATATGACGCCGCGCAACTGTTCTTCGCTGACAGTCTGCGCAATGACCCCCTCGTTCAGCCTCTCTTCGACCGTCTTCCTGTCCTTAACCCTTGCCTTGGCATCCCCGCCCCTGAGGACCACGATCCTGCCGGGCGAGCTCAGCGTGCACGGCGGCAGTTCCCACACTGGCAAGTGCCTTCTGCTATTGCTGTCTGTGGGGGCAGCGCTCAAAACTGCACTGCTCTCCTTCGGCCGTAACGTGATCTTGCTCGCCTTGGCCACGATGCCCCTCGAGCTCTTCCTTTCCTTTTCTACCTGCGTGTTTAAACCATGAGACCTCGGCAAGCCGGCTGGCGCAGGCAATGCCAGTAGCTCTAAGAGCGATTTCACATAGGCCTTGTCCGCTCGCGCGATTGGGTCACCTTCGTTCACAAACGTCATGAACAGGCTCTTCCTCAGCTCCGGGCGATCGGGCTTGGTGAGTGGGAGGAGGCTGACGGGCGGCGTGCCAAAAGTGACGCAGTGAACGCGCTTGAAGCACCCCGTCAACAGATTTAGCTCACTTTGTGCTTGCGATGTTGTTGCGAGCATGTGACTGTAGAGTAGACTTGCGACAGCGCCGCCCGCGGAGTGGCCGGTAATGAGCAACGAATAAGCGCTTCGGGAGGGGTCCTCCTCAAGAAGCTGACGCAGACGCGCAGCAACAGGACGGATCATCTTGCGCGCGACAGTAAGGAATCCAGCGTGACAGAAGTTACCCGGGTCGTCTAGGAAGTTTACGGGAGACGCGAGTGCCGTGTTGAGGTTGACAGCCCAGTCCATGAAGGTCGCAGACCCGCGGATAGCGAAGACAATGGTGTTCATGTGGTCCATCGGTACCGACTTGATCACCATGGCCTTAGTGCCATTCTTCCAGTCTGCCTGAACATGTGTGTCACGCTCCGCGCCTTTTGGTCTGTCGTAGACCCGTTCCGCGTACTGTGCAGCCATGCACAGGAGGGGCCATGTCGGCATATATCTATGGACTGTCAGTTTCCCTCTTTACTTCAAAGGGCTGGGAGTGAACATACAGACGCAGAGGAGGAAGATTCGTGGGCAGCCTCGCATTGGCGTACATGTCCACTTTGGAGAAATAGCTTCCCGAGACGACCGATGCTGTGACTCCCGCGTTCTGCACTTTTGACGACGAATGGTCTTTGCTCTTCTTCCTTGAGGAGCTCTTCCCGCCACTTCCCCCTCTTCTCGTTTCATATTCTACCAGTGCGTGAGAATGAGAGGGAGGTTGTTGCTGGTAAGTGAATAAAGCCTTCTCGTGGCCCGAAAACTTTTCGCCATCAATCATGGTCATGACATCGTTGAAGCAGCCTGCAATCTGGTCCACGCACGCGGCTGTGGAGTTGATGAGCTGGGTTGCGTGGGGGTGGAAGTTAGGCTCTTCGAAGAATTGGGGCGATGTAAAGTCCTTCGCCAGTGTCGCCACAGAGCCTGTGAGCTTGTCGATGCCCAGGGACTTGTCTAGGCCGAGGGGGCATGTTTGCGTGGGTGCCGCGGACCCTGGGCGGGGGATAGTGCTTCCCGGGGGCGCGGGGAGCGCGAGCTGCGCGTTAGGAGGGGCGATGTAATAGTGTTGGTTAACCACGATGGGCTGAGGATATTGGTTTCTTTGTGGATGTGCCGAAGACCAGTCCTGACGCGGGGGTGGTTGAACAGGATACTGCTGCTGGCTGTGATATGGGGGTGGAGGTTGCTGCTGGTGTTGTTGGTGTTGTGACCAGTGCTGAGGCGTCTGCATGGCCGAGACAGCATATTGCGAGGGCGGGGGAGGCGGATGAGCAGGTCGGATCATCGGTCCCGGTCCCGGAGGCGTCTTCCGGACCTTTTTGCGGTCGAAGAACCCCATCTTAACGGGTACATCAATCTCCGTCGAAGTCTGGGTTTCCCGTTTTCTCGAATGCAGATCCCAGATCTCGGTCTTGGCGAGTAACAGAAGAACCAGGAAACTGCAGGCCCAAAAAGCGAGGAAGACGGCTGTATTTGTTGTCTTGGAGGGCAACAAACTTCCAGGCACGAGGAACCGCCAAGAGACACAAAGCTAAGCGGTCTGCCCCGGAAGACGTAAGGCGCGGCGTACAACGTATATAAGGCGTCTACCGTCTTTTCTGTGACTCGTTCTGTGCAAGCTCGGGGCACGAGGCCCGGGCAGAGTAAAGGCCAAGGTTTGGTTTCGACTGATTGACCTTGCGCAGCTGAGGGATCCCGAAACACCCAACGACGATGTCGTCACTCGTTCGTTTTTTTCATATGTCGCACTGAAATAACAGCCCGCAGCTGCGCCCCCGTCCGGTTATCCCCTTTCATCCGTGGATTTCCTCGGTGTGGAGAGCGAGCTTGTGCTCTGTCTGTGGCGTGAGTGTTCCGGCCGCGACTCGATGCCGGGATGAACGCAGTAGAGGCCGTACCGAAAATCTGGAGATCAACCAGATGAGGCGAAAACGATCTTCTCCACCCGCTCCTAGCGAGGCTCAGCCATGGGGTGGTGCGAGTAGAATCCTTAAAGGGGAAATACAAGTAAAGACGACGCCGAAATGGGAGATGCAAAGGATCCACGACTGGGGTGAATTAGACGACGAGCAAAAGAACGACATAAACCCCGATGATGTTTTCGTTTGAGATGCTGCTGTGCCACATGCGCAATAAAAAAAAAAGGATCCCGAATTAACAGATACAAGACAAAATATAGGGTGGAAAAAAAAAAAGAGTCGTCATGTGTCGGTTTTAATCCGTCCTTTCGTATCCTCTCGTGTCCACCCTTTCCTTCCCCCCTCCTTCCTTCCCTCGTGCCTCAATAGCGCAGTTGGTCCTTTCCTTCATGCACAAAAGCCAAGACATCCCTACTGAAGGGAAGGAAGTACTGAGTGAGGTAACTACGCCATAGGTGGTAGGCAGAACGCCCCCCCGCCCTTCCCTCCTTTCTCCTCATCAGCGCCTTCCCAAGCAAATCCGCTTAAATGAAGCTAGAAGTAGGAAAGCACCACCTTCATTCACTGCAAGCACCTTCCACCCACCCCCGTCCCGCTCCTCCCATTCGTCCCTTCCGGCCGTGCTAAGCCCACCAGTCCGGTGCTCTTCGCGCAGGGACCGCCGGGCCCCACACCGCCAATCGAGGCCGAATGCTGAGTTCCGAGGCGCCCGCCCACTGCGTCTAACCTACCAGCTGGGGGGAGAAAGCACTGACATCCATCAGAAATGCTATTCATTAGGGGGAGGGGAGGCGAAAAAACCCCCGATCCGGTTGCCGTGGATCGTTTGCTCATTGGAGAAGTGCAAATGCACTTACACTCGGCTCACCGAATCAAGCCTTTTTCTCATGTCTCTCTTTTTACGCCATGCTTTTTTGCTATGCAGTATCCGTATACCTCTGCAATGCATGGGCGAAAAAAAAAAGTGCTCCTCAAAAAACCCAACCACCACTCCCACTACCACGCCCAATCATTTCGCACCTCACAATCAGTCCATATGCGCGTAGCCGCCCAGAAAACGACGCTACCGCACAAGACCTCGCTAGAAACTTCACCCCTTGCCTCCTCCATGTTGTGTCCCCGGTTCGTTCGTTTGGTTCGCAATTTACAGGTTCTATCTGCTCCAATGTTAAAAAATGTTTGACAAAGCATGTGAACGAATGTCTGGGATGAGACCCCGGCAGTGAGTCAAAATAAACCCCGAACAGGTATAAACGAGGAACACCAACCACCCGCGCATACCCAGCGACGGCCTCGATGATTGGATTCCACAGAGGGGTCTTTTGCACTCTCATGCCTCTCTACCAAGGAAAACACGCATACGAAACTACTGGGCGAGAAGGAAAAAAAAAAAGCCCACTTCTCTTCTTCCTCGGGATTCTTCAGAACAACCGCACGTGAGAATGGTCTCACCTGTAATGCAGTCTCTCTTCCCATAAATCCAAAATGACACAAGCCCAGCGGGTTGATTCCACTATTAGAGACCCCGAACCCTTCACTCGCATCACTCCTCTAAGCGCCTCTCAGTGTTCTCCGTCTCCGTCTCCGTATTCGTAGAAAGGTTCTAGCAGTCCAGGCGGGTCCCACATTTTTCCATACTAACCACGCCCGCGGCAAACTGCCCCTCAAAAAGAAGAAAAAATAAAAATACACTTTCCAGGCTGAACACCAAGGAGCCGCCGTACATGAACAAAAGCCAAGACTGGCTGCTCAACCTACCTTAGCTGCATGTCGCCCAGAACGTTAAATAAACAGGTAGGAATCTACAGACAGAAGCCGATAAAAAAAAAAAAAAAAAAAAAAAAAAAAACCCAGCCCGTCGCTGATGCCGCCGGTCAACTACCGGAGCGGTTCCGAGCCAAGAGTTGGGACTTGGGATGAACAACAGCTGCTTTGCCTAGCTTTAATCTATCCCTGACACCCCTCCTTGATGCCTCGGGGAATCCGGGCCGAGCTTGCCTACGATGTCAGTTGTCAGTTGGTTCTCAACTACGTTATACAATCAGCCACTGTGTCACAAAATGAGTTGGTGCTTCTTCAGCCCGACGCGCTGAGAGTTGTAGCTAGTTAGCATCGTAGAGCGCCATCACGATAGACTAGTAAAAAGACGTCACATCACGTAGACGGTGGGTTCTAAACAAAGCACAACTTTTCATTCGAGAAATCGCTACCGACATCCGCTTCAGCCGCCGCTGGTGGCTTTATCCCTGGCTTATTAGAGACATCAACAACCAAACAACCTGACCGACATGGATGATCCAGCAACACCATCCCCAGCCTGAGAAAGCCGGACTACACTAAAACAGAAACAGACACTTGACAAAACCTCTCAAATCGGACTCGCCGGATCCCGCAAGCTCCCGGTGCCGCTGCCGCTACCGCTTCCGCTGTGCACGCTGCTACCGCCCGAGCCAGCCCCGTCGCTCCGTTGATGTCTGCTAAAGGCAAACGTCACAGGCGTGCGGTGCGCGGTCTGCATATGCGCCGGCGTGTTGTTGAGCGACAAAAAGTCGTCGTCGCCGTTGCTGGACTGCGTAAACCCGGACACGTCGCTGAGCATGGATGAGGAGCGGCCTCTAGCCTTCAGGGACACCGTGCTTTGGTGCGGCGGCGGGAAGCCCCAGACGGCGTGCGCAGATGTCGCGGGCAGCGGTAATGTTGAGCCGGGCGCGGTTGTCGCCGACGTCGGCCACATCGACGCTGCCGGAATCGCAAACTGTGACGTTGCGCCCGAAGGGGGCATCCACGCGGGCGCGGCGGGGTTGTACGAGGACATGGTCGGAGGCTGCAAGGGGTGACGATCGGGAATGTCGAATGGCATAGACGCGGCAGTGGCGCTGTTCATATACTCGTGGAACGTCTGAAGCTGTCCCAGGAGAGCGTTGACCTGCTCCTGCTTGAGCGCGTTGGTGCCCTTGATGTCTGCAATGCTACCACGGAAGTTGTTCTCGATTTGCGCCGTCTCCGACTGCCAGGCAACGCGAGCCTGACGTCTCCGTTCGGCCTCGTCCAATCCGCGGTTGTTGGCGTCAGTGATCCGGCCAAGCTCGTTGTCGACCTTGGCGATGCGCGCCGCAATCTTGTTCCGTTTTGTCTGCATGCCGGACTGCTCGTCTTCCTTGTCCTTCACAGCCTTTGATATGGCGTTTTTGAAGTCCTTGAACTCCTTCGACGCAGCATCGAAAATGGCCTTCTCGGCGGACCAGTCCTTCTCCGTCCGTTTCCTGCGCTCGTAGAGTCCATCCGGTGCTTTCTCAAACGCCTTGAGCTCTGCTTCGAGCTGGGCAATCTCCTTCTCGCACTGGGCTTTGGTGTTCTCCTGCTGGATAATCTTTTGTCTGTGCTTTTCGTCGTTGCCACCCGCTGACTGAATCATGTTGTCGAGCCTCTCGTTTTCCTTCTTGAGCGAACTAATCTTGTTCTTCCACTCCTTGCGCAGTGCCTTGAGCCGCGATTTCTCCTCCGCCAGCCGCTCGCTGTTGGCGTTGATGGTGCTCTTCAGCGTCGTCGCCGGCGAGTCGGGGCGGAGAGACTGGGGCGTGCTCACGGGCGGGTTAATAGACCCTTCCTGGTCCTTGTTCGGCGCGAAGGAGGTTCGGATGCTGGTGGAAAAGATGACTCGGTTCGTGTGGGTGTCAACGAATTCACAGACATACTTGGACAAAGGTCGCAGGCCGTAGATGTCTCCGCACCACCTGTGGTGGCCGGTCTGCTCGTGCTGGGCTTCGTCCTGAATACGGTAAATGCGTGTCGGCTGCCAGAAGGCGTTGTTGACCCGAACATAGAAAGGCTTCGACGTGTCGACGCCCGCGGGCCTCGCAACGTGCCCGTTTCCGATGTTCGGGCTGTCGGGGAAATGGCTGGTGTTAAAGCATACTTCGTCGTGCCCAATGTAGGAGATCCAAATCTGCTCGGCTTGGCTGTCGAAGGGGGCACTTCCCAGGTTATGTATGTCGGTAGCGTTGGAGCCGGCTGACTCGGAAGTCGCGTGCGATAACTCGTACTCTTTGACCATGACAATCTTGGTGCTTGCCAGAGCTGCCCATAACGGCTGCTGGAGGCGCACCTGCGTGCTTTGTTTTCGCTTCTTTTTTGTAGTTGATACTGTTGCATTTTGTTGGAAGGTTGCGTCGCTGTCGGGCGTAGCAAATCCGGTTTCCGTCGCTGCGTCGGTGGTGTACGACTTGCCGGCCTCGGGATCTGTTATGCTGTGGGCTGACGCGCTTCCCTTTTCTCTTCTCAAATACCACTCTCGAATATACCGCACTATGCCCTGCGTCAATATATGTATTGCCAGGACGCTCTTGATCCACCCATGCGGTCCTCTCTTATCGAAGCCGCGGGTAAATGATTCTAACGGGTCGTCGGAATCAGGAGAGAAGCGCCAGTTTGCAGGGAGGAATTTTGTCGCTCGAGACCAGTGGAACCGTGAACCGCGGAACAGATGGGATCCTATGACCAGGAGAAAACAAGTAGTCACACTTCTTGATGCTCCTTCCCTCGTATTGGAGCCACCGCCGAGGGTCGCGGCAATAACGGGCTTTGCAAAGTCGAGTATGGCAAGCTGCATGGGCGGCCACAAAAACAGCCAGACCAGCAGGATGAAAACGTCCATGCAAAGTACCGTGACAAGGGAGGGCATGGTCGAGTTGTAGTCGAAAATCTCGGCGAGGTTAATGTTCATTCCGGAACTGGTGGTGACGGGAGGCACAAAGGTGAGAAACGTAAAGACCATGTAGATACCAGAGAGGGCGACGGGAGGAACCTGCATCAGGAGGATGAGGATGGCGAGGGTGTCGTATAGGGGGAGAGCTCTCAGGACAGTGGCGGCGAACTCGACAGGGCCGCCAGGATCACGGTGCACGTCGGCGTTCTTGGTAGCGTTGACATCGATTTGACGGTGGTTCGTGTCGACAGCGCCGTTGCCCAGGTTGGAGGCCAGAGACTCGGAGGAGGAGGTCTCTGAGCAGCCTCCCAGCGAGGCTCGCCTTACGGTAGCGTCGCCATTTCGGTGGTCGGGGGCCATGGTGTCGAGAGAGGCAGCGAGGGTGGCGTTCTTGGTATGTCCGTTGGAAGAGCCGTTGGGCAGGGGTGAAGGGAGTGCCGAGGTATCTGCATTCTGGTCGGGAAGACGAAGGCTGGAGGCAGAGGCAGAGGGGTAAAGGCTCGGCTGACTCTTCTTGTTGGTAACTCGCTTCGCAGGACCTACAAGACCATTTTCGTGCCTAGTATCGCGTTGGTTGGCGGCGCCTTGCTGTCGCTTCGAAGAGCTTGAGGCACGAGGCATGCGCAGCGCCTGATTCTGCTGTCCACCGACCCGGGAGCCTGGAAAGGCAGGTCGGGGGGGCCAGCAGCACGACTTGGACTGGTCTGGATGCTGGAGATATCTCGTGTCCCGTCTCGAGGGCGACTGGGAGAAACAGCGGCGAGGGGATAACTATGCACTCAACTCAAGAGTGAGCGCAGAGCCGCAGATTTTCCGGTGATTTCCGTGGGGCCTCATGCGTCGTCGGATTTTCGAGATGAAGGTTTACTGGAGGTGAGGGGACGGTGGTGTTGAATATTTGAGTAATGTTGTGTTTTTTTTTTTTTGTCGGTTCGGGAACGGAAGAAAGTGGATGTGGTTGGTAGTGGTGGTAGTAAATGGTAAAGGTGGTGGGTGAGAAGGTCGACAAGGAAGGTCAGGCAAAGGTAAGGAAATGGGAATATTACGCGGGAGGCGGTGGGTAGATGGAAAAGGTAAAATAAAAAATGTTAACGGGGTTCTGTGAGGCGATGGTGGGAGAGTTGCAGGACGGGACGATTTCGGATAAGAGCCGAACCGAACTGACGAATGGAATTGAATCGAGGAGCTGGAGCTGGCTGAATGAGCTGAAAGAATGGAACGGGATTTTGTTGCTGCTGCTGCTGCTGCTGCTGCTGTTGTTTGCTGGGTAGTAATTTTTTCTTTGCTTTTGATCTCACACAACTGGCGGCGGCTGTGTGTTCAGTCAGCAGTAAGTACACCCCCCAGTGGCAGCAGAGTCAATGTCAATGGAAAGTGAAATGAAAATAAAAATCATAAAAAAAAAAAGTGGCAGAATCTTGTCTTGCCGTTGGCTGCTGTTTGGGCGAGCCTGGTTTTTTTTTTTATTCTTTTTATTTTATTTTGCTAAGCTGGGCCATCTCGGGACATTTGGAAGGTGGGAGTGGGAGCGCCTCGCTTCAAGTTTATTTTAAAAAGGACGCGGGAAAAGGACGAGAACAGGGATGACGGATGGTGCGGGAGCTTCCACCTCGCACTGTCCGCTTGTGGTAATGTGTACGTACCGATACGTATTCTTGGTTCTTTTTTTTACTCCTAATCAAATGTTGTGAGTGGACTGCAGACTGTGGATTGTGGAGACACTGTGAAAGACTCCGCCGATGATAAGTAACTATTGGCTAGATGTGGCTCCACCTCACTTCCCAGATCAGGATCAGAATTGAGGATCAGGATCTCGGATCTGGACCTGGGCGATACATTGCACTCAGCCAAATTATGCCTAGCTCAAGGGGCAACGTCGCCTGACGTGCTTGTACCTTGGGGTACCCCCGACCGAGGCAGCCGCCAACGCCCGTGCAGTTGCAGCAGCCTTGGATAGTTGATACGCGGGAATGGTGGTGGTGGTGTTGGTATACACTTTCTGCCAGATTGTAGCGCCAGCCAGCAGCTTACTAGAGGGTGGGAGCAATTTCACCATGCCGTGTGTTGTATGTTTGGGCTGACCGCTGGATTATCCTGGTGAGGCCCTCAGTCAGCACAGCGCTGCTTCTGCAAATTTCAGCTTCAATATCAGCATATCAACCCCTCGTCTGTGTGTGTGCGCGTCCCTCCTCGTCTCGTCTACTCAGTACGGTGCATTCGCATTGCATGCAGCTGCTGCAAACCCTGGCATAAAATGGACCCAAGACGGAACGGAAAACACGCAAGCAAGTAATCCTGCATCAGTATCCGTCTATGCCCTGTCCTGCTGCCTGTAATCCCTAAAATGTAGCCTGTAGCCCGTAGGGCAGATACTGGCAGGCGGTAGGCGCCTGGAAGCGCGGCAACCAAGTAAAAATAGCGGGAAGATGTTGTTCGAGAGTTATCAAAACAGAGCAACCGTGTAAGAGGACAATCGCGGCAAATAGAACAAACGACATGTTTTAGAAGGGTGCCCATTGTCTGTTTGACTGATTAATTATTGGCTGATTTCTTTCCTTCTTCTTTTTGTTCTTTTTCTTCTTCCTTGTTCGATTCACAATTTCAATAGTCGCCTCGTACCTACCTACTACTTTGGTTGTCTGGTTGCGGTTGCTTTACCACTTGTTGGAAATTAGAAAGCGCAACAAGCGCAACGGCACCTTCCAGAAGGCGTATGCAAGGAAAGCTTCCTTCCTGCCTTTGCCTTACTTCGACGTCTGCAACTGCCACCCTCTCTCTATCGGAGTCTTCCACACATGGAAGGAACATCGTCATACAGTCAACTCTAAGTTTGACTTCTTTATTCGGTCTTTCCTTGTTCCTTTCGTGCCCATTATCATGCTAATCACCAATCACCAACCTCCACCCAGCCATGTTCCACACCCTGCTGTACGCAGGATATCCCCCGTCGGCTATCCTTTTTGCCTCTTCGTCCCTAGTCGGTTGGCCCATCATCTTTTCTTCGTCTTGTTCGCGCCTTTTCATCATCATCCATGCTGTCAATCCTCTACAACACCCATCATCGCTGCTCGTCGCTCGCATGATGACCCTGTTCACCATAAAGAAGAGACGAGACGGCACCGCCTCCCAGCCATGCGGAAATCCCCTCCCGACCATGCTTCCGCTTATCACCTTACCAACCAGCACTTTAACCACAGCTACATGAACGCAAGCACTGGATGACTGACTCGCCCCTCTATCTTTCCCTACCGTCATCCCAGACCTGGGGAACCTCAAGTCAGGGTCTACCCGACACATATTAGCCAACCTGTCTCGGATAGCCTTTCTACCAAGGTGAGCCAGGGTTCAATACGATAGATTACAAGGACACTGCCAGGGCATATGCAAGTCGGATTCAAGGCAGCATGGCGCGTGTTCCCGCAACGCACACCAGCAAAATGGGAAATAAAATAAAATAAATAAACCTGCGCCAGGCAATCGCTTGCCATATCTAGCAGAAGACTCATCATGGTACCAGGCCAATCCCTTCGACGTCGTCATTGCACATGTCGAAGCAATTCTATCCATACCATTCGAGTTCGTTGCCTCTCTCCTTGTCAGCACGCGACTGGGTTCTCCCCACCTCCGTCCGCCCATCGCTGCCCCCCGCCATCAGAGTTTCTTATCAGAAAAAGAGGGAAGAATAAGCAAGAGACAGACCGGCGATCGATAGACAGCCATCACCTGCCCCGTTCTGGTCGACAATGTGGTGGTGAATCGCTAGTTGTCAATTGCTTCCTAGCCTCAGAACGATGATCAGCAACCCAAGCTCTCCACATCCAAGTCGAGGTAATGCCAGTTGATTCTCAGACGGAAATACCTTCGGCCTATCCTTCGCTTCGTCGACTTGCCGGTCTGAACAATCCGTCGTCGTGCCTCTACAGTTTCTCTACCGATATACATTGTGATAACGACAGCCTCCGAAGCTCGGTGGCTCGACGTTCAAGATCGACATCGTGACGCTGACCGCCTGGAGGGGGTGCGCACTAGGCGCCACGGCGAGGCACGAGGCACGCTGCGTGGGGACGAAACCAATAAACCTGGCAAAACAAGGTGCCATGACCCCTTGAGACCCCTTGAGCCCCCTCGCACAGTGGAAAGCATGATGGGCATTGGCGACGATGTGGATGGCATGCCCACTAGCGACTTACAGGACATTGCACGTCCGCCGCTAGCCTGACATTTTTCCAGGAGGTGCAACCAAGCACAACAGTGGCCCAGCATTAATCCCACGATCGACAGGCCATCTTCTCCTTTGGCCAGTCACGGCTTGTCTACCCAGTTCACTGTACGGACATGCCTACAACGTAGTAAGAACATGGCTGGGGACGGGAGCATCGTCAGTGGAGCTTGACCTTAACTGTGACGAGTTGACATCAACAGAGGACTCAAAAATCGAACGTAGGAATGCACGCGTCTTGCTCGTGGTTGACAACGCACCACATCACACAAAGCGACGCATTGCTGCAGCTGCACCTACTACTTCTCGCCCGTGCCCCTCGTCCTCCTATCAAGGAATGACGATAGGTTTAGGGTGTCACATTTATGCGTCGAACTTGAGCCGAAGAGGAATGCCGCATGCATACCCTCCTGGGTTGCGTCTCGTTGCGATGACATCCACCAGAAAGCTATCCATTGCCATGTCAGGCCAGACGAGCCGAAATGAGCCCTGTAAACTTGCGCATGACGAGGTGGGCAAAGCTAAAGCCTGGAGATCCGCATCGCTGTTTGCGACCCGTTGCAGGCCCTAGACAATCGATGGCTGCTCTGGTCTTTGTCGACCTCCCCCCGCCAGTGGTGTCGATCTCCTTCGACTCGAAACATAAAAAACCATTTTTGGAAGGACTCAAGACAGTGCTACTCCTGCTCTTCCGTCGTCCATCACTCCTCTACATAGTAGTCTCCGGTAGAGCCGGGAAAACTTGAACACGCACCGACTGCTGACCGCTTCCTATGCTTCGCCTCCAATTAACCAACATCAACCCTACCTTATACCACACCACTCACGAGCCAACGGAATTCACGGGGCGGTCGAAATTGGCTTGAGCAGGAGTATCTCACTCGTTGCTTGACGTGCCAGCATCGTTACTTGCAGGGTCAAGCTTTCTTGCCGTCATATCCACTTGTTTAGCTAATTATCCTCCGATTAGCATGACATACCGTACCGGCAGAGAGGAGGCAACACCCCGTGAAGAATAGAGCATAAATCAATACAACTGATCCCCGACCGCTGACCGCCGATGGACCTATACCACCTGCTTGACAAGTCACAGCAGAGGGAATTGGTAAATGTAACCTCAGGCGCTCAGCTACCCCCACTTCGTTCCCCCCCAGGTCTCGAGCATAATTTATGAGAAGAGCAAAAGGAGCTAGGCGCAGAGCGGTAAAGCAAGTCGATCTACTGTCGGCATTTGACCGCTCCCAGCGGCGCGAAGTTGCTGCCAGTTTGCCTCCCATGTCACAGCCATTCCCTTCCCTTCAGTACTATAGTAGGCTACTGACTCGAGATACCGTGGGGAGCAATTTGCAATCGCAATGTCTGATTCGTGATGATTTTCAAGATCTTCTCCAAGAGTCAGTGGCACAGCTACTCTGCCAGGGTTCCAGGCTTTGTTAGGGCTGCTGATGGAATTGGAACTGAGCCTGTACGCCAGCACCTGTCACTATGCCTGGACCGCGAGGGAGTGCCTTTGATCATCAGATGTTGCACAGTAAGCAGTAGCAGAATTAACTTGACCCTTGGACTGATCTGACATGGCAGCTACTTGGGAATAAGCTTCAAGGCGCCAGCGCGGTGCATCACAGCAAGCCTTTCATGCACCTCGAGAGGCCTTCTCCTCCCATCCCCTCGCCCCCCCCCTCCATTTCATCAAGAAGCAAGAAAGCTTGGCAACCTACGGCCATGTCGGGCCGTCATTGGTGCCCTGCAGACCGTTATATTTCTGCGGCTGCTTAGCGGGGTTGAGGAACCCCTCGTCGCCGAGCTTCGCACTGTGGCACCGGATTTCGAAGGCGGTCTGGCCGTGAGCTGCTACCCCTCCACCCCCTAGAAGGGTATTGCACACGTCTGAACGGATACGTGAGGCGACACAACGTAATAGCGCCAGGGCGGCTCCGTGCGATGCGGATCTCCCGGTGGGTTTTTACCCCTCGGGAGCCAATTTGAATTTTGCAGCGGCGGACACGAGACCGCACCGTCGTGGATCATGGCCGAGAAGACTTTTTTTTTTTTTTCTCGTCTTTACTCGGTACGGCATATTATGTACTATGTATAGCAAAGAATTTTCAGCAGAATTTTTCAAGAGAATTTTTTTTCCCCCTTCTGCTGCTAGCTTCGTTTTGTCCGGCTTAGCTGGACCCTTATTGAACAACCAATCGATGGGGAGACCAGCAGAATAAGAAATTCGCATTCCTTGCACAATCCACATTCTTTGCCGTGAGCCGTCCTGAACCGTAGTGTAGGATGACGCTCTGTATCCGTACCAATCCCAGTCATCAGTCACCAATCACACAGCTACGGCCAAGTGTGGTGTGTACATTTACACATGCGACACGCCAGCGACTCTCGCCGGTAAATCACATATCACAGGCTCAATGCTAAACAATGGCGTGCTTTCCTAGCAGTGTATGTCTCCTTTCAACACATGGCATTGGTGGTTTTCGTCGCCTATCATGCAAGCCTGGTGATTTTTATTTATTTTTCCAATTCGGCTGGTCAATAATTATGAGGGGGGGCTGTTGCATTATGGTAGGCGATGAGTCACCCCTCGGCGGTTCAAGACATGGTCTGATATGCAAGCCAGCATTTTCTAATCCCATCAGAGAGAGAGAGAGAGAGAGAGAGAGAGAGAGAGAGGATGGATATCTGTGCCTAGCGCGGATGCCGCTGCGAAGTGAAAGAGCCTCATATACTTTAACCCCATCGAGGCATGTCTGCTTGCTAGCACCAGCACCTTTTGTGCACACACGGCGCGGAGCGGAGGTATTTTTTCCTCTTTGAGCATTTGGCAGTTTTTTTTTTTTTTTTTTTTTTTTTTTTAATGTATAATCGGGAGCCGAAATGGTTTCTTTGCCACAAGCCTCGCTCTACGTCTTTTATACACGTTTAGCTTTGGCCGCGATTACACCGTTCGCCCGCCGCCCGTACCCCCTTGGTGGAGGCCTTTTTATTTGGTTTTTACTTACTATGTACTACATATACCCGGACCCTCGTGGATCCCGGGTTTTAGTCTACGTCGGTGGGACGACGCTATCTCGAGAAGGGCCGTCTTATAATACTATGTACCGACCGCATCCACACACATTGTCGCCAAATTCTAAATGAAGAGAAAAAAAGGGCTGTAGTAGTATGGTAGTATGTGTGGCCAGCACCGATGCCAACCCACACCCCCCGGTCTCTTTTTACGTTGCTTTGGCCGGCGAGGCACTGCCAAAGTCTTCTACGGCATCTTTGCTATTCCAAGTCTTGGCTTCCAGGTTCGCAATGCCGGACATGAGTTCGCGGTAGCGGCGGAGCGTCTCGGGAGATTGGAAGTTGAGCATTCGTACCAATTCCTTTCGGAACCACTGCGTAGAATCGGCCCCACCAGCCGGTCTGAAGACCATCTTGAGCTGGGCTTCCGCGATCAACGAGTTGGTTTTACGTGACCAGATTGCCACGCGCAGTATGAACCTCACGCGGTCGCTGAACTCGTCTAGGCTCTCGACGCGGGTGTATGCGGCGACGTTCTGTGAGGATCTCACCCATCTCTTGAGAACAGCCAGCCCTTGTTAGCTTGTCTTCCAAAACGTGGTCAGTCCTCTAGGGGGCCAGGGGGAGGGCATGTGTACCTGGGGCATCAGCGTCGGGTAGGTGACGCTGCGAAGAACTAACGGCGGGAGCGGAGGGCGTATGTTGTGGCTTTCTAGACGCCAAGCTTTGCGCTGCTGCTTCTGGAGCTGTTGCCATTGCGCCTGGGCGTTGGGGGTCGCTGTCGCGACGATGTAGTCTAGGAATCGCAGCGCTGCTTTCTCTGCCATCTGCGGTAGGGGGAATAATCGAGGGATTGCCTGGGGGAGGATATCACAATATTAGTATTAGTCAAAACGGCGATGCACCAAGAGTAGTGGACTTGTGTATGTGTGAGTGAGAGAGAGAGAGGAAGACTCACGCCAAACGTCGACGACTCTGGTTCCCAGTCTGAATTCTTCTTTTGCAAGTCTATACGGTCGAGGTATACTGCCTCCGGGTCGATGGCTGCGTTGGACCGGCTCATCTGCAGACGGGGCCATTCCTCGGCGATGACGCGCACGAGGCGCGCTGCCTCGGCCGTCTGTTCCGCGTCGCAGCCGAACATGAGGCACTTGCCGATACGGTCGAGTGCCTTCTGAGAGTATAGGTAGTCCGGGCTCGGCTTCGGCTGTCGCAGGAGCTTCCTGAACGTGTCCTCGACAGTAGGTTCTTGGCCGGCGATTTCGGCGGTGGGGTTCTTCCTGCTGGCAGGTACCGAACGGAAGCTTAACTTGATGCCGCCTTTATCCCCCCCCTGCTGCTTCGGGTTCGGGGAGCTTGTAGGTGCTGCTTGCTTCGCTTCTTGGCTGTATGGTCGCGAATGCCATTTGGCGGCGTGGAGGGCGGCAGACGTCGGGCGCGCTGAGGGTAAAGGGGCGTGCCGGGGCAGCGCCTTACGAGCTGTTCTTGCGGGATTCATTTCTTGTGTTTGGAGCTCTGTCGTTGGGTAATGCTGCGGTATTGCTGCCGCTCGTCGTCAGGCCGTGATGGTGTTTCGGTATGTCGTGAGGCTGAATCGGCGGGAGCTGGTTTACTGCAGCTTCCAGCATCGGAGCTAGATACCTTTGTCGGCTTGATAAGATAAAGGGATGTGGTTGAGCTCTGACCAATGGAATGCGTGGATTGACCCCGGGTGGGGCCGCTGGGGGGCAAGAGGAAAGGCGACGGAGGTGTTGCATCATCCGCCGGGCTGTCGACCTCATCGAACCCCGGGCTGCTGGAAGAGTTTCATCCTGGCATGCAACGACTTATACGATTGATTGAGAGGCAGTGCCGTTCTAATAGATTGTTATATTGTTGATTGACGATCTTCAAAGATGAGCGCTGTAAAAACTGAGCTGAGGAGGCAGGTAATTGCCATTTATAAAGGTGCGTTTGTATTCTGTTGTTATTCTGTCAAGCTGTTGTTGCGATGATGGAGGTGTATGTCTCGGCGTAATACATATACACTTCAGAAGCATACTGGCGCCTTGTCACGCTCGAGCATTAGACGAATCGTCTGTCCAGTTCATAGTTGCGCAAGCGTCAGGCTACCAGCGGAAATCTAACTTGCGCAGAACTCCTCTACCTGGGCCGCGAGTATCCTCTGGGGTACGACTACTTCCGTCCCCGTCTTCACAAGGCGTTCAGCGCAAACGCAGGGTTGCGGGATGAGCAGGCCATTCGCAAGGGGATCGAGAGGGCCGAGTATGTAAAGAAGGGTATGTTTGATTTTCTATTATCGTTTCATCACCTTTTTTCTAGCTATTTGTGATTGTTCTTTTTCCTTTTTCTGATTTTCATGTGTTGGTTCCCCTTTCGTGTTCATGGTTAGTTTGGTATCCTGCCTGGAGCTAGGCCTTGTAGACGTCGAGCAGGGTGGTCTTGCTTTGATATCAGTCATGTTCGTTTGTCGGAGGGACCTCGTGGCTGCGTTGTTCACACTACTCGTCCTTGATTCTTGCACCGCAAGAGCATGAAAAACTTTCTGCGTCAAGATGTCAATCATCCCCAGGCCATTTCGGCCAGTCGTACCTGTTTTCACCCCTAAGAAACACCACACAAGTTCCCTATAGCAAATGTCTGGTCTGCCTTCCTGATCATACTTCATGGCGCCCGCTGGCACATGAACATTACCAGCAGGATGACACAATCACCATCATCATCATCAGCAAAAGCAGTAGTAGCAGCAGCAACAAAACAGCACGAATCCAAGCGGACTATTATCCACATACATGCCTGCCCATCATCTTATCTCAAACTTGGGACACAACATGCCATCATTTGTTCAATTCTCTCCTTACTACATTACTTAGTCACTCCCTCAAATATCTCAAGCTAAACGCTAACGTATAATAGAAATCGAAGCTCTGTAAGTCTTCCCGTCTCGTCATATCTCTATCTTCATGGCACCCACCTGGTCGTCATCCTCCAACGGCATGGCAAATCAAGGCATGTATCATGGAAACTGCATCACACAACATAAAAGCACGCACATTGCAAAGACTCCTCGATTCTATCGTCACCCTATCTCAACGTTATTGTACACAAACGACACACACACACAGTGCGACACCCAATATCTCCGGGGTATATATAGGATATGTAAACTTTGATAGATATGTGTTGTAGATAGATGATGTGCCGATGGGGTATCTCGATGGTGAACTGGAACTCAACCCTTTCCTTCTCCTTTCTCTTCGACTTCTTCCCCTCATCTGTTTTTGTGTCATCCCTGTTGCCTAAACCAAAAATGCGGTTCATCGCTAATCCCATCTCGCAGGTATTACCTCAAGCGATACCGGACGCTGAGAAAGCGCTATGTTCCCGGAGCGTGAGGAATAGGAGGAGGTGACGCGGTGGTGGTAGACGGAAACCCGTAATCAGATAGATGACTCCGACAGTAATGCAAACTCCGATTCATTCAAGCTCGTGAAAAATCCCCTCTCCTGTTTCCTTGCTACCTTCGCGTAGCCCACCAGGCGCCAACTTCCAGGCACTCTCCCCAGCTCGTCCCGTTCTCCCTGGTCAAGTCGTTCATCATCTTGCCTAGCCAGCCGTCCCACTCGTCCTGGCTCTTGCCACTAGTCTCGCGCAAGATGGGCTCCAGGCTCTGGATCTGCTGCACGACGGTCATCATGGCCGTTCGGCGGAGGGCCGCTTGCGCCGACGTGAGCGTCGTCTTTTGTGCGTCCGGCTTGGCCTTGCCCTTGCCCGTCTCGATGTACGACTTGCCGTCCTTGGTCACGACACCGCCGACGCCCTCGCGCTCCCAGCGCGCTTCAGACAGCGGGATGGCCAGCCGGCGGGATTGTACATCCTTGAGCTCCTCACACTCTTGCACGAGCGCGGGGCCAATGAGGGTGCAGGGTACGGGGCTAAGGTTGCGGGACTCGAGGGCCTTGTGGACCCAGCTGTTGTACTCGACAAGGAAATTGTTCAGCGGCGCACTGAGTGGTGTCTTGGAGGTAATCGGGTAGGCGCCGAGCGCGACGGCGGCGGCGCCCTCTTCGCTGTCTTTGGATAACGGCGCGGCGTGTGGCCGCAGCATACGGATCTGGTGATCACTATCCCAGAACTCGAGGATGCCCCCAGGGCGCAGGATGCGGTAGTACTCCTCAATGGAAGACTGAAAGGAATGAGGCGTCGTTACAGCGAGACTCAGGTCCTTGACCATGACGAGATCGAACTCGCCGTCAGCAAAGGGCCAGGGGGTGACGCGCATATCGTGTTGGACGTAGCGCCACTTCATGTCGCGATCGGCGTCGCCTGCGGTTGCTCCCATGGGGCCAATGTCGATGCCGGTGTACTGAATGTCCGAGTGGCCCTTCCCCTTGAAGTAGCGGTGACACATTTGACTCCAGAAGCCAGATCCGCAGGCGACCTCAAGTACGCGACCGGGGGCCTTGGAGTTGCTCTGCTGCGAACATAATGGCGAGCCAAAGACTTGGATCATCATCAGCGTGCGCATGGACTGACGATGGAGCTCGACGAGATCCACCGGTAGGGGATAGGCAAGGGAATTGTCGGATAGGTAGGTGCGGCCATTGCGCAAGACATAGGGACGGGAGGCGTCGAATGAGGACGAAGTTGGGTCAGACGATGTCATTGTGCGTGCCGAGATGGACGCTGTGGAGGGCGCGGCCGACGACAAGCTATCGGTGCGAGAAAAGGGGACGGTGCCTGTCGCCTTTCCGGCAGTCAAGTGACGACCCGAGATGTCCATGTCGAGCATGGCGACATGTTTCAGCTCCGTGGGAGTCAAACCAATGCGGGGCGTCGGAGGTGACTGGAGCGCCAGTTTCGCGTATGAGCTCAGGCTGCCGCTTTCCTTGCGGAGGCGAGCCGGCGCTCGGGAGCGGAAGGAGTGGCCGTGATCACCGCCGGTGCGCGTGTCTTGCAGCGACTGATGGTGCTTGTGCTTGTGCTTGTGTATCTGCGGGGTTGTTGGGGAGGCGGGCGGGCGCGGGTCGGTGGGGGATGCCGTGTGAGGGATCGAGAGAGTGGTCGACGTGGGCGTCGTCGAAGTCTCGTGAGAGGAGCGAGAAGCTGAAGAGGAAGAAGAGGTGCGAATGTGCTCGAGGCGGGTAGAGGAGTGAGGTTGATATTGGTAGTTCTTTTGCCGGTGAAGCGGCGGCAAGCGTGACGAGTCGGTAGGATTCGCCTTGGAGAAGGAGGCCGACGTTGGTGTTGTAGCAGGAGCAGAAGGCGTGGCGGCGGAGGCAGAGGGGGTTATGTTGCCGTCCTTGGTCGGGGCAGAGGAAGTGGATGAAGAGGATTTCGGCGTCGCCTTCGCCGTCGCGGACCGTGTCGAGTCGATATGAGAGAATACGGGAGGTAAAGGGGCGAGCGTGGTGTACATGTATTGGGACATGTTTGCAGAGTCTGTTTCTGTTTTCTGGGGCGATTGGGTCCCTTGGGTCTCTTGGGTCTGCTGGGTCCCTCTCTGTGTCCTTGGGTCCTCTCTGGCCTGCCCTTTCTGGGCCCGGGAGGACGACAGCGAGGCCCAACTCGCAGATGGGAGCTCCAGTACGAGTGGACGGGGGGGCTCGATTCGATTGTTGCAGCTTGCGTGGTGGAGGAGCGCGCTGGTACGAGCTGTGGGCAATTTGGTGCTGCGACCTTGCTACTCGGCGAATGTCTAGGTTTGTTCCCTCCTAGGGGGGAGAATGGGGAGGGGGGGAGGGGGTGTCGGTGGAGGAGAGACACCAGGGGGGCGGATGGGAGAAGGGGGAGGAGAATGGGAGGGGAAGGGGGGGGTGGAGGGGGATTATGTCGTTTTTTCTTCAATATTGCATGCCCGCCCACCGGGGAAGGTATAGTTACTAACTGTAGCTATACGTACCTTGCACAGCTGCAGCAACAGCACGAAGTGTAGCAGGTGCAAGGCACGCGGAAGATGCCAGCAGGTAAAGTAAAGTAAAGTGGTAAAGAGGGCAAAAGCGGGCAGGGCCGGGCAGGAAGGAACAATGAGGAAATATGGTAGGCAGGGGGGGGGGGGGGGGAGGAAGGAAGGAGGGGGGGGGGTGTTGGTGCCGGATAGTGCGCTGGGTGGTACTTTAGTCGTCTGTGTTGGTAATGGCGATGGAGTGGATTGCGCCGGGGTGGATGGAAAGGTCAGGAAAATTAGACAGCGCGAGGGTCGTCGTCTGGCTGACCAATCAGCAGTGTGTGACCTATTTGTGTTTTCCCTTTGGGGCGTACACTGGGGTTGTCTTTTGTTTTAGTTGTCGTTGTTTGTTAATGACGATGGAGAGGTAATAAGAGAAGCGCGAAATCTGAGACGAAGGTGGTGAAAGGAAGGAGCAAATGACGAAAAAGAAAAAGAGTGGAAGGCGGAAGGAGGCGGTTGGGGTAGGAGGAGGGGGGAGAGACAAAAGAGACAACCAAGGAGGAAAGGACGGCTTTGGACCTAGACCTGCCTACTTGGTTCTCTGGCTTTGGCTCTCTCTCTTTCTCTCTTTTCCTCACACACACACACACACACACCTATCAGTCCTTTCTACTCCGACTGAGCTCCTGCTGCTAATGCTGGTTCCTTGTCTGATGGTCTGGTTTGGTCTGTTGTACTATGTAGAAGGACAGGAATGGATAGACCACTGGTACCTGTGGCTGGGCCCACAATCTGCGCTGCAGACAAGTACTTGTGGTCCTGCCCAGTCGGGTGGCCCCACCAGAGGTTCGTTTGAGCGGGTTGTACCTTGCAGCAACTTACGCCGCTTACCCTAGCGGGAATGTACTTTTGGACCAGTGACAACAGCCACTGTTTCTCTCTCTCTCTCTTTCGTTCTCTTACCCAGGCCAGGCGGCTTGTGTAATTTTTTATTTTTTTGTTCTTCGGCAGGGGAAATCCGTTTGAGCGGTACGGTACGGGGGGCCCTGTCGTCTTTCTCACGTTGCAATTCCACACTGCAGCGCCAACCTGTCCCTTTCTTTGCCTTTTGATTGGCCCCTCTCGGTTATTTGGTGTTTTCGTCGTCTTTCTGTCTCCCCCGACCCGACAGGGAGATCCACGCCGGAGCCTTTGCCTTGGCCCGTGTACAATGTAATGTGTGTGGTATGTGTGTGTGCGTGTCCGTCGAGTGTAAGTGTAGCCTTGCTGTCCACAAATTCCCCTCCTTGTGTCCGGGTGTGGTGGATTGGCCACCAAATGAACAATGACAGCTAGATGCTGTAGGGGACGGGCGCACTAGCCTGTTTGGCTAACCACAGTCAAAGGCAATGACGGCAGTTTGTTGTTTTGTTTTGCTGTTTGATGTTTGGCCCTTGTTTGTTTGCCTGCTTGCTTGCTTGTCCAAGCTTCCAAACTTGGTCCCGGCCGATTGACGGTCTTCAGCTTAGCTCCTCTTGACAGGAGTCGCTAGCCTTCTAGCACCCGCGGCAGCACTGCGTCTTAGTTACTGCCCAGCCCACAAGAGTCGTTGGGGCTGTCTTGGAAACCCTGCGCGATGGCGTTGATGGCCGTTCTTGGAACTTGAACCGCTCGTCACCTTTCTTAATCCTGATTTGTCGTCAGTCGTCGTTGTCGTCTTCTTCTTTTTCTTCTCTGAGGGCCAAGCCAGAACTACTGAGACATTCAAGTCGTGTGGCTGCAGGGGGGAGGAACTCACCAGGCAGACCAAAGAAAAAAAACGACCCTAAAGAACGCCTCACTCAGCCCCCCGATCCAGCTTGTCGGGACACCCGGTGCCGTAGTCTCTCTGGAGGAGACAAAACCCACTCCTGACTCTTTGTCCGCGGGGCACTCGAGAATGACTCCTGACCCTGTTCTTCTTTCTTGTCCAAATGTTTCTGTCTCAAACTACCCGGCTGGGTGCCGCCTCGTAGTTTCGCAAAGTGGCTCAACGACGGATACGCTAACCCTCAAGCTGGCTTCAGTGGCAACGCCGCAGCCTAATGCGCAGTCCACCGGACGGCAAAATCCTGAAATCCGTCAACTTCAACCCCCCTGCTGTGACAGGACAAAGGGCGCGCGTCTGTAAGCTGTAGAAGGTAATAGCAGACAAACGGTGAAGGTCAAGCCAGGAACCGGGCCCCCGGTAAAATGAGATACAGATGCAATCAACCGTTCAATCTACCATACGGGTTTGCTGAGCTTGAGTGACCTAGGTCCAACTGCCTGCACCAACGGGCGGAGTCGATGAGACACCCACGCACAAGGAAGAACGTGTCCCTGTCTGATTTTTTTTTTTTTCCCTCCTCCCTTTCCCGGCAATGTGTTTTTTTTGTGTTGATCTCTTTGCTTTTTTTTTTTTCGCAACTCCAGTGGGTCAGCCCGTAGACTTACAGCCCGCTTCGGCTTAACCTTAGTCAGTCTTTGCCCCGTGAGGTACTGTATCCGCAGTGCTTTGCGTCACCTAGAACGAGCAGGAAAGTAGAGTGCCTTCTGAGGGTGGTATCGATACCTTGACAAGCAAAAAAGTCAAGACGGGTCGGCGCCGGCCCCGTCCTTCTAGAACCTGGTCCAGGGCCTTTCTGAAATCTTGAGACGGCGGGATGCCGGGCGGTTGTTCCCCGGTGGAGACGGGACCGGGGGTGATGGAATGACGGGTAATTGACGGGCCCTGATTGTTGCACTTGGTGTGCCTGTGGAGAGTGGAAAGGAAAACCGGGCAAGCTAAGGATAGTCGCCTGGTAATGTGGTAATGAGCTGTTTGTCTCCAGCAGAGTGCCGCTGGATGTTGCTCGACAGTGACGATATCAAGGGTAAAAGAAACAAGGCAAACTGAGGAGCCTTAATGCCGCAGTGGAAAGTAGCAGCTTGATGTGTTTCTTGTCAAATCTCGCGCGCCAATTCGCCAATGCGCTTACTCCGCTGGGCGTCACTTCGGAATGCCCTGTACCTTGTCTGGTCTTCCGTCGCTTCGCCTCGTCTCGCCTCGTCTCGGTTCCCGCAGACAGATGGTACCGGGGGAATGGTTGGAGCAAATTTCGTCCACGGGCTCGGCCACGGCCTCTCGTCGGCGGTCCTGGGGCAAACAGGGCTTACTTCGTGTACGTAATGGAATAACTACTGGCTCTGGGCAACTTGCAAGGCGGACTCTCTTTTATTTTTTGGTGTTTTCATGTGCCTCTTCCTTTCCCGTCGTTTGTGAGCTCTCTCGTCGCGTTCCACATACAATGTGGCCGAATGGAAAAAAGGCCCGTTTGAAAGGCAATCAAGTATCCCTTGGCTCCTCTCTGATTAGCGTTTCAGGGCGTGGGGACCTTCCATTCAAGGTTGGGCAGGTTTGTGTCTGTTTTGTGGCCCAATGCCGTTTTCAGTCTTGTCCCTTGGGTTCCTGGCCCCCGACCGCGTAGCGAAGGTAGGCGGTTGCCGGTCGGTGGGTTCCGCTCCAGTTACAACCTCCAAAGTGACACCGTAGTGCTGGGTTTGGGAGATCGACGGTGGAGGGTTCCGCTAAAGGAGCCGAAAGGATGTAATAGCAATGAAATGTGACGAAGGCTGCTTTTTTTGTGACAAAGACCTTGGATATCAGGGCAGTGAGACAGGAAAACTGGAAGATCGGAAGAACTCCGAGATTGACGGTGCCGTGGTGGCTGCCGTGGCCGTGTTCGTCAGTCGTCGTTTGCCGTGATTAGGATCGCTGTCCTTCAGGTCGGCCCAACCCTCTTAAAATGACCAGCGAAAGGGAAGCAGAAATGAAACAGAGAAGCTTGCCGCCGGCTGTTTGGGCACCGTTCTGCCGTCTCAATTATCACATGAACAAGCCGACCCGGCAGGCGAGTGGCAGATAGACAGAGACAATTAAGTGCAGATCGCCACGGGTCTGATTCTCTAGCAAGCCAATGTGGGTTGGGATCCGTTCGCTCGGTGGTGTTGAGTCGTGTTTCTTCAGCGATCTCGGCGTCCGAGACACCACGTGCGCTTCTCCTCGGGATTGACTCCGGTTTTGCAGCGATGCCGCAATCTTTGAACTGAGAACCGAGGAAACCGACCGGCTTGTCTGCTAACCGCGCAAACGAATGTGGTTGTTCAGCTCTCTCACTCTCTCCGTCCGATATGGCGGAAGCGTAGGGCACAGAGATGTATGTGCTCAACTGTTTTGGCGGTGTCAGTGAGCGGCGCCGCACGGGAGCTTACAAGGCAAGGGCACAGCAGGGAAGGAGCTCTCTGGGCAGTTGGTGGTAGCTGCCCCGGACGGAAGAGGGGGGGGGGGGGGGGGGCGCTGGGTGGCTTTTCGGGAAGTCGCTCAATCCGGCGAGCGGTCCTTCTCTTCCGTACGTCGTTCTTTTCCCGTTGTTGTCGTTTAAATTTTGTTGGTTTGTATTCGTATTCTTGATTGAACCAAGCTTATACTGGAACAGTTATTCCTCTTTACTTTTCCTCTTCCCCTGATCCAATGCAGGCAGATCGGTAGTTGAGGGGTTAGGGCGCGATATCGGTAAGACTCGCCCAAAAGGGAGCTCTGTTCTGTCGTTTCTCGTGAGAAAAAAGTGCTGCCGGTGCTCGGTGACAAGGTTGCAGCATCATATGTCTGCTTGATATGGATGCCAAAAGGGCTCAGGGTCTGAGCAGCAAAGGATCAGATGACGATGGCACTGATTGAATATGATGCTGCTGCAGTGTTGAAGAAAAAGTTAACCCCAAAGACGCAGGCCCAGCACCCATCATGAGCTTAAGAGACCGAAACCACGGATCGGAGGTCGGCGGCAGGCTATCTATCTATATACATCCAGACTACGGGTTTACATGGCCTGGGACATAGTCGATATTACCCCAGGCAGGCAAAGTGCAGAGGCCGATGCCAACACCGACGCCCGAACAGAAAAAGGAAGCCCTCGTCCCAGGTTAAGTTGGCCCCATCCCGACCTGCCCTGCCGCAACACCTGCAACTGCTTGACTTGTTGCTGCTGATGCTGGCCTGGTGAATGCCCAGCGCATGCAGAAACACTGCAGCAGCCAGTGCCCGCAATGCAGGGTTGCGCGCCTATACTACTAGGAGGTCCTGATTAGGGCCTCCGCCGTTCGGTACTGCGAGTGGTGATTGCAGCTGCTACTGCAGCCTACTCGGCCTTGCTTTTGCTTGCGTGCTGCAAATAATACCCCATTGCGGAGCTTTCTTTACTGGCGTTTTTCGGCCACTCCACCCCTCGGCCCCATGATACCACGATTGGCAGTTGGTTTGCCAGTCAGGCGCGCCCATCGCCGTTCTTTGGGCCCCCGCTGAGAGTTGCTATTCGACGACCGGTGACATTGCGTGATGCTCGGGGAATAGAGAGCGAGCAGGTGTGGAGAGAGACTGGTCAGGATCACGGAAACCATGTCCTGAGAAGGACAAGCCACCGCGCTCAGCACGGCGAACGCATGAATTGCGGCAATTTGGCACGTGCCGCTGTGCACATCTGTGCGTTTTTTTTCGTCGACGGTCGAATAGAGCTGGAAGCCAAGCGAGAGAGTGAGCGGGATGGGTTGGGATGGGATGGGAGCAACGGGGGCTGGAAGGGAGGCCCTGGGCTCTGTTTGGAGTCTCTTAGATAACGGATTTGTCTCTCAGCCGTCAACCCCCGCATCCCGTGCCCCAGTCTATGGTCGCTACTTGGTTGGTAATTTGTAGAACCCCAATACGGTCTGGCCTTTCCCAACTCTTCCAATGGTCGTGATGAGGGGGAAGGGGACACGCTCCGGGGTCCTGGATTCCTGGAGGCTGGGCGCCTGTTGGTTCGGACCATTGGATGCTGAGTGTGGCAGCCACTGATGTATCGGTATTGGAAGTAGTGCCAGTCACTACAGCCGAAGCGAAGGGGTATGCACCGTGAGATTTGCCCGTCAAGGAGCGTATCCGCGAGCAAATTTGAAGCGGGTACGGGCCAAAAGAGATCAAGCGTTTATGTCGTCCTCGTCAATGGTGGAGGTTTCAGCGAGCCAAATGCCCTTGATCCTCCGGCGCGAGTCCGGCCCAGATGCCCCGCCATCCCCGCCGCCCTATCCACTCACTTATTGGCCGTACCCCGGATTCGCGCCACGCACATGAAATTTGACGGCCCGGGGAACCAGCGGCGCATAAGTATATGTGTGTTGACATTTTTGCCTTGAATTCACTTTGGGCGATCACGCCGTTGGTGCTGTGCCACGCGGGTGGCCTGTTGATGGCGAGCTAGAGATGGACCAATCATGATGGACTGAAAGTCTAGACTGCTGGAAGCCAGAGCAGCTCAGATTGTTACCAGGTTCTGATAGGAGTATGCGGCTGCCAGGCATTCTCGTGTTGGTCTAAGCCCGTCTTTCAATTCAGCTATGTCCTAGTTGGTCCTTGCCTAGCGAGAAATTGGGATGTACCATTGCTCCGCATGGCTTTTTATCCGGGAGGATGGAGGGATCGAGCCGCGGTCCTGTTGGATTTGGCGGTCTGTTGGAATGTGATTAGGTTGCATCAAGGTTGGCCCCAGAGTCTGGAGCCGAACATTAGTTGCATGAATGCTTACTGATGTGGCAGATGGTCATGTCGGGTGTGTTGACCCAGTTGCCGGCTATCCAATTCGGCATGTTGACATTTGCCTTGCTCCTAAGTAGTGGGCTAGGCCAACTACTCATTATGTAGGGTTATAGAACGATAAATTGAGAGTAGGTTGGAAAGAGAGATTCTTTGATGCATTACTTAATGTATATGTATAAGTTCAAACAGGACTTTCCTAGCCTACCTAAATGACGCATTGTACGATGACTTGAACGTTAGCAAGTCTTTATGAAGTTGTTGTATTTACTTAAATAAAAAAAACCCTGCTTAGAAACGGTAACTTTTAAGCGGCTATTGATATGACATCAAGGGCACTCGACCCGACTTCCGTAACAGTCGATGTTTTCAAAGACTACTATAATCAAAGTGAGGCTGGAAAGGCGACTCGGTGTGGTGATCCACTAGATACATGCCTGGTGTCCCCATACTTGATATTAAGCTGAATGTGTGCCACTAGTCGTTTCAATGTTGTCTAAGCCAGTTACTATAGAATGGTGCGTAGGAGGACCTGCCGTTTATGACGTGGAACAAGTCAGGATATAAACGGTGTCCAGGGATCAAGGGAAGTGAGAACGATGTCAAAGACTGAAATCAGCAGCAATAAGAGAGACCATCATGAGGATTCCAATTACGATAGGGGTTATTATGAGTGATACGCAGAACTGAAAGTGATGACATGAATACCCCGAGCAACCCACCGATGACTGTTGTGTTAGTAACTTTCGTTATTTCGTGAAATTTGAGAAGCTATCGTCAGAAAGTGTCTCAAGGTACTCAAAAAGCTAGTAGCCCAGAATAGGTAACGGGATGATACAAGGTTGCATAAACTAAAAAGACTCAGGGTCGCCTTGAGATAATTCCCATGCCTCCTAGGACATCATTTGAGCTGTTGTAAGTGGACAAGTACGTACGACTCACAGCAAAAGGTGACGTCGGGCTTGAAGCTGGCCATCGAGATGCTGCATATCATGTTATTCCGAGGAATAATATTCTGAAGCTTTTCATCATCTCTCAATAACAACTCACTCACACATCCAGGGATGCAGAGAGCAACAACCTGGGGGCGTCGTCAAGACTAAGTTTCCTCACACCGTGGCTCATAGCGAAACGAAAAGATAACAGTGGTTTAGGTCAACTAACAGCTAAAGAACCTATCTTGATTTGAGCTCAATTGAAATAACCCACTGTGACTCTTTCCAATCGTCTCTAGCAATCCACCATGATAATCGCCACCATCAGCCCACATTTGAAGCCATCATCATCGGATTGAAGCCAATTGGTAGGTGAGTACCCATCAACTTACTATCCACCGCACAAAGTGGTGTGCAACGCAATTAACTCAACACTTATCCTCCTCTTCACCGTCTCCATTCGTCTCCATTTCGTTTCTTATTCTCAACACCAAAAGTCATACCACTGATACTGTGTTTGATCACACTGTAACACACTGTACCTTTTTTGTCACGAGCAAGGTCACGTTCATCTGTGGGCCCCCACTAAGGGTCCGTGCACTCTCTGGCGACACGTGACCGCGCTAAGAGCTCGCAACCTCGCGGGCCTTGTGTCCTGTGTCGCTCTATCGTCAAGATCGAGTCAATCCAATCCCGCCCACCACAGCTCAATCTTTGGATCATCTGCCTCTCTGTCCGCATATTTCAGTCTCAGTATTCATTGGCTGCTTCAGAGATATCGCACAAAAATCAAACGCCCTACGCCCACTCGCTCTGGTATGTCATCGACCCCTTCCCCGCCCAAGGCCCAATGTCCCAAAGCGAGGCCACCAGGGGGGCCTGCGAGAGAGCAGAGCCCCCAGCCTTTGTCTGTCGCAAACAGGCACGAGGCACAAGCCCCCCAACCCCTATATCGTCTCCATTCAGGTCTTGTCTGAGACTTCACCTTCTCATAGCTGTCCAGGCTGACCAATTTTTGTTATCCTTCAGACCCTTCCGCCGTATTCAGCGCGTCGATTGCCGATATTAACCAACTTTGCCCCAACGTATGCCGTCCCATTGAGGATCCCCAATCCAGCTAGACCCCCAGAGATCCCCTCCTAACGCGGTTACATCATCAGGGAGACGAGGAAAGGAAAAAATCAACTGCACACGTTCACCTCGATCCCTGAGTCACACGAGACCCGACGTCGACCTCTAAACACCATTGACGCGGTTCATGGGCGCCTGAGGATAGCACAGCTTCTGCGCTGTCGGGATACTCCACTGTCTAAACTCGACACCTGATGCAGCTGGACCCGGCCATCGATTCCCATGCGCAAACGCGAGCTACCCTGGCTGTCCCTCATTTCCAACCTCACATAAGTTGCTGCTGCGCTCCCGGCGTCTGCTTCCAACTCGCCGCCTTTTGATTGATACGCGATTTTCCACCACGAATGTCAGGTAGATGGCCGATGGTACTCGCTATCTGGACCACCCTGTCGGAGATTTCTACCTCAACTCTCTCATATCGAAAGAAACCACCGCCAACGACGCCGCCCTACTGAACCTCCTCAGCCGCTTCGTTCCGAAAGACCCTTCTCCAAACCCTTCTTCCAACCCGAACCCACGGGCCAATCTGCTAGGGATGTTCTCCCAGAATCACCAGCAGGGCCACAACTCCCGCATCAATGGGGCTCCCGGCGGCCGGGGCATTCCCATGCTTTACAACTACCAACAACAACAGCAACAACACCACCAGACTCACCTTCAGCACCATCAGGCTGCCCAGGCGGAACATGCCGCTCACAATGGCAACGGCGGCGTCATGGGCCACCACGCGGCCTTCTCGTCCGGCGTCATAACAAATTCTAGCCCGTACAGCAACAACGCCCTCCAGAACGGCCAGGGGGGCGGCAACAGGGGAGGACAAGCGCAGCAAATTACCGAGCACTGGGCGGAGCAACTCCGACTGTTTGAGGAATCGAAGCAAGCCCACCGCGCCATGACCGAGCAGAACCAACCGCATTACTACGCCAGGCTAAAGGCCTCCGAGAATCGGGGCATCGCCGGGCCCCCACCCTCCTCAGGCAAAGCTGCAGGGGATGACGAGACGGAAGATAGAAGAAGGCCGTACAGCTTGGAAAAGATAAAGGAACGGCAGAACTGGCACAATATGGACCTCAGCGGCCAAGGACTTCGAAACCTCGCACCCGCCCTCTTCCGTTACCAATTCCTCCACGATCTCTTCATTGCTTCCAACAGGTTGCAGACCCTCCCTCCCGCCATCGGTCAGCTGCGCCAACTGAGGTATCTCAATGTCTCCTTCAACCAGATCAAATTCCTTCCTCCCGAGCTCGGCATGTGCACCTACCTCAACCAGCTGCTCCTTTTCGACAACCAAATCCAAACCCTCCCATTCGAGTTGGGCTCCCTACACCTGCTGGAGGTCCTGGGTATCGAGGGCAACCCCCTTGACTCCGATATGAAGCAGGAGATCATGGAGAAGGGCACCAAGAGCTTGATTAACCTCCTCAAAGAGCAAGCTCCAGGTAAGCTTCCATGCCACGTCCGTCTGTTCTTGACTAACTCTCCCAGTGCCACTTCCCCCGACCCCCCGAAAGCTTATCACCGTGCAGGAAGACGTAGCACCTACTTTGGAAAGAGTCAGGGTCTTCTCCTGGAACGTTCTGTGCGACAAGTACGCGACGCCGCAAACATATGGATACACGCCGACAGGTGCTTTGAACTGGGAATACAGGAAGGCCTGCATCATGGACGAGCTGCGCGAGAAGGACGCCGATCTGCTATGCTTGCAAGAAATTTCAACCGAGGCCTTCAAGGAGGAGTTCAGCCCCGATCTTGCACAGATGGACTACAAAGGCATCCATTGGCCCAAGACCCGAGCGAAGACGATGGCGGAGAAGGACGCACAAGGTGTCGACGGATGCGCAACGTTCTACAAGGCCAGCAAGTGGATTCTTCTGGACAAGCAGGTCATCGAGTTCGCTGCCATCGCCATCAACCGCCCGGATATGAAGAATCAGCACGACGTATTCAACCGCGTCATGCCAAAAGACAACATCGCCGTCGTCGCATTCCTCGAGAGCCGAGTCACAGGCTCGCGCATCATCCTCGTCAACGGACATTTGGCCTGGGAATCTGTCCTGGCTGATGTCAAGCTTATCCAGACGGGTATCCTAATGGAGCAGATTACGAAGCTGGCCGAGAAGTACGTTCGCTGGCCGGCACTTAAGGACAAAAAGCCAATCGTCTTCTCTGCTACTAGCAAGGACGGAGATGAACCGCCTCCGCCAGCCAAGGAGCCTGCGCCAAGCCAGGAGTACCGCAACAACACCGACATTCCTCTACTTGTGTGTGGTGATTTCAACTCAACAGAAGACAGCTCCGTCTACGAGCTCCTTTCGATGGGAAGAGTGCCCCCGAACCACCAAGAACTGTCGAGCTTCCAGTACGGTAGCTTCACACGGGATGGTATTGAGCATCCGTTTAGCCTGCGTGACGCCTACGCACACCTCAAGAACACCCCCGACGAAATGCCCTTCACCAACTACACTCCTGGCTTCTCTGACGTCATTGACTACCTCTGGTACTCGACCAACACGCTCGAGGTGGTTGACCTGCTCGGCCCGCCCGACGCCGAATACCTCAAGCGTGTGCCAGCGTTCCCCAACTACCACTTCCCGGCCGATCATATTCAGATCATGGCCGAATTCGTCATCAAGGCTAGAAAGGAAAAGAAGTCGCACCCGGAGCCGGATTTTGGATCAGGAAGCCAGGGGCAAGGCCGGTAGATAAGGGGTGTCTGACAACTTTCTCTCTCGGTCGTTTATGCGTTCAGGGGAATTCTTTTGCCGGAGTTTAGGATTGCGATGCTTGCGTTTTCGCGACTCGGAGGACTAGGCGGGGTGGAAGGTCTTTTTTAGGGGGAGGGAGGCGAAGTTCACACGAGATGATACAAAAAAAAACCAACGAAAAGAGGCACGGAAGGGGAAACTGGGTTCTTCGTCGTCGGAAATGCATCGTCGCGCGGGGATGGATCGGGGTGTGGGTGGATACGGCGGAGGAATGGGGGCTTTTGTAGATGGAAGGGTTTACATATTCCAACCAGCTGCGTTCTCTTGCGTTCACATATTGATCTTTTTTTATTCTTGTGATGTGACATTACATGACTTGGTACACGGACGTGACTATCTGACTAGCTACAACACGATGGGAGGTCGACATAGTTTGATGATGATGCTACGACGGTGATGCGTACTTCTTGGACAACCTTGTAACTCGTCTTCCCTGCCCATGTTTCGAAGTAGCCGACTTATAACCCTTTATTTTTACCAAACATCAAGCGCCCTAAGGCGCGAGGCATGGTGATCTCGGATCGTTCGGCCGATGATGCAATCCCAACTTCCATGTGGTCCGCGGCACAGCTTAACAAGCTTTTCCTGTCGGCATTGTCGACCACAAAGTCACAATTAGTAACCCACACCATGTCGGCCGGCCTTACTTGCATTTCCTACAAAAAGAGACACCCGCGGCCACGAAACGCCCCGGAAGGCTTTGTCCTGGATCTGATTAAGCGCTAGTCCAAGCTGTCGGAAGCACGCCACTGGGTGTCTGGTAGTAACATCTGTCATCAATATTCTACTGGTACTTTACCGGTTTCGCTAAACTCGCAATTTTTTGTTGCAATATTTGAAATATTCAACTCGTATCCTCACCAAGGATATTTTTGTGCCAACCATCATCAGGGGTCGTGAGAGGAGGTCCCATTGTTCGGAGATAATGGGCCACGAAAGCAGATCGCAAGGTTCTCGTATGCTTTACCCGCCCCTTAGGTACCGAGCCGACTAGTGCTGACATGTATAAGGTAGCTAGATAGGTTTTCATATGAGGTACTGAAGAGAGAGGCGGTCGTGGTGATAAGTCAAAGGCCCACCGAGAAAACTGGACGTCAGCCAAGGCGAGAACAAGTCTATGCAATAGGCCAGTCTACAGGGCATTTATCGGCCCCAAGTCGACCACTTTTGAAAGAGTAACGTGATTTTGGTAAGCAGTGTCCCCTATGCGCTCGTATGGCTGAAGTCGCACAAGCACAGCTTGGCCGTCTCAGTACGGGGCGTAATGTGGGAACGCGGCCAAGTGCTTATATCAGATTACGCTGACACGCAAGCTGCCAGTAGGAAGGGATCTCATCCCTGACGTTCCGAAGTATAGTGACGCCTGTTGACGGATGAATGGATTTAAAAACAACTGCACGCCCGTCAATAACATTATCTTGTTCTCCGTTTTGAGGGTTTGCCGGCTGAAAAGAAGTACAACGTTTTTGTAAACACAAGGTGCCTTGCTTCCTTTGACCTCAAGCACCGAGATCCCCAGGACTCGAAACAAAACCAAAAATGGCATCGGAAAGATACCTAGTGACAGGAGGCTGCGGCTTGATCGGCAGCCACATCGTCGAGAAGCTCCGACAAAAGTACCCCGATGCCAGGGTAGCAGTTTTCTCGCGCAATCCGACCACAAACCTCTTCCCAGGCGTATCCTACCACGCCGGCGATATAACCTCGACAGATGACGTGAAAAAGGCCATCCAGGAAACAAAGCCGACGGTGGTGTTCCACTGCGCGGGGATGATGACCGTCGGGCGGAAAAACATGACGGACGAGCTCGTGAGGGCCATCAACCTCGACGGGACACGGTACATGCTAGATGCCAGCAAGGCGGCCGGCGTCAAGGCTTTCGTGACGACGAGCAGTGCTAGCGTGGTGCAGAAGGAGATGTACAGGGATATTGAAGGAGGAGATGAGACGATGCCGCTCGCTGAGGAGGGCGATGATACGCTGATATATCCCAAGTCCAAGGTCTGTTGTGCCAATTTCATACTCCAGTCAAGATATGGAACGTAACATATGATGTGATACTAATAGCTATTTTTTTCTATAGGCCGCCTCAGATAAACTGACGCTGGAGTACAACGACCTCCAAGGAATGCGCACCTGCACCCTCCGCCCCGCCGCTGTCTACGGCGAACGGGACGCTGATCTCACGCCCAAAATGATCGGTACCATGCGTCTCGGCCGCACCAAGGTGCAAATAGGCGACAACTCGAACCGCTTCAGCACGACGTACGCGGGCAACGCGGCGGACGCGCACCTCGCTGCCGCTTCCAAGCTACTCGACGCACCCGATGGCGTGGCAGGGGAGGCCTTCTTCATCACCAACGGCCCGCCGATGAGATTCTGGGATTTCAGCAGGGCCATGTTCAGGGCTGCCGGAGACCAGACGAAGCCCGAGGAGATCAAGGTCGTGAGTCTCACTGTCGCGTTGGCATACGCCTGGGTCATGGAGTGGATCTTTTGGTTCAGGGGGGAGTTGCCGCCTATGAACAGGCAGATTGTACGGTTCTCGTGCATGAGCCGGTGGTATGTCATTGATAAGGCACAGGAGAGGCTCGGATGGAGGCCGGAGGTTGGGACTGAGGAGGGCATTCGACGCGCTGTGGAGTGGTTTTATGAGAATGAGAAGAAACAGGCGGCGAAGAAGACTGCGTGAGGTTTTTGTGAAGATGTATTGGTGTGTTGGGTAGATGTCTAAAAACGGTGTATAATGACTGATGTTACGTCTTTGCTTCGGTTTAACATGGATTCTTATACGTCAGCCTTCCATCCCTGATTCGGACCCGGATTCCCCACGATACTCGTCGCTTGATGAACGAGCTTGAAACTTATTGACGTAAGACTTGTTATAGTCAGTTTCGATATATTTCGCCTTTTTCTGCAGAATTGTCACCTTAGACATTGTGGCTTCTAAGAACAGCGACTGCCCTGTCCAACTTACTGCCTTGTAAATTGCCTTCCAGGAGGCTCCTCTCCTCTGATGATGACTAGAAGTCAGCCGAGGACCTGTTTCGTCCTCAATTTCTGAAGTTGAATCGTCACTTGGTTTGTCATGCCATGAGAGCCATTCCGGATCTCGTGCTAATGGATTCCCTTGCAGTGGAAATCTAGAGGCATAATCTTCATTCGCGTCAAGCTCTGTATTTAAATCAATCATTTTGGTTAAATTCCGATGTCTTCCGACACATTCATAAATGCAGAGCAGTTCGATCTTCGTATCCCGGGTTTGCAAGTGTTTCCGCCCAAGAAACTCGGTATAAATTTGCTCGACATCCTTCATAAGAGCAACCGCTCTTGTGATATCTTTCTTACTCCTGAGGCTTTTTATTGCAATGCCAATTGCGAGCTTCTTCATGTTATTCACTGTCTCACGGTTCTTTAGACCCAGGACGGTCTTTTGAGCCTCGATCAAGGTCTCACGAATCCTTATGGCTGAATCACTTGTCGAAGGTAATTTTGAAAGGTCAGCTGCCAGAAGCGATAGGGTTTTCAGAATGCCTGGATCGAGCCGTGGGAGGCAAGCGAATTGCCTTTTTAATATTAATTCTCTACTGTTAATGGTAGATGTATCCGGAGTTAAGGGATAACAAGACACCAGATTGTTTGAGAGCTTGAATGTCACTGGATCGTTTGGTCCATAATACTCCTCAGCCGTTTTCACAGCTCGTTTTCTCATCATGATAGCTTCATCTAATCGTCTGGTTTTGGTAAGAATATTAGCAACATTACCTAGTGAAGATAGGTAACCCAAAACATGGGCAAAGTTACCCGTGAACGCGGCACGGTTTTGTGTCTTGACAGGGGGCGTATGCTGTTGGAAGTGGCTTGTACGAATCTTGAGGACGTCGTTTTGCTGCTCTAGAGCTCTAGACCACCGATGAGCCGCGCTGTAGCTGTGACCCAGATTAACCTTGGTTTCGAGAGTTTGTGGATGAAGGTCTCCGAATGCTTGCCGCCAAGTCCTAACAAGTTCTTCTCTCTGCTGACATATCTCAAGCAGTTCATATCGACTGGCAGCCAATGAGCCCTTAGTTCCTAAGAGTCTGTCTTGTGCTAGCCAGGTGTCCGGATGCTGAGTGCCAAGAATCGAAAGCCTCCCATCATACACCTCCTGTCGTAGACGAAGAGCCTCGAGAAGTCGGCCGTACCAGTGGTAGCTGTCGGCCAGGGCATTCGTAGAAGCTAAAATGTCGAGCCGTTCTACTTCTGAAATATCACTCTGTGCCCCCGTTTGTGTGTAAACATCCTGCCGCATTTGAAGAGCCTGAAGCCTTTGATCCGTCCCGTGGAGATACTCTGCAACCTTTCGTCTGGTGCGGCGCAATCTTGGATCCCCAGCAGCTAAGTATTTTTCACGGAGGTGTAAAACCTCTTGCGCTTTCTTGAGGGCTTCTTTGCGTTGCCCTGTCGCCCACAAACTGTCTGCCAGGTTCATAGCCGCCGCACAACGCTCTCCGACGTTTGGTTGCGCTGCCTCTGCCAGTTTGTCGACAATGAATCGGCGGAGATTGCGTGCTTTCCAATGTTGGCCCAAATGGGTTTGACAGGCGGCCAGCTGCTCCATGACTTGTAAAGACGTCGAGTCTAGCACGCGGCCACTGCCAGAACGTTTCAAAACCAGCGGACAACCTTCGTTTAAAAGATTCACTGCGTCGTTGAAGTGACCTGTAGCTGAGTATGCTTTCGCGAACAAAAGGAGGATTTTTGCCCCAATTTGGCGGTTCTCTTCGCCTGGCTCCTGGACAAGGATCTCAATCCTACCGGTTATACACGCTTTGATGTGAGGAAGGAGGGACTTTTGTAGGTCAAACCCAGAAGGATCATCGATCCAAGATAGTGTAGCTTTGATTCCGGATAATGCTGTGGCAATGATTGAGGCCGCACGGAAAGCATGCTTCTTTTTCTCTTCAGAAGACATGGACTCTTTGCACATCGTATTAACAAGGTTGTGCATTGAATATTGCCGGCTGCCCCGAGAAGCAAGGTTGAGTAGACTGTAACGGCAAAGTGTTCCAAAGGCGGCTTTCAAGATAGGCGTATCCCAGCGAGAACTCTCATGATTTAAAAATGTTATAGCTCGCGATAAAGGAGAGTCGTTCTTCATGTTCTGCCAGGCCTCCTGAAACATATGCTCCGAAATCGCATCGTGATGTAAAAAGCTCAAAGTTCGAAGCAGTTCAACTGCCTCAACAGAACATATTTCCGGTAAACTCTGGATTCGGTAGAGAGACAGTGTAAAAGTCTTCCAAATCGGCTGACGGCGGCGTGACCATTGCTCAGGTTGATCATCGTAGGACAGCGGAGCCTTAGGCGACTCACTGAACTCTCTGCAATACTCTGCATACGTGCAATATTTGTTAAATATGTAGGAGCCGGCCTGAGCAATTGCTAAAGGGAGGCCACCTAGAACCTTCACTGCAAGGGTTCTAGCCGCATCGATTTCGCCAGCGTCCAAATCTGTTCCCGGCCTTTTGTACTTCATCAAGAGATTTACTGCTTCTTCGTTACTCATGACATCGATTTTGCAGAATGTGTGACCGCACATAGCATATCGTTCGTCTGTAGTTGTTATCAAGACAGTGCCAGGGCCACCTGTTGGGATGTACCTATCCATGTATAGGTTAGTGGAATCGGCATTGTCTACCATGAGTAGCCATGGATCCTTTTGACAAGCCAGCCAGGCTCTCGTTATTCTTATTTGTTCGTCCAATTCAATACCTTCCCAGTGATTCTGAACATGGCAAACGCGGGATATGTCCAAATAATTACGATCTGCGGTTGCGTCGTTGCTGGCGTCTATATAGAAAATCCCTCGAAATCTGCACCAGTCAGCACAAGACCAGACATGATGCTCATCTCTGACGCATGATTGGTTTCTGTATACCTTTTCTCGTTTTCAGTAATTGCGTGGAGACACATTTGACTTTTTCCAACACCGGAAAGACCATATATCACAACGGTTTGCGGGGTTCTTCTATCAACAGAATGCCACAGCTCGCTGTCTGGGAGAAGTTGCGATGGGGTATCGTTACGTTTTAAAAACCTTGCAGTTAACCCGGGTCGCTCGTTTTGGCACTCTGGCCATAGTTCATTTGATGTGTCAGGTCTCGTGAATGAGTCGGTGCTCTCTGAAGTTCCTGTATCTTGGCTCATCCGATGATGGAGCATTGCCCGTCGACCCAGCGGGGCTTCACGGTTATAATCTTCTATCTCGTCTCTATGCCGTTTTTTCCGCTGACCGTGCGATGACGACTGAAAAGCTTCTGAAAATAAAGGGTTATCCTGAATGGAACCAACGGTCTGAGAAGTATCTAACGCCAGATATTAGCAAAAACGACTTCTTCGTTGAAGACGATTCTTCCTTACCCTTTCTTGCGTAACTCAACCCATCTCCCAATTCTGGAAGGATTTCACGAAGTATCGCCTTGGCGTACGCGGCTGCCATGGCAGCGGCATATGGCTGCCACTCTTTATTCTTATGTTCGTCTCCATAGTCACACACCCCTCGAATGACACCAACAGGAATGCGGTTCATTGTACCTGCTGCTTCCATCTCGAGTCCGATGACGTTGTACTTATCTCTAAGTTCATTTCTTTGTCGAGCGTTCCTCATAAGCTTCTCACCAGAACCGATAGGGCCGTACCACACTCGGGTGCGCTTCGACGATGGTCGGGCTGGTCTCTGCACTTCTTCTTCCTTGCCTCGAGAATTGATATCAAAAAGCTTGTCTTTATGCTGTCCCGGATCCGTGAAGTTGCCCGTGGCATGTTCCTGGTGCTTCATCGCCTCATAATATGGCAAGAAAACTTCAGCGTCATTCGGAACATTCAATTTGATGCTGCCGATGGCGGACCTCACAACTGTCTCTGTATTGGCCAGTACGTGACCGAAACGTAAAGGCTGGAAGCCGTCTGCACCGGTCTCTTTTCCCAAGTCATATGCAACCAACCCAGCACTCTCACCATCGGGAAGGGCCACAAGTACATCTCCAAGTCGGATGTCCCGCGTTGGGGTCCGAGCAAAGTTCGGAAGACCAGCAGCGACGCCAACAAGTAGCCCAAACCAAAGATGGGGGAACGATTTTCTAACCTGGCTGGCAAGAGCTGCCGCCGACCCTGTACCGTATTCTTGACCGGCAGGCAGGGTCGCAACGACAACGTTGTGTCCGCAAATACACCCCGCATGAAAGACGTAGTCATCTCCGCGGGAGATTGGAAACCGCCCATGGTGCCTCTGGTCCAGCATATGCAGGGCCGCCTGAGCCTCGATTTCGAGAGGGGCAATCCATGCCACTGTGTAGAGGTTGCGGTCTAACTCAGCCATGGAGTGGTCCGCCTCGACCGTTGGCTATTCTGTTGCCTTCAAGATGGTCTTACGCCGTCGAAGGCTGCTGAATGACAAGTCAACCGCTTTGCCTGACGAAGCTTAGATCTTGACCCAGCCTGATTCTAGCACCTCCACATAAGCCTGCAGTTACATAATCGCGATATGCAGCCCTCACTGGGATACATATCATGTGACCTGTGACTTGTCTTTTTTTGCTGCTTGGCTTGAGACAATTTGCGGCACAGCTTGACCCCAAAAAAGAAAGCCTGTTGCGTGCTTAAGCCCACTGCACCCAAAGCCACTGCAAATAAGAGTCAAATGGCCAAAAATCAATATTTTAAAAGAGAAAAAGGTAAGAGATGGTAGTTTGCCATAACTTTGAGCTCTTGAATATGATTCGATAAGGAGCGTGGAGTAGATTAAAGACCATAGTCAAATCCAGGGTGCTGCGCACTCAGCAAGTACTACACTTTCTTCTTAGTCTTCAACCTTATATGAGACATCAAACAAAAAAAGTGAAAGTGGGCACATGTTCTGCTCTCTTGATACATAAGACATACAGGAACGATAGGAACAACGGCTTGCTGAGCTATTGTTCGCTGCTCTATAGACGAGCCAATGTCTCGAGGAAAGCTTTTGCTAGTTGCACACCACCACGCCAAATCTCGTTGTGCTGGCCGTCTAACTCCACAACGGCCGTCTTTTCCTCTAGCTCAGGCAATGTTCCCAGCGTGGTTTCGATGGCTTCCACCTGATCCCATGGCACGAGCCCATCATTCCTGCTGTGCGCTACTACAAACGCTTTCAAATTCAAAGCGGCATAATCCTTAGGGTCTACTTTGGCAGGACTTGCGTCTAGAAGCTGATCCTTCCTCATAGCATTCAACACGAGGTAGTCATAGTCAGGGTGGGTAATATGCAATTGTGGAAAGTCGTAGATTCCGCTGACACCCAACACAGCCGCCGGCTTTGGGAGCGACTCATCTTTGAGGGTTTCCAGAATCGTCAAGTATGAGATCTGTGCGCCAACGGAGTGGCCGCCGAGCACATACTTCCCATCAATAGGGTATCGTTTGCCTAGGTCCTTGATTGCAGCGACGGCGTCATTTAGATGATCAGGCCACCTCGCGTTCTGCAACTCATGTGGCGGCGTATTGTTGGGCTGGACGCCTGGAAGAGCCGAAAGGCGATAATTCAGCGATGCAATACCAGCGATACGATTCGAAAGAGTGTAAGAGCTGTTTGCCTCAAGAGAAGCGATGGCTGCTTCGATGGTTGTCGAATTCTGGGCGAAGTCACGGTAAAAGCCTCCGTGGAGGTAAACGATCCAGTATTTGTCGATTGCTGATCCGGAATCCGTGGAAGAGGGAATGTAAACGTCGTACGACTGAAGGATATTAGATCCGTACGAATAGCTCGTCGTCTTGGCTGAGGAAGCCATTGTAGTTCCAAGTAGAAACAGCGGAATGAAAGCAAGTAAGTAATGCATGGTGCTTTATACTTTCAGGCTCACAAACATGTTCCGAAGAAACGAAACGAGATATTGGTCTAGATATAGCATTCTCCTTATTGTATCTACTTGTCCCTGAATGGAGGGTTGCACTTACCTTGTAAGACTAGGCTTAAATCGTAGGATATGCCCGACAAGGGTCCATTGCTGTTCATTAAAAACCAATGAAACCTATCGCTACCTCAAAGAAACCTGCAGATGCCACTACTTTCTCTGTTCTTGGCTATTTTACTGAGCGGGTACTGATAATGCACAATGCGGGTATCGGAAAGACGGCTAATGCAGCTTGCGGATATGTTATCGTAGATCCGTCGCATATCAATAGATTATCGGAGACTAAGTCCCACATGGTGCTGATGCCGAGAATGATATCGTTTTCCCCGGGAAATATCTCCAGCGGCTTTGATAGATTTGGTGAAGAATATTTCGCCATCGACAAATCACTCACTTGGCTTAAGACATTCTGCCTCGAATCAGGGTGGGTCACTGATAGTCTCTATCATGGTGAAGTACCAGACACCATTCTTGGGTGCTGCCGAAGATAAAGATAAAGAAACGTGGTGACTAAGAAAGCGAGGTCTGTGAAACAAACCCAGTCTTCTCTTACTGGAAACAATCGACATCTGCGCAACTGTTGTCTGCCATAATATGGAGTACAGCTTTTGAACTTCCGTTCGAAGCCTCCTAGCCCTTTCCATGTTGGCCGCACCCATGAATGGCGATCTCCTGCCCAGATTCCCTATTGCTTTCTACTTCACCCATTCAACGTCCTTCAACAAATACCATCTGGCAACGGCGTCGTGCTTATTGGGCGTGTTTGTTTCGGGCTCTCCTTGTACTATAAACTAGATGACACCTGTTTCATAAGTCCGAACGCGCGAATCATGGTCGACCTTTGACCCAGGGACAGTAACATGGCCTTTTTAGTGGCTTTGGTAAACCAGGGATGTGCCACCCATGGTGATACGTCAGGCTTGGTTAAATGCTACGCTAATATCCACGTTGGGACAACAATGAATGGCGTGATATAGAAGTTAGCTCCAAGCTCATTATACGTAGAATGATATAGATGGCTATGTTCTACTCAAGCAAAACCTTGAAAGCTGCATCTAGTTCGCCAAGTGCCTCTTCAATATTGGAGCGACGTTGCTGAACCCAATTCTCTAAACCTTCCAGCGCATGTTTGGAGCTCTCTATCATACGTTCCATCTCTTTGGGCTGCGGACCACCCGATGTAGCTCGCCGCTTGATGATGGATGCTGGGTCAAGAGCCCCTCGAAACTCCTGCTCACTCATGAATTCATAGCCGTCACTATCCAGCCCTGCGTGTCTTAGTGCATTTGAGAATATTTTCGCAGCTTCAGTGTAAGGGAAGTTGCTTGGATATAAATCTTCAGCTTTGGCGTATCTCACAACCTCCGAAGCAAAATGGTGTCCGACGCGGAACGGAACGTTGTGCTCGCGCATCAGAACATCGGCTAGCTCCTGAGAAGCTGTCCAGTCCAAGTCCAGCTCTTTGAGAGCGCGATCACCGTCAATGACCAGAGCGTTGAGAATCCTATGCCAGTCACCCAACACCTGAGTCGCGCCGTTGATAACTGCCAAGTTGTCCGCAAGTCCTTTGGCGTCAAACATGCCGGGTGGAAGGTTATGGCCCTGAATGGCTCGACCGACTCCCAAAGTAACAACTCTCGATGCTTCAGCTCGGGTTCTGATAAGAAGACCTGGATTCCGCTTTTGCGGCATGGCACTAGAGACATAAGTGTTTTCTCCGCCCTCTTGAAGAAGGATCCAAGGCTTTGGTTGAGCGTATTGTACCATGACATCCTGAATGTAAGATCCCGCATGGAGAGCGATCTGTGAAGCGATGGAACCAATCTCCACAGGGAGCTCTGCCGCAGATATCTGAGCTGCGTCATAAGCGTTGTCGACGATGGCGGCAAAACCAAGAAACTTCGCCATACGCTGGCGGTTCAGTGGCCAGCTTGTTCCGTTGAGGACGGTGGTACCCATCGCGCATCTGTCAAGTCTGACGTAGAACTGCTGGAGGCGTTCTGCATCCCTATGGAGGCCGGCTATGTGCCCCAGTAGATAGTGGCCATAAGAATTAGGCTGCGCTGCGACACCGTTGGTGTAATTCGGCACAAGTGTTGAGCTATGGGTTTCTGCCAAATCAAGCAAACGGGCCGTGGTCGTGCAGAGTTGTGAAGCCAGCTTCAGAACGGCGTCGCGAAGGATGGCAGTCGATGCAGTTGTGAGCATATCTTGACTTGAACGTCCGGCGTGAAGAAGGGTTGCTTCGATTCCCGCAGCCTCAATGAGCAATGGCTCGAATGTAATGACGAGAGATGGGCGTGGTGCGTTTTCTTTTTTCCCGGACTCCAGTAGTTTGTTAAGGCCCCGAGCAATGCGACGAGCTACTTCAGGGTCCAGCAGACCTTCATCTGAGTTGATGACAGCGCTTGCCTTGTTCATCTCTCCAAGCCAAAAATACGAGTCCCTGCCCGGGACGGGCAGGTCTTCGGGGTGGACCGTGGTGCTCATGTGAAAACTCTGTTTGTCGCAAAATCGAATATGTAGAACATAAGACAGACAAGCCACTACTTTGTCATGGGTATCTGTTGCTTACAATAAAGATGAGGTGTTTTTAAATCAGAACGAGGTTACAACTAGGAAGGTAAATGGAAGAGATAAGCATAGCGGGGAAGCATCCGAGTGGGGCCAAAGCTACTGACGCATCATGTATCTGGGACTGTTGGTTCTCGGTGCCGATTCGGTGGCCAATGGGGCCACTTCGACTAAGATGAAGGCTACCTTGAGATATGACAGGCCTGACCGAAACAAAGTCATGGGACACTGCCGGACAAAGCAACAAATGATACGTATATATAGGTGTATATATATATGTTGTGGCTGCTGACCATTACCAGCCAATTTCAACAATGTTGCCGCCAAGTAAGCTGCTGAGATACTGTGTAGTTGAAGTTGGTAATGAAGAAGGATTGAGTTGCTTTGTCTACACAACACTCTCGGCTTACACGATTCGTGTTTCTGACCTGTGTTCTCTCAGCTAAGTACATAACTCGGTTCCTCAAATAAATGGGCGTGGCCATATTAAGTCAGGTATATATCATTATATTGTGCGTTACCGTTATCTATTGAACAATGCTAATTAAATCTTTTGTTGTCTCAAACAACAGTCGAACAGCTGCCTTAAGCTTTCATGAGTTGTTACCAGTGGCAACACCCCAGAAGTAGGCTGCCCAAGCACCAAGAATCAACAGAATCAAAGCGCCGAAGCAGACCTTGGAGATCAGTTTGTTACGTGCCCCATTCTCTTCATGGAAGGCCCTCTTTCTTTCATTCCACAATTCGCCATTCGCAATGCGCTTCTTCCTAGTCCACTGCAAGTTGCCCAAGTCAACGGACCACCAGGAGAGCAATATTAGCATTACGGAGACCAGCACAGATGCGGCAGCCAGGATGACGTAGACAATGACAACGTGATCGTAGCTGTCATTATCCGCATCCTGAATCGCACCGGTAACTACGCGAACAATGATGTTCATCCTGCATACCAGTTAGACGTGTTTTTACAGTATACTTAGTGAGGTGGCTTACGCGTTGTTCATAGCAATTTTAACGGCATAGGCAGAGCCAAACACAGACCCATGCCACATCGACGTACGGATGCTGTCAATGATGGTAGTAGGGCCAAGCGTAGATGAAATTGCATAAATTCCGAAAGCAGCAGCAGTTCCGGCCCTGTCCGGCGCCCAGTTGACCAGAGCCATGGCCAAGAAGACTCCCGTACCGCAAATAGCGACTACAAGTTGGTCAGTCCTATTTCTTCTTTCCGAGACAAAAGGTGATTTACTTACGCAACGTAACGCGGTTGCCCAAAATATCGATGAAAGCACCGATACAAGGCACCAGGAAGAAACCGGCGTACTGCAGAGTCGCAGAGTACCAACCCGCGGTGACAGAACTGATCTTGAATCTCTTCTCAGCCAGCTCTGTGGCATTCTGGGTGAAAACGACTGCAGTGCTCGTCTGAAACAGAGAAAATGCCATTACAGCCCAGAAAACCCAAGGCAATTCGAGGATCTTCTTGTGCTGGAACTTCTTGGACTTTTCAGTCAGTTTCTCGCCGGTGGCTGGGTCTCTGACATTGCCCAACTTCTTGTGAGCGACGGTGTTGAAACGGTAGAAAACCAGAGTCAGGATGTTGGTGAAGATGTTCATGAAGACAGAGATCCAGAAGACCCAGGCAAAATTGCCGGTATTCTTAGCGATGATGTTGGCCGAGGACTTGCCGACGAAACCTCCAATCTTCTTGATACCAAGTTCAAGACCGAGCGTCGAAGCGAATCCGTTGTTGGGAGAAAACCAAGAGCTGAATACCTTGTACTGCGCAACTTGGGTGGCGATGTCTCCGAGAGCGAGGATAACTCGGCCACCGATCATGAGCTTAAAAGAGCGAATCTGGGCAGCGGCAGCAACAAGAATGGAGCCGATCGAGTAAATGATGTTGCCTGTTGCTTTGTGAGCACGTTGGTTCTCATCGCGCTTGACTTTGTTGAGGCAACTCACCATACAACATAGCACCAGCTCCTCCGATCCTGTCCGTCACAATACCGCTCGTCAAAATAAGCAAAGTGACCATGAAATCCTCACTCGCTTCCAAAAGCGAGAACTGCTTGTTGTTGATGTCTAGCTCCTTCTTGAGCGTCGACTTGAGGGCTCCAGTGATGCCTGAACTCCATGATGAACCGAAGCTGATACACGAGATAAGGATGACGGCAATGAACTTCCAATACAACGGTGGGAGTGGCTTGTCGCTTTCGGAAGAAATCGAAGGCGACACCTCGGGGAGCTCGTTAACGGTGTCTTTGAGATGCTTCTCCCTGTGGGACTCGACGTCTGTATCGGTGTGGGTCTCCATTTTTTCCAAAGGTTCCAAACCCTCGGGAGCAGTCTGCTGCAACGGCTAAGGAGAAAATGAGACAACGGAATGACTTGAATGCAACCATCAAAGCTAGCATGTTTACTTCCTTTATCTATCCATCTTCGGACAGTGTCCGACAACCTGAAAAAAGGGTCGGGTTCGGGTCCGATCGGAGGGGCGAGAAAACGTAAAAAACACGCAAAAGCGGTCTCGAAAACGGAGATGTTGCGCAGAATTTTCTTGCCCATTCAAGGTTTTCCGTACGCTAGCGTGCCAAGCCTCACGATGTCCTCGGAGCAAGTAACATCTGATAAGATTAAAACGGTAACGAACGTGGACTATGAGTCAAGGATATCCTAGGGTCGAGCCAATCCCTTAGCTAGAAAGCGTTCGTGTAGTCCACAGTGGGGGGATTGCGAAGTGGAGTTCCGCGCGTGTCGAGAGTAGTTCGCAGCTTCGAGAACTGCTAGGTGTCGTCTTCTCGGTGACATTCTCGGCTAGAACGCCGCTGTCATAGTGTCTGGAAGAGCTTAAAATGAGGGCCTTGATCGGACTACGAGCCAACCTAGGCCTAAGTTGTTACAGCCGTGTGCCGATTAACTCAGCAGCAGGCCCAATTCACACAACTAGTGATGGGGAAAACTCTTCATCATCTGTACACATAATATCTTTAAAGAGCCGTCTGGCCTAGGCAAAACGGGCCTTCGTAGCGAATCGGCTATATGCTACGTCTTGAGGATGTCATCAACCCACTAACCACTGATAACTTGACAGGAGGCTTGCCAGTGGATGTGGAACACATTGCCGTTTCTCACCACCTGGCAAGACTCCACTGGGAATCTGATAAACTGACAGTACATCACGACTTCACGATAGCAGTCTTCACCATAGCAAATTGACCTTGTAAGTACCGCAATACAAAGTAAGTATCTGCTTTCGCGGTATGGCAACCATGTAACTTTAACGTGCGCGCCTACTTAGAATGATCTTTCAACAGCGTCGACTTGTATCTGTAAAATGAACGTTTTATCAGTTTCTCTTATTCTGACTTGGAAAGCCTCGTTCCCTGCTAAAACTGTTGTTGTAACTATTTGAACGATCATACCGCAATCCTGTTGGATATTGATCACGTTGATTGAACACTTATTGTCAACGAGAAATGACTACTTGTTCTTTCTTGATATCATCGAGCAATTGTTGCATTAGACTCAGTCACTTAGGTACACGCAAATCAGCCGCCGCCTTAAGGTTACGCTCTCCAAGTGGTCTCGAGTCATCAAAGATGATAAACACCTGCTGGTATCCCATTACGTGCAAGACTGATCAAGCAGCTACTTAACTTCTATCCGTACTGTGAGACCTTCTTGTCTTACAAACTCATATTTTATGGTTTCGAAGACAGCTGCTCTGAAGTGCCACAATGAGCAAGAAGTCTTTGGGGGAAGTGTGCTGGCTCTGCTTCAATCGTATAGCCAACTACGGCATCTGGCGTGAGCGGAATTTCTTAGACCTTCCACAGAGGCTCCGTTAATTTATTTTCGGCTATAAAATTCTCTTGAAAATGGAAATGATACATGTTTTGCCTGCGTCTGTCCTTGCCGAGGTTCTTTTTCCTCTCGCTCAGATTCTAGGCGAAATACTGATGGCGTTGGAAACGAATGATTAAACAGGCTGTTCTCAGTTTTTCTCCATCTAACTTATCAAAGCTGGTGTAAGTGAGTTTCTTCCCTGGCATTAAAGTGGCAACGAAACTTAAGGCGGCCTAGACGTGCTTGGCAGGGGATGTCCCTCTCAGTAACCGGAATACGGAACGGGAGTACTGGATTGCTGACAGGCTATCTCAATCGGACTACTTTATTTGACTTGACGGAGTCGCCAAGGATGAAAATTGTTTCTAAAACAGCTGAGATGGAGATGCCTCTGGTGTTTCTTCATATGTTTTCATCAAGGAAGACGAACCATTAATGTTTCGATTTCCGATTCCCTATCACCCTTCTTATTATTAGTTTTGCAACAGCCATCATATTTATCTCCAAAGAGTTCCTTGCTGTCATGTATTGCTTAGGGCTCGCGGTGACTTGGGAATTTCAGGACTGAAGGTTTTGAGGGTTTACCATCGCAGCGAAAAAGAATTACAGATATACCATGATTATTCACAATGGGAGAAAGCCACAACAGTACCTTGTGTCCCAAAACTCTTCCAACTTGCATTCTTGGCTCCCGGAATTGCTGGTTACTTTCATCTTCTCTTCCCCGTGGCGCATGCTCTTGCGGATCCCCAGAATCTTGTCAGTGCGGTCGGTGGGGGCAGTGACAGATAGAATCTCCGCCATATGTGTCTCAGGGGCAGTATGACAAAATCCTGATTTTGACTCTTTGTTAACGGCCCCGTAGTTTGATATCCGAGAATCAATGTCGTCAAAGTTTGAGGTGAGACAGTGGATGTTGAAGCGTCTCTGCAGCGGGATGCTGCCGCAAGTTTCAAGCTTAAAGATGCGGGGACTCGCCATCGACGTTGTGATTGTGGCTGATCTGGGCAGGGTAACAGTCGAGGCTGAGTCTGACTTTATTGAGACATGTCAACGGCGTTGGCTTGAGATAGTCGGGAAAGAGATAGGTGAATAGTGGACATTACAACAGAAATCGACAAGCTATAAAAGCTAAAAGGCAGTAAGAAGGCGGCAATTGAGTAGTACTGTCTTGTGAGGATCATTCAAGAGTGTCAAGGTCGAGGAGGTCAACGAACCCCATGCCGTCGGAAGGGAAGAACCATAGACGGCGAGAGTGACGACGATGACGGTCTGGGATGGACAAAGTTCCGGAAGGCGGCGGATGAGAGGAGGCTGAATAGATTAAGTGTCGCCCATCTTCAGTATACTAGTATGTTTCGAGATCTTTCTGGTCGCTCAGATGGAAGCCGTGAGGGTAGTTCTGGCACGTAAAAATCGCATCTTTCCTCTTAATCTTATCAGGCTCACTTCTCCAGCTAGGGGCTATCCTAGCAGCTGAACTGAAGATGCAGCCTTCTCTGGATGCGTGCCCGAAAGTAAGCATCACTCCAGGTACAATTTGTAGCTTGGTGCTGATGTAGTGAAATTAGCTAAATGTCCTCATACGTTTTTCGGCATATCCGTTACCAATCGAACACATAATTGCCCAATGGCTTCAAAATTTGGGAACAAATATGACCCAAGGCGGCAGATGAACTTTTGCAAATATTCTCCTTTGTGCAAACCGCTCGTCACAAAACAAAAGGATCGAATTCAAAATTCCAGGTATCTATACATTAAAACGATGTAACAACATGTTCCGCCAGGTTTTGTAGTTTCATAACTGCATCGAAAACCATTGGCAACAGCCAATCAAGCCTTAAGAAGTCTGTTGAACAATATCTGTCCGTACGAAGATCTTATCTGTTGATGCGGCATCCCGAGTGACATGACCCTCCGAGCCGCCATGAAAATATCCCGAGTGTTTCCGCTCACTCTTTTTTCTTCCAGGATGCTGACTTCCCTTATCTTCCATCTTGTTCATCTCGAAATTTTCATCCGAGTCACTCATAGCTATGAACCCTTCTGGATCGCGCGAAGGATGTCTTGCAGCTGAAATCAAGGTTCGAGGACCCGTTACCCCAGACCTGCCTCCATTGTAATACTTCGAGTTCGGGTCGGTGCGGCCGGCGCTCGATCGTAGGGTGCTGATAAATCGACCGAAAATTCGGTCAAAGACGGGGCGGAGAACGGGAGAGGATGAAACCATCAATGCGACGCCGATTTCAGCTGATGCCCATATCATGGCGGTAGGGGAAGTGAAGGAGAAGTCGAGGAAGTCGACAGCGAAGATGGAGGCAAGGCGGAGGGAGCCAAATACAATAGTCCTGGGAGTAAACGTTTAGGAAGATCCAAGACAAGAGATTGTGGGATGGTAACATACAGAATTCCGGCGCCGAATATGCTCATCAGTGCAACTCTGTGTGCTTTGGAAATTTGCAGCTTCAACACCATGGGGATGGGCAATGCAAAAATAATGACATCAACAATGAGGTCAACTACACCAACAGCTGCAAAAGCTGTGACTTGGTCTCCGCAAACACCGCCAGGGATTGTGGGATCCCACTGCATTGCAATCGGCCTACAGATGAGCAAACCTATGAGGATTGTCATGAGCATCCATGCGGTAGACAGCCCCATTGTGGCCCAAGCTGCGATCTGTTGATAGGACGTATCAGTTAGCAACTTATCAACCAGAGCCTTTGATCCTCGACATGTTTTGAAACAGGAACCAATGGCCTTAGTAGAGATTTGAATTACCTTGAATGGCTTGACAAAGAAGATACGCTGAAGCATCCAGCAAATGCTAATCTTGAGTGAACCGAGAGAAAGGGCATACACGACTTGGCTGGCGTAGCCAAACTTCATAAGCTTCTCAATATGCCAGGGTTGAAGCAGGACAACATGGTGACCGGCTCCGCCAAGAAATTGCACTGCGAAAGAAAGTCAATCGTGAAGTCTTCAGATTTGATGGCGTCGCTAACACGCCGGGGCAGAAATCATGTATTAAGTATCGGAAGCAAAACTTACTCATAAATTGAATAACCACAAATGCATAAAAAAGGATCTAAAGGTTCGAGAAATTAGTTACCGTACACAGCTGGTTCGTCACTGCCAATGCGCCTACCAGTGAAACCATGTACAGGTAATCATCGACTCCGAAGGGCACTCGGCGCATGTGTCGCGAGTATAGACGCAATCCCGTCCACATTGATACCAACACGACTAGAATGATGTTGGTATAAACGACCTGCACGGCTTCGGCAGTTGGTGCAATCGGGACGATAACCGTAGTGATCGGCTGCAGGTCTGCGGCGTCAGCCATTTTGGCTTCCAATCTGCCGGTCCTGTCAAATGGAATCGTCTCCTTTGCTGATGAGAAGACGCCCAACAGATGAAAAGTAAGGGAGAACCAGTCCCCTGGGACACATGGGCAGACGCATAGGGTTGGGTTCTACTTGTTCTTTTCGAGTTTTCCTCTCTGACAGTCGTTCGATATTGAGTAACCAATCAACCTCGGCGAAAATGGATGGTAGCGGATTCGGTTTTGCATCAAGTTCTCCTTTCCATGGTTTCCAGGCACGTGGATGCCAGCCAAACTATTCCCCTGGGTATATGCAAGTCAAAGTCCTCGATTACATGGACTGTAAGTAACCGATGCATGCGACCCTGGCCGGGACCATCGAGCTTTGGGAATGTCTACCCGTTACGGGTAGGCACACCTTGGCCACCTGATTCGCGCGTCGGAAGACACGTTGGGGGCTACCGTAGCTAAAGAAGATATGTAAAATAAGCTACCAACATCCAATACTAGGTAAGTAACGATAAACACGAATTATCTACTTTCTCTGATAGGCTTGTTGCATGTCTCTTGCCACCGGGTACACACCCGGAATAGCCGTATGATACATATCTCGACCGTTCCTTACCATCTCGGGTAGTATATGCGCCGTATTCCATACCCTAGGTATGAGAATCCGATAGGTAAGTCTGTAATTCATAAGCGTAGTGGTAAAGCAGGGATTATGACATTGCAGCGCGACCTAATCTATTCAGAGGATACGGATACTGCGCGGGATCACACCCCGAGAGTTCAGGGCCGGACTGCCAAGTGTGTTGATGGGCACATCTTGTTTGAAAGTGGCGTAATCTGGTTTGGTAAAACCTTCTCAGCTGGGACAGCCAGGTTTCGACCCCATCTCTATTCCTTAAATCGCATCAACACCCATAATTCTTCATGGCATCTCGGTAAGAAAATGAAAACTGTACAACAAGGGCCTCAAAGCAAGGGACTTCAAGCATTAGCGCAGAAGTAAAGTCGAACGATTTTCTTCAATAAAAATCCAGCAGTATCCTCGGTTGCTAACTACTCGGCACGGAATTACGGTATCAGGGTGGAACTTAACAAGGGGTGAGTCTTAGGTTGAACATGGCACAATCCTTGAGTGGGACGGTTGGACAGTGGATACCCGGAGGTTTGGATTGAAAATGCTTTCATTACCGATTCTGTGACCAAAGGTTCCTACTGCAATACCACAACAGCCGCCCATGTAAAGAACGAGATCGAGAGGAGTCATATCACTGTAAGTTTATCTCAGCTTTTAACATAGAGGTAAAAACCCCAACGTCAAAGCGTTTACCCAAAATGGCGATCCAGCTAGAGATAGCATTGCAACGTAAGGTAAAAATGCGCGCTACTCCATATTGCCCCATAGAACTTCCACAAGTCGTTGTTGTAAGCGGGTCCTCGTTGGATCTAGCATGAGTCGTGGCTCATTTTTCCCAAATAAACCCCACATACCGAGTCGATTAGCCCAGACTGTCGTCTATTTTGGACCCGTACGCTTCGATCCTTTGGGGTAATGAGAGTATGTTGTCCCACCGGCCTGAGCCCGGAACTAGGCCTGGATGCCCCTCTTCAAGGGCTAAAAGCCCAGGATATGAATTCCACGGAGCGCCAACGGCGTCTATTACTTTCTGACCAACGATAACCTGTAAACGCATTCCGCATTGTCCGAAGCCATATTTTGCTCTCACGAATATTCCTACAGAAGTCCAAAATACGTAAGCTGTCTGCAAGATGCTAGACCATTCTGAGCTACGTGCCCTGGTTGCTTCAAAGTAATTTGTATGCCGTGACTCTCAGCAGTGTAGGACTCTATGCGAAGTAAAGCTGCGACTTCTAAGACTACTACTACCATTACTACCAGGTAAGGCAAGAGTATATAGTTAGGAGATAAGGGGTTATTAAGGTAGGGGTTTAGTTTTTACTATAGTAGTAGGGGGGGTTAGGGGGTTAGGGGAGGGTTAGGATAGGGTTAGGATAGTTCTAGGGGTAGGGTTAACGTCCATTTAATCCTGGTTAGGGAGTCTTACCAACAGTCGACACATCCCCGTGCAGTAACTGGCCCTCGTCAGACCAGAAGCCACAAGCGGGCTTAGCCAATATGATACATCGTAGAAAACGCTGACGAGGACTTACACAGCCCATGAGCAGAAAGATGGAGCCGCTTTTCAATAGATCCTTTCTCCATCCTCCATGAGAGAATTCAAGGGGCCAACAACACCCCAGCTCGGTCATCTCTCCTGAATCGTCTTTGAGATCCCACAGAAGGTACCCACAGTTGACATGCTTGATTGCCAAATGCGACATCACGTCTATTCGGCTAAACCGTTCGAGGTTATTGACCCCAAGAAGTTCATGCCACGAGATGTACCTATTCATAAATTGACAGGCATGCGCCATAGAGCTGGAATCATGGGAATTGCGGCATGAAGAAAGACACGAAAGGAGATAACCAAAGTAGCTCCCCTTCCCAAGCACTTATAGCAAATACGGTCTTCCAGGGTAAGGAAGAGACCGGGCCGCCAACCAACAGCCTCAACATGGCATTACCAGTACCCTTAGTATATAAGGCTTTAAAAGCCGGACGTGTTGTCCATTGTGAACCACCAAGACCCTCACGCTTGGACTTGACTTCCCAGGGGTTCCTCCGGCCTGTCTGATTTTCAATCAATCCCACACACCAGGGACAAGTTCAACATTTTCTCGCTGGTCCCCAATATACCTCTGACATATCGACACCCAAGATGCTGTCTACCGTGTGGGATTACATCATCGTCGGTGGTGGCCTTGCGGGCTCCGTTATCTCGAGTCGTATGCTTGAGTATAACAGCTCACTGAGCATTTTACTCATTGAGGCCGGCGAGGATACTAGGTCGCGTACAGATATCCTCTATGTCAACGCCACCAACCTTATGGGCGGTGAGCTGGACTGGCAGTATCCTACCAAGCCTATCTCTGGGCTGAATAACCGCACTATAGTCTTCAACCAGGGCAAGGGTCTTGGTGGTGGCGCCGCAATCAATGCCTGTAAGTGCAATTGAACAAATAATAACCTTGATGATGATAGCAAAGCTAAATCCATACAGGCGGTTATACTCGTGGCCCCAAGGTTGATTATGATGAATGGGCTGAGCTTATCGGCGACCCTCGCTGGAGCTACGAGAATCAGCTTCCTTACATGAAGAAGGCTGAGGACTGGTCCAACTCCGATAACACAGCCCAGCACGGAAATGGTGGCCCTCTTCACGTCGCAAGCGTCTCTTCTACTGGCCGCGCCTATCCTCTTCGCGATGCTGTCGCCAAGGGTTGGGACGAGCTCGGCATCCCTGAGCTCCCTAATCTTGATAGCAACGCCGGTAACAACATTGGCCGCGCTGAGCTCACTGAGACCCGTCGCAATGGCCTACGCGAACTCCCTCCTGTCATCTACCCCCTAAAGGGTATCACCGTACTTACCGACACCCTTGTTGAGAAGATTCTCCTTAAGAAAAATTGCAGTGACGGCGAGCTTCACGCTACTGGTGTTCAACTAGCCAACGGCACCCAAATCTCTTCCAAGAATGTCATTTCCGCCGCCGGTGCTTACCGCTCTCCTCAACTTCTTATGCTGTCAGGTATCGGTGACGCTGTCGAACTCGAGAAGCACAACATCTCCGTTCAGCTCAACTTGCCTGAGGTTGGCAAGAACCTGGCAGACCACATTTCGTTCTACCAATGGTGGCAACTTAAGAACCCCGAAAAGGGATACGCACTTGGGTCCTCCAATCCCCTTTTCGCACAGCCCGAGTTCGGTCTGGGATACCCCATCGACTGGGTCACTTCCACTGGCGTCAACAAGACAGGCCTCGCTGATGCCATTGCCAAAGATGAGGGCGCTGCCCCAGACTCTGCTACCCATTCGCTTCTGAAGAATGACCGTACCTTCCTCGAGACCTTCGTTATCTACCAGGCTTACAACCCTGCGAACCCTGCTGTTCCCATGGACGGATCGCACATCTACACCAACCTTGTCTCTTTCCTACCTACGTCTCGCGGTACTGTCAGCCTCAGCTCCTCCAACCCCACTGATGCCCCTGTCATCGACCTGAACTATCTCGCTACCGAGGTTGACCGCTATGTCTACCGCGAGGGTGTCCGTCAGATCACTAAGCTGATGCTTGACACCTCCTTTGGCAAGGAGTACATCGCCGGCGAAGCTGCCCCGAACAACTTCGCCCCTGCTTCCCTTGAGGATACTGACGAATATCTTGACGCCCGTCTGGCTCAAGGAGGTCTCACTACATGGCACCCTCACGGCACCTGTGCTATGGGCAAGGTTGTTGATTCGGAGTTCAACGTCAAGGGAGTCAAGGGATTGCGCATTGTTGACGCTTCCGTTCTGCCCGTGGCAATGGCCGCTCATTTGATGGCTCCGTTGTACGCCATGGCGGAGCAAGCGGCTGCCATTATTACTGGCAACGCGTAAGGAAGGTATTGAAATGATGTAAAGAATGATATAGACTTGTCGGAAGTAATGATTATGCTATACTTCGATGTTTTAACTTTTAATCGGGAGTTGAACCAGAGCCTCATCTGTCGGGGGACAGAAATAAAATACTTTCATATTTATATTGGGAACTAGAAACTTTGAAGATGAATGTATAAGTTCGGTTGAAACTGTATAAGCTGACTCTACTGTTGCCTCGCCGATCCGGTGAATAGCGGCGGAAAATAAGACACCCTCGTTTGAAGAAAGGAGCTCCTCAAGAAAAGAAAGCTGCCTACACACTCGCAATTCTTATTTTTGCGACAGGATGGATGCAACTTGGAAACTTTGTTTAAAATTGCTGTACAATTTATCTTCCTTACATCATATGGTGAATGTAAAACATCTAAAATACAGAGCGGCGTTTTCTACGCTTGTCCTGCGTCGACTCAAACTCCTCCTTGATTTTGTCAAGAAGCCCCTCGACGGTCAAGACATCAACGGCGACGCCAGCGATGCTCTTGGCAACTGTTATCGACTTGTCAAAAGCAGCCCTGCTACCAGCAGCAACCTCAAAGGCCGTAGTGTGAGGTCCTCCGTCAGGAACACTTCCGTTCTCGTTCGTGATTCCAAAGTATGGGCTAATACTAGGGAAGTCGTGGCTCAGGTTTCCCTGGTCCGTGCTGCCACTGGGATCCCGCAGCTTATCGATCTCTGCACTTGGTACTTCGCCTCCAAGCTCGGTGAAGTACTTGGAGTATGTGCTCGCCAATATGTCATTGCTGACCATGTTGTCATAGCCATAAGGTCTCATGGTAAGATTCAGTTCGGCACCAGTAGCCAAAGCACCTGCCTCAAAGCACTTCATCACACGCTCCATCCACTCCTCCAGAGCGACGTTATCAGCAGAACGGATCTGGAAGGACGCTTCTGCGAGGGCAGGGATGACATTGATGCGGGAACCAGCAGAGGTGATAATTCCATGGATCTTATCCGTGGGCTGCGTTTGCTGGCGAAGCAGAGCGATGGCATTGTTAGCTAGGATAAGGGCGTCCTGAGCGTTAACACCTTCCCACGGCGAAGCGGCTCTTTTCCATAGTACTCAACCTCAAAGCGGTCAGTTGAGGTCGTAATCATGTACGGAGAGTCGCCGCCGTTGGTGGGATGGGTGATAAGAGAAATATCAATGTTGTGATCACGGAAAGCACCCGCTTCATGAAGCTTCACCTTGCCGCCGAGACCTGAAGATTGTAAGCATTGACCTGCGACTCAATAGCGACTTGGAGAATATCTCTTACTCTCTTCAGCGGGAGTTCCAAAAAGAATCACTTTGCCAGGAAGGTTTTCGGAACGCATGATTTCAGCTGTAGCGAGAGCTCCTCCTACTGAAGCCGTTGCAATAAGATTGTGGCCGCAAGCGTGCCCAAGCCCAGGAAGGGCGTCTGAATATGTGATAACCGGTTAATGGAGAAACTTTCTTGTGGTTGTGATGTGAGAAAAACCTTACCATACTCGGCGTTGAATGACACTATAGGCCCTTCACCGCTTCCTTCAAATACCGCGACGAAGGCAGTGCTGATGTTGTATATGGATCTAGTGACATTCCATCCTTCATGTGACTCCATAAAGTCGGTCAAAAGTTTATGGGCCTTGACTTCTTCATATCCAAGCTCTGGGTTGTCGTGGATCTCTTTGTTGATAGGCCATAAGTCATCGACAATGGAGTCAAGGTAGTCGGAAACAGCCTGGAAATAGGGGCTGGTTTCGGAGCTGGAGCCATTTGTCTGGCGTGGGAGTACGGATGATGCTGTAGCTGAGCTTACAGCAAGTCCCAAGACGAAACTTTTGGATAAACCTTTGATGCCCATGGTTTATGAGTACACTCAGACGTACGGAGACTAATTGCAGAGCTTGACACAAGTAATTCGAGAGGGAAAACTACGAGCAAGTTGAGTACGCCTCAAACAAGCGTTACCATTACCAGTCTTTATACTTGCTTGAATTCTGTATATAATGCCGAAGGAAACCTGGTTCCTCTGTCTTCTTCCGACATCCGTTTTCTTGGTACACGTGTGCTGCTGTCTTTCGGAATGACGAGCATCACGTCCGTTTCCCCGTCGCATACTCGAACCGTTCCTCGGCTCTTTCAGCGGCCAGAGCATTACAAACTTGCGTATCAGTGGGTACTGCGGGGAAACGCCGAGTCTTTCTAAGAGCGAAAGGATGGCAGAAAATTGAACTTGCGGTTTCTTTTGCCTGAATGTTCCATTGCCGAAGGGAACCAAGTGATATTGGTGATAGTAACCCCACATACAATCGGGGCGAAGGGCTTGGCGGAATAGATAGGTATTTAATCCCCTCGCACCGTGACCGCCGATTTCTCTTCCGAATGTCTTGGCTCCGGTATGTTGAATGAAGCCGATCGGACATCTGTGTGTCACCAGAGCACCGGAGAAGCGTCCGACGTGGGTTGTTGGCCGAGGGAAAACTAAGTCGCCCTCTCCCTGTCTACCCTTTGCATCGGTATGAGGGGAAATGCTGGGGGTGGGACCCCCTGGCAAGTAAGCTTAATGAACAGCCGATCGTCTGTGTATTTTTGCCGACGGGTTATCAGCGACCTGTACGTAATTCAAAAGACATCAGCGAGAGGAGTTCGTCCCACCTTACCTTAATCTCTTGACGTGGAACATTTCGTCATTGCTTTGGTGGGACGAATAAGCAGAAGGCAAATCATTCTGGTTCAGCATCGAGGTAATGAAAGAATGTGTCAATGTGTTTAGTTATCTTGATTACACACCTAAAGGCCAAGAGTTGTTGCCTTTCCGAATTGCCGACTTTCTTTCCCCGACGTCTTGGTTATTTTCAGCAACGCTCTTCTCGACTTTGCCATCATTAAGTTGTTCAGTTGAACTCTTCATTCGCTTTTACTTCCATTTGCACCACTATCTTTAACTCAACGATAGATTTGCTAATGATGCCTTTTTCTTCTTTTTCTTCTAAACATTCGGCTCCAAATATATAGACAGCTGTAAGACTGTTAACTCTCTGGCCTTCTCAGCTGTTTTTAAAACATAAGTACTGGGAGGCTAGCTTGTGCGATAAATTCATATTGTCTAGATGTTATTCTAAACATGAGCCGGTGCGCAAAGCAGCTGCAGGCAGTTTTTCCCCTTTATTTTAGCAGCGCAGCATCATGATGCAAGTCGGCGCAGCTTCAATTATGTATATTTCAAATGGGCAACCAAAAGCTTCAGGGTTGCTGCTATTCCGTCGAATTACCTTCAAATACCTCTTTAGCAATTCATATGGTGTAAGACCTTTGAAAAGCCTCAAGAAACATCTCTCTCAACACCAAATTTGAAATAACATGGCAGCTTACCTCCGAAAAAGCTGCTCAGCAGCGCTTTATGCGCAAACGCCACTTAGTGAACGTATCGAAAACTCACGACGCCCTCTCCACCACGGCCAGCTTTAGAGCCGACAATGTGACTATGACTTGTGACACCCAACCTCTCCTCTTCCTCAAACTTGGCATTCTGCTTCTTGAGATAGTATTTAATCGACAATGCCACGCCCGCGCAAACGAGACATGCGCCGGACATGACACTGCCGCCGGCGTAGTAACGTGGCTTCTGGCTGTCAGGGAACATGTAGCTCGTGTAGAAGTGTGCGACTCCGGCAGCCATGAAGTTGACGATGGCTAGCGCGGCAGCACGCTTGGCGCGTGGCCGTGGAAGAGATGCAGAGAGCCAGCTGACGCAGAGGTTGTATGGTGCATAAGATCCAGATGTCATCAGGAACATTGAAAAATAGCGGCCGCCGAGGGAGGGAACGAACATAGCCTTCATGTATATGTAAGCAGTGCTCGTACAGTCAAACCGTCAAGGTAGATGGGGACATACCAATATGTTTCCGAGAAGGGCGAACATCATTGGAATAGCGATGTGGTAGCCTCGCTCATTCTTACTTGCTGCGTGAAATGACACACAGAGAGAAACGATGAAAGCGAAAAAGTATGGTGGTGAAGTGAGAAGCAGCGTTGTTGTGCGGCCGTAGCCGAGGGTTCCAACGATAGAAGGGAAAAAATTGTTGAAAGATTGTGCAGTGATGAGAGCCATCTGTTGTATAATGAAAAGATATAGCTTAGGGTCGATCAGTGCTTGCTTGAGACCCCAGAAGATGGACTCAGGGTCTTCATCAACGATTCCAGCGTTTTCCTTGCGAATTCTCCATTCCTATATTTTAGCGAGTTAGTTAGGACGGTGAAAGTACGATTTCGTTAATCATTAGCTTACTGCGTATAATTGTTGTTCTTGGGAGATGAAAAGATGTTTGCTTTGGAGGGGATAGTCGGTCAGAAGAGGAAGAACTAGGAGAGCAATGACCACTGTCATGGCTCCTTCAATTATGAAAAGCCATTCCTAGACATTGACAGTCAGTGCATAAGTTACCCTCATAATTCGATTAGGACTCACCCATGCTGGCTTGCCTGCTTTGCCTTCCATTTTCGATATGATACCAGCAGCAATAAGGCCCGAGAACGCAGTTGCTATCATATTTCCACCATAAAGGATCGCAATTCTTGGTGGTAACTCTCTGCGGGTGTACCAACATGACATTAGGACAAAAACAGCCGGCAGGAAAGGAGCTTCGACGAGGCCTAAGATGAAGCGGACGGCAGCAAGACCAGAGAAGTTCTTGACAAAGCCCTGAGACATCGAGACAGCACCCCATAAAGAAGTAATGAGGCATATATACCACGACGGTCGAACTTTTCCTATAATAAGGTTGGAGGGGACCTGAGTGATACAGTCTGGTGGAAAGTTAGGTAATGGGCTATAACTGGAAGCGGGAAGTTTGTTTAAATCAAACACATACACCCTACGTAAAACATGAGTAAACAGGTATTGTACTCATTGTTTGTCATTTTGAGAGTCTCAGGTAGCCCAGCAATCTTAGCACTCGCAATGTTGTTCCTGTCTCTGTTTCTGGAGTCAGCTTGATAGACCTTGTTACTCTTGTTTTACTCACAGGATATTCAAAAGAAAGAGGATGAAAACAGTCGGCATCAGAGTCAAATCCAACCGACGCGTTAGGCCTTTCTCTAAAATTCTCAAATCATCGGAATCAAGATGATCCAACTCTTGAGGAAGCGGCAATTCATCAGGATGTAGAGTGCGCCGCTTCTCAGTATGCTCGGCCTCAATCTTTTGCTCCCGGATCGCGTCCGACATGGTGTTTGCGGGTTAGGGAATGTCTGGGGGTCAAGTTTGGCTTGCTTGATTCACCAGAAACATGGTTGAACCTGTTATCGGAAGATATATAAAAGATGCTAAATACTGCATTAAGTTTGCTACTAGATCATTGGAATTCCGGGGAGAACTCCGGTGGGGTAGATTTGCCTTCCCGTTGAGGGGCCTTCATCTTGGGGCCCCGGATCTTGGCATGTGGGGGACGAACGAGTTAACGACACTGACTATCATTGAGAAACCTCGATCAAGAAGTCGGCCGAGTTCTCCGCAAACCGGGAAGAATGCCGGTGGAGTATTTGGTATGATAATAGCCAGGTAGGGGCCCTAGTGTCGGATTGATATGCTTTTCCGTCCATTCGGAACATTCCTTTGGGGGAAAGGGTGAACACGGGGCTATCCGACGGCAATTGACTTTGGCCGAGAAATGCTTGACACCTAAAGGTATTGATGATTGGTTATGGGAAATTTGGGTTAAGGGAGCCTGCTTTTATGTTTTACTGCTTCTCAGTAAATTGAGTTTGGAGAAGCACACGTTTACAACGAAGCCCAAGCAGTTTTATTTATTCATAAGAAACTGCCCAAAGTTGCTTTCAAATTTTCAAGAAGGAAAACCAAGTCAAGCGAGGTTTTTAAAATCCAATGACTGTTGTTAGAGGTTGAAAAGCGCTCTTATTACGCCTTTCACCGTCATTATTAGCAAGCCTCCTTACTCCGTGCTATTTGTTATTAAATTGACTAGTAAGCTATTTAGACACAGACTCAAATGCCTTTCTATTTACTGGTGTTAAAGGCTCACCGATCACCTCTCCGTCATCTCCTACCACTTGTATAATGTTCTTCATTGCATTCAGCTCAAAATTCATTCTCGTAGTCAGCGCTGCGCCACCATTGTGGCATGTCAACGTTACGTTATCCATGTCTGCTAGCACCTGAGACACCTGTGGCTCATGGTAATGAACGTCCAGTGCAGCAGCAGACAGTCTTCCACTCTGAAGTGCCTCAATTAGCGCTTCCTCATTTACAACTTGGCCACGCGCCGTGTTAACAAGTCGGGCACCTTTCTTCATCACTGAAAACGCCTCCTTGTTCATCAAGTCGTGAGTATGAGCATTCAGCGGAGTATGCAACGTGACACAGTCCGACACGGCAAGCAACTCGTGCAGTGTGGAATGAAACGTTGCCTCCAACTCCTTCTCAAGTTCAGGTGAAGAGCGGATGACGTCAAAATAATGGATTTCCATCCCCAGAGCCGTACGGGCTTTATAGGCGAGCTTCTTGCTGATGTTTCCTAGTCCGACGATTCCGAGGACATGGCCGCGAGGGTTCCATGAGATGCTGCCGACAAGTCTATGCATAGCGGTAAACTGTTCCGGGTCGCACGTCCTTGCCGCCCGTTGTGAGCGCCAAAAGTTTCGAAATACAGACAATATCATGAAAAGCGCGGTATCAGAAACGGCCTCGTCGCTAGCACCGGCGCCGTTGGCATACCAGATCCCCCGGCGACCAAGTGCATCAACATCGGCCCAATTGAATCCTGCCCCCGCGGAGGCAAAAATGCGTACTGAGCTCGGGAGAAGAGAGATCAACTCGTCGTCCCATTGGCCCATTTCGCCGCCTGTTTGAAAGTGCGGGCGGAATATGGCAGCAATGTCCCCATACTTTTTGGATTTGAGCGCTGCGATGAAGGATGCCCGGTCGGGCTCTTCGTTTGCTAAGACGTCGAAACGTTCGGTGAAGACATTTTTGTAATAGTCGTGGTTGTACTTGATGTCTTCGCCGAGTCGGAGAACAACTGGTTTCTTCACCGGCATGATGGATTGTTTGTAAGAGATTTTGGGTGTGCAGCTGTTGGATACAGGGACTGGATAACGTGACCACGATGTTTGACGCTGGTATTTGGAAGCTGGAAATATCTTTCTCTGCAGCGTTGTAGCTGGTCGAGGGAACATCCCCAGATAAGAAATAAGTAACTTCAAGTGTTTAATTATTTTCTGAACGATATTGTATGCGTCTATGGATTGTAACAACTTAACCTCGGGCATTGTCCGTAATGTTGACAAGCATGTCGAACCCCGCACGAGGGACGTTATGTCAAACTCGCCTGCAGGGTGACATTTCGGTGAGAAGGCCGATGCATCTACAATCCTTGAGCGGATAAGCTCCGTTTTGTATGCAATGATATTAGACATGTTTACTTTGTCGGCATGGCCTGTTGCTGATAGTTTCCGCAATGTTGGTTAAACAGGTCAGTAAAAGAGCGTTTTAGATGTACGTTGCTGTAATGTGATGAAGTAGGTACCAGTTAGGATACTAAGCTTCTAACCTCGTTTTCCGGTTCAGACCGAACTGTGTTGCGCGTCAGAGGTAAAAGGTGAATCAATTAGATACACAGACCTGACGGAAGTAACTGCCCAATACCCTATGACCGTTGCTACTACTCAGGAAACGAAGTAAAGACATGAGTTGTTTGATTTGGTTTGGCGTCTATATTATCTGATGTGGCGATAGGCTTAAACGCCGCTGGGATGTAAGGGCAGGCAAATAAAAGCAGTTGAAGGTGAGCGCTGAAGTGAAGATCCAGAAAAGCCCCTTCATAAGTTTCGTGATTAGGGACCTAATATTAAAAAGTGTTTCTTCCTCATCATCTGATCTCGACTCTTCATCAGGATCTAGAGAAACAGAGAAGTCTATAAAAACCTTTAACACCATTCGTTGCCCATATTACATCACACATGCTCCACATCCATAAATTTCTCGTTGGGAACCTTCATAGTCTCGAGCACAGTCGCAGCATTGCGGGGCTCCAAACTCTTTTTCACGGGGTTATGAGCAGTAAAGACCTCCTCCAACTCCTCGAGTGTGCGATGCTTAGTCTCTGGGAAGAAAAAGAAGATGAAGATTGCCTCCAGAATATCCCTACGCGGCTCATGTTAGTTGCTTTTCTGCACAAGGCACCTTCTGTCGACAAAAGAAATGCGAGTGACGTGTCTTACCAGAATACGAAGACCAAATAGAAGTAATATCCAATCTTCTCGAATGCGGGACCTGAACTGTAGGCCAGAACTAGAGAAATAGCGGACGAAGCAAAATTGCCAACGGCGGTTCCTTTGGCGCGGGTCGTAGTGGTCAAGGTCTCCGCGATGTACATGCTTTGTTGAGCTGTCCATCCCAAAGAGAAAACAACGCCAAAGAGGTAGACAAAGGCGATAGTTGTGTTGGCCGCGTTTGTGTTGGATGGATTGTCCACGGCCATTTTTGAGGTACCTGTCATGACAGCGAACGTCATGCTACAGAAGAGGATGCTGTAGATAAGCAGGGGGCGACGGCCGACGCGATCTGTCAAACGAGCACCAATGACACTTCCAATGAGACCAAGAACGTTATTGACTGCGTTGAGAGCCAAGACTTTCTGCTCTTGAACAATGCCAGCAGTATTCATCATAGTGACGAGGTAGTAGCTGGAGAGTGAGTTTCCAGAAGCCTTCAGTCGGTTAGTAATTGTGTCTGGCTCATCAGTAAGCAAAACTTACCTGTCCCATGATAGCCATGCCAAGAACACAAATCAATCTTCTGCGTGCGGACCTAGTGTTCCATAGATCGCGGTAGTCCCACCACTTCTTGTCACTAGCCTCGATGGAGATCTGGGCCATCATTTCCTTCATTTGCAGCTGGACGATGGGGTGATCAGGGTCTTTCTCGCCGTGAAGTCTTGTAAGAACTCTGGCTGCTTCCTCGTGCCTGTCGTTGGCAACAAGCCAGCGGGGCTTTTTCAAATGATCAGCATATGACGTTGAAGGAGGAACGCGAGACTTACACTTTCAGGGAGGAAGAACACAAAAATAAGCACAATTCCGCTAGTGACCATCTGAATCCAGACTGGAATTCTCCAACCATCATCGCCTGGAATAAAAGACGAGCCATAAACTGTCCAACCAGCGATAATGGAACCCACAGGCCTGCAGTATATGAGCATACTTAACGGGTTTTTCGATGGAACGAATTGACTTACCACATGCAGTTGTAAAGACCGGTAAGAGTACCTCTCCACTAATACGTGCTTTAAGTCAGGTTATGTTCAACCTCTTGGGACAAGCTTTCTTACCTTAGGATGAGCCAGTTCGCTGACATAAGTAGGTGCAGAAACACAGCAAAAGGAAACGCCAAAGCCTAAGATGAAACGACCTCCGAGGAAATGGGGAACATCTTGGCTTGTTGCCCTGCAAGAGTTGGTCAGCACATTGGCTATATGAAGTAGATGCGGGTATGATGCCTTACTGTACTGCAGTACCGACGATAATTAACGCCGCACCCGTGAACATGCCCCAACGACGCCCAAAAAGATCATTGACCGGTCCAGTAAAGAAAATTGCTGCAACAGAGCCGACGTTGTACCTATTTCCTTACAGTAAGATTATGGCTCTATTTGTTCACGTCGTCACTGGAACTCTTACATCATGAAGACAATACCGGTGCTTGAACCAGAGGTTTTCCTAAGTACCAATTAGCCTTGAGCTCCTAGCCTTTGAATAGAAGACAATTCTATTCAAAGATGAGTAGCTTCACTCACATGTTGAACGTGCGTTGATACGAAGTCATTCCATTAAGGCCACCTGAGCGAGCATGTCAGCGCCGAACTTGCTCATATCACCACTGGACAGTTAGACAAGAGAGCATACCCATCAATGAACCGTCATAGCCATTCAGAGCGCCGCAGCAGTATGCAACGAACAAAACACCGTAGAGAGTAAACATAGACTTGGTCCAAGGCGAGTATTTGCTGTCATCCACCTCATGTGCGATCTCATGAGCTATGACCGCCGCGACTTCAACAGGGGGCGCATTCTCTTTAGCATCAATGCTACTGTTGTGAGTTTTCTCATCGGTGCCCGTTGGGGTCACTTTAGTAGGTTCAGCCATGCTGGCAATCAGAATCTACAACCGACTGATGTAGTTGCTCTGAAAGGAGGGGAAAAGTGCTGGATGCGGCGTGAGGTGACCTGGGGAAGGAAAAGCAGAAGCACTACTGCGTTCTGCATGAACGAAGATCTGAATACCCTTTTTATACGCTTGAACTAATGCATACCGACTGTCTACTTTTCTTATTTCTCTGCGCGACAACTGTAAGGAGACTGGCTGGCTTGGGACCAACAACGTGCAACACGAATGTGTGAGCTGCCAAACCCACCACGTACCCACATCCATGGATTGGCGAACACCTGAGCTATCCCCGCGATCCACAAGCCTACCCCAGACAAGTCGATCCCCTCTCGATCACATGAGAGGAGCTTAGTTCGGTGGTGTCAAGGTGGAATGAAAATCCACTTGTGTCCGAGTTGTGTCCGGCAAGTGCACAATGTACATCGGAGCACAGCGGCGTGCCGCGAAAGTATGTCGCACCGTACCGCCGAGATGTTCTGTGATTGGAGGGGTTAATGCGTGCAGGAAGTCAAGGACATCTAGCTCCGGGGGCTCTTGATGATCCCTTGCAAATTGGGTGATTTTTTGCTCGGCTCCGGGCCCCCCGACCAAAATTCTGCCCAGCATGGGTTGGTACGGACGACACCACGCGAGCTAGGCCACTTGTGAGCATCACTCAAGCACCACTTGAGCATTAGGTACTAAGGAGTTGAGCCCCTGACAGCTTGGCTCAGCATTGGGTTCATTTCCCCTTGGCAGGATGCAATGCTGTTCGGGGCCTTTGGGATTGGTTGGGTACACAGACATTTGAGCACCAGATCCTGTTATTTCGTGCCTCTGAGATCACAGGTCGGGTAATGAGATCCGAAGACATGAGATGGTGGTTTGTGGCGTTCGGCTCGATGCATTTGAGCCTCTTGGTCGGTAGTTGTCAGCCTACCTACATAGTGCCATTCGGGTCAATACTCCGATCTCAGTTGACTTCGCGGACAGCCCCGATTTGGTATGATCATAGCGTGTCGTCCCGCATGATAAAAAGAGATCGTCCAGAACATTTCCAAATCAAAAGAAGCACCACGGCGCGCATAATTGCAGTGGGCAATTTTTGTTCGCGTGAGTAGTGAACGAGCAGGGAGTCTTACCGAACATTGATGAGCGGGGTTTCGGATCCACTTCCGCTACAAACGTGTGTCCAGACCTGGGCTATTTTGTCATGAGTTTGGAGAGCAGAAGGACATTTCGTTTTCCAAGTTCTGTGCCTGTAAAGGATTGGTATGACCACATGCCGCTTGCTTCCATTCGCGTCAAAACTTGAAGACCTCGGTGGTATGTTTCCGATCCTGGGGGACAACTCCCCACATGGTTGCTCGTTTTCGTTAGTGGTATTTAGTGCTTAGTTTCCGGTCTTCAGGACGCAGTAATACAAACCTGTCATGAACTGCATGGCTGTATGACATCATTCGCTCTCCATTGTGTTCCTAATCCTTAGCCGAGGGTGAAACAATCCATGTCGACTCAAGCCGTTGTTGCTCGCACCACCACTCCACGTTATTTTTCCCCATGTCATCCTTCTCAAAAAGGGCCATGTCCCAGCTACTAAGGTGGATCGTGCGGGCCCCTGAGCGTGAAGATATAGTATGACGAGTCTGGAACTGATTGCTGTTGCGCTCCCCTCCGGTGTTACGACTATCTGGGAAATGATCTGAGAGTGCCACGTGCCATGAAGACACAACATGCCATTGAAAAGTTCTTGATAGCATTTGCAAGTCGCACTTCAACTAAAATCCGAATGGTTGGAAATAGCCATGCCGACTTAAGCTGTGATTTTAGTATGCAGACTTTCAAGTATCAGGCGTACAACTTGAACTGAAAAAATATCATGGCAGTTTCAATGATAAAGAGGCAAAGACGCCGCACCAAATGGCCATGTAAGAGCTGAACAGAAATGGATAAACAGAATGCTGTGATGCCGCAGTACCGCATTACAGTGACGGCTGCGGTAGACTTGACGCTCCTACCTTATGTAGAAGTTGAGAGTTTTGCACGAGATGAGTCCGCCCAGAGCAATTTTATTATACTTGAAATAGAGATCCTGTCCGTCCCCGTGTAGCAACCTGTTTCAGTAAGATATATGGCATTTACCTAACCCGTTGGTACCCTAGCACTCGTAATGATTTCTTGAGCGTCAGCCGCACGCTTTTCGCCAGTTAAACGATGATTGAAGTAGAACTTGCCATTTTCTGGCTTCCACGACGAGTCCCATTTATCGTTGTCAGCCGGAGAGGAACCCATAGTTGGGGGATACTGAACGTGGATCTGGCCTACCAGTTTCTAAGGAACATAAGGCAGAGTTTAAAGGGTTTGTAAATCAGCCCCTGACATTGTCGTAGTACTCCATATCATGGGTTGTAAGAGAATTTGAGTTCCTAATTCGAAATATGTATAGCACTGTCAAATTCTTGATGATGAAGGAGGTCACAATCTCGCACCGAATTTCATTCCATTGCACTTCGTAACGAAAGCTTGAGACTTCACCTCGGATGCACCAACTGCTCCCAGCCTCTGTGTAAAGTCCTTGTTTTGAAGTCTAGTCAAGATATCTTTATCGACTAATGGGACTTTTTTCCGGTATGGTAAGTCTTGGGTGACGATCCTGCGTCTTCTCTCGTCGGCGTCCTTGTGATACCAAGGAGATAGGCCGGTCAACAGATCACACAGAAAGACGCCTATAGTCCACCAATCTGTCACCATGGAAATTTTTGGCCAAGAAGAACCTCTGGGGATGGATATCTCGTGCGTTGGGCATGACGCGGTGCCCATCCCTGACTTCTAATCTGAACATACAAGGAGAGCAGGGACTCACGTGGCCGAGATGATTGTTCCGGCTTTAAGAACGCAAAAGAATGTCTGTATTGCGGAAATTCGAGCAAAGCGGTGAGTTCAATCATGTAGAATCTTGCCTTTTCGATGCTAAATTGTCTTTATCCTTGGAAGTGCCCAATAGAGGACCACCACCGGCTCGGGGAGAGAGTAGGCGCAAGCCTTCCGGACATGGCAACAAAAACCTCAATGGTGAGATGAGTGGGTGGCTATTGAATGCCGTTTCCGACCGAATTGGCAGGTCAGTGTTAGGCAATGTTAACGTGACATAAGTCTGAAGTGTCTCGTTCTTTTCGACGAAAAGAAATCGCCAGAATCAAGTTTGTGATATATCTTCCACGTCTTCCAGTCTTCAAACGATGGGGTTGTCTGCTCGAGGTGAGAAGATTCGAGAATTACCACAGGTTAAGTTGCCTTCTATCTGGAGCTGTGGCTGCGGAAATTGGGATCAGCCTGATTGACCCCAGCAGTGTAGCACGAAGTTCATTGGAAGCATCCAAGTCTTTGACGAAGAAATTCAGCTTTACTTCCGACTAATCGAAACGTCAAACCTATTTGGTTTGGATGCATTTCTATAACGCTTCCTTGGCGCGTCCAACCGAATGCTTCGGTTTACACTTGAAAGTGATCACACTCCACGATCGCGAAGAGCAGTGCTTGCTCGCACGTATCCGCTGGTTCGAGCCTTGGATCCTGGCCTGTTATGCCCAGTCCACCGGCCTGACAGAGACTGATAGTCGATATTTTCTGTCTGAATGAGTTTGGAGGTCGTAGAGGGTGACGCATTTTTCATTCTCTTTGTGCTAGGTAGAAGTTGACATTGAACGGTTGTATGGGACGCCGTGAGGATGAGTGAAAAGAATGCCGCTGAGCATATGGGCAGAGCTCAGATGGGTCTTCGGGGATGGGCAAAGGAAATTTAAGTCGAAATAACATAATGATAGTAGAGGCTGGAAACAAAAAAACAAAAACCCTCGTACGCCGTTTGGCGGCGTGCGTGACACATTTCCCAGCCTAGGTCCGTATGATCGCATCAATAGGATGGTGACAAGCCTGTTATACCCTCTCCTTGATGCAGCTCAGACTTCAGGCATTCTATCTTCGCTGACAATGTAACTAATACTCTGACCGTAACTCAGATATCGTACTACCTTGGCGCATAGGAAGCATATGGAGTAGTCAATGAGACTCATCGAAGTGGACCTCGATGAATACATTGTGATATCCATGATTAATATTGCTTAGATACTTAGTAAAACTGTTGTCAAATATCAGATCTACTTTGTACCATGCTGGGAGTTCAAATCACGTGTATGAATAAAAGTATAATGATATTAAAGCTCTTCTGGCGTAACCATGAGCTCAGCTTATTTGGAGTGTGGAAATGACTTATTGATGGCAAGCCTTCGTCGTGAGGCTTGAGATGAAGCAGTCGCTGTTGACTCGAAGTTGACATTATTAGTTTGTACAATGAATAATCTTTTGCAACCGAAAAACGTGTCCGCACTCAGTCGATGATTCCATAATAACTGGTAGCAGATTATTTTAGGACAGAATCCTTGTTGAGTATGACAGCAACGTAAATACCTTCCACAAGTTCACACATCACAGTAGGAAATCATTGAGAAAATAAAGTGGGCAAAGCAATATTTTGTTGTACTCTGCAGTATTGGGGAGTGTCGGCGAGACTGGACTTTTCTGGTTTGACAAGCTAATCTAATGCTGAAATAAGACACGAGGTGTGTTGAGCACACCGTTTGAGGTGGCTCTTGTGTGGTTGTTTAGAAGTCGATAGCTGATTTATGGTTCAGTACTGCTATCAAGTCCTTGAGAACTCAAACACTAGTTCTAAGAGGACCATCAAATCTTCATGAGAATGAGCATGAAAGGGGAAACGCTGATCATGATCGATGAAATGCATAATCCAACCATTCATGCATGTCAATTGTATTCAGGTCCACCTCTGGAATATCAAGTTCGGATAACATTTCGTGCAGCTTTTCGAGGCCGCTGTGTTGCCGCTCTTCCCAAACTCCGAGTCTTCGCCGCCGCCTCTCGTCTTGAGTTCGTCGTGCTGTGTCTTTCTGGTGATAACGCAAAACTCTATCGAGGAGACTGTTCAGAAGCGACAGGAAGACGCATGCTAGCCAGCCTTTCGCCGTTGATGAATTGGGAAGCAAGGTGCTACCAGCTGTGACGCCGACAGAGCCTCGAAGTCTGGAGTCGGAAACGGCCCCAAGCCACGTGTGATTGGCAATCGATGCCATGAGCGAGTATTTTATAGATAATTGAAAAGCTGGAACATGAGAGGTTTATGGTATTACATCAGGTGATTTATTGAGTGTTTAAAAGCGTGTCAAACCATAGATCGATGATCCGTCGCAACGGGTTTACGGTTATAGCTCGGTTGAGATGACGGCGACACGGATCAACCGGACAGATAAAGCGTCAAATGGTGTCCGACCGTCTGCGTCACGCAGATCCCCAGAACTGTTAGACGGCGAGCAGCAAACTTTGATCCGATGAAACAGAACACTCAAATTCTATTTTCTCCGAGCACCAGCGTATCTGGGAAGCTATGGCCAATTGATTTATGTGATGGTCGTTCTGCTACACAGTATTTAACGGTCAACAACGTTCGCCAGGCGCTCGTAAAAGCCCAAAACTGCCTAAAAGGCGAGGGTCTTAATACAATAATGCAATGTTCAACTTTCCGGCTGTCACCTAGTGCTGGGAGATAACTAGGCAAACCTAGTGCAACGAGGAATTTTACATCTGAACATGTTCTCTTTTCTCACTGTTCAATGAGAATTAGTACTTTTGACCAGCTCAAACCGCCAAGTACGTATTGTGTATCACCCAGGGACCGTCGGTCGCATTGACCTTCACGCTGTCTCGCTTTGGATATCTCGCAGATTGAAATCTCCATTCACCGAAAGCGAAAGCGAGCAGTACCATTCAACATACCTATGTAATGTGGCTGAAGGGCGGATGTGGCAACGGTAAGGCTGCAGAGGTAAAGTCACACTAATGCACACAAACGAAATACAAGACATTTCAGACTTGCTTGTTATATAATGGCGTGTTTGCATGTTACTGAAACGGCGTTCTCCAGTTCATGTTCTTACTCCACTAATGACATGACAGCAAGCTGTGACAGCGACAGGGTCACTAAAAATACCTACCACTGGAAACATCCGCCATAACTGACGAGTTACCAAAGAAGCACGGTCTTTCATTTGCTATGAGAGAGAGGAAAGATGACGCTTAGGTAGTTTATATCTAAGCTTCTGCCACAAAAACATCCTACCATTGTTGGTGCTTCGGCAAAATGCACCATCCTCCTCACCTTAAAACGGCAATGTGTTGAGTGAAGTAACCACCAGTATCCTTATTTTTTTCAGCTTCTTTATGCTGCAAAGCAATGGAACCAATTACTCCAATGCAAAAATCAGGCTGGGGAGAGTGGAATCAGAGAGGAATCCTACAGGCTACCTGGATGCTTCCATTGAGAACTGTTTTGGAAGCGGTAAACGCTGCTAGTTTAGAAGCGAGGGCCGATGAACTTGTGATGCGCCAATGATTCGGCTTAGACAAGCCAAACATTTCATTTCACATACCGTGGCAAAGCTCTAATAGTCGCTGGCAGTGCAGGCTGACAGGTGCAGGTATGCAGCACTATGAACAGGGATACCGCTTCTATGAATAGGCTGGCTCCACTTGGTGGTGCATTCCGCCCCCAAATGCCCAGTTAGCGAGGGACTTCTGTCTATTTGCTTAGACTGTTCACCGCATGGCTGGTGATGTGGTGAAATTTATCTGGTTAATGGCTATTTGCCAAGCTGATGAACTTGGTATGTTTATGCTCCGTACAAGCGCGCTGTTAAACATAATACCTCATAGCACATATTGCACCGGTCCTCTAAAACATTACTCATAGCATCTGTCTGGTTATGCTAAATTATGAGAATGCCTAGCATCACATTTCATGAAGTCTGTCTGTCGACACCTCGCGGGCTGTAAGAATCAACGGCCTTATCGTATGTGCGCCATTTCTCACTAAAAGTCGCTGTCGCTGGGCAAACATTGAACAAGGCTGCAGGGCTGAGTCTCCGTACCCCTGATGCCAATTTCGGCTGTGCTGACCACCCTGGCAAGGCGAACAGCTTGCCCACTGTAAATAAGCATAACAGGTTGAGAGTAATTGTGGAACAGCCAATGGGCGAATAATTTTCAGTATGACTAGGATCTAAGCCTCTTTTGCAATCATGTATTGGTCTGCAAGAAGGCACTGCTTGTGATATTCCTTCAGATTGTATCTTCATCAGCACTGAGTATAGTTACTAGCCCGATGATCTTTCCTTCAGGCCACTCTCTTCTTGTTCCAGCTCAAAAACCATCAAAATACAATCTGATAACCGACTGTCAATATGGTCCAATTAGCCCTGTTCCTCAGCCTAGCTACCTTGGCGGTAACTTCTCCGCTGGCACTCGAAAATCGCCTTATTGCCACACGTTCTGACAAACCAAGCGATAACGTTGCCGACTACTGCACCTGGGATTTGTCTACGGTTAAAGGTGCTGAGGAAGCTTGGAGACAGACAGATGCACGAATTCTGCTTGACAGCTTTGTTTCGTACAGAAATAGTAGGTCTCAAACTAGCTTGCCAGTCTTTTGCAAAACAGCCAACTCTGACATTGTTGTCTTCTAGAGGGCCCCGACAACTGGTTGAAAAACTTCGAGAAATTCATTTTCGACGCTGAGGATGGTGGCGGCAGGACAAAAGCCGATGATTGCGCCGTCATCGCAACAGGAGCCCAATGCCAACCCGGTCACGGTTTTACTTGCGCCGAGCATTTCAAGAATGTCAATAGCACCGAAGCAGTGGGTCTGTGGCCAAAGGTTGCTTACTGGATCTTTACCGCTGCCCAACAAGTGCACGTCAAGATCAGCCGAATCGATCACGAGATTCAACGAGAAGGCCTCATAACTGGTCTAAGGATTGAGCAGATGTTGGAGGATTTCGGCGCCGAGGCTGCAAATGACAGCACCGACGTTTTGGGCTGGCTCTCTGCTGCCTTTGGACTCGTCGGCACTTTTGCAGCTCCCATACCTATTGTGAGTACCACCGGAGATGTCGAGAAAGCCTCCCACAGTGTTCACTGCATATTTGCTTAATGATAGTCTGCTGACTTGTTCTTCTGTCTTAGGTCGGCACCGGTTCTAGCATGCTATCAGCCATTTTCGGCCTGATTCCTAACCCTCAAGGGGGAGAGAAATCTATCGAAAGCAAAGATATCAGTAGTGCTCTTGCAGACTTGTTGGAATTGAGCTCAAATCATCTGAAAACCATGTTACGCCTCGCTATGGGCGCGGCACAGGAGGGCGAGGATTACAATATGCTTCCGGGTTCGGAGGCTTCTGATACTCTCTCAACACCGATCGCCAACTTTTTTGCGAGTGGGTGGTGGCTTATCGAGAACGACGAGGGCCCAATTGAAGACATGGTTCGGGAAATGAGGGCTAACATCCGGAGGAAGGTTGCCACTAATATCCTCAAGAGCAAGGATGTTTACCTTGTCGCCAACCTCAACGTCGAGTCTCCGGAGAACTGCGTCAAGGTTGGAAGACACTGGTTGTACCATGACAACAAGCCGCGCTGCTTTCACCTTGTTCAGTGCGTTCAGCTCCCATTCGACAAATTGCCCAGATGTGGCGATCTTAAGGCGGATTTCCATGATGTAAAATTGCGGCGCCATGAGCTTGGAAACCGCATTCCTTGGTACAACTCAATGCTCGACTGTGCTAGGAAAGGAAACGTAAATAAGGAGTTGGATCTAAGCAGAACTACGGATGACGGCTCGCCCACTTGCTTCTTCAACTTACCAGTTTATTATGCTGATTTTGGTGAGAAGAAGGAGTGTGGCCAAGGCGATGGCTTCAAACACTGGTCTTGCGACTTAACTTATCTCTTCCCTTACTAGCGCTTGGCAATAAAGGTAACTGTCTTAATTGGGCTTCGAGGTGTGGTGGGATTGCATTGTATGATCGGCGTATAATGTCTCTAGCGTTCTATTCATAGCGTTGATTTTATTTAAAATTTTTAATCTCTATCAAAAAAAGTTCCTAGGACTAATAATCTCTCTCTTCGGGTTAAATCCCGTTTTAATCTGCAGGACATGAGGTGATTTGCTTGGTCACTGCTGTTACTTGGATTTGGATCTTTCAGTCTTAAATGAAACAGGACGCACTCCGTGAAGGTCTCTACCATTTTTAAAGCCCTGGTATTCTTTGAAAACCGAAGGTGTCCGTTCCCTTATTCATTTACTGTTGACGTAATATCCTTACTATATTATCTGCAGCAGCTTCGCCCGACTCGTACGCGCCGTGAACACATCCGGTTCCTGTACGGGAGCAATGATCGCCAGCAAACTGCAATATCGAGTCTTTATTTTCATCTAAGGCATCCCAAAGGACGTGAGGGTCATCTCCAACCTTCGCAGTGGAATATGAACCGTTGCCCGCGAAGTCGTCCTTCGTCCACGACGTAACTTTCGCTTCCACCATTTTAGGTAGTGTTTTATATGGCTCCGTTCGGAAAAGCTTCAGTAGCGGCTCAAAGTACTCAAACAGTGCCTGTTGATTTTCTCCCATTCGTTCAATCTCATGAACTACTGGCGGTGTAACGAATATGCAGAGCTTCTTTACGCCAGTCATGATCCAGAGGTTGGTAGCTAGGAAAGAATGAGACAGAACCGGGTATTTGACCTTTTGACTGTCGTCAGCCAAGGTAGCTGGAGTAGGAAAGTAGATCAAGTTGTCATTCTGCGTAGACCAGAAGACTTCAGTAAACTTGAAGAACACTTTGCCAAGCGTACCATAGCTAATCTTGGAAGTACCAAGGGCTAGGTCGCTGGGGATGGGCGGCTCGAAGGCGATTTTCTGCTGATGTAGTACGCCGAGAGGGGCAGTCATAACTACAGCTTCACCGTCAACAGCGTAGTGGTTACCCTCGGCATCGATGGCATGCACTGAGACGGGCGATGTATTGCCTGAGCGATTCCATTCGACTCGATTAACGACATGGCGCAGCCTCAAAGCGCCAGGCAGTTCAAGAACAGGTTGAGCCAAGTGATTGACTACGCGATCATAACCTCCGGTGACATATAAGTCGCGCTGAGGAGGTAAAATATCGTTCAAGAACCTAGATGAGATCTCGCTGAGGGCCAAACCAAAAGTTGGTTCGATAATGCGCAGCGCTTCAGGAGCCCAGATCTTCTCATCTTCGCTGATCAGTTCTTGCTGCTTCACAAACATGCGAATGTGCTCCTCTGCTGAGTAGTCAGGACTGTCAGGGCTTTTTAGATTCCAGTAGTTGAGATAGTCCAAGAACTCGTAGGCCACATTCTGGGCTTTGAAGTTCGGGCCAGCGGGGCCAAATTCGGTGAAATAAGCAGAGTTGCCATCGTTATAGTAGTATTCGATGCCGAGCCTGGATATTAGCTTCACCAAGGGGTTGTAAGATGTTGCATGCATCCAAGCAGCTCCTATCGTATGTCAGTCTTGTATTGTTCCGAAGACGGGCGCACATAAGAGCGCTAAGGTGGGCTGGATATTGAACCTATACGAACTCCTACACAAGAAGGCAGCGCCTGTCTCGATCGGGATCAATGTACAGTAAGTTATCTTCCATGCGGGCGATTTGAACCTACCCATGTCGATGTTATCGCCGTCTTCGTGGTCTGTCACTATCCGCCCACCAATGCGATCCCGAGCCTCCAGGATCACAACATCAAGCCCCTCGTCAATGAGCTTAGAGGCTACACATAGACCTGCAATACCGGCGCCTACGACGATGACCCTCTTCTTGGCATCCAAGTGATCAGTGGAGTTTTGATTTTCCATGTCTGTGACTGAAAGGTAGACAGTAAGTAGTAGTGTTGTATGTTTTTTGAAAAGTAGAGAAACAGGACTCTAAAACTTGGAAGACGAGAAATCTGTTTCTTGTGGCCGAGTTACGGGCATTTATTGGGTTGAGTAGAGATACAAATAGTCAGATGCCTGTAAATGGTTCTTTTGCGGGTGCGGTGTTCTCGGCCACCGTCAATCGTAAAAGTAGGACTTGGGTGGTTTCTTCCGGCCCTTTTCAGTGTCTAATCCACGCACGAACCGCAAGCCAAGAGCTACATGAGTCTAAGAATATGAATCATCCGGCGAGACCTGCTAAAATCTCCACTGTAAAAGGATTTCATGAACTAACGTACGGGTGTGACCACGTGCCTTGCATGCTGTTCGAGCCTCTCATTGCAACGCTCATTGGCAAATGGGTGCACCACTTTGTAACTACATTGCAGAAAGTCAACCTCAACCCTTATGGTTTCATCTCCTCATTGCATCTCATTCGTCCTTCAGATGTTCGGTTGAGAAGTCTTGGATGTACTGTTGAATCAAGGTTTGAAATCAGTTTGAAATCACAATCCTCGATGAAGTGTAGCAATACGAATAATATCGGTTTTTTTAGTTTTTTTTCTTCTTTTTTTTTCCAAAAAAAATTGATGCAATCGTTAAAAGTCTTGAAAATTTGTTTGCTATTGCTGGATTTTCGACTTAATTTTACTATGGATAATCGCAGCACCTGAGTTCAAGATTCGCAACGCAAAACATGTGACGTGATTGAGGTCTTCACTTGAGTCCGTTTTTCATCGTGGTCTGCCTCGAGCAGGGGGGCCATTTAGGCTGCCCAGCTTCTATGGAGGCAGTGCATTGACCTGCGGTCTGTCCTGGACAATGATCGCCAAGTCGCTTTTTAGAATTGGACGCGGTGGTTGGAACTTTGGGTGGTTCAGCGCATATCAATGCCAGCTACGGTTGGTATTGCCTGCGGCACAGCTCTAATCGACCCCGAGATGCCTGCATCCGTCAGCCCAACTGGCCTTGTGCTTCTTTGCCACCCACAACGCTATTGCTCAGGAGCCAAGAACTATGTCATAGGATTCAAAAGATGGATGGGTGAGATTTTTGTGCCTTGAAGACAACGCAAATCTACAGGGCTCGCCTCAAGATATATACCCTCAAACCTCATTTCCTTTCTTCTTGACTTTTTCCCTTCCCAATCGAATCAACAGTTTTTATTATACTTTGAAAGTTCATTCATCTCCTACAAGGAAGATCTTCCGTCACTCAGTGCGATCGCTTCACAATGCCTGCCATCCACCTATCTCAAATATCCCACAACGCGCTACTCCATCTTTTGACTGCCCGAGATAGCCCTCAAGATGTGGCCGATGACTACATTGACAAGTACATCAATGGTAATTCCGGCAGTAACAGTGGTAGAAGCAGCAGCCTCAAATCAGAATATGAAAACAGCAAGAAGACAGTCCAGGCCATTGGAGGCGGTGTCATTGCCGCTATCGTTATTGTAGTGCTTCTTATCATCTCTTCTTTCATTGCCGGCTGCTGTATTTACAGTAGGCGCAAGGAGAGTCAGCGCCAGCGTGATCTGGAAATGAAGAAGTGCATGGGCGATAACCGTTCGAGCGCTGAATCAAACCATCAAACCACGACTACCGCCACCAACAACAATAACACGACCTCAGGCTATGGACAAGGAACATATCCAAGTTATGGCTACACTTACAACAACGAGACCGGGTATGGATACAGCAAGGGTTACAGAGGAGTGGATGATGGGAACACAAATAACACCGTTTCCACTGGGCTCCCTCCTGCATATACTGCGATGAACGATGGGTCAGCGTCGAATGAACGAGGCAACAATGGATCGGGTGTAGGAAACCACAACGCAGTTTGATTCAACCGGGAAAACGGTGTGGGAATACGAAAACAACAATACCTAACTTTTGATACCCATTAGTCCCTTTCACACTGAGCGTATTGGAAATTTAGAGAATCTATATTCGTGTAGAACTGTTTAAGAAAGCAACCGTTTTTGTACCACTCCTCGTTCGGCCTTCCAACTAAGGAAACATAAAGTAAAACCCCATTTCCCCGTGTAAGGATGTATTATGATATTAACTCGAACTTCTGTATGATGTGTTACTTCTACTGTTCCATCTGGATAGAGATATAAGCCGCCGTTTACTAATAATGGAGTATGCGAAATTTCCCACACCTCAGCATGTTAAAACTTCAGCGTGTTAAGAAACAAAAACCACCTTGCATATCATCGTTTCACTGTAGGATTCTTGATTTGGCAATGATGATTGCATTTTGCTACAGTAAAGTAGACCTAATGACTCTTCAATCTGCCTTTTGCAGGCTTCCTCAACCTTTTTTATCAAACCGCTTACACATTTTTTGGCCCAAGAGAACGCGGGGTAAAAAATCAAACTGGAAGCAGTTAAAACAGCTTTTGGTTCGGACTCAGAATGAGGGAGCTTGTGGCAAACCACACAAGAAAGCAGATGGAACAGACAAAAGCATACTCCAACCCAAATTTTCCAACACCCTAGCCAGGCTCGGTCGCGAAACAAGTGATGGGCCACTTGTCTTTTCGCAACGTTTACTTGGCAACACCAACGCAAGAGAAGCACTTCTTGAAGGAGTCGGCCTCGAGGGCGAACAGACCTCCGTGGTCGAGGAGGGTGGCGGGGTTCCAGATCTCGGGGTCAAGACGGCCGAGGAGACCAGTGTAGCTGGTGAGGCCCTGGGGCTCGGTAACACCCCATGGGTTGCGCAGGACGATGTACTGCTTGTCGCCCAGGACGCAGTATCCGAGAACGGAGTAGGCGTGGTTGGCAACAATGTTGGCGCCGTGGAACTCGCGGCCAGTGGCGTAGGTGTAGGCCGTCATGGGGTTGATGGTCTTGTTGTTGACACTGTTGGAGCGGACCAGGCCAAGGAGGGTTTGCGAGGAGTGGTTGTCGCACATGTAGTAGTGAGGGGTGCGGCCGTTGATCTGGGCCATAGCCTTGATGGGGTCACCACAGTGAGTCTGGGTGATGTCGGGCTGCTCTGAGCTGGTACCAGTAATCCACTTGGCGAAGGCCTTCTCGTACAGCGAGGGCCAGATGTCTGCGCCGTCGCTGGAGCGGCAGTAAAGCGGCTCGTTGTCCGAGTTATTGATTGGGATCTCATAGTTGACATCGACGGTCTCGGTGCGGTTGTTCTGCTTACCGCCCTTGTCGTGGAACTTGATGGACAAGAAACGCTTCTTCGCGTTGCCGTGAGTGTGGACGCGAGTGGCGCGGTTGATGGCGCAGGGGTCCGACCAGAAGACGGAGAACAGGGCGGCGACGAACCAAGAGTTGCTGGAGCATCCCTGAGTGGGATCGTCAAAGTTGCGGACGGTCTCGCGACGATCACCAATGCGGAACATGGTAATATCGGAGATCAGTCGCTTGTTGACGCTTTGGAAGAAGTAGTCATACATGTCTCGCCACGAGGCATTTGGTGGCTGCCAGCGGCCCTTCTGCATTCTGAAGGGAGTAACGAGCTCGTTGATGGACATGGTAACCTCGCGGTTGGAGACAGTCTTGCCGAGGTCATGGGCATGAAGAACCAGGCGGAGTTTTCCGTTCTGCATGCGAGCAACCTTGACTCTGGTTTCCTTGAGGTCCTTAAGTCCGACTTTCTCAAGATCGTCCAGGCGACGAACACCAGAAAAGTCAGGAGTCTGAAGATCCTTCTCGTTGAGGATCTTCATGTCCTTCTCGTCGTACATCTCAGCCTTGCGCTCCTTCTCATTGAGCTTCATGCCCGCAAACAGAACGGAGCGATGGCGCATGTCGAAGAGCTCATCGTAGTCGGTCTGAAGGACATTCTGAAGGATTTGAGCAGCGGCCATGGAGTGGCGGTCCATCTTGCGGCCAATGAGGGCCTCGGCCAGGGCGTACGGGTTGACGGCACCAACGCAGGGATTCTTGGGTGGAGAGTCGGGGCGAGGGCCCTCCTTGCTGAAGTCGTGGTCTTTGCTCATGTCGACAAGATCTTCATAATCTTCCAGAGTGCTCTGGGACGAAGAGCCCGGCTGGCTGTCGATCTTGTGTCCCAAGATGGCCTCAACAAGGGCGATGACGTTGCTGTCTCTCTCGGTGTTGCGGATGTCGCCCATTTTATAGAACTTAAAAGTTACGTATAGTAAATATGTTGTAAAAGCTTTTAGGGTATGGTGTTATGCTTGCTGTGCTGGTAGCTGAAGACTTGAGCTGAGCCCTTTGGTTTGATGAGATTCAGAATCGTGAACGGAGGAGATTCCATTGAGACTTTATACCTTTCAATATGACCGTTTACCAAATCAAACTCGTACGTTTCTCAACTCAATCCCCGCCCTACAAGATGATTCATCACTGTGTAAGTCTCAACTCAAACAACAAACAAATTTTATGCATCTCCCTTGCCGGTGCGAAGGTTTTCGCACCATATGCTGCGGAGAAGTACGAGGTGGACTTCGGAAGAGGCGTCAAGGCTTTCAAGCCACGGGATCCGCGTTGCCCAAGCATGTCTGTGAAGATACTCGTTATTGTGTTCCTCTTGCAACGTTGAACCACTGGTCTGAGTGTCTCTGCAGCTCGGACAATTCGCCAAGAGGATTCCCAAGATAACGCCGCTGTTTTCACATGTGAATACCACGCCATTATGGGAATCCCCAAAGGTACTCGAGCATACTTGGCGCTAAATGAAGTCAAAGGGTTACGATTATTTGTGCCCAACTGTCTGTGAGGGGGTGTAGGTTCTTTCAGCGCGACCCAGACCGCGCAAGCTGTACGGCATTTTCAAATGTAGGTTTTGATGAAACCCTGAGGAGACATTCTCGCAGCTTACGGCGAAGCGGGGCTCTCAGATGTTGGGGAATCCATCTCATAACAAGGCCTGGATGCAGCTTCCCCGCGTTAGAAAGAGAGTGAGAAAGGCGTGGACTCGTCGTGAGGCTGAGATGCAGTCCCAACAAACTTAGCTCTGCAGCTACAAAGACTGATTTTTAGATGCAGGGATTCCTCGGTGATAACATCAGAAGAAGCATGGGGGAACTGACCCGGTTTGAGGTGACAACCGAGCTAGCCTTATTTGCCTTTTGTCAGCCCAATGCTAGGCCTATGACATTGAAGCCGTGTGCCACCACTGCTGCCGATGACCAGCAAACTTCGCGCCCACGTGGCTGCCCAGGCCTTGTGGCGTCTAGCTCAGTCTCCCATTTCCCCCGCCTTGTTGCACACATATTAAAGGCGGTACCGTCTACATTTGACTTTCTGACGCCCCTCTTTGCATTGAAGGCCTAAATTACCATCAGATTTCCTCTGCTACAGTTTTTGAGTATCAGACTCGATTAAATGTGGTAACTGCAATCACTTTTGATCAGTTAGGCTTTCTGCTTACGTCCCGCTCAAACAACCGATAATAAGCGGGAGCTATGGATGTAGCGAGGAGCTTGGGCTTCCATATTTGACATGTACAGCAAACCTTCCAAGGTTGCTTGAAAGTTGCGGGGTACTGCGAAGTGGCGCGGGGTAAATGAAGTCTAAGATCATGAAGCTGTTTCGTTATGTTTTGCTTCCATACCAACTATTTCCATGTACGCAGTATGCTGTTTCAAGTGAGGAAAGCAGGCTGAGAGGAGCAGATTCGACTACGAAGATGTAATGGCGACCATCATTCCCGCGACAGTCAAGCAAGAGATGTACTTCTCCACCTCGGTCGTGACTGCTTCAATGATCGGCTCAGTTGGAAGCGTGAGGTGATTACGATACTTTAATGTGGCATACGAAGTCGTCGGGTTTGATGATTTGGTCCCTGAAGAAGCTACACCTACGCACGGAAACCAGGCCGAACCTGAGCGCCGGGAAGAATGCGTAGCTTCCTTGACGAACATAGTGCATTGATGACCGTTCGCAAAAGTAGGAATATTACATATAGCACAGTCCATGAAAGGATCAAAGTAAAAGTCTCCCTTCGCTGTGGGACTCAGGATGGTGTCTCAGGAGGCTGTCGGGCCGGGCGGGGCGAGCGGCCCGAGCCCGCAGGACGGACATTGCCCGGCCTAATGTGGAGACTTTGATGGAGATGCTTGCCGCCTTACCGGCCGGAACCAAGCGACAGCCGCAAGGGTGGCTATGTCAAAAGGCAGGTTCATTATTACTATCATCTTGCAACGTTGACTATACGAGTTCGAGGTTCGAAGCATACTTCAGGGATCTTGATTACCCAAGCTGAAACAATGCATATGCAGCGGTTCTGCAGTGCTTCCACGGAAAGCTTTATCATGCAATTAAAAAGGGGTCTGCAAAGGCGAACAATAACCTAGAGTCAAAGGATCATATGTAAATCTTACACTTGCTTCTGAGACTAACAAGCACTGAACCATAGTCCCCGATGAACTCGACGCCCTGCAGGTCTTCGGTGGTTTCCAAGTTAGCGCCTTACGGTCGAGGTCTGTCCCAAATCTTCTTCATTGCCAAAACATGCTCGGATAAGGACTACATGTCCCGATGAGGTTGTGTGAACAGTAAATTTTCCTAGGTGCATAAAGCTTCAAAAGGGGTTGATTAGCTACGGAGTAACTGAAGGATACTATCTTAAGAAAGCATGAGAAGCTACGCATTGGTTTTGTCACAATCCGTCATATGAACACATGAGAGTCTGAGAAAGCCTTGAAATGTCATTTGATCCTTCAAGTTTCATTGATATCTGTCCATGTCATCTCAAAGACACATTGCGTCTCAAATATTCGGGTTCCTTGAGCAGACCACCGTGCCTGCAGAAGAACAGCGTCCGGGCGTATTCGTGTAGAACATAGTGTGAATAGATACAAGTAGGTTGGCATATAGGGTTTGAACTACGCATTTCTATAATGCTGTGTCTAATTATTGGAGGTGTTTGTCAATCTTTTATCAGAGCCTATGTGCGATCCCTGCGCTCATGAAGCTGAGTTGCGCAGCACGTGCCAAGGAGATTATTAGCTCAAGGATCATCAAGCTGACGAAGACTTAAAGCCAAGAAGAAATGTCTCAGCTCAGCCGTAATACATTGCTTTACAAGAAAGCTCCCACCAATGAGTTGTAGATTGCTACTAAATAATATCTACCGTCTTGTATGATCAACACACAATAACGTCACTTCCCATATCTATTGTATCTACCCCAACATAGCCTCATTGAATTTAACAAAGTGGAGCGTGATTTGAGTCCAGGATGGAACCAAGGTGGTCAAGGTAAACAAATAGCCTTGGCCCAAACTATTTCAGTTAATTGGTGAATTCAGGCCACGTCAAACACACGCATCTTGCAGTCGATCGATTATATCCAATTCCGACGCGGTTGCTGCTGATCACAATATGAGGGTGATAGAAGAGCCTTGATGTTCTGACTAGACAGTCTAACGGTAATGTTAAGGGACTTTGCCCAAATATCGAATCGGTATCACTCAGCTAGCGAAACTCCCGAGACACAACCCTTTGTATCAAGGCTTAATAACACTACAGTGAAGTCAGCTGCTGTGATCACCCATTTTCTGGAATACAAAATAAAACTTACACATGCTTCGAAACCGCCGTCGCCACAAGGGGCGTCGTAGGACATCAAGCAGTCTCCTCGCCAGATGTTTCGGTCTCCTCCATGTCCTGCACTGCAGCAAAAAGTATTGCGTTCCTATGTGGACAGACATGAGAGTGTTAGTTAAATGTCGGCTTGACTACGCCGTCGTCCGGAACTTGCTGCAAAGGTCATGTACAAACGTACCGGATACAAAGCCTTGCAGCTCGGGTGAATTGCCTGTTTGCCGTAGGAGGTGCACCACCACGCATCAGCTGAGCCTAAGAAGATGGCGCCAACAGACAGAAGAATGGTAGTCAACTTCATGGTGGGCGGATGAAACAGTGGGTTCAGGTTGCTACGAGGACTTCAGGGTTCAGTCAGGCATGGTTTGACGTAGAAGAGCGACGGTCACTGCCGCATTTATAACATCTGCCAGACGGATAGCTCCGCCTGCTCAAGGCAGATGGCCAATATAATAAGCTTTTGATACACGGTCAATAGTATGCACGATTCGTGATAGAATGCAAGATGTCAGGTGCCGCTAGCTACATGGTCAATTGCCAGCAAGTGCAGTATACCCCTGGAGCGCCAGAGACAACAGGCACATCTCACAGCAGAAAGCACTATGAGACTTTACATTCAACAAGGATTCCAGCGAGGGAGTCGTAAGGAAACAGGGGTAAAGATTCTTTAAGCCATTAGTATATGCAAGGTATTTACTAGTTGTACAGTTGCCTTTATCATACTACCTCGGCTGAGAAGGAGAAGGAGAAGGAGAAAGGCGAAAAGGCCGAGTGGAATATTTTAGCCGCTAAATTCCTGCTCGCTATTCTAAAGACAAAAGCATATTGTTTTTCTGCGTATTCACCAGTCAGAGTAGTCCTTGCAGCAGTACGAATTACTCGTATGAAAACAAGAGTCATGTGTAATGAATTCACGGTATCCCACCCCACCGGGACCACGCTGATCTGGTCTGGCGTATGCGCCTGAATGACAGAACGGATATACGGCAACTCCGAGCTGTGCGTCATAGTCATTGGTCTCTCTTGATCATTCCTTGCCCCTGTCTTTGGATCAAGAGTGCGCAGTCCTTGTCAGCTACAGCAGACTCCGGCATAACGGACTTTGCGAAATGTAAAATGTTTGAGATATCGAAAAGGCAAAACGAGGATCCCGGTAAACAGCCCCACTGCCAAGAGAGCAATCGTGTTAGTGTATGAACACTAGTAGGCCCTAAAATGAAGATTGGTCGTAATGGTCGATCATAAATACGACACTAGCTTGGTCCAACTGCTTCTACCAAGCCTTGTGTCGAGACGGTAAAACAGAAAGACCGGATTAAATCATATGCCGATTCATTATGAGGTGTAAAATATATTTCATTTTCGAAAAAGCCTTCTTGAACCGAAATCGATGAGAACCTGGCAACAAACGGTCGCCTTCTAGAAGCAACATGGTAACCTACCAGTTAATTAGACGGCGGTCTGTCTTCCAGAAGCCTTCTATCCCCTCCATTCCGTATTTGAACCATTTCAATCTCGTTTTGTGCTGGCGTTTCTCGCACATAACCATCCAGCTTTGGCAGCAAAATGTTGACCACCTCAACCACGACCCCCAGCAACACAAAAATCGCCAAGACCTGTCCAAAAGTCCAGTCCTTCTCCTCCGCCGAAACATGATTGCGCGTGACAATCTGCTCCAACGTGACAATCATGTACACGTTGATTCCCGTATGGATCAACGGCTGCACCACCTGTCCGCCCAAAGCATTCCTCTTGTACTTGGGGTCTGACACCTTGATACGGCCCATGACGTTCTTCAACGTCTCGAGGTCCGGGTTCGCCTGCTTCGCCCATCTCATGCCCGAACTCACCCCGCCGCACCAGCACTGCGCCATGACAGCGTAGATGACCATGCTCATGACCCATCCGAAAGCCATGCATGCCATCAACGCCAGGATCACATAGCGGAACACTTGGTTGGTGGCATTTATGCTCACGCCGAAGACAACGTAGACAGTCGAGGCGTTGCAGTCGGGCTGGCTGCCGTAAGTCGGCGCGGTTATCCAGATGTACGCCGTAAGCGCCGTGAAGGCAGAGGCGATGATGACTCGAAAGACGGCCAGGACAAGCCAGCGATTGAGCCCGCCGCCTTGATATCGCCGCTGCGCGACAAGGCCGAAACCGAGCAACGAGAGGAGATGCAGCACGCAAATGGCGTGGAACAACGTGAGTTGGCGTTTGAAAGTTTGGTAAATGGCGGTACAAAGCAGTGCGAGGCCCTGAAGTTGCAGCGCCGAGTTGACAGCCTGACAAAACTCGGAGTAGTTCTTCTCGGAAGTGATCATTTGGACTACGGTCTTGAGAATACCAGATGCCAAGCAGAGAGTGTAGATCGAAGCGCGGATCTACAAAACATGGTTAGTATTCAAAACAACTGAGCCGACTCGAAAAAGAACCAGACTGACCCCAGTTCCAGTGACATCCGGATTTGCTTCAATCTCGCAGACCCCAGGTGTTTGCCCGTTTTGAGCCATGATGTAAGCCGTTTCAGAACTTGAAAACAGTTGTGAGCTTTTCCCGTTGAATCTATCACGGCCCCATCACCACCGCACACTTTGGCTAAGGTACTTGAAAACTTTTTATCTACTCCGACTTCCCAACACTGGCGGCCCAAAAAGTCGCAGGCGAACTTGCAGAGGGTGGTGTGACTCCGTTGGGCAACCAGGTATTCAGCCTCACCTAGGCGCCCCCCGAGACAACCTGCAGAGGTAGCCTGCACGTTGCTTTTCGGCCCTTAACCCCTATAGGTATCAGCCACTTCACTAGCCAGCACCCATCATCCAATCCGATGCGCTCGTGACGAAGAGAAGCTGAAAATGCCTTGCTGTCTTGGCATTCACTAGACTCTGCATCACAGTCGGCATTTTAGACGAGCTCAGCCCCCGATTGGGAGACCCCGATACAACCATCCCGTCCCCGCGTCGGTGGTGGTTTGATTGCCTTGAAAAATGGAAAATGGCTCTGGAGGAGGCGATATAAAGTATGGCGGAACCCTGCGACGATCGAGAGACTCGGAGGGAACCGCTGATTTCCGCAAAACGCACCCCTCATCGCGAACATGACGCAAAACTCGCAAATGTCACCGGCACCGCGGCGGAGCGCGGATGCTTCGTCCGTGGAAGAGATCGATCGCGGCAGCATCCGAGTCATCCCGGAGGGCAGCATCGAGATTCAACCACCGCCCATGTTGATGAACAGCGCACCATGGCGAATCAGTGAGTATTTCGAGCGAGGACCCTGGGGCTTGAATGAATGATGGCTGACGTGCGATACCTACCTAGTCTGGGGATTCGGTCTACTCGCCATCGTCGAGTTAGCCATGAACGCCGGCGCCGGCGCCGCGGCAGCGAAAGTCGGCTCCGATCTTAACGGGGTCACGCCGACGACTCTGGCCATTCGGATGGGCGCGCTGGCTGGGCTGACAAAGGCCGCTTTGACAACGTTCCGAGAGATAGTACTCATGAACGGCGTCAACTTTGGGTTCCGCATGCTGCTCTTCCTGATTACATCCTCTATCGGCATCTGCCCTCTGCTAGTGACGGAAGTCGGCAACATCGTTCTCGGAGAGAGTAAGTGACAGACCTGACTTTTAAGTCTATAGATAATGGAAGGAGTCGATCTAACGGCAGAGTAGCACCCAAAGAGCTCGTCATCGCAGGAGTCGTGGCAGCCTTCCCTCTCTTCTTCGAGTCGATCCGTGACATCAAACCCAAGCCAGATGACGACGGAAGAATAAACTATTACCGCTGGGTAAGCCGGCTCTAGTTGCATGATTGCAACATAACGTACCAGTCGGCGTTACATGGCTGACTTTTGATTCCAGGTATACGCTGTTTTTCTCATCGGCACCGATGCTCTCGGCGGATACGTCTTCGCCCGCATGGCTTCGAACCAAGGTCCGTCCAACCAATCCTCCACGCCTCCAACCTTCACACTAACAATACGCAGGCATGCCCGTAAGCAACTACAAAGCAGCTTGCTCGGCCGGGGCCGTCTACGGGACACTCACCTTCGTGTCACGCGCCATAACCGGCTGCGTCGCGATGATCCAGAACAAGTCCGAAGGGATAGTTTCCGACATCTTCGGCGTTTGGGAAGTCGTCCTTCCGGACAAGATCGTTGTCACGGAAGAAGAGTACAGACAAATGCAGGATGGCCTGGCGAAATTGTTGACGCAGTTCTTCAGCTCCGGGACACGCGGGCTGGGTTCAATGCTGACTTGCTGTTGCTGTTGCTTTCCCAGAGGTCGAAGGTGGGCCAAGGGGGTCAGGGAGGATATGTTCGACAGCGAAATTGAGGGTGATGTCGGGTTCATGGGTGTGCAGCTTGCGCAGAGCATGCTCCCGACGAAGACTGTGAATGCGCAGCATCGAACGGAATCAGTATGAGACTGAGATGAGGGAGCTCAAAGAGGGAATGCTGAGATGAATTATCCTGCCGAGAGACGGTATCCTTAATTTGCCAGAGGACCTTTTACTGGTACACATGTCCGCTTGGTTCTGTGTACAGCACGTTTCTTTCGTCTTTGTTTGGGGATTGTTGTAAGCAAGGGGGTTAGGTACACCAGGCGTTTCCATTTTGTTTAGAGCTAGTGCCCCCAAAAGCTGGATGAAAAGAGTAACGCTGCAAGTCGAGAGGATGGCCGAATCTAGCACCTGCACGAGCGCGATGAGAATATCGTAGAATGGAAATGAAAGTAAATCCAACACCACCATAACCGTCCCCGCTTATCACCTTCACCCTCTGCCAAAGCTAATCATCATCTTACTGATTGGAAATTTGCACTATTCCAAGCAGTATAACCAGGATATTAACCCTCCAGTGACTGCCCGTCCCGCGGAAGTACTTCAAACAACGACGCCAAGGACAACAGCTCGGAAGTTTTCTGACCCACCTACGGTACCGCCAGATTGGTTACAAAGTGTAAGGTAAATCGAATGCTAAGACATGCAGCAGTACATCGGGTTCAAGCTTAACGACAAGCTCATAACTATCCCGTGGACCCTGCAGGGTCTCAAAAATGATTCAGAATCTCCTTTATTATACCAGTATAGACTCGACGATTTCAACCAGATTATGACCTGGGCACTGACCCGTGTGACGTTGATAAAATAAAGCTGTCGGGGACAGGCTAGGGCCATGATGGATTAAACGGGTACGGACACCAAGCATGTAGAAAATGGCATGTTTACAAACGTAGCGGTTCATTCTAAGCTTCTTAATTCGTCTAGTGTCTCCCTATGGAGGGTCAGTCTGTCGACATCGCGTACAAACATGACAATAATCCATCTCATACCCTTCCCGAGGGTCCCGACGTCGTCGCGATCCGCGCTACCAAGCATCGGCCGTAGCCGGAATAACTCGCTCCCACGCCGGCCATGCTTCATTTATTCCAAATCCTCCTCTTGATATTGCGTTCGTATAATGAGCCGAAAGCAAGTACTCCCATAAACACCGTATCCAATGCACCAAACGGCAGATGCAATATGTTCCGCAACCCTAGTCCGTACACAACAAGTCCTTGTTTAAACAAACCAGAACCCCTAATACCGATGCACTTCCATGTTGCCCACTTCATCCAAACAGTAGCAGCGGTGTCGACCCGCGCCCTATCAGGAGGATGGTGGAAAGGTGCGTTTTTTAAAATTTAGAAAAATATGAAAAATATAGTAAACCAGCGCTGAATAGAAGAGATGAATAGGACGTGACAGTACACGTCAACTAAATGCTCACAGATGTGAAATTTAAAAGAAAATCGCAGGGAAGATCAACGCATAGTGTTAAAATCCATCTCAGCTGTCATACCAGTCATACCGGGCATGTCGGAATTGGCTCGCTGGAGTGCGTGAAAGTCACCAACTGTCCGCGGTATGGGTTGTTGTTGCATGGCATAACTATTGGCGCGTTGCGGTTGCTGGCGAGATATGGAATTCATCAGGTTGTTCCCGCCAGGCCCCATGGGATGGGACGTTGGTATTGATGGCGCATTGATCTGCTGTTGTCCCTGGAAGGATGGTGGGCTGATATTGCCCATGTTCTGACCTTGTTGCACGCTGTGATTGTGATGCTGATTCATGTTGGGTTGCATCTGCTGCTGGTTCATGCCTTGGTTCTGCATCATGTGATGAGGTTGATGCTGTTGATGTTGGTTCGAACCACCACCGATCGACGATCCATTCTGGCCCATCGGACTCATGACCATATCGGGCATCGGCGTGCATCCGTAATCGTTCATGCCGTGGTGTGGGTACTCCATCGGTGGAGACATGATCGCTGGCGAGCTTGCGAAAGGCGAGTTCATGTCCGCGGTGGTCGCAGGGGGAACAGATGGGGCTCCGGTGGATGAGCCTGAAATGGTATTCGTGTCGCTTACATTGCTGTTCATGTCGGACATGCCATACTTTTTCTCGTAGTCGGCAACGGAGAACTTGCGGTCGTACTCGGCATCCATCTGCATCTGCATCTGAGGGGGCGGCTGCGCCATACCCGCATTGCCGAAGCCATCAAAGATGTCAATGTTACCCAAGTTTGAGTTCTCGGGCGCGTTTTGCAGCATGGGGTTAGTCAGACGAGGCATGATGTCGGCGACCTTGTTGAGAAGCAGCGGCAGGAAGCGGAAGTCGCTGTGGCGAAGGACGGCGACAATGTTGAGAGTCTGGTTGAGTTGCTCCCGAGGTCCAACAGTGAAGGGGTCACGAGCGGCGGGTTGGACCGCGAGGAAGTCAGTCATGTTGCAGGTGATTTCGAAAAGCTTCTCAATCTGGGTCACTGTTAGCAAGCTGCATTCGGCCAAGATAATAGGTTTTGAAGCTCACCAAGCCGGACCCCATCAGCTCCATTCCCTGACCAGGGAAATGGGAAGCAAGGTTCATGAGCAACTCGCGTGACATATCAACGGGGTATGAAAAGTTCATATTCTCCTCGTTCTGCGAGTTCATGCTGCCATGGGTCAACTGCCAGACAGTCGTCTTGAGCCATTGTTGGTTGGTGCGCAAGTCGGAGAGCTGTCCATCCTGGCAAAGGTAAGTCGGGAGTACCTCGTTCAGTTGCTTCTGGAGGTTAGAAACATAGAGGTTGCTTCTGGTCTTGTTCCACACAGCAGTGAAGGCATCGTCAAAGGGTCGGAACAGGTTCACCAGCATGATGAAGCTGTTGAGCTGATGACTAAGTGGGTCGCTCGGGTCGTCGGCGGAGTTGGGGGGATTGATAGTGGCTTGCAAGGTCAAAGGTCGCTGGCGCTGGATGGCGTGGGCCCTGTATGATGATCGTCGTTTAGCAAATGAACGATGGCGGCCGGGGGGGAGGAATGTGAAAAGGAAAGAGAAAAAACTTACCTCTCCATAATGTAGAACAGCCAGTAAAGACGTCTTCTCCGAGAGGACTCGGCGTTATCCCATTGAGGGCCGTGGTAAGTCTCCTCTTTGTTCATGCCAGTCATGTGCATCACAGTGGAAGCCTCGCGGAGGTAGTACCAAGCCTTGTCATGCAGCTCCAGGCCGTGGTAGCAGCCGTAGACGAAGAAATTGGTCGCCAAGGTGTTGAAAGAGGTGCTGTCAAGATAATCATAGCCCTTGCGAACTTGCAGGGTTTCTTCGAGAAGCAGCTGACTGGCGACAATAGTGGCACCGGGCATTACATCGAGGTTGTAGGGGTCACCGGTGGGCATCGACATTCCGGGCTGAAGCATCATGAATGCACAGAGTGAGGTGAGTAGGCAGTAGGTATCGCGGTTCTGCTCCATGAAGGGCAATTGCTGGTCGATCTGACGGCGGTCGAGGATGGGCATCTTCTCGTACAGGTTGGCAAAGTAGAATTCGACACATTCTTTGACCAGCTCGGCTGAGAGCAGGCCGGGGGTCGGTGACAGGCTGACGGGAGCTGGAGGGTTGGGAATTCCATTCATGCGGTTCTGAACCTTTGCCGACAAGCTGGTCTGTCGTTGGGTCTCCCTCAACTCGCTGATGACCTTTGCGCGAGAGCCCTTGGGGCCCTTCTTCTGGGGGATGGCATTGTAGGTACACGATAGCTGGGCAGTGTGGCAGTTGCGGCACGGATTGACGCCGTCGCACTTGACCTTGCGACGATGGCAAGCATCGCAGGCCCGTTTGACGGCCTGTGTCATGGTGGCGACGCGCGGTGAAGACGTGGTTGCGGTGGGTTTTGTCGTCGTCGTCAAGGTCGATATGGGGCGATCTAGGTTGAGATTATTCCGAGCAAAGGCGGCGGATCAACGGGGGTGATGGCATCGACAACGAGGGTTCTAGCGGGCGATTGAGTTTTGCGGGGAAGGCGACTGATAAGGGAGGTGGTAACAGTTGGGAGCGATGCGTGGAGGAGTTTGGTGAGGATGGAGAGTGTATTCGGCCCTTTCTGTATGCACACGCTGGGAGCGAAACGCGGGGGATGGTGCCAAAATCCGGGGGCTGCAACGCCCGTTACAACCCTTTCCGTCTGTGCAAGTGGTCTCGTGCTAAAGTTTGCGTTGAAGCGTCAAGCGTCGATGTCGAGGGTTCACTGATGTCGCCCACGAAGCAGCAAAAAGAAGCAGAAGAGAAAAGGCCAACCCGTGATGTTGAAGGAGAGGCGGAGGATGGATTACTCGGTGAGGGTCGGTAGGGCGAAGGATGAGAAATTCAAGTAGAGCAGGTGTGGGTGTGGGCGAGGAAAGAGGAATGGAACCGCCTGTGGGCTGAGAGAGAGAAAGGGAAAGTAGTAAAGGAAAAGAGGACAGGACAGGCAAGAATGGATGAGTGTCAAGTGGAGACGATGGAAGGAGCGGCGCAAGGGTGGGCCCTGGGCTGGCGAAAAGAGAAGGGGTGGTCTGGGACGAAGCTGGTACCTTCCACTGTACCAGGCCCAGGTTGTCCAGCCCGGATGGCGTTCTTAGGCTGTTTGGTGGACTTGGCTGGCTTGTAGGCCTCAACCAATAGCACGCTAAGCCAAATTTGGGGTGGTTGACTTGGGGAGGAGACAAACTGGGTTCTGTGTGGTAGCCTGTGGCTATTGGTAATGAAAGACTAGGTACACAGATGGGAGGAACACAGAAAGTAGTAGAATGGCAGGCTCTAACGTAGCAGGGAGAAAGACCAGAGAAGGATGCTAGGATAGGGCATGGAGTAACAGCATTAGAGAGGGACAAAAAAATAAAATAAAAATAAAAATCATGGAAAGAATCAGGGGAAAAATGTTGACAGGAAAATGAATCTGATACACTGTGGGTTCACACGGTAGGTATCCGGTGACAAACCACGAAAATAGGCAGGAAGCAGATGCAGGAGCACCTTCTCCTGGTACGGTTCCCCACAGTGAGGCGTCATTGCCAGGTCACTGTGTCGCGGCAGCTGTCACCCACCCACCACCCTATTGTGTTGTTTAGACCGTGACACATTGTGGATACGTACTTTTCCCTTGGGGAGTCTGCAAATTTCCACGGTCAATGCAGTGAATAGCAATAACAGCAATAACCCCAGCATGCCCAGATACCAGGACATTTAAGCCTATGTGTTCAGTAGCCAGTGGCGGGTTCATCTCACCATTGACACCACTGAACCACTGAGAAATTAAGAGAAGAGGGTGGCAGAGCAACTGAATCAGTCAATCACCTTTTGCCTTACCAGGTAGAGGAGGCAGCTTACGGGATTTGGAAGCACAGTCACGGTAAATGCCGCCTGCAACGTTGTACTAGGGCAGGAGCTGCTGCCTGTACTCGTACGTACTTGCCCTTTTTTTAACGCCCAGCACTCTGTATGGATATGCTGTGCACAGTGTGTATGTCATTTGGAAGGTTTTCCTGAACGAGCAGGCCAATCACGCTGGCTCCAAGGAAAAGGGCTGTCTTGTCAGCCGAGGCAAGTGCTACCTGGGCAGAACCACGCCTGGTAGTTTTCATTGACTATATAGTACGTACTCCCTGACTTAGCCGTGTGTATATGGCTCTGCTGCTGCATTTATACGGAGTACCTCAAGCCCAGTGTAGACGGTATACTTACTATGTAAGAACTAGGAGTACACTCCGAACAGCAGCCAAGTATGTGGTACGGATCCCATCTGCCGTCCCATCTTTGCTATGCAAATTGTATTGCCGGTTACGGGAACATGCTGTGTCATTCTACGAATTGCTACTTCTAGGCCGTTACAGCTGGCCCTGCTTTGCTGGCCTCGCTGTGCCCGACCAGACTGGCGCTCGTTTCAGTAACAACTTGCCCCGAGGGAAACCAGGATATTCTGCACTCGCCTCATCTTCGCTGTCTTTCCTTTGTGCTTCGATCTAGGATGCAATTTTTTTTGTTTTCTTTCCGCCTTTTACAGCAGGGAAACAGAATCCTGATTGGGGAGTCAGTCACCTTTTTCTTGGCAGTCTCGTGAAGGGGGAGAGGACTTTCTGTCATTTCCAACTTCCCTTCCTACGGCACTCGTATTTGGCCACAGATATTTATCGATTCGTCGTCATTACCACCAAAATATCTATTCCTCGGTACTCCGTTGACCATGGTCAGTAAGACCACACGCATACACACGCAACACGGGCGACGGCCTTACGAATACACTTAGTGCACCATGTCGCCTCTTTGTTTTGGGTTTCTATTTTCTACTCGCCCCATATGGCGCGCACTGCCGCGCCCATTGTCTTGTCTGATCTGATTTGATCTGACCTCGGAGCAGGACTCGCTAGCCAGCCTCGCTGGTAATGCATTTTGGCATAATTACACAAAGTCCACACAAATCTCCTGCTCGTTGCTTACTTAAACCTCGCCAATCATCTGCCGCTATCCTCGACATTCGAGATTTGAGGCACACGAAACCGCTGTACGAGGAACATCCCTCGCAACACATCAACAGCCACTCAAACAGCCACAAACAGACGCACTGATGAGCCCATGGGGGAGGACGTTGAGCGCTGGAGCTCATTTGGATCCGCACCCGCCGGTCTGGGGGGCGTCTCCTCTGCCTCCTGATTGCCGACCCATTGTGGATTGTGGACATTGCCAGTTGTCGTCGACCGAGAGAATGGGGACAATCCAGGTTTCTCAAGAACAAGCCCTTAATCACCGGCCGTCTCGACTTTGCAGGGGGCTCGGATTAATGCCAGCCAATGTTCGGCATACCACCACCATCGTCCAACGAGGCATAAACTTTGTTGGTCTTGCAAACATAGTGATCGTCCAACACTTGGGATGGCTAAAGCGCCATTCTGTGGAGCGGCAACGTGCAGCATGTCTGTTCCCACTGACCGAGCACGCCCCTTTCCTCCCCCTTAACCCAACGACACAGCAATGCTCGACGCTCTCACGAGTCTGTCCCTCTTGACTTGTTCTTTACTAGTATGAGGGGGTTGCGACTCAGGTTGAACGCAGACATGCTTCCACAACCCACAGTCTCACCCCTCCATCGAGATCCTCTTTAAACTCACCGCTGCCAAGGGGATAAATTAGACTTCATTGATGCAAAACAGTGGCTGCTGCAATCTCGTCGGTACGTTGACTGCCTGCACATAAACAAACATGCCCAGGTTTTGGCTGCGGGATTTGACAATCTGGCGACTTGCAAGCAATCTTACAGCTCACCCTCACCCTCCATCGTTGATCCCTGAGCCCGTCATCCCCCAGATCGCCCTCAACATGGCAGGGAGTCTTCTAAACTGACTTCCACAATGCTTCCATTTGCTCCGGTCCGCCTATCATATTGCAGCCCCCGAGGCGACTGCTACGTAACCCCCCCTACACCGATGCACCTTGCCATTTGCAGCCCCGTCGGCCTGTGCGCTGGCCTTCTCATTTTCTCCCCTCTCTTGTTTCTAGAGTATCTCCTCAAAAAGGTCGCGAACATAAAACAATCAACAAGGCCTAAGCTCGACAGCGCTTATGCCAGTCATGCTGAAGAGGTTTGATATCGGTTGTCTCTGGCGTCGGGCTTGACATACAGCCTTCAAGACAATTTTTAATTCTGACAGTGAGAGAAAGTCGCGCAGCAAAGCCCACATCTGCCTCCCTCCTTGGCAACTTGCCAGTTGTGGCGGAGGCCACCAGAGCTGCTGCTGCGTGACATGAGCTGTTAGCGTCCGATGACTGGGCTTTACCCGTTGACGCCAACCTGCACCAACACTGCCTCCGCCTGCAAATGCCGTCCTGCCGGCACGGCCGGCCTACCAAGAAGAAAAAAAAAAAAAAAAAAAAAGGAAAAAGGCAATCACTCTTATGTCAGCGGCCAAAAGTTCCCTCTCTCATAGTGGTAGCCAGTTGCGGTCAAGAAGCAGGAAACCAGGTCAAAATTGTATCGTTTCCGGCAATGTTACATCTAGCACACAGAGACAAGGCCAACAACAGGGCTGAAGAAGCCTGCTCTAATCCTGGAGATCCCGCTCGTGGCACCGGAATTCTTGAAACCCGCTGCAGCTGATCCCATATTGCGCACACACAAGGGGAAAAAGAAAAATCTCCTTTGGAACATTGGCTCCCATATTTCTGGCGGCTTAGAGCCACGCTCTGGTCCTGTGTAGTGTTCGATGACAGCGCCCAGAGAACCATCAACACGTCTACGTCCGTTCACCGACTCCACCATCCTCTAAATACCGAGCAGCGAACCAGCGTTCGAGGAGCAGGACATTGCGGAGTTTGAAGAGGGAAAAACTGCCCAGGTTTTTTGTCTGAACGGAACGGCGCCGCACCCCAAATCCGATAGAGTGATTCTGTGCGTCTGTCTCAGCCCACCTCCCACCTCCACATACCCTAGACCACTTCGGCATTAGCGCGTGCGGTCGGTCCGATAAGGCACCTTGCTGCAGTCTGCCTCTGGGGGTGTTTTTTTCTTCAGCGCTTTGTAGGTATAGCTGCAGCATGCAAGGCTGACGAAGACATTTGCTTCATCTATGGGCTAGTGCCAAGGGATCATCAACCCGCCATCGTGCGCAGAGTCCCAAACAGTCTTCAATAATAACTGGAAATATCAATAATGGCTTGGATACGGGCGACGCAACTGTTGGTTGTCCGCAGGCATGGCTTGAAGAACTCGAGAGTCATGGCGTCCTTTAAATTTTTTTGATTGTCCATTGATGCTAACACTCAACGTCCATTCAGCCCAGCGGGCGGGTTATCTTCCGCCAACACCGAGATCAGCAGAGTTCGGAGATGACGTCCTTTCAGACCTTGTGGTAAGACTTTCATCCCATTTCATTCTCTGACGTCTAGTTTCATGAGACGGCACTTCCGTCGGCATCTGCCCAGCTCCATCGGCGTTTAGATACCCGATTAGCACACTCTCCCCCCACGAAGCGGGCAATTCAACCACTTTCAGGTTCTGAAACACCACTGTCAGTCAGTTGCCGGGTGCGCTCGCTCTATCAGAAACATTCTCGGGTGAGCACCGAGTATGATGTGGAAGTCTTTCAGACGTGATGTCTGTTACAGCTCTCAATTGCCGATGAGCACTGGTTACCGTACATGCGAAAAGCAAACCTATTCCGGAGCAAACGCCGTGTTCCCTGAGACGCTCCTTGCGAAATACTCAAAAAATAGTATCTCCCAGATTTCCGTGTTTCCCGTACCATGCACTCGTGAAAGAAGAAAATAGCTTGCCGTGATTCCGTGAAGCAGTGTCCTCGTCCCGACATTCCCAATACACACACACAAACACAGACACACTTACAACTCCGCATTCGGACAGTTGCCCTTGCACTTCTTGGGCGGGTACCTGACCTCACTCGCACAGTTATTCGCATCTCCGTGCTCTCCCAGCTCGCTCGCGGGGACAAACTGGCCCGTCTGCAGGCTGCCCTTGAGGAAATAACTGTACCACGCCTCGTGCAGCACATCCCGCCTGCGTCCCGAGCACCGCAGGACGACCCGCCCGCCGCTCAGCCTCTCCAGCGTCCGCGTGACGTCCGCCAGGGGATAGCGCTTCTCGTGTGAGGGGACGATGCCGGCGCGCTCGAGGGCCGTGAAGGTATCGAGTTGCTTGAAGAGGCTGAATGCGCGCGTGAAGTAGTCGACGACCTCGATACCCGCATCGTAAGATGTCCCGTAGCACGACGTCGAGAGCGTATTTATGCAGCTTGCGTGTTTGTTATACTCGTGGGCCCAGAGGTGGTTGTTTGTGCCGCTGGGTTATAGGTCAGTTTGTCACTCGGATTGGCTATTTTAAGGGGGGGGGGGGGGGGGCAAGGGAGAACGTACTATGCCGCGACCCAGTACCTCTCCATCGACGCCAAAAGGTCGTTCTGGCCGTAGTGCTTCAGAATATCCGTAATGTTGTTGAAATGCGGCGTCATACCGCAGAATGCCTTGTAGCTTCCATCGCAGAGGTCCGGCCTGTTTTGCGTTTGTCAGTGCATCCCGTCTAATCTTTGCTGCTCTTCCATTTCAGGGAAACCGTAATTTGTTTTTTTGGGTCTAGCGGAAATCGAGATATGATGGAAATCATGGGAAGGAGGGCGTGGAAGGTAGCTCACCAGAGTCCATGGACAGTCCAATCCTCTTCCGCCCCGCCTGCGTGCACCGTATCGTCCCAGAACTGCGTGAGCAAGATCCTGCCCGACGGAGAAACGAAGCAGCACGAGTCGACGGGTTCCGAGGTCTTGTGGCAGCTCGTAGGGCCGTCGATGGGGCATGATGGCGCCGCGGAGAGCGGTTCGTAGGGGACGACTGCGGGAGTTGCGTCGCTTGGTCCCAGGGGTGTCTGGGATTGGAGGTGGGGGAGGATAGAGGTTAAGCGGCTGAAGAAGCCGCGGAGGGAAATTGCCGGCGCCATATCGCGCTTCTTCTCTGAAGATGATGTTAATAGCGTATATATGATTGAGCTGATTTCGACGGTTGATGGGGTCGAGATGGTGTACGTGAGGTTCGTGGCGGAGCTCTGTCTGGGGATTCTGCCGTGTGTCATGTGGATCTTAGTGGGTCGTTCTGTTTACCGCCTTTGATAGGCAATGTTTGATTGGACAATATGCAGGGGCGATCGTGGGGATGTGGGGCTGACGTTGGTTTGGTCCTGGGGTATGGACAACTGAAGATATGTCACTGGAATACTCAGTCTGGGTTTGGGAGGCTGATTTGGATTAATGGGGATCATGGTGATTTAATTTAACGTAAAACAGACTTTTTGAAGACCGAAGTCGATTCGTATGGATTTTTTTGAGTAGCTGATTGTTAGTAGTAGCTATATAGACCACCTGCGCATAGTGTTTAGACCTCTCGTATCCTTGCGACTACCTATGTGGTAATTGTATGGAACTATCTTATTCCTGTAACATACTACAGAATATTGAAGTTTTCAGTAGTTAGATGGAATTACAAATCAACAGGATGCAATCGTTTTATATTAAGAAGCATCGACAGCGAACTGATGTAACGAGGTAGGTAGTGTTTTGCGCAAAAGTTAACTGCCCAAGAATACGCAGCTCAAGTTAATTAGTTTCGCTTTCAATCTTTGACTTGTGTAGGGTGTTGAAAGCTTAAGTTAGAACTAATATCGAGCATGATACTTGCTTCGGGCTGCTTCAACTGACAATCACCAAAAATAAAACTGACGGGTAAGCTTCCCATTTTGCTTGGATACCTTGATTTGTTCACATGATTTTGTTTCGCGGACTGACTTTTTAGTATAATTGCAGAGACTGACGCTCTAACCTACCAAAATCAATGCCGCATATTCGGACAACAATTGTTAACTGAGAATTAGAGCCGTTAAGAAGAGTAAAGCCATCGTCACTCGCATTCTATACACTTGAACATCAGCCACCCTGCCTGATGGCCTGGGAGTAGATTGGCTTGTACGGTGGCACGGTTTCTTTGATTTTACATATGTTTTCTTGACGAAGGGATAAGTTTTGCCGGGCTTCAGATGCCTTGCTGGATTCTTACTACTTGGGTACTCTAATCATGTTGTTCCCATCTTGTTACTAATGTAGAAGGGTATAATTCTGGACTAACGATATTCCTCCAGATCCCCTCCCGCCAAAGCCAGACACACGTAGCCCTCTTACCCTAGCGGCTTAGTTGTAATATCACGCATTGATGATCAGGTGTGTACCTGTCAGGCTGTTGCTGGCGCCATTGGCATGCCCGTTTCTGTGGCCATTTCTTGGGGTGTTGTTAAACCCTTCAACATGTGCGCCTGTGAGCTGCGTCGTGGTGCTTTGCTTTAGATAACAAGAGAATCCATGGATTGCACAGAAACTGGGTAAACCCCTTGCTAGAGCGACCGTCATGCTGTAGCTCTGAGCTCCACTGACAGTATTGTTCCAAAAAGTCAAATAGACTTCCGCAGCAGTGGCCATATCAACAAAACCGAACATCACGTATCTTTGCTATGTTTGGTCCACTTACGCCAGGATTTTCAGCTTACAAGTTTCTCCTCGTTGAGTTCAGAAATGTTCGCAATGAAGGCGGAGTCTTTGGTATTGGGTCGCAAGTATAGCTTCAGCGGTCGCAATGGAAGTGAGACATGTCGTTACAAAGCGTCCATGCCTAATGGAAAGAGGCTACCTTCAAAACCACAAACACCTCGATTTTTCCAGAGAGGTCTAACAGATGATTAGCCCAATATCTGAACATATAAGTATATCTCTGTTCACTGGACGCTGGAACACCGACTCCTCACTAAGACGCGTTCGGTGTTCCTCCAATCAGTGATAATTGTTCCATGACTGGCTGGCCTCTGCACATTTCTTGGCAGCTTCCACCAGTAAAAAGAAAGGTCCACTACTAAAAATCGTAAATCCGAACTTATTGCGGTAAATTACCTAGGAGTACTCTATCGGCCAATATCATCAACAATCTAAGATCAAAAGAAGCCAGTAGTGGCAACTGCCGATTCCGGACTGAGAATTAGCATTCTAGAACAAGTAGAACTATCCTACTACGTTTGGCGTCAATAGGGTTTGCTGCAATAGTCAAAATTCAGGGCTGAAGCGGTCTTGTGGCCGCCAGCCGGTACCCGGCTGCCGGCCACCCAGGCATCATGTGCCGATATAGACGAGTAAACTACCCAAGTGACGAACTTCAAAACGGGATATATTAGTATCTCCCCCAACCGTGTCACTCTTTTCTTCTATAGCTTTTTCTCTACAGAAAGCAGGATCTCTACCATACTTTAGAAATAACTCTCTTCTACGCCTGCACGGTTATTCCGTGATCTCAAAAATATTACAAGAACGACAATGTTGCTGTGCTAATCTCTTATCATTTGCATACAAGTGTGCGTCTCAAGGTGTCTTGATAGTAGAAAAGGAAACATTCATAACGCACACTTGCCTCCTATATGCGTGATTTTGCTTGCGAATTCTTCTCCAAAATGTGCCCTAGAAGGGTAAAATGTGTTAAAAGGGGCAAAGGTCAGAGTATGACATTCGCAAAAGTCAAGCCCCACAGCCTCGTAGAATAAAAAAGCGAGAAATCAAGAGACAGTGGTAATCATCTCACAAATGAAGTCTGCGGATTTTCACGACATTGAATTCATAGGATCTAGCACATAGAGACCGTTTACGCTAATAGCAAACTGGGTGTTTTGAGCAAGCTCTTATGCCTAGGACCGATGTGATGGAAAACGTTCCCACCGAGAGGTATATGCTTCGTGGCTTCGCTTCTCGTGGCATGAACGAGTGGGCTGGTCTACATGGGAGCATCAAACCAAGGCGGAAATGTTTTGAGGTGCAGAGGAATCTATCCTTATCACATTTCCTTGGCAAAGGCTGACCAGTCAGTATCGCTTGCAAAGGTCTTGCCTCTTGAACAATTGAATTCATCCGGCTGTAGTGACACGACTTACCATATCTGTTTTCATTTCTGGTATAAACAAACACTTTTGTGCAAAAAAGGAAATACATCCGGTCAGAATGGGGATATCAGCGCGCAGCAAAAAATTGGCCTTCATCTCTTGAGTCCAATTCTGCGCCATTGCCCCCGGGACCTGGGATAAATATTCTTGGTATATGATCCAATTGGGAATGGTCGGAAGTACACCACTACGAAGGACATATGCTGAATAGTTCAGCTGTCCACAAAACACTGGTTCCGACTCGATCATTCCGGGCGCCTAGTAATATCAACAAATAAGATCATTCCTCTACTGTTTTTACTGGCGGACCGGCTGAAGATTGGAATGTCTGCATGCATGTCTATCGCTCCAGAGACTTGGATTCATCACACCAATTCATCGTTGATTCTGTAGCATTCTTCTGCGAACGTTGATTTATTGTAGAAGATCAGCTCACCAAAAACTCCCAGACAGCCACAAACTGTCCAAAATTGGACAAGTGCAGCCAGCATATCTTCAGCAGAAGGGTGCGGAGAACTTCATGAGTGCCACGTGACTATGCCAAGCTACGACTCAACTTCAGCGTTTGAATGGAATTTGGTAGATGGTGAGACACTGTCTCGCAGTATGTCTTAGACGCTTTCCACAGCCTCCGTTCAAGAGCCAATCTAATCCAGGATGGAGTGGTACAGCATATCGCACTAAAACACATTCGGCAAGCAATACTACCCCAGCACTAAGTGAAGACCATGTGGCTACCTGATGGCCTAAGCCGCATAAGACTAGACGGAGAGTAACACAGCATGGCCTTGGACTTCTTGCTCCGCAAGTGGATTCGCCAGAATGAACCTGAGTGTGAGCGTTCCTAACAGAGTGAGAGCATGGAATCGTCTTTGTGGAATCGACTCACTATGCCAATCATGGTTGAGCAGAATCGACAAATCAGTTTCCGTTCGCGTGATTGGTTCTTTACCGGCATTCATTTGCTCTTGAAGGTGCTCCAAAGCAAATGATGGTCTAGGGACGTGCTCTACAAAGCAGAAAATGAGATACATATATAAGGTCGCCCAAACTCAATAGAACCTGGAAACCTTTTTTTTTCAGCAGGCTCACGGAATCAATCAAGTTGACAATTTGTTCTTCAAATTCACAAAAATGAGCTTTTCTTCCGAACATTCGCAGGGGTCGATGGATACTGCCTTGTCCTCTGTTGCCAGCCCCCTAGGACAGGAATTCAACACCGGACGCTGGAGGCAACGGCCAACGAAGCCACGCAATCTTGTTCTATTCTTTGATGGCACTGGAAATGCCTTCACTGGGTCTGAAAAAGATACAAATGTGGTCAAGCTCTTGAGCATGTTGGATCGTAACCATGAAGAGCAGTTCCATTACTATCAGAGTAAGTGTACCCGTGTGATCTTATCTTCCGTTGCTCACATGTTACTCCAGCTGGCATAGGCACCTATAGTGTCAACGAGGAAACAATTCACCAGTCTCCACTTGCTGCCAAGTGGAGCAAGGCCAAGCAACAGGTTGATGGGGGAATTGGCAAAACGTTTGATGCCCATGTCTTGGCTGGTTACCGATTTTTGATGCGCTACTATGAAACGGTAAGTGTGCCCTAAAACTGCGCAAAACTTCATTGTACTTACTCATTTGCTTAGGGCGATAAGATTTACATGTTTGGATTCAGTCGTGGTGCTTACACGGCCAAGTTCCTAGCACGTATGGTCCACACTGTCGGCTTGCTCTGCAAAGGAAATGAAGAAATGGTTCCTTTTGCCTATCGACTCTATGACCGTCATCTGGACGGCGAATTCAACTGCAAAGACCACCAAAGTCAACAACAAGCTGAAGACTCCGAATCAGAGTCAGATGATGGTTTCTTACGTCACAAAAATGGCAACAGCGGAAATGAGATTTGTTCCGAGGAGAGACTGAAACGCGAGAAGCAAGAAAAGAAGGAGCGCCGGAAACGAAACCGCGAGCTCAGAAAGTTCAGCAATACTTTTTGCCGAAAGGAGCCAGGTTGGGACGCTGATGGACACCCATCGGAGAAGGAAACCAACATCAAAGTGCACTTCCTAGGCCTATGGGACTGTGTGAACTCCGTCGCCGTCATGGAGAAGAAGGCCACCAAAAATGTAAAAGTCAAGGGCACTGCACACATCATTCGGCACGCTGTTGCTGTTGATGAGCGCCGTGTCAAATTCAAAGCTGCTCTTTTCCACCAAGACAGAAAGCAACAAATGAAGCAGAAGAACAACCACGAGGACATTAAGGAAGTTTGGTTTGTGGGGAATCATGGCGACGTCGGCGGAGGTTGGCATCCAACTGACGACAAGCTTCCAACCGACGACAAGAATGTAGGTTTCTGGGAGCGGTTGATCTGGTCTGAAGAGGCAACCGAAGAATACAAAAACGCAAGTTTTTGGAAAAAATGCTATATGCGATACTTTAAAAAGGTTGATATATGGGCGGAGCCAAGCGTTTCCGATGATGACGATTGGAACTGTCAAGTCTGCAAAGAATGCGGCTTATGCAAAGCTGAAAAATGCCAGCTGCTCCAGGGAGAATGCCAGTTGTGCAAAAACGACGAATGTCAAAAATGCCACGACGATATCGTGTGCAAGGACCCTAAGCACATGAAGACAAAGCGGCTCAGACCTGATCCATGCCAGCTGAGCGACATACCTCTTGCATGGATGGTTAAGGAACTTGAGCTGAAGGGCGACCTTAAATGGCGTCATGATAAGCTCAATGAATTCAAACATCGATACCAGCATAACAAACAGTCGGCACTCAATGGATCAGTTCATGACCCAGTCATGTTTGGTTTTGGCACCAGCTGGAAAATGGTTCTGTTTTGGAACTTTTTGGGTAAGTCTTGTCACATCGTTCTTGAAATACCTGTTGCAAGGAATATGGCAGGCTAATTCAGTCAGAATACTTCCCTTTGATCCAACGATGGGAACTCACCCACGGAGGGAGCTTCTGGAGCCGTCTCCAATTTTGGAAAAAGCAGGAGTCTAATGCGCACCCTAAATGGGATTGGGTCCGATTTCCTCTTAATAAGGGGGCAACACGAGATATCCCCGAGGATGCAATCCTGCATCAGTCACTCTTCCTGAAGCTTGAAGAAGGCCGTAAACAGGAGTTACAGGGCAAGAGGGTGACTTATAATCCCCAAAACAACCATGGAGGATCGGGCGAGCCTTGCTTGTCAAACAAGGAGGGAATTTTCGCTGAGGTTCCGCTTGACCTCACAAAAAAGTCGGAGCCACCACATCCTGACCACAAAACGTACCACTTCCAGTCATGGGTTAACCACCATGGAGGCCATGTACACCCGGTAGACAGATGAACCTACACTTTTCTTTGTCTTTGTTTGATGGCATTTTTTTTTTTTTTTTTGAGACAGATTGATATACTTTGCACGGTACGGGTTTCATTTTGGACTGACGGCTCTAATATTTTGATAATTAATTGAGGATCCCTTCCACCTTCAATTTGATAGTCCAGCCTACTGCTCTCCTCAAATATGAGAAAGGCATCTTTACTTTTAGTAAACATAGATTTAGAAGTGGCAGTGCAGTCTTGAACTATCCGTTGAGGTCAGAGCTTCTACGCCGTTCAATTGCCATTGCATCTTAGTATTCCCTTGCTCTACTTAATTAGAAAATTTCAAGTACGCTAAAGAACTCTTGAATCCAGAACAATTTATGATTTTTTCCTCATCTACTGCTAAATGCTGCTATTCATGATGACCCAAGTCCTGCCCAATCAACAAAATTGACGGCTCCGGCTCAACTTCAGGAAAATTTTCTGGCCTAGGAAGATTCTTGAACTTGAGAATTTGCTCAGAAATGCCATTTTTGTGCTGCCATTCTAAAATGGGATCATGAGCTACGCATTGCCTTTTGATATTAAAATCTGGGTATGGATTCTCTTGAGTTTTCATCCAGTTGTGAGAAATCAAATCCAGAGATGGCGAGCAAGTTAGAGATTGTAGTAGAATATCGATACAATGAGCCAAGTGGGCTTGATGTCTTTCGGGGGCCATTGAGCTTCAATGAAATCAGTACACAGCTAAAACATGGTTATCGGTGTTTTACTCACATGTTTTTATACGAACTTGCGTAATCTGATGGATGATCTAGTTAGTGATAGGGTCTTGTGCTTGGGCCAGCCAGAGTGAAACCTACAGTAATCCCAATATGCGTATTTTCTCAGTGCATTGAGGCAGTGGAGCTGGTGTTGCATGTCAATCTCGACAAGATACTTGTCGGGACCAACACCCCAGTCCTCTGGGATGGCCACGGAGATCTTGGGGTCTTTGCCCATCTTTCTCAGAGCGTCCCCACTAACGCCAAAGTACTCAATACGTGCAATATCATCCCATGCTTTGTCAACTTCTTCGCTTGGAGGTTGACGCCAGATGCGTGGCGGGTTGTAGTCATTGAAAAGTGTGCCTTTGACTTCGACAGTCTCAAGTTTGATTGGCACATCATCAAGAATAGGACCTTTGCGTGGCTATCTATCAGTTACAGAGCTTGGGAATATAGGTGCAGACTTACTATAAGGCGAAATGCGCTTCATCAAATGGATCGGATCATTCAGCCACCTCCAAGCGATAAATAACACCCCACATGATGTGACGAAAAAGACAGCGTTAAGAGCTGTGATGACCTTCGTGCGAAAGCTCCATTCCTTCTTTTGTGATATTGGTTGAGACCTCCAACTGGACTTCGATAATTGTCAACAACGGCTGTCCGATAAGGAGGACCCGTATGCATAAATTCTTCACTCACCTCCTCTAACAGACCCTCAGTGGAATCTTGATTCTGTAAACTCTCATATCGGTCCTTCATTTTCGTGATTGAAAACGAGTGAAAAGGAAAAGCAATCAGAAATATGAAGGAGCAAGAGAACAACAGCGAAAACCGACAGAGATTCTTCACCGTGCTGCTTGAGAGAGATATCAGTGACGCAAGGGCTGCATACAGCCGACCAGGGAGAAGAGGATTTTGCCGACCAAATCACAAACACGTCAAATCGTCAGTTATAACGTCTTCACCTGCCTGAAAGCGTCAAGCCTCAGACATGAAGACTGGCATCTCCGGCATCCATCAAAAAAAGTCTCGTATTGGTGGGTGAAGCTATGTGCAGATCCGAGAGGAGCGCAAGGATGCGCCAGGATGGAAAAGGATTTCGCCAAGAAAATGACGATTGATCACGACTGGAGACTTTTTCAGCGAATCAGTGTTCCTAATAGGAAGTTTGTCCTAAAACAACGGCGGCACCTCGACGAACAGGAAGGTTGACATCGGGAAACGGCCGCACTAGCTGGGTTGGCAAACAGGATCCTGACTAGCAGATGTGAAGCGCTCGTAGTGAAGAGGGGTAGAATGTCAACCTAGGGACCAGAGGAGGGGCAAAGAACATGATAACAAACACATCCAGACCCCGGCGATTCATCGATTCCACAGCGGCAAGGGACGGGACCGGGGGCAAACTGGGGACGCTAGCTTCAGGTTAATATGGGCTGCGGCGCAGTGGTTTGGCATTACTGGTAATGGAGTCTATTTGCCCAATTATCCATGCCTTTCACAGGGTTCTAGACTTGCAGCTTGCCCTTGGTTCCTTCCGTTGCTCACCTTCTTGATAAGGCTAGGCTGTATAACCCTCCGCTCACGTCGTGTCAGCCAATCACAACTGCGATCAACAGGTGCGTATGGCCTCAATGTCGCCCATTAACGTTACGGAATGCCTTGTTTGGGATAATGGCTCGATGAAGGATCGAAACGATGGATTCGTGATGTTACACTGGTTGATTCTGTCTCATATTATGTGCGAATCAAGCATGGTGTCGTAGTGCATGCTGTCAATGCAAGGGGCGCTTGCGACTTACACGCTGTAATTTTTCATCAGCGCCGATTTTTCAACAAAATCCCGGGGCTCCGGGGACACATAAAAGACGATGTGGACGGCTTCGATGAGAGAACCGCATCATCATCAGACCATAGCTTATCGAATTAGCAGAAAATTGACCACCACACTTATTCCTCATCAACATGCGTTCTCAGACTCTCCTAGCCGCCGTTGTAGCGTGCGTCTCTGTCGCCTCCGCAGCCCCTGTGACGACCGAGGCTTACGGACCGCCCGTCAACCCTCATATCCCGGCGGTCGAGTCCAAGAGAGATACAGTCGAGGCTTACGGACCTCCAGTCAACCCTCACATCCCCGCTGTTGAAGTAAAGCGCGAGACGGTCGAGGCTTATGGTCCTCCCGTCAACCCTCATATCATTTCGAAGAAGGATACAGTCGAGGCTTACGGACCTCCAGTCAACCCTCACATCCCCGCTGTTGAAGTAAAGCGCGAGACGGTCGAGGCTTATGGTCCTCCCGTCAACCCTCATATCATTTCGAAGAAGGATACAGTCGAGGCTTACGGACCTCCAGTCAACCCTCACATCCCCGCTGTTGAAGTAAAGCGCGAGACAGTTGAGGCTTACGGACCGCCTGTCAACCCTCACATTCCAGCCGTCGAGTCTAAGAGAGACACAGTGGAGGCCTACGGTCCTCCTACCAGCCCCCACATCATTTCAAAGGAGTGATTTCATCTTCTGCGTGGAGTCAGGCTGTAAGGTTTAGCTAAGCCCATCGTTACGAAGCACTCTATCTTGCTAGGAGGAGATTGGCATACTGGCTTGAGTAAACTGTGAAGCAGATTTAGTGGCTATCAAGAAAAATTGATCACACTAAATGCAATATTGCAATTATAGCCCTAAAAGATAGTCCCCATGTTCGATATACTTACCTATGTTCTAACCCCGTTTGGTAAAATTGGTAGAATTGCATTTAATATTGCAGCCTGAAGCACATAGTGGCTCAAATGGTTATGGGGTTGAAATGGAACTAACTGAAAGGTATAGCTAGGAGAAAGATGAAAGCTACTATGTATGGCAATGCCTTTCTTTCTTTAAATTTCGGCGTTGGAACTTCTTTCTCTTGAGAGAGAGCGAACATATTGAGACAGAATTGGGATACTGCGTCTGAGCTTGGACAATATCCATCTCTGCTGAAACTCCAGGCCTGAGCTTCTTTCCAAAGTGGGCCATTCTTGTTAATTGTTACTCGGGGATAAGATGGAGGTTTTGGAAGGCTAAATGGCGCTCGGGGCGCTGTTTCCTCTTTCCCTTTGCACTTTCTGCGACTGCCTTAGAGACCAGGTCCCGCTTTCTTATATCTGAAGCTCTCATCCCAGCTTTAAGCAAGAAGTACCTTACCCATTGGGTCTGGGCCTGCCAGATGCCTACTACGGTCAGCGATCCGATTCGTCCTCCGCCACCCGTGATCAAGGGCTCTACCACCGAAATCAACATTTGCCAACTTCATGTTAGCAGACACTCCAAGGAATTGCATCACTTGCTCCTAATTGAGCGGCTCGTATAATGTTTTCAATCTTGCTTTTTCTCGTCATCCACGGCGCCTTATTCAACAATACCAGATTTGTACACCAACAGCCAGTACAAGGTCACACAGCTACACCAAGAGCTGTGCAACACTCTCAAAACGAAGGGGACTTTGGTGGTGAGCCGCTGTTCAGCAAATGGAGCAGACATGTGTTTAACATCCCTAGAACAAAGTACTATCGTTATGACTGACATGCCCACCAACGCTGGACAGCCGATCAAGATCATGATTGTCGGCGACTCGATGTCCCAAGGCCACGAAGGAGATTTCACGTGGCGGTATAGACTGTGGCAGTGGCTTCAGAAAGAGGACGTTGACTTTCAATTTGTCGGCCCATATACCGGCACCAAGACACCTATCGAAGCCCATCCCCCGAAGCCGCCTCCGCTAAAGGATGTTTCGCCTCCTGAAAACATGCTAGACGACAGTGGACCTATTGATGCTGGCGGATATGCACATGGCGTGGATTTCCCATCACATCACTTTTCGGTGTGGGGCGAACAAGCTGCTCATTCTGCACAGAATATAAGCACAAACACAGAACTATTCAAGCCGGATTACCTATTGGTTATGTTAGGTTTTAACGACATGGGTTGGGGTATTTTAAACCCAGAAGGTACCGTTGGCGCCATGAAGAAGCTACTGGCCAATGCCCGCGCTGCAAATCCGACTCTAAGATTCGCCGTCGCGAACGTACCACAGCGAACTCCGGTGGACGGGACCGAGAATTTACTGAAAATGGTCAAGACTTATAATCACCTTCTGAAGGCATCAATTGGTGATTGGAGTCTGGAAGATTCTCCTGTAAAGTTGGTTAGGGTCTGGGAAACTTACAACTGCTCTGAGGGTAGCTACGACGGCCTACATCCCAACAGCATTGGAGAGTTTCAAATTGCCAAGGCATTCTCAGAGACTTTAACTGCTGAGTTTGGCATCGGAGGGGAAGAACTGAAAATACCATCCAATACTCCTGAGCGACCCACACCTATCCCAGCGAACATTACTGCGAAAGTCATGCCTTATGGTATTGCAGTAACATGGGCCCCTGTCTACGGTGCTTTCGGATACGATGTGAGAAGTCGCACTGGAGGCGATTCGAAATGGGATACTTGGCGGAAAGAGACAAACCGGCATGACACGACGGGTGTTCAGGATGGAGAGGAGTATCAATATCAAGTTCGGACGTACAACGGCGATAGCCTTGCATCACGGTGGTCGTCGATAGTCACAGCTATTGCGCATCCGAGAACAGCACCACCTCCCACAGACATTATCGTTAGACCAGACGTCTCTTCCGTCTTTGTAACATGGCAAGCGCCGTCTGGAAAATGGGAAATTGATCGATATGAACTTCGCATCATAGACGCATCGACATCACTGTCCTTTCCTTTGATTCAAGGTTACAAAAATACGAAGGCAACTATTGGAAAAGAACATGTGATTTTGGGACATCGATATGAGACATTTTTAAGTACCTGGACTCAAGAGGGCCCTGGCGCTTCCGCCTCAGGTCGCAGCTTCATTGCGGGTTTCGGTGAACCGCTGGCACCAACACAGTTGCACCTTGAACTAATGAACTGGACCTCTGCTCGAATTACCTGGAAACCCTCCGAAAGTGCAACAGGCTACCGTGTCTGGGTGCGAAATTTGATTGATGGCACTGAGTTAGTTGAAGAAGCGGGAAAGGAACTTGAGAGCCATGTAGTCATTTTCCCAACGCCGAGTGTATATAACTTTGAGATTTGCGTGTCGGCTTTAAATGGCAATGAAGAATCACCAAAGTCAAAGGGTGTCATTCTGCCAAGGGATAACGCGGAACTATAAAATTCTTCAATAACTCAACTTATACAGAATATCTTACGCTCAATCAACGAGATGGTGTTGAAAGTTCATTTGGCCTACGTAGATTAGCAACTGGATATTCTTTCCGTCTGTTGCGAGCCGAGGAACACACTTGTATCACCTCAAGATGTCGCCCCCTTGAAATGTTGCATAACTAGGTAGTATCTTCACAGTATCCCAGATTTCACAAATTCTTCAGTTTTGAGGATTCGAACGCGCAGCAGTACATGTTTTAGGTATATTTTATCGCTTGCATACCTACATAGTGGTAATGAAGTTGTCGCAATGCCCTACCTAGTTCGCGTAGGACCCAAGTTGCCACTTCCGGGTTGAAAGTCTCAGAAGTTGAGCGATCAGAAGTAATCGAAAAACAATAGCTTTTGCTGCCGGGGCCGGGTGTGTGGGTGGCTACAAATCCTTTTCGGCCTGGAATTCCAACTGTTAAAACAGCTTTAAATTACTTCCACCACAATAAGTTTATAATATTTACAAACAATCGTTTAATCAAAGCTACAAGCAATTGACAAATTTTACTATCAAGCGCCGCCTGCGTAGATGGGATGGACCATAAGTTGGTTGCTGAAGAACTATCCCAGAGGCCTTGAGCGGCTGCCTAAGTCCTGATCTATACAAGTCCCTGGGTGAGCGTTTCTTTGACGCTGGTGAGCCCTCACTACTCTAAGCGTGATTTCTCACCGAAATTTTATCAGTCAGAGACTCCCCAACTGCATTTTCGAACTTAATCTAGTCATCTAAGTGGTCCGAAGACACTGGAAGAAGCTGTCCACATTTTCAAAGAACCGCAGGCCGATATCTGCGGCACTCCTTTGAAAATATGTGCCACTTTTGATCGGGATCTCATACATTAGATATATTGTTAGAGTTACCAGTTCTCTGCAAGGATGCTTTGGATTGCTAATCTCGCTCACCGTAAGTGAAGTCTTCTCATTCATAGGGAGCTCCTCCACTAGGTATGAATACCAGTCTTCGGATATACATATATTGTACAAGTACATTGATAAATTGGTCTATCAGCAAGCTTCTTTCCTTTAACTAATATTGCCTTGATAACATTTGACCAGTTTCCTATCAGTGAAATCTATAGTCATCAGCTTTGACGTAACAAAGTACCCGTATCTTCCTTTAACCCCGTTTTAGCCCCCTTGGTTCCATTAAGTTTGATGAGACGACTCAAAGTTTTGCTCTTGTAGCAGGTCCATCATTGCCTGATTACTGTAAAAGAAATCCTCCAACTGTGCCGCATTGGTCATCCACATCATCGGATTCCCGGGCCTCAACCCCTCATCCATTGCACTAGCAACTACACCGGTCATAGGATGACCCTGCCCCATTTCAGGGCCGTTATTGACATTTTGACCAAATCCCATGTTATGTGACTGTTGTTGCTGGTGTTGGTCGTGGGGTGAATGATGTTGCTGCTGCTGTGCCCCGCCGTTTCCGCCTTTGGCAGGGAATCCTAATGCAGCGAGGTACGCATCCATTTCCGCGCTTGCTTGCGCCTCCTTTGCCTGTGGTGTGGACGTACGAAACTCCACAAATCGTAGAGCAACGCTATACAAGACTTGGAAGAGGCGGTACATTTTTGAAACGGCATCCGAAAGTAAAGTCGTTTCTTGAAGGAAAAGAATAAATCCATGCAGGCGCGCCAGGTCATCTTGGTCTTGCGTCTCAATTACTTGGCAGAAGAGAACGATGAATGGGATAAAAGGTGCGAACATGACAGTCCTAGGTTTACGTGTTAGCCAAGATGCCATGCTTTTATGCAGTGATGTGGCTCACCAATGGATGTAAGAGGCAAAATAGATCTCATGAGATTTTCGCATTACAGCCACACATTCTTGATGCTTTTCTAGGGCAGCTCGTGCAGCTTTGACACATTCCGGGCTAAAGGTTGTGGGAGAACCTTCAACCCTTGGAGCGGCGCGGTAAACCAGCGTCAATAGTGATAAGCGCAGAACCGAGTCAGACGTGAGGAAGAAGTCGATGAGCGCTTCCTCAGCCAACTCTAGTGCTCTAGGCTTCCACTTGGGCTATTGAAATGTCAGCGACAAAGAGTGATTTAGGATTTTGGAATACCACTCACATTTGCTTCCTGTATCTTTGTCTCGATATCGTGGAGCATGGAGACTAGCTCGTGCACACGCGTTTGGCGAACATGATACGGCTGTGCCATCGACTCTGGACTGTAAAGCATTTCGTAAATCATACCCTGGCATTTTGCGGTTTGAATCCAGAAAACGTAGTAGGGCATAATAGGGTCTTCCACTGGCTCCTTTAAGGACGGATATGGCATCGTGATGTGCCAGTCTGGGATTGTTGAAGCACGCCCTAAGCGGAGCGAGAGAGCCTTGTCCATACAGTAAACATTCCAGAAGAGAAATTGGTGCCAATGCATTCCATGCACGACAGGTTTGCCGTCATCTTTCGTGTTTTGGAGAGATTCAGCTCTGTGGTAGCCCAGCGTTTGACATAATTCTGATGCCTTTGACACCAGAGTCCATGAAAGTGACAGTTTGGAGATTTCAACAGCGTGGAAAGTCTTGTGGCAGTTAGCAAACATGTCAAAAAGAATTCATCATCCAATGGACTTACGCCGAAAAGAAGAGCGACAATTACATCAGATGACGCAGGTAGATGAAGAGGCAAATTTGACAGTGTAGTCTCCAGATTGATTTTGCACATGTTGGCATACCCTAAAAACTCACTCTTCTCCTCCGGCCCAGCCTGGGAAGCATAATCTGTGAAGAGGGAATGCAAACCCCCATTCACGGTTATGAAATCATATTCAGAATGGTTCTCTGAGAAGTAGACGTTTAGACATAAATCTGGGAAGCGCCGACTGGGTAAGAAGTCGTAAATCCAGGCCATGCCCGTGAGCCGCTGACCTTCGCACCACTAGTTAGCATGTGGCTGAGCCCCACGAGTCAAAGATGACTTACTCTTTGCAATGCGAATCGTGTTAACAGCCTTCTGGATGGGGGGCAGTTCGAGACCCTGGATACGTTGTCGTGGGACCGGCCTCGCACTGGGGTAGGTCATCTCTCCGGCGACGGGCTGCTGTTTCAGCGCATTCACGATCTGGGAGAGCGCATCAAGGGTTTCCCCCAAGTCGAGGCTTGAGTCTTGGAGTGACTTGTTATTCACAACCTTCTGGATGAATTCATTGGCAAAAACGGAATGGGCAGCTAATGAGGGCTCGCCTTCGACAACAGCGTTCACTTCCTCGTCCGTCTGGAGGGCGTGACTAGAGGGTGTGGTTGCGGATGTAGATGGAATTTCCTGTCCAAAAAGCGATGCACCTTCATTCTGCGGTGTTCCTATGATACCGTTGACCCTGTTGCTATTGATGGCCCCGGTTGAAGGGTTTACCTTCATGTCATGAAGGAGGCGGATGACCGTTTCAAGGCGTCGGTCAATCTGGTCAATTTTTCTCTCACTGTTGCATGTACATAGATTACTATCATGAAGAATAGGGAACAAGTTTGCGAAATATGGCTCTTTGTCCAGTCGAGGGGGAAGGCGGCTTGGTGCAGGCTGGGGAAGACTTACTATTGTGGAGTGATGAGGATTCTTGTCCGCTTCTCCTTTGGCTTGTTGTCTGCATGGGTACACTCTATCTTGGCATGTGTACAATAAGAACAAGGCGATTCTCTATTGCAGCGGATCTATCAATAACCGAAGTCAGCTTCCACTCGCCCAAAAAGGAAAAAATGGCGAGGAAAAAAAATAATTGCCAAGCTTAACGTGATGCCTACTGATGGCGTGCATCATCCGGCTTGGGTACATGCATGTGGGTTTCACCAAGATATGTTTACTCACCTTTCGCGCTCGACAGGCATCGCACTACTCTCTCAAATCAGTAATGGTCTTTTTGTGAAGAATTCAAGTCCACTTACTGCTCTGCGGATAGTAACTTGGTTGTTAGTTGATGACGGCTCGGGAGCCTCATCGTGGGCGTCGTCTGGGGCATCCTCATGGCCACTGGCATCCGGCTGACTGTCATCCATGCTGTCTTTGATGATGCTTCTCTCCCTAGGTTTGCTTGGTAGTAAGGTAGTAGATGGAATGGGACCGACCAATCAAAGATGGCTATTTTGTGTAAAGGCACATACGGAGTCGATCAATATTCAAAGAACTGATAGCAAGGTGTGTATGTTGGCTTCGGAGGGGGAGAGGTCGGGGTCCGAAATATGAAGGCAAGACGCACATTGTGCCCATTACCGTACTTGGAAGCATTTGAGTATGTTTCGTTATTTTAGTTTTATTTGTTTTAGCCACTGCACTGCGGAGGCCGCGCGACCCGATTTGGTCCGCGGTCGTCCGGCAGGCTACGATGCCCAAATCAAGTAATTAGTGGGTCTAGAAATTCCCTTCTTGCACAACTATCCCTGCACAATCCAAGTGCCATTCATTGTGACTACACTAGAAGATAAGGTAATGACATTAACCGATTTATGTCTGAAGATGGCCAAGAGAATCCATGCCCCACAGTGCGCAGGGCAATTCTCACGCTGATGATACGACTTTGAATGGACTGGTATGTATTGGAGACCTAGACTGGCAAACAGTTTGCTGCCTACATGGTGAGAGCTGGGAGTCAAGAGTCTGCTTTATTCCATGTGAAAGATGTGAGACCCACCTAAATACAGTCTATCTGTAGAATGGCACTGTCTCGGTTATGGCTACCGTAGAATACGGGTCTCCATTGCAGGGTCATCTTGATGTGTGTCATTGCGTGCATTAGGGCAGGCTTCGTTTTCGGGAGAAACAGGTCAATGATTATATTCCCTATGCTTGGTCTTCTCAAACGGATGCCGTCCTCTAAGCAGAGTGGGTCCAAGACCTGCGGAGCCGCCGTACACTAGCGTGATCACTACCCGAAGTGCTCGGTATACTTAAATGTGGGTACTTGGTTTGGTGCAATACCTTAACTACTACCACGTCGTGAACTCGATTTAACTATTGAGGCAATGAGCAATAGGAATTTCGAGAGGGTTCCGATTGATATTATCAGTTAAAAAAGATGTCGACAATTGCTGTTCTTGGGAAGCTTTGAAATGGGACTGAAAGCCAACGAGGAGAGAGTAAAACATAGGCTTTTGATGTTTACGAGACATGTGTTCGATAATTCAATTGGCGGTGTGTTGATAATATCCTGCAAAAGGTGCTGCACGTCTCTTCTTTCTTGCCGGATGACTCACATCCCTAGGTAGCTTAAACCTTAAACTACATGAGTTAGCAACGATGCTGTATCTACAAAACCCATAAACGTTAGCCGCATACAGACATCTTACCAGATAGAAATTCTTTCTTCTTAACTTATTTCAAAACGGATTTGAACGAGAAGCAGTTATGTCTTGCTCTATTGAAGACATTCTTAAGCACCATGTATACGATCCTTCAAGGATCCAACGGGTCTCGTTCCGTAGTAACAAGCCCCCTCTCTCGATCGAGCCTCCCAACCCGGAGTGGCCGCAGCAGTTTCAGCAGATCAAGTCAATTATTGAGTCTGCCATTGGTCCTGTTGCCGTGAGCATAAGCCATGTCGGCTCGACCTCGGTGCCCAACCTTCCTGCCAAGGCTGTTATCGACATTGATCTTGCCATTGAGGACCCTACAGACGAGGACGCTTACGTACCAGGTCTTGAGAAAGCTGGGTTTCAGTTTCTCATGCGAGACCCGCAGTGGTATGAACATCGCTTCTTCGACAGGTTCGAGCCGTACGCCTGCAACCTACATGTATTCAAGGCCGGGACGGCTGAGTTAGAGAGACACTTGATCATGAAAGAATGGTTAACTGAGCATGAAGAGGATAGAATGCTATATGCAAAGACCAAAATCGGGGCTGCTGAAGTAAGCAACACGCTAGGGGAGGTCATGATGGATTACAACGCAAGGAAAGAAACTGTCATTCGAGAGATTCTTGAAAGAGCGTTCAAAGCAAAGGGGTATCTTCAATAGAATATCTGCAATCTGGGGTGGTCTCCAGACGGTTTTCATATATAGCCAGTGTTGCAATGCTCGGAATTCCGGGTTGAAGTAGCTTGGTGGTCGCCTAGCTGCCGGCTGCCGGCCACACAGAGGCAGCCTCTTCTACCTACGTGACGGGCAACTCGAGTGGGTCTACCTCTTCTACTCACTTCAGTCTACCCATGTGCAACTTCTACGCCTGCAAAAATCACAAGAATATCGTCATGTCAACCTTTGAACAACCAGTAATAGTGTTCTGTGACACCAAAAACAAGTATTCCGAGAAAATTCTCCACATCTGCATTGAAAACTGGCAGTTTGGGACGTGACCCAACCCCACAACTACCATCTTTGTGGTAATGGAGCTCTTTAGCCATCTTGATGATAGCCATACATAATATTCATAATTTTTCTCAGATACAGCTTGGATTTATGTGAGAGCCCCACTGGCATCGATATTATGTACAGCAACACAAACGTACAGCAATACCTTTTTAACAGTTGACATTTGTATTTACATCGCTAAGCAATCACTATATCATAGCACTATACCACATTCACCAAAGAGGGGATTACAGCCTTCTCCGCAAAACGACTCGGTTCTCCCACAATATCCAACACCGCCACAGCAATAACCGGCGCTACATATGTAACCCTTGTCGCCTCCACAAATGCCATCAGGACCAGTCACGCCAGTCGGAACAGCGGTACTGGTAATGGAAACAGGATTGGAAGCAGCTGTGGCGGTTGGAGTGAAGGTTCGTCTGGTCTTGTACCAATTTGTCTCGGGGTCGCCAAGACATTCACCAACACTGACAAGTTTCAGATTCTTTTCCTTGACGATACGGAGAAATTCAGGAACAAGTTTCACCGCGGTATTCTCGTAGACCTTTTTGAATTGTTAGCTGGAGCCTGTTACAAAAACGGAAGACAGCCTTACGTCATGGGCCAGGGCAAGTGAACCGCCAGCGTTGACTTCGCTCTGGAAGATATCGACACTTGCCATGTTTCCAACAGGAGAGGCATTATTCCAGTCCATCGAGTCAACATCAGCGTGAATTACATGATACTCAAGAGACTTGAGAGTCTCTAGCGTATTCGCAGTCCATTCGAAGAAGGGAGGGCGCATGTACGTAGGATACTTTCCAACAATCTTAATCAACGCATCCTCAAGTCGTGTCATCTCGGGAATGACAATATCGTCATCCTGTCCAGTAAGATTAAGATGCCTCCAGGTATGAGATGCAAGCTGGTGGCCGTCGGATATGATACGTTTAACAATATCCTGGTTGTCATAAATATTTGCATGGTTTTGGCCGTTGACAAAAAACGTAGCCTTAGCACCTGCCTCAGCAAGAAGGTCAAGAACGTGGTTGGTGAATTGGTACGGGCCGTCGTCGAAGGTGAGAGCAAATGTGCCTTTGACGGTGCAGCTTCTTATGGGAACACCGTACGGAATATTGGTGGCTGGAGCAGTGGGCATGGGGATAGCACTGCTAGCTGTTGGAGCCGAAGCTGTGTCGTTTCGGACCCTTAAGGGGTTCGCACACGCATAAGCCACAAAAAACAAGCTTGCAACACTTTGATAATGCATTTTGATATAAAAGAATGAAAAGTTGAGTTCTGTGTAACGAATGACTTGAAGTTGGACACAGGCAGCATGAGCTCAAGAAGAGATGTGGCTCGAAAGGAACGAATGCATTACAAAAGATCGGGCAAACTAAGGACATGACTTGTCTACTTATTACCCTCTTCACTGGTACATATAGTCTTCACTCTCCGTCACAACTGACTAGATGCTCAAGGCGCTTGTTGTATGTTCCTTGCTACAGAGAGTATTGGGTTTGGAGTAGACCCACATATCATCAGAAGACGAACATAATGTACCTTAATAGTATATGCACGGCGGCTATAACAACTACGGAATGCCCGGAGTAAAGTTTTTTTTTTACACAGTTTGTGAGAGGCGCGGTGATCCAAAATTCCAAACACAGTTATGATCATCACTGGTCCATCTCACAAAGCTGGCATAACTTTTCGGCTAGGTTGTCAAGATATCTGTAGATATTGATAGCCACTTTTCATGCCATGCGTTAGTTTACACTGTTGTATTGCTATTTTTATTTTCGCTGCGCATTCATCTTACTCCATCCCGTTGAGTGTCAGCCGTCTAAAGTATAGTCCTACCGTCAGGGGTAACAGCCAATTAGGCTTAACTATCTGTAAGAACGATTTTGATTGTTTTATCTGTAAGCTTTGTCAAGAACAGAACTCTACTTCTATGGAGAAGAAGGAGATGGAGTATGAACGCAGATTTTACCCAACCTTTTATCTATCATTCTATCTAAGTCCTGTCTTTTGAATTATAGTTAGGAGGTATGTGGTTCAGAGCCGCCATCGATTGAGCGCCGGAATTCAGCCACACTTTCAACTTGGCACAGAGTATCACGGACCAGTGAGGTGCAAGATGGTGAACCAAACCTCGAACAGAATATTATTCAATTTCTTGACTGTTTTGGAGTACAAGATCCACGTAAAGCACTTGTCATGGCCCGGCAGGAATTGATATTCATTGCATGATCCTGACAAGCTGACCGTGAAGTAGTCTTTAGTGCGCCTCGCTCTAAACATCGCGATTGCCAATCTGAGAAGGCGTTTCCATTTTGGATCGGGGATGGTCTGAAAATAGTGAAGGTTCATTTCTCGAGTGGTACTTTTAAGAATCTGTCAACACAACTGATGAGGTGCGGCACTAGGCTCAACCATTTTAGCTTGGTCTATCGGTGATCTATCTGTAAAGAACACTGTCTCCTTTGCTTAGGCAAGACTTCCGCCATTGACTGCTTTTAGTGTCAAAGAGAAGCCTTCTCGATGCGATTCATGCTTTCGTTGACGAATGTGCTCACCTAGATTGAATAGATTGCAGTGGCGCAACGCGACGTTTAAGTAGAGCGACAAAAGCCATGTGTACGGGGACCGGATGGTCACTGATTGGTATCCGTAATTATGTCAACGGCGATCAGGAGCGGATTTCCCCTGTAGATCTCTGGATGAAGGTTCAACTACTATACCATAGAAACTGGATGAACCTGGTTTCAACCCCACTATTTTTTGAGTGAGGAGGCACAATGTTACGCCCGTCATAAAGCTACTCGTATTGTGGCTGAGGCTGAAGCTGGCACCAATGAGGAAGGCGGATAAAGAGCGTTGTCATTCAGTTTCTATTGTAGTATTTGTCGCACATTTCCCTGAACTTGAGTTTAGTAGGACATGTTTGGCAGGGATGCTGCGCCCATGAAGTAAGGCTTCCTCGAACATCGAAAGGCGGGAACACAACCTGAAATAGCAAAGAGAAAAAGAAAAAAAAATAACAAAAAATAATGAATAGCTTTGCAATTACGAGCCTACCAATCACTTTTTTCTGAAGGAAAATCTGAAAGTTGAGCAGTTGACGTTAAGCTCAATGTGCCACATTAGTCAAGGCCTGCGCTTTGTGTTCTGTTCCTTCCCGCGTTTCACCTCGATCGCGACTTGCCTGCCAAACCACCAGGTTTATTCCTGTGAAACGGAGTATTTTTCTTGTCATGCGTCAGCCATTTGGAGTTCACAAGTCCAGCCTAATTGCTAAGAATGTTGAGTAGAATCTTCATCCAAGATCTTTCATCAGCTGAGATCAGCGGCCACTGAAAGTCTGGAATAACTGAAAGTCAATTCTGATTAGATCTCAACTCAATAAGTTATTCAATTGAAAATCACTTTCAAGACAATTTTTAGCTACTGGACCCAATCCTTGCCCCATATCTATTCTTCACTGAGAGTGACTTGGCTCCGGGTAGCCAAATTTGGAAGATTTTTCTTTGTTGGAAGAATCTTCCTGTTCCCGACAATCATCTTGTTGGCTTTCTTTTTTCTTCCCCCTTCGAGGGTTTTGATCATTTGGCAGATGGTTCTGAGGCTGCTGCCTGCTGCTCATCTCTTTCCGCTGATATGTCGGCAAGCCCAAGTTGAGTAGCTTGACGCTCTTTGCTCAGAGTGTGAGTGGCAATAAACGGTCCCGCCAGCATACCAACAGCAGCGAATACAGTGTACTAGAAAGGAATTAGCAAGAAACGGGCAATTAAAATGAAATAATAACTAGAAAATCTACTAGAGAACCAAATATAGGCAAGGTGTTGACTGGGAATTAACATACCATAACCCACATCATCTTCAAGGACCGTTGGAATGCTCCTTTAGCAATGGCTTGCTGATCGAGTGGTAGGGTATGGATTATCTCAACATTCGCAGCGGCTTCACCGCCTTGAAGCCGGCTGGCGATATCCGCGCCGAGTTGTCCCAAGTTTTGAGATTCCGAAATCATCTGGTTCTGGAATACAACACCGCCAATGATCGCTGAAATAGCCGAGGCGAGCATTCTAGTGAAACCCATTGTTGCGGTGGCTGTAGCCACATCTCGGGCGTCAAGGCTCGCTTGCAAAGCTAGTAGAGGGCCTTCAAAGTTTAAGCCCACTCCAGCACCGACGAGGAGCTGATAAATGACAATCTTTGGCCAGTTGGTTTCCACGTCAAGGTTGATGAGAAGCCCGGTGCCAAGGGTCATTAGTACAAGCCCAAGGTACACCGCAGGGATGTATTTGCCAGTCCTTTGCACAAACACGCCCGTACCAGCTGCGAGCCCTGTGTTTGATAGAATGAATGGCAGAAGATACACTCCAGAGAGCAGGGGGCCGGCGCCTAGAACTGCTTGGAAGTAGAGAGGAAGATAGTAAGCGACTCCCATCAAGATGTAGCCGTGGCAGAAGCAGACCGTAAAGCAGGCAATGGCCGAACGATTGTGAAAAAGTCTTAGCGGCATGACGGGATACTTGACCATTTTCCACTCGTTCAGCCCGAAAAGAAAGCCGGCGAAAATCCCAAATACTATCAAATTTATGACGGTTGCAGAACTCCAGGAGAAAGAGACGCCGCCAAAGCTGAGGCCCATGAGTAGCATTAGGGTCCCGCTGACGATAAGTAGGCTACCAGACCAGTCGACGGCTTTAAGCCCAGCCCAGACAGGAGTTCCAGGGTTGTCCCGGGGTGCTGTAAGGACTAGAAAAACGATGACGACGGCGGAAATAGGTACTGTGACCTTGTCAGATACAGAATACTATGATATCGAGCTCCTTTGGACCTACAGTTGATCCAAAAACACCATCTCCACCTAACACAAATAGAAGGAATTTATCAGTATTTGCTTCATACACGAATAGGCATTGCTCACTTACGATAGCTTTTGGGTAAAGACGCCGCCAAGGACAGGGCCAATACCAGCCGCCAAAGCCCAGACGACGGACGTTAGGCCAAAATACAGACCTCGGTCCCGAAGCGAAAACAGATCACTGATGGTGATGTTGACTAGTGTAAGGAGTCCAGAGCCACCAATGCCTTGGATAGCGCGCCCGGCTAGAAAGACAGCAACATTATCTCCAAGGGCGCAGATCAGACTTCCGGCGAAAAAGACGACGACGGCCAACAGCAGGATGGACTTGCGACCCCATATGTTTGATATGCTTCCCCAGGACGGCGTGGTTGCCGTGCTTCCGAGAACGTAGGCGCTTCCCACCCATTGGTAGCTTGAGGCAGATTTGAAGTTGCTAGCAATGGCGGGCAGTGCTGTAGCGATAATCGTCACGTCGATAGCGGCGACGAAGACACAGGCGCAAAGCGAGATCATCAAGACCGCAGTCTGGAGCTTTGGGGGTTCGACTACACCCCTGGCAGTCTCGGCGGTTTCACGGCCATCAGGGGGCGCTGTGCGCAGTGAAGCTGCGGCATTGCTTGGTTGAAGGCGGAATCCACGACCTTGGATGGAAGCTTGCTCATTCTGGGCCGATATTACCGGTTCCAATTGGATTCGATCTATTGTAATTGACGAGGTTCGGCTCATTTTGGTATGTTGCTGATGTTGATTTTTCGATTATCGAAGCTAGGCAACAGCCAAGGCCAAGGTTAGGTGTTTGTGATCTGGAAAAAGTCGAGGGAAGAATCTGAAGAATGAATATTTGGAGCCGAAAGCCCAACAGCGACTTGAATCGCAATGGAATTTTCTCTATCTCTGCTTCAACTTTGAAGCAGCTGGTTGTGGTAAAATGCAAGAGATTTGTTGTTGTCTGCCTGAAGTTGGCAATTTAATGATCGTACCAGTTATCAATGGTGCCAGACGGCTTGGCTGGACTGCCAAGGATGTCTTTCCCGTATGATCCGGGCAAATAGGCGTCAAAGGATTGTGGGAGTACGTCACGCTCAAAAGTACTTTGGTGTCAGCCACACTCAGATGATTCGAGGAAGCCAACAGGATTCGAAGCATGTTTGAACAGACCAACAGCACGACCAACCATGATTGACGAAATCTTGGCACACGCGTCGAAAGTCATATCTCGGGCAAGGACTGTTATCTGCTTAGATTCCAGCATTATAAGGTCTTCAATCTACTCATAATGGCGTTCCAATTCTGAATATAGGACTCAATCGTTGAACAGTCTCTGGAGCGATGCCTATCGGGTGGCATTCAATATTTTGGGAAGCCTCGTCTTGGCCATGTCCTAGGCAATGCGGGAGCGAATCATATAATGGTTCACAATCATAAGATCTGTTCGATATGATAAACATACCCGCAAGTGTAAAACATAATTCCATCTCATTATAAATTCTTACTATTAAGCTAGCTGGACAACAGATGCTTGAAAACAAACTATGATAAACTTGGTTTGCTTTATTTTTGCTCAGCACCACCCCTTTTTTAGTCAACCCGGCGTATGATTAGGCAAGGCACATACCCCAAATTTAGAAGACCCATCCCTTCGTCTGGGAAGTCTTCTTGGAGACATCGAAATTCTTAATCAGAAGAATCCAAACGAAGCAAATAGCGCCGATTGCAGTTCCAGCAGCCAACATTCTTGTCTGGCCATAGCCATAGGAAAGCTGAATGGCCACTCGCTCAGGGCTTCCAACCGGGTATGAGAGCTGCATAGGCAGGCTCGAGTAGATAAGTGTAGCGTTCTGCCGGGCCGGCTCCGGGAGGTTGGTCTGGAGAGCCTTGAGGAAAGTGTTGGTCCAGATGGTTCCTGAGATGGTGGCGCCAATTGCTCCGCCGGTAGACCCAGAAACATAGAGTACCGACAGTACAGCAGCAAAGTACTGATGGTCAACTGCAGCCAGAACAGACAGCTGCATTACGAGAATGAAGATTGACCCGCCAATTGAGAAGAAGATTTCGCACATGACGATGTAGCCGATGTACTGGTTCGGTTGGCGGAAGTTGATCATCAAGCCGAGACCGAAAACGTAGATCGGGACAGCAACGTAAAGAAGCCACTTGAAGCGGCCAGACCAGCGGATCAAGTAGCCAACAATGAACAACAAAACGCCAGAAACAACCTGGAAAGTGCTGTTTACGTATCCAGCTTCGGCTATTCCCAAGTTGCTGACGACCTGCAAAAAGGATGTAAAGTAGCTGTTCCAGCAATAGTAAGAGATTTGGTATGTCATGTCGATGAGACAGGCGCCGATGACAGAACGGTTTGTGAGGAATTCTCGTTTCAAGAATGGAACCGGGGCCAGATACATCTCATACAATGCGAAGATGACAAGCACAACGAAACCGGTGATGATCATGGCGATGATGTAGCCGGTCTTCCAGCCCTGAGGGGCAGAAGTTGCAAGGGTGAATGGAAGCAAGAATACCGTGAAACCTCCAGCAAAAAGAACAACGCCGGGCACTATTCGTAGAAAAGTGAGTTAGTATGCAGTTAGGTACGTAACGTTGACCAGGAGCGTGGGTATACATACGATCAAATTCGACCAGGACGTGCAGGAACTTCTGCAAAATGGTCTTTTGGCTATCTTCTTCCTTCCAAAAGATACCTCGCTTCTCAGCCTTGCGGAGGTTGAACTTCATCATGATGAATAGAGGCAGAGTCACGCCCGGCACAATGATGGCGAAACTACCAAAGCCCCAGCGCCAGCTGACGTTTTGATAATAGGCTGCGGCAGCTTTCGATCCGGCAAAAGCAGTGATCATGTATGGAGACGAAGTGAACGCAAATGCGAGTCCACGATTTCTCAGGGTGGTCACGTCGGCAGCAAGGACGGCCACTGTGTAAATGATGCCGGCAAAACCGATGGAGTAGAAGACCTTGATTTCAAACCAATATGTTAAAATTTGCTTGAACCTGTATCGCGAGAGGATTCGGTTTGAACTTACCTCGGCAGCGCAAAATGTGGCGAGGCTACGGGATGAAGCCATGAGAATGACTCCCAGAGTCGCTGAGCCCACCATGAGAAGCAGACCTTCCGCACGACCCCAAAGGTCCAAAAGCTTTGCCATGGGAATGTAAACAGCGGCCGTCATTGCGTTTGCGACAATTTGAATGACAGTCAACAGCGAATGGGACTGGAAGTCACTCGTCACGTAGGGTAGCAAACTGGCTAGAATTGAGATTCTGAAGCCATTGGCGAGGAAGATGATCCAGATACTGTATGTAGAAGTTAGGATATCGGCTATGCATAGTACAAGGCGAGAAGCGGGACAATAAATGAGACCAAACGTACTTGAAAAGCAATCCGGCTAGCCATAGCTTGGACCAGGCCAGTGTCACGGCCTCAATCTTCTGAACACCACGCTGGGCTTCTTGGTTTGGCAGAGAATCTTCGCCGTTACCCAGCTTGTAGTCCGCGACATCGATTTCGGTCCCTTTATTTTGGGTCACCGTATCCGTCACCTCCATGGCTTCGATGTCTCGACTCTCGTGACGACCATCGCTGGATCGCGGGACTTCTGTGGCTGCCATTTTGTGGATCTCCAAGAGTATTGGATTGAGGGGATCAAAGAGATTCAACGCTCGCGCAGCCAGAAGAGACAAGAGGCTGCGAAGAAACAGGAGGAACGGGTCCTTAATAAACTTATAGGGACAAAGTGATCTGGACCCATGGTACGTACAACTTGATGCACATGCATGGGCTGGTACAGGGTCTGTTGTGTGGGACGGCAGAAAAAAAAACTCTTGATGCTTGGCGATGGCAGTTAACATGTCCCAATTGGAACCTCATATGGATTCCAGCCCCGGGTTCGGCCGGGCAGCCCCCAAAAACCCTTGCAGTTGGGTGCAAAGCTGTCGTCCCACTAAGTGGTGTCATACTGCGGTTGACCACCGAAAGGAAGGACAGTGCTCTGAATGTAACTGATTGATTAGATTAGATGCAACCCTGTCCGCCACCTGGTGACAGCTAGCGTCGTCGTTTTAGAGGCACTTATCAGATGGACATCGCATGAGAGGACACCGAGTTGACCCTGTGGCATAACAGGCAGCTAAGTGGGCTTTTTCATACCACCCTGTGATGTACTACTACTCTCATCTGGACAAAACATCATAGGGAATCTCCGGGTCTTTCTTAAGTGAATAGCCAATGGTTCTCTGAAGGATTCACACCCCAATGGCGGTCGGCACCTAAATGGTTTAGATTCTCTTGTTCCCCACTGTCGTTGGATGGCTCCGGCACGGAGACTTGGGTGGTGGTACCTAGCTTGTTTCTTGGCACGCATATCTGCTCCGTGTTGGCTAGGGTGATGGGTGGTCTCGACAATTTTTTTTATTCCCTAGCGTCCTTGGAAACCAAGTAATCTAGTCTGTATTTGATCCTGTCGCCGTTTTTCTTCCCGACGTCGGACAAAATTCCACCATGTTGGCGTGCGTGTCGTTTATGTCACCCTATCGGTTTTCACTGAACGGTCATCGTGCCAAGCCACGATTGAAATGTACATGGAACGAGATATTAGGAGCGGATAGCAAATAATAATTACCACCACAGAATGTGGTAGGGACTTGAGCAGGGGTCTTAGAAGCTAGACTAAATGGCGGGACTCAATCGCGACGACGAAAGGGCGACTCGAGAACCGGATCTCTGGTTAGACGAATGAACGATAAGATTCAATGCAAGGTAAAAATGCTGCTTTTTGTCGAATTCTAGCATGTTGCCCCTGCTATAAGGGTTCCAGTGGGTAGCTAGTTACTTAAAAAAAAAAAAAAAAAAAGAAAACCAAAAAAAAAAAAACCCTGCTGTCGTACTAAGACCCGAGAAACCGTTATCAGCTCCTTCTCTAATGCAGGTAACGCGGACTGTGGCAGAAAATCATTACCATTTAGCCCGAACGACGCTGAGAGATAACGTTCACATTGCTAAACTGAAGAGGGCCAACAGCATTCAAGAATCAACAATTATTTTAAACATATTTTGATCTACTTTTATGTAGTTGTCGCAAGAAAGGCCCCAGACTAAATGCGATGGGATGATATTCTTTAAATTCAGGTTCGAATTATATATTTATATCCTGTAATCAAAAACATACCTATTGAGGACTTTAAATGCCAGAGTGCCTAGTAAACTTAACTGACGGCTAAGAAAGTCATCCTTAGTTACCATAACCGCCACTGCCACCGCCACTACCCCCTTTTGAACCCTGTGATGGTGGAGAAGAGTTGCCATTGGGCCCTTGGGGACCGGCAGGGGGCGGAGGCTTTCCGATGGACTTGCCTTTTCTGATCTCGTCAGGAATTTTAGGAACGGGGCCCTTGGTTGACAGCCACGTGTCGACGTTGCCCTGGTCAGAAGCAGTGAAGCCAGATGGAGCCCAGCGGGCAGGCAGTGCCTTTGTACATTCTGTTAGGTCGTTGATGTTATAGACGCCAAGGAGAGAAAGTCGGACGTATTCACGGGCGTAACCCTATTGAGAGTTTAGCACAGTTAATCTAAGGGAAAAGATAGCATCACTTACGTCGTTCCACGCAGACTGCCCACCTGGACCAGCAAAAGCCTTGAACTGGGCGCTGGTGCTTGGATACTTTGAAAGTGCAATGTCGCTATTAAACTTGAACACGCGCGCCGGGGCGTTTCCGATTGTCTCAGAGTAGAATTTGACATCCCAAACGCCCGGGGTACTATCCTGGGGATCTCCTGCGCGGGCTGAGTCGACAAAGCGCTGCTGACTGGTTGTGTGAGCCCCAATGAGCGAAATGAGTCCGTATGAGCTGATGGTTTTGTTTCCAAAAAGCTCGATTAGTGCGTCAGCTGGGCTGTTGACGTCAGGAAGAAGGTTGGGGGGCGCCGGAACTGATGAGTCCTTTCGTCCAACAAAAGTACGGACGCGAGGGCCCAAGGGGCAAACGACAGTCGCGACGTTGGCAGAGAATTGGATAAGGTCTGCCATTCCGATGCCATATTGCTGATACTTATTGAACCAGGCTTTGGTTTGCTCCACGATTTCCTCCAGGCCCTTGTTTTCAACGCGTTGCATTTCTGACGGGGCGAGGATGATAGAGCCGTCAGCTCCTCCAAGGTTGCCAGTTCCCTTCGACCAACCGGCAGCATCATGGAACCCAAGACGGATGGCAGCACGAGCAAAGTCGGTGCATCGTCCTGACTCACCCCTGAATGTCGTCGCGAGGTCATCGGCGATGTATTTCCAGATGCAACAGGTGTCGGCAGCACAAGCAGGGGTGTCTTTGGGTGGGCATGAGCTACCTCCTGGGGCCGGAGGAGTGCCGCCGGGGGACGATGGCTTGTCCCCTTTTGAGCTTGGAGGACCACCGGCGCCTGGAGCCGGAGGAGCCGGAGGGGCGCCGCCGTAAGATCCACCTCCTGGGATCGGAGGAGTGCCGCCGGGGGACGATGGCTTGTCCCCTTTTGAGCTTGGTGGACCCCCAGCGCCTGGAGCCGGAGGGGCGCCGCCGTAAGATCCACCTCCTGGGGCCGGAGGAGTGCCGCCGGGAGATGATGGCTTGTCCCCCTTTGAGCTTGGAGGACCACCACTGCCTGGTGGAGCTGAAGGATACCCTCCGCCAGGCGCTGTGGCACCGCCACCACCAGAAGGGGGAGGGGCTCCGCTGTAGGACTTCCCACCATCGGATGGTACGCCACCGGCACCCCCACTTCCTTCGTAGCTGTAGTCTCGAGGATGCACAGGTATCGAGCTTTTTTGATCATTCTGATACGCAGCATCGCTCTGTGCGTTCCCAGAACCAGTTAGGAGCTGTTTGATATTTTTCCCAACTGAAGTGAGCTTCGAGTCATCTAGACTGGCGAGGTCGCCCAAAAGCTCAGTCGATTTTCCACTGTTTGATTTGTTCTCACGAGCTTGGATCTCGGCAAGAGTGTTCCTCATTCCAGGGTAGGCGAGAACTGGGGTAGCCACAAGGGCAGCGGTGAAGACAGAGACACGCATGGTGAAAATTGAGGCAGGCTGCGGTAGTTTAGAAACGAATGTGTATGTAGATGAAAGAGTATATTAACATTGGGCGTATAAGTCTTTGGTTCCGACACACTTCGAATGAAGAAGATGATGTTGTGCCTGTTGATGAAGTCAACTCCAACAAGCGGGACTCGCTGGCTTTTTATGCACTTCTCAGAAACTCGAATGCCATTGGTGTCCGGCCCTAAGTACATGGTGTGAAATCATTCCTCCCCTTGAATTTGAGTTGAATCAAGCTTGGAAGCTGGCTAGCGTTGAATTGTTTAACAGTTTATGGGCAGTCTGACGCCGTCTGTGACTACGGCGCTCTGTGGCAGCGAAAGGGGTTACTCGCATCTCGCTCTACGGCTACATTGAGCCGAGTGGACTTGGGATTCTGGGAATTGGATAGGGTCTTGTTCACTTTAGCTTCCAGCCTTTATTTGAAACTCGATCGGGCTAGTGGCTGGCGGCTACTATGTTTGTGTAATTCACGAGGCGCTGCAAACCGTGGGGCGGCTTGTTTTAACCTGAGGGTTTGAGCAATTGAATATTGTCCTTGTTGATAGGCCTGACTACCCCGCTCTTCTTTGGCCATCTCTTCACCATGTCTAGTTATGTTACATACGAGTACCAATTTTACGATATTATACCACCTTCCACGCGAAAGCAAGTTGGACGATCACAAAATCATACCTTGGTGATCTGTGGCAGCTGTCAGCGGTGGTCGTGTCTGCAGACTTGTCATCCCCACCCGTGCACTCAGCAACGGTCTGATTGACTGACAGACTTAGTATTGACAAGCACATTTAGATGAGATGACTTCTCCCATCAAGACGAACGTGCTCCTATAATAGTCGTATCCAGTAGCTCCAACGCAGAAAAGCATTCGTACACAATTTAGCCTTTTTGTGGCTGATCCGTTGTTTTGTGCATCAGTCATTAGCACAGAAAATCGAATTAATATTTCGCTTCTCCTGAGACAGTAATTTGCCAAGTCGAGGGAAGCCGCCACAAGCGTGAACAAACTCACGCTAATGAGCTTGTTTGCTGAGAAAGGTTCCGGCTTTTTGGAACTACGTCTCGACAGTCGGCCGTGCACCGGCAATCCGGCCTTCCAAGGTCAAGATAGTGGCGTTTGTTTAAGCGCCTATGTTAAGGGTGAAATCATGTGGGGCCGTATCAATTCCTCTATTAACTTGATATCATAGGTCATTATCAGCACGTGAATCCATCTGAGCCGAATGCCTCTACTTTTCTCGTAGCATGAATTCGAATAGCTGTAGCGTTGCAGGTTCTGCACCAGCCCCACTAGCTGTTACAAAAATTTATGAGACCCCAGTTTCCCTGTGTTTCTCCATTCAGTCTACCTGTTCTTTCAGCTTTGGCTCTATATGCCGAACTAGCTATTGTCGTGATGGCTCTGGGCCTCTGGACCCACTCTGCCGCGCCTCGGCCGCGAGGTCACGTGACGACCTCGCTCACTCATAGAATACAAGCCGCTTTGTTTCTAGTTGATGCTGCCCGTGCCTGACGTCGGTCACCACAGCTATATTATGTTTTCTAATCAAGAAAAATGTACGCGGCTGGTTTCTCATTCTAAAATCTCCATATATTCCTGGGGCATCAAAAGCATTGTTGAGTTGTTTCTGGCTTGGCTCCCCCATTCTAGAGTCATCTATCCTCAATTGAAATAGAAGGCAGCTGGGGCCCGAAAAACGTCGGATATATGTCTTGAGGGGACCAAACCTATAAATCTAGTTTATATCCATGTCAAGAAGTGTGCAAGCCAAATACTTTCGACTTTGACACTCGTTTCTCGACTACCTCCCACTAGTGTCAGAGGCTGCACGGTACAGAGTGAAGAGGTCAGGTAGGTGTCCCAAGGTGACTGCATTCGTCTCTGGCTTCCTCAATCCCTTATGGATTAGGATCCCTTACTTATACGGAGACCCACTGGTTGGGCAGTGATGTGTGGAATGCTCCCTAATCTCAATGCAACGTCCCTAAATACCAATACCATACTGTTCCAATCCGCGGCCTGATTCCGCCCCGTAACAACTAGGAGGGCTCTATTTAGAAGGCAACAACTACAATAATATCTAATAAATTTAACTTCCCTTATAAGCTAAGTAGGTAAGGTTATAACTTTTACTCAATAGAAGCCTCTAAAAAATTTTTGACAATAAACTCGGCCGTTGGCTGTTGCCCAGGATGCGTATGGTGGGGGTAGTCTTGGAAGCAGCCCATTATCGCGTGTGACACCTCATACAGTTAAGCGCTTACTAGCATCCCCGTCATTCATCATGTTTCTCCGGGGACACCCACCTGTTTATCTTATCAATCATCTGATCTTAGCCCTCCTTGTCCAGTATCCCCCACTTCCTTACACCACTACAACGTAGTATTTCTTCGTGAAGTGGGGTAATTCTCGCAGTCGCCTGGGCTAGCTGCACTAGACCCCACCAACTGAATCCTTCTATTAATTATCGACTAATAAGTGGGGAATACTCAACTTTCACAGTCACCAAGGCAGTAGTATCCCATTGAGGACGGCTTTTTGCTACCTACAGAAAAGAACTTTGGAGAAAAATAGGAATCCTCGCCTGTGGCACGAGGAGGTTTGAATGTAGACCCCTCGGTTATGTCAATCCACTAACAGCATTACCACACGGTGGCTCATTTACTTCCATGGCATCCGTTAACCAAGCCCGTTCTAATGTCAAGTAACTATCCCAAGTTTTAATGAGTACTCGGCGATCAGCCTAGAGCGTTCGAATAACTGGTTAAGGTCATGATGTGATTCAAATATTATTCTTGATCCAAGTTGGATTGGCGGTCATGCTTGTAATCATCAATCTACTGCGTGACCATGGGCAACAGCTTAATCACGCACCCTTCCTAATACTATTCCTGTTCTTTATGCCTCAGACAGCATCCTATCAACATAGAGACCGAAAAACAGCAGCCCCTACCATCAGGGGTCCCAATATTGTATTGTATGCAGAACCAGATACAATCGGAATACAGCAGCATGATCCGTCAAGAGTGTACGGCACTAATGAACCCTACGGTGGCTCTTCAGATCCGTGAACATCAGTTAGAAGACTTCGGGCCAGTGTAAGACGCAGAGGTCACTACCGAGCCATGAATTCATTTCAATTTGATACGTCTGATTCCCGTTCTCCAAACCAATAGAAGCACAGCAGTAAGCTCAGCCCTCCGCGAGATAAAAGGAGATCGCGTACATATGTGAAAAAGTTCATACACGAATAATTCAACCCTGCGAGAACTGTTCCTCAGCAACATCTCATGATTTCTTCCTCTGTTAGCTTTCGCTTAGCACACAACCAATAATTGTTCGATGACATCTAACCAAACAATCTTTGTCAGAACAATTCCTCGTCTCCTCGCCTAACGAATTCAGATCAATTTGAGGAGAAAGCAGACCTGCAAAAGATATTTGTCTCCGAAATGCTCCTTCAGGAGCTGGTGCAGTTTTGTCTCATCGATGAAGCGTCCTGCAATATGTTGCCAAAGTCCTGACTCAATTCGTCGATGGTTGTGTTTGTTAGGTTGAGGCGACACCTGTCGTGTAAAAAAGGAAAAGTAATCCCACGGCATTTTAGCTATTATGCATATTGTAACATCATTACTTGATGCAAGAATTAAAACGCTCAATCGGCCAAGCAGCTGCGCAAGGGCTTTGTTAAGTATCTCTAAGAGGCGCAGCTTCGAACAGAAGATGGCTGCCATCTGACCTCATACACCGAAACATTCCCTCAATATAGTGGCCATGTTGCCATTCTTTGTTAGAGGAAGGGATGCGTCATCCAGTAAAATGGGAAGTACAACGCAGACATGCCCATCAACGCCCTCCATGACTGAGATCTCCCTCCAATTGGATACTTTGTTTTGAGACAAGTCTTAAGATTCTCATTGGACTCAAGATCAGGCTGGTGATCACCGGCCTGCAGGACTCCCTCGAAAGCCCCCTCATCGATTTGGCTCCCTGACCATTCCTCCGGATGGTGTGCCTCAAAGACATCGTCTCGCTGCATTCCTGCACATTAGCCTCAGATATGATTCTAAATTGAAACCAATAACTGCCCATTCCGGAATTAGTAAGACTTTAAGCCTCCATCAACTATCTGACACAAGAGGCGAAGTTGACGAGGTGTGACAGCCATATCTAGCCACCAGCTACCCGGCCACTCCTCGAATCCCAAATAAACTCCAATATGCCAAAAGTGTCTGAGAGTCAATTAAAATTAATGAAATCTGAGAATTTTTACTTTTGCTCCATGAGAACAAGGGCATCGTCCCTCGATGTCTTCCCAGTCCGGAGCTGTAGCATAACTCTGTTCTATCGACTGCGGCATTGCAACAGGTACATGGAGTGCGGGATATAACCAACCAGGCGATGGGTATTGTAATTTTCACTCTATAGCTAGCATCATGTTATTTAAGTGTGTCTTTCAATGGGCTTGTTTGTACCTGTTGTCATGCCGCAGTCGGTGGGTTACTGATGCACTATATCCGTTGTTTTAGAGCTCTGCTTTGCCGGTAAACACACATGATGTATTAAATCGCCTGGAATTTTTTAATTCAACCCAGGCACATTATCGATGTACAAGGGCTTCATAATGAGTGCAAGCGAGCCCTGAAACTTCAAGCCATCGTCGTGACTTGTAGATTCGCTTTAGCGGCGATCAACTTTCATCCCTCGAGGATAAAAAGCTTTCATGCCACATAAGCCCCTTAACTCAAGCATTTAATGCTTATTTTGAGTCAGTAGCTCATTGGATTTAGTTGGTTCGTTTGACCAGCCAGTTGTTTGACATTCGAACTGATAGCCACGATATCAAAACCCCTAATTGCACTACCTTCGAATGGATTGTGGTTCATTGAGATGCCAGAATCGTGTCGGGGCTGTCCGCCATGAAGTCTCACGCATCCTTCTCCTGGCTTCCCAGGAAGACCTCAATGACAGCCGCAACCGCTTCATTCCACGAGGATCTCTAGTTGCGGAACTTGGCAATGATGCAATCAAACGAATCCTACGGAATATTCTTCAATATGATGCGCAAACTGAGGCTCGCGAGGCGAGCATCAATCAAATTGCCAACTACATCAGTCCCCCCGGGACGGCTACCTGCCAATGTCAAGAGGCTTTATGCACAGGGAGGAGGGTACTATTTGCGTCGCTAGTGTTACTGGGCAAAGAAGATCTCATTGAGGCTATCCACAGCATCTCTACCCAATCGCCACACACGCTTCACAGTTGTGACAGCAATTTACCTTCTCCTAAGCCGCCATACCAACATCGGCTCAGCCATCACCTTCCGGTGTGCCCGATTTTGCGAACCATACAAGATTGGAAAGCAGAAGAAATACAGTTGTTCTATCATTTACAATGGCAGATGAAGTCCCCTTACTTCAAAAGGCTGGAGCCGTTGTCCCAGGCATATCAGGTGCTTGATGACGCTGTAAGTCTACCATGGACTGAGGTCAAAACTCAAGAGGAGACAATGTGTGGGCAACTTGGACAATTTTCATTTGTACAAAAGATCAAGATTCATGGCGATCATCATAATTTAGTAAGTCGGCTTCCGCTAGCGTCGTTATGTCCATATTATGAATGCTAAGACGTGGTCTGTGACCGTCCAGGGAAACCGAAACGATCATTTCGCCCTGAAGATCCTAGATACGGAAAAGAGGCCCTATGCTGCTAAAACTTCTTTCGAGAGGGAGTTGGATGCGAACCAGAGAACTACGCACCCTCGAATTACCCCCCTCCTAACCGCTTTTGAGCACAGAAACAGATTGTACCTCATATTCCCATGGGCCAGCGGGGGGAACCTCAAGCAATTGTGGGAGGGAAGCACAGACCGCGGATTTGCAGATCACGATTGGTTTTCGTTTGATTGGATGGTAGACCAATGCTATGGTATCGCTGACGCTTTGTCCACATTTCATGAAGGGAACTCCGAACACAGCCGCCGCGCCTTCATACACCAAGATATTAAACCAGAAAACATATTATGCTTCGCGACTTCCAAAGATGGGAAGAGTTCTTACACGCTGAAATTGGCGGACTTTGGCTTTTCCGGAGAAGTTGATAGAAACTTCCAAATCAAGAAGGGCAGAGTGCCACACACCAAAACCTATCGGCCACCCGAGCAAGACCTTGAGGGACATTATATAGACCTCAAGTGGGATGTATGGTGTTTAGGATGCCTATATCTCGAATTTATCACATGCGCAGTCCTAGGCTGGCCGCATATTAAGACGTTTCAAGAGGAGCGCTCTCAAGAGACATACGACAAGGTCCATCAAACCCGCATACAGGAAGACATATTCTTCGAGAAACGAGATGTAAACTGGATGTTCTCGTGGTTCGGAAAGCAGGGGGGTAAAACTAGCGCCAGAGTCAAGCCTACAGTCACCTCAGTAAGTGGCATATTGGCAGCAATTTCTCCTTACACCTTAAGCTCGCCCTCTAACAAGCTAATGACGGAATGCAGCACATAAAACGCTTACGAAGCCAGGAGAAATCTACTGCCACTGTGAAGTCTTTTCTTGATTTTATTGAGAATAATATGTTGGTCGTGGACACCAGGAAACGGGCTTCGTCAGATGATGTTCGTGAATTTTTGGGAGGATTGAAGCTGAGTGGGGGGTATGAAACTGTAACCCAACAGATGCCAGTGAAGCCCGGGCTGGTGCCATGGCTGATGTCACTTTTGAGAAGGTTATGGTGGAGTGGGGGAGACCAAGGAGGAGTTTACGTGCCATACATGTAAAAACAAAAATGAACCATGCCAGAGATGTAACATCTCATTGAGGGCATTCAAGACTTTTAAGAAACTTTGTACCAGCCTTCTATGGGTTCTACGCCTGCAGCAATTCTCGATTACACCACCGGAAAGACTCATTGACAGCCCCCCTATCCACATTGTATCTGGGCTGAAGAGATTCACTCATATTTGGCCTATGTATATGCGTACCTTTCATTTCACAAAGATTTGGTGAAGCCAGACTACTACAAAAATTGCATACAAGGCCATCATGCCTTTCAAAGCCGTTAATCAGGTGAGGACAAGCAATATCCCGTCAATTGTCACAAAGTGACCGTTTAGCCAAGGGCTACTCGTCTGAGTTGTCGTCCTCTGCTTCTCGCAGGCTTTCCGCCATTTGGAAAGCGTGATGTATTTCTTCCATCTCACCCTGGAGGCATTACTAATTAGCTGTTATCATCAAGCAGGTATTCCAGAAACGTACTGGCGTCAGCTTCCGCGGCAGTTGCACTTCAAAGCCGTTCTCCTTGGTAGCCTATAAACTGTTAACATCTTTCTTAATATTGTATAGACAAAGGGTGTATTGAAATTAGTGTTTTACCATTAAGCGTATGTCACGCTCTCTGAAGCCAAAACCAATGAGACTGTTTTGCAGTACGCTTGTGTCGCCGTACCGATGCATTATGATGTCGGTAGCATGGAAGTCTTTGCGTGAAGCCATTTTCTGGCGTTTACCGAATCCAGGTATCCAGCTTAGCAGCCCGGAATACCAAGATCTGTCATCATGATGCTTCATGGGCAACGGATACTATGGACTTTTTATACAAGGTTATGTGTGGTAAGGGGTGGCTGATTGGGAAGAGGCTCTTTTGCTTGAACAAAGTTCATCATCCACACAACGTGTTGCCTTGAAATTTCGCTGGTCAACAGCTCATCTTATGGTGAGGCGTTGGCCTGGAATAGTCCTGTTGTATGATTGTACAACCCACCTCCACCTCCACTCTGCATAATACTACATCGAGACTGGCATGCCATTCATAAGGCTACGGATGCCTTGGGCAGGCAGACTGTGATGCCTAGCAAAACAGTACCGCTTTTTCAGCCTTGGGCTTCTCGTAAGGTAGACAGACATGAATTATCCAGGATATGCCAGTTAAACACTGGAGCCTAACGCCTGTAGACAATCAGGCTGTAAACAAGCGGTCAGAGAAGTTAGCTATCCCGTTTTTGAATCTGTATGTATCGTCACATGAACCATTATAGCCAGTGATAGAATGCCTCTACAACAAAAGGAGTGATGCAGTGTATCTTGGGGCATGCAGCTCCAATTGGTTTGGCCTGCAGCTAATTATATGCACCGCCTCAACATGCGCAACAGAGCGGTCTAGAACTTGAAAGCAAGTGAAAACAGAGGAAGGCAGAAATAGCTAACGTGTCCTATTTGTAAACTTCCATCAGTCCATAGAATGGCTGACCGGGAGGCAATATATTGCGTGCACACAAGTGGACCGCCAACATTCAAGTTGAGCTGCATATAAAAGTACTGGAAATCCTAAAAAGAGCCAATAGATGCTTTAAGGCATCATCCTTTTACAATGGACTGGCTGTTCCAGAAGGAAACCTTTTCCGACAGCGATCTAAAGCTTATATGCTTCCACCCAGAGAAGCCTTGCGTGATCAAGACAGTACGACTCCAGAGAGGACAGCAACCTGTGAGTTTAGGGTCGTGTGATCCATGCCAGAAGTGTGCTTACTAACCTTTATCATGCTCAAAAGCATACAGAGTTCAAGCACGAGTCTTTAACACATACATCTGAAAAGGAATATGTCGAATGGCTGAAAACGGTAAGGAATCATTCATGGACTGTAACAAGATTGGATTTCTAACTCTCTTTGTGTACTAGAGTCAAGCAAGCACAGAACAACCTGGTATAGTTCTCGTGATGCACTCAAGACTGGGTGATTCTGAGGAACTTGCTCGTAAGCCACCAGGGACAATGGTTCTACCCTATCAGGAAGATACCTTTAGAGTAGCAAGTCAGCGACTGTTTCAGCACCGATCACTGTCTTTGATTATCAAAAGAATATCCACGGCCGTTTTCAATAAGAAGCTTGTGAAATGGGAGAACGAGCCTTCACTAGGCCCATCAATTGGTATGAATTCAAATGCTAAGCCTTTACTGTTAATGAATTGCGAAATTTGCCTTCCTAAAAACACGACAGTCTAAAAGGCGGGCTAATTGTACGGTTACAGTATACAATTGCAGGTCTGACACAGTGGCTCCGGTTAACCATGGTAAGCCAACCGATATTGCCTTATCTGCGACATTCTTCGCGGAGAAGTGCATTACATACGCCGTTATGTACGGCTGTGCGGACCAGGTCATTGAGCAAACTACAGCGTGGTTGAAAAGGGTTAAGGGCCAGGCCATCCACCCTCTTATAATGCCCATGATCTTTGTCGAACTGGAACGCAAGCGTCTATTCAATCTGCTAGATTTCGAGCAGAATTCGCTGCAGGGGCAAATACTGCACCTGAAGAACAAACTCAGGAGCGAATCTCAGGCCATGGAATCTGGCAAAACTAGGTCGAACGATGTTTCTGCAAATGATTGCGAATCAACCAAGGTATGGATCGATATTAGCTCATTGAAAAACGGATTAGAAAGTCTCAAAACGCAGCTTGAGAACATGATAGAGCACTCCAAAGAACTGAACACCACATTTTTCAGAGCTCATGCTGAAGGAAACCAAGTTAGCTGCGGTCATGCTCAGGAACGGGAAGTAGGAGAAAAAATTGAGACAAGGCTGAGAGAGATGATTGTCGAATTCGATAGCAAGGTTCGGACATGCGATAGCCTTCTGGGTGGCATGGCACTAGCTGCTCAAATGGTGAATACCTACCTTTTGCAAAAAAAGACCTTGGCGAGATGAAACGATTTGTGTATGAAGTTAACAAGTGAGAATTAGGAATCAAACTACTACTCGAGGCAAGATGCTAAGGTGGCTATTAGTATTGCCAACGCTACCAAACAGGATGGAAGCCAAATGAGAAACATTGCGTGGCTAGGAATGGTGTTCCTTCCTGGAACTTTTCTTGCTGTAAGCACCGTCCTTCATAGTAACAAGGTATGGTAACACGACTAACCAAATGTAAGACTTTCTTCTCGATGCCGTTCTTCGACTGGAATACTCCAGATAGTAAGAAAGTAATTTCACCGTTTCTCGCGATGTATGTTTTACTGGGGATTATTGTAACAGCTGTCACTATGTGGTGGATGAAAAGACGGACAAGAGAGGCGAGCAGGAAGCAGTTACTAAAAGATCTCGAGAGCGAGAAAGCTTCTCCTGTGTAGGTGAAGCAAATGGAATATGAAAAAGCTAGGCCTTTTTTCTTTTTTTTTTTCTTCTTTTCTTTTACAACGAAAAAGAGACTCCTCGAGGTGTGAGATAACACAGCCTACAGTCATAGAATTCTCAGATGCAGAGTGACCTGCCAGAAAATCATGACCACACCTCAAGCTTCTCTTGTCGTTTTGACGGTATGTTAATCAGAATAATGGACTAATGGCGGAAGAGAGAGGTTCTGCTTCGCCTCATACTCTTGCCATTGTCCTTCTGCAGTTATTCGAAACTATGTAGGAAGACATTTGGCGCGGACTAAGTAGTACGTTGAGCCGAAACATCTCCTGGGACCGTTCTACGCTTGGAACCTGTGTATCAGCCGCACCTGCTCCGCTCTCTTAGCCTGCATCAACTTCTATGTCTGCTTCATCGGGTAACAAGTTCAAGTATCAACGTCTTCACAGTGAAGACCAATGACACAAATAACGCCTAGTTTACAAACTGTACGCGGTCCTTACACCAACACTACAGGCAGCAAGACGACCTCTAGATACCCCCAAATACTGTAGGGCGTGCTGTTATCGGGAAGCCGGCAGGCTTACGTGTAAAAGCATACTTTTTCGAGGTTATTCATAAATCCTTTCTGATCGCGTTACTCCATGTTTTCAAGTCATAAAACAGGTGGGCTTGCGGCAGAAGAAAAAAGAAAGAAGAAGGGGGGCAATGGTAGAATTAGATTGTAGGAGACTGGTAAAACCGCGTTATGGTTCGATGAAACACGTCAATCGCATTTAAAAGAAGCCCCGAAGAGATCTCGTGTAAGTGGTGGCTGGGCAATTTATTATTTATCCAATGAGCATTCATGCTGCCCATCTAATGGGTGATTTATTAACATTAAGGGTCAAGAGTAAATATCCTCTTCACGTCATGACGGCATAATAGCAGGACATTCGCATGTCAGCTCTTAAAAGACCTGCCCCTTGGTCTGGTTGACCTTGGAAACGTTGACATTCTTCCACAACAGAACACAAGCCAACGCCAGAGGCATGAAAGCCGCACCGCAGATAACCATGTGGCGCTGAACAGCTCCATAAGCCTGAATGATGCCGGATCTGACAGGGCTGCCCCAAGGATACGAAGTCTGGACCTTGATATCTCCGTAGATCTTGACCGCATTGCCCCTGGCCTCCTCGGGCAAGTACTTGTAGAGGAAATCCAAGAATTCGTTGGTCCAGATGGCACCGGAGATGGCGCGACCAATGGAACGACCGACTGAGGTGGCGAGACCGATGAGGGCCAGCATGACACTGATTTCGTTGTGCTTCACGACAGCCATGACAGCGAGCTGCTCGCAGATGATGATAGTTCCGGCAGACACGGCCTTGAGAATCTGGCACATGATGACGTAGCCAATGTAGGTGTCGGGCGTGCGGAAGTGAATGAGGAGACCGGTCGAAAGACAAGCGACGGGGATCGCTGCCATAGCAATCCACTTGTAGTGGTTGGTTTGTCGAATGAGACTGGCGGATGTTAGCGTCGTTCTTGTCAGAAATACAGCAATGGTACCTACAGTCCGACAATTGGGCCCCACGTGCAGGAGGCAATAGTGTAGATGTTGCCAATGAAACCAGCTTGGCTAATGGACTGGTTGTGGACAACTTGGAGGTAAGAGGAGAAGTAAGACTCCCACGAGCTTTTTGGATTTGTCAGTAAGGGGATCGTAGACCTGTGAGTTGGGACAAGGGGTTGCTTACCTGAAGCTGAGAGCAATGACACCAGCGGTAGCAGCAGAACCCAGAATAGTTCTGTCCTTGAGGTTCTTCCAGGGTACAAGCGGAGTCTCGGCGTACAACCTCTCCCAGAAACCAAAGAGCACAAGACAAAAGATACCGAGAATGATCATAGCAATGATGTGTCCGGAAGTCCAGCCCTTAGCAGCATACCGGACCAAGCTAAATGGCAGCAGGAACAGGGAGAAGCCGAACATGATCAGCAGCATACCGACAACTAGTTGCATGTCAGCCACTATTCCCTTTGTCAAAAGGTTACAAAATACTCACTGTCGAACTCTCTGAAGTAGAAGATGACGGACTCCTTGACGTTACGGCCGCTCTTCGTCAGCTCGGGGCCTTTGCCAATCTTGTACGCTTTCCGCAAGTTCCACCAGAGCATGCCGGTGATGAGCAGTCCGAAAACCGGGAAGATGATGGCGAACGCTCCGAAAGCCCAGCGGAAGCTGCTCTTCTGTTCGAAAAGCTGGGCAACGATGGGACCGGCGAAGGCGTTGGCAATGTAGGCTGTCGAGTTGAGCGTGTAGATGATCATTCGATTGCGGACGGAGGTTGTGTCTGAGATGAGAACAGTATGGATGTATCCGATACCACCGCTTCCAACAGTCCAGAAAACCTTTGCGTGGTGAAGTTAGAGCAGGGTACATAGGCCGCGGTGATGAAGGGGTATTCTTACCTGAGCAGCGGCGTATGTCTCGACATTCCTGCAGGTAGCCATGAGAATGAGACCGAAACAGCACAGAACATGCGCGAGGATGTATCCCTCCATACGTCCAAAGACGTTGAGAATCTTGGCGAGGGGTAGCTGGGAAACACCGCCGGCCAGAGAGGCAACGATACCCGTCGTGGCAGTAAGACCATGACGGCTGAATGATGAGGTCACGTAGGGCGCCAGGACAGTGTTCATTTGCTGTTGCATCGAATGCGTGTAGGAAGTGACCCAGATACTAAAGTTTTGCCACCATATCAGCGTTATTGCGTCGCGAAACCACAACGTAGCAGCAACTTACAAGACGTAAGTGATCATCAGAGCCCTCCACGACCAGGCGGACGTGATGGCCTCAATCTTTTTGACACCATTCTGAGGTTCCGTCTTGTCATCGTCGGATTCGTGGCCAGAGTTGTCGGCACTGATTTCGGTCGTCGACTTGGCAGGGTGCTTCTCGTCGAGGCTCTGGTTCTGGCTCTGGCTCTCGACCGGCGCAGACTGGACTACGGGTGCGCTCATGGTGGGCAAGCAGCTGTGGTATGCCTTGATTGACGGCCAAGAAACTTGTCGTGCTATGAGAAGCTTATGTTGAGCTGTGGTCCCTCCGACGAGAACCTTAAAGATAAACCGGCGATCAATCTCGTTAAGTATGTAGCAACAGACTCGGCATTCGGTCCAATTTTTTTTTCCATTTCATGGAGAGTATTGAAGCACACAGTCTTTACGTAACATTCTCATCCATGCCAACACGCGACGGGACTGCATAACCGAACGAGAAACTTCGTATAGAGTTCTGGACAAAACATGGGTATACCACCGGCATCGGGCTAGCCACGGGACACTTGCCTGCGGCTCAGCATGTAGAAAAATGCCGCCAGATTCATCTAACTAGGGCTTAAAAGGCTTTGGTAACATCAAGTCAGGAGTGTCAGTTCCGACTTTGCACGAGACAGATCCACAGGCAAGACTTGGCGGGATCGTCCTGTTGGCTAGCCGGGCAAGGTCATTGCCGCAGTCATCATCCAAGGCTTCCCAAAAGGGTATGTGAATGTTGGGCAATGGGTACCCGATGTCGTGTTAGTGTAATAAAATTAAGAAAGCGTTGGAAGACGACGCGAGTGCATGTCGATCTCGGCGCTGGCCAACAGGCTGCCGACTTGGACTTCTCGCCGACCCTCCCTCCTCGCCTCGCGCCGTCTTGGCATATGCGGCTGGCCACGGATCAGATAAAATTTTTTGTCTTCTGCTTGGCGCTATGCAAGAGCGGATCTGATAAGATGAGGACGGAGGGTCCCGTCGAAGGGGCGCCGGTGGGCGTGTACTAGGTGTTCCAACCAAGTCAACTGCCAAGGGCCCAGTCGTAGAGGTTCCTCAGATGGCATGTCTGACAGGCATCTGAGGAGTTTTTCTCCCTGCCTTGTCTGCCAAGGCTTTTTATCAATCTTTTGGTGGTTGAGGTCAGCTAAGGTCCCCTCCCAATTGGCCGATTCAGGGGCGGGAACCACTCGAGTCAGAGAGTGTCCGGGGGCTAGAATGTGTGAGTTGGCCCATGGCTGTTTTGCGGTGTTGGCGAGAAGTGTCTCTCATGTTGTTTTTACCAATTCTGGCGATGAGTTCGCATGAACGTGCAGGAAGCAGGTGACAGCGCCGGGTGGTGCCACAGCGATGGAAGCATGTTCCCATCTTTTGGCATGACTGTTGAATGGCCCAGCTACTTCATTTTGCTGACACAATGTTTAGAGCAACAAGGTAAACCACTCTCGTTGACTGCTAAGACGGAGCGTAAACAATGGAGATGTGTCATTTGGTGGGACCATACATAGTGACAGCCCCGCCTGTTGGATCTAGTTGTGGGAGAATCCCAGAACTTTTGTGCTCCCCCACCTTGCTGATAGCTTGCGATAGCATACTACCTAGCAGGCAACCGAATTAGAGTTTTTCAGCCTCTAAATCTTCACCATGTTCTTCAGTCTCTGTGAGGTTGTTCTCGCGAATCTGCTCAGACCACCCAGTATCATTTCATGTTGAGCAGTGTTCTCTATGTCTCGCCATTTCTTGAATCTTTACAGTAATGGTTTCGTTGAAGGTGAAAAGTAAAGGCCCGGCATCGTAAGACCAACGGTGCTTCGGCCATTCCCCGAACATCCAGCCCGTGAACATAAGATCAAAGTAGGTTTGCCACCACCAACAGCCAAGACCTAAGCCGGGATCAGCAAGCGGTCGGGCCGTAGGGCCCCGACGCCCAGCGGAGCCTACGCCGGCACGCTTTCCGAAAGAATACAAGCTGCCGTTCGCAGAGTCACCATGATTTCAATAACAAGGTCCGGCAGGCGAAGCCTTACCCTTCTTCACTAGCTCGAGACCAGGGGCTAACGGTGGTGGAGCAACCGAGGCCGCGAGGTGGTCGGGAACCATATCCCGTAGGCAAGCCTGCATTCAAGATCTTTTTGAGGATAACGCTACAGAGTAGACACAGGATTCTGGCACATGTCGTGAATTTTTGAATTTCTTTCTTACTGAATCTTCTCAAGTCGTTCCGCGCCTGGACTTTTCAAGAGCTCAGAGTCCTGGAAATTTTGTGCATTATTGACCAAGCTCATTGAAATTAACTTGGAGGCAATCCGTCCTAAAGTTGAAGATGCGCGTAATAAGGGTAATATCTGAAGCAGTTGATTAATTCGTTTAGATCTAATAGTTGAAAATCACTTGATTTTTTTTATTGTACAATTCGCGAATTGCAACATACATAGATTCTTGCTTCCAACTTTTCTAGGGAGTACTTGAAGATGATGATATAAGTATTGCTGAACATGCGCTACTTGCTACTTGGACTATTTTGCCTAACCATATGACCAAGTTAGTCCTCGAGCGGCAGGCTGAGTGTTCGTCTCTGTACGATGTAAACGAAACTTGAGCAACATTCATCTAAGCTCGTATGACAAGGGATGAGGGCTCCGGTAGTGGGAGACTGAGAAAAGATTTGCGGCCATTCTGCTTAATTTGGTCGTCTTTGGCTGCCCTGTGGAAGTTGCAATGGGACGCATGGCACTTCATTCTGCCGCTCTTGTTAATGATATGGCCGCTGCAACACTACAACTACACAAGCTAAGCGAGTTGTATCAACCAGATCTTGCAGAGCCGATATCAACACAACAAGTTACTCAGACAAGCAGTACGCAAAAGGTTGATGTCGACATTGAAATAGGATCTCTACATTCACTGCCCTGCCCCTAGCTGTCTAGAACGGTCATGAAGGATTCGTACGAATGTTACGTCGCTCCGGTGCGGGGCAAGTGCTGAGTCTCATCCCCGATGCGGGCCACAATTTTACTGGCGTCTGATAATGAACTCGAGCGGATTTTGTAATTCCTATCGAACACGGCGCCTTAGTCGAATCGACTACTTAGATTTGCGGATCACAAATTAACTTAAAAAGAGCTCTCTTTTTTTTTTTTTTTTTTTTTTTTTTTTTTATGATTTTTTTATGAACAGGAAATGTATTGTTGATCGCTGCCACCTGAGACTGAAATACCGTGGACATTCTTCGTAAGATGGGCCATTCCTAAATGTAAGAAAAAGTCTTTGGTTGAATGCCGTTGGGAAACGCTACTAGTCATGAAAGAAAATCCTCATTTAGGGTTCTCCTCACTGAGTAATCCTTAACGGGCATTGCAGGCCTTGAAGTGCGCATTTACTGAAGCTCTCAAACCTTCAATCACACCCTATATGTGGTAGTGTTTCCTAATCTGGGGGCTCGATGCACTGACGAATTCCTTGGGCCAGCTAAAGCCTACTTACTCCATGGTAACCGGGCCTCGAGGCAAATGAAATACGCCCGAGAGCGGACTGTATCTTCAGAAATTTGTCATTTTATGATATCATCCTTTGGATGGGAGCAATGCCTCGGATGTATTTCTTAAGGGATCATGTTAGCTAGGGATTTAACCGCAACGGAGCTAAAATACAGATACGACCAATGCACCAAATGTATTTCAGGTGGCCCCACAATTCCAGGCACCCTTGAACCCCTTTCCTTTTCCACTTCTCTCAATCAACCTCGATCGCGGAGCGAATTCTGGTAGCTTAGCCGAGCCGACAGACAAAGTCAACAACAACAGTGAGCCCCCTACAGAAACCCATTCAACAGCACCGACTGACGTTACATGCAGCCCAAGTCGATTGTCTTGGTGCCTGTCTTACGTTCCAGGCTTCAGCTCAGCCCTGCCTCATCGCGGCCATGGCCAACGTCTTCCGTCAAGCCACATCGTGGCTCTACACCGGTCTGGCGGTGTTCTTCCTCGGCACATGGAGCCTCATCATCCTTACCCTTGTTGGTATGACGGCACTGAATGAGGATCCAGGCCTCGTCCAACTCATCGCTCTCCCCTCGCTGCTTACGTTCCTGGTTGCGAAGCTCATCGTCGCAGCCACTACCCCTACGGCCTCATCCGCCCCCCGGGCCCAGGCTAGCGGCAACCTGGCGACGTGGCTCGCGACCGCGGACAACGGCTCGCCCCACGGCGCCCTTGTTCTCTTTCTGTTTTCCGTAAGCTGGCTGCTATATCTCGCGCGCGTAGTCTTCACTATTTTCCTACTCGTCCTGTTCGGCGGCTTCTTCCTATTTGCGTCGGCTATGAACAGCGTCGATAAGGAAGAAATGGCGGCTGGCGAGGAGGGTCTTTTTGAGAATGCCGAGTCGAGGGCAAATTTCACTACCGCCTTGGTTGAGTTTGAGGAGAAAATAGGGTTCACTTTTGGCGAGTCTCTGCAGGACAAGCCGTGGCTCATCTTCCAGGTTGTGGCAACTATCTGGGCCATGTCCAGTTTGCTGATGATGTACATCGTCGCGTACGGCTTTGGGGCACTTCGCAAAGTCTTGACGACACCAATGGAGGCGTGGTCCAGGGGTGGGGTGGCGACTCCGCGTATCGAGGGCGCTCAGAAGAACGCGGCGGCTGTCGTGGTTGTTGAAAAGGAGACGGTGGTGTTGCCGGCGGGGAACCACGCTGCAAACTAGGGGTTCCCACAGTCGCAAAGTGGCCGACTATCGATACTACCAGGGCTAGCGAAATCCAGAGGATGAGGAAAGGTATAGTGAGAAGATGAGGCTTTTGAGCGTCGCAAAGCCAGCAGACGGTTTCCAGACGTTTTCCAGACGTTTTCCAGACGTCAGTATTATCCCGCAAGTCGGTCAATCTACCTGTACCGCTCTCGGCTACCAGAGTTACTATATTAACTGGCACCAGTCCCGTCGAACGTCAAACGGGATGCCGGCTAACAAGCGAAGTTCTGCACCCTCCTGTTGCCAAGCCGGAGCAGTGAGAGACGAGGCGCTTCCGTGGACCGGGCGGCCGAGGAAGGTTGATCTCGGAGTGGGTCTGCCGATGTTGCCTTCCGGTTTCCTATTGTTGTGAAGCAAACAAGCAGGAGCAGACCACGCTCCTCCTTCCCAAACCACAAAACAGTAGCTTCCCGTCCGACTCTCCCTATTGACACTTCCTGTCGCCATCCTTGGCATCAGTCAATAAAAGCGTTCGTGGTGCAGTGGTTAGCATTCCGGCCTCCCACTGCAGGAAAGCCGGAGACCTGGGTTCGAACCCCGGCGGATGCACATTTTTGCCTCTAATTGTAATTCCACCACATCTGCACTAGTCATTCATTCAGATGCTTTTTTGTTTCCATGATCTGAAGCCTCTAATTGACCTTTGTCAATGAATGAGACGGTAGAAGGGAGGATTTAACAAGATGCAAGTATAACCTATGTTCTTTGGTCTAGGTTCCTAATGTGATATTCTATATATGGTTCCGTTTTCCCGCGTACCTTAATGTCTTTTATATGGTACGCCTCTATTCCTGTATACCCCCAGTTCTCATTGCTTGTGGCCTTAATTGCCGTTCTCTATGATCCGACACGCCTCCACAACCCTCGCCGTAATCTCGTCAATATGTTCCCAAGCAAACATGTTGAAATGGTTCCCCTTGGTGGGCAAAACCTTCTCCACAAACCCAGGACAGTACCCATCCCACCCCAACTTCTGATCTCCGCGATACACATCGGTGGCACTCGTCTCCCCCGGGGGCATCTCTATGCTTTCCGTCGCCCTCACCAGCACGGCTCTAGGCGGCCTGTCCCAGATGACCTCGGGCGTCTCCTTCTCCTTCCGGGTCCCGTAAAACGACCTGTAGACTTCCTCTCCGCCGTCCGATTCCAAATGGTCCATGGCGTTCCTGAAAGCAGCGCCGCACCTCGGCATCCTCCACGCCTTGACCATATTGCCGGCCACCTTCATCGCCCGTTTCGCCAGCCTCTGGTTCTTCGCCTCGGGCTCGTCGCCGTCCATCCAAATCCCAATCTTGAGGTCCGAGTTGGCGGGCCAGACCGGATAGATGCTGTCAATCATCACCAGCCCAACGATCTCGACCTCTACGCCGCCCGAATCCTCACTCAAGCCGAGCTCGTTCCCGCCCGTGTTGACAAGGCGCGCAACTTCGATGGACGTGAGCCCTCCCAGGCTCCAGCCTCCCAGCAGAATCTTCCACTTCTTCGAGCCGTCGGCCGCGACCGAGTACGGTGCCATGGTGGGATAATCGGCCGACGCGATGGTGTTGCGAATCATGCGCAGATACACCCTCGCCATCTCCGGTATGCCGCCATCCCACGCCGTGCCAGATTGAAAATGGGGGTTCCCGATGGCGAAGACGGCGCGGTTGAGCGAGTGAAGGCAGTGGTACGCGAAAGTAGTGCCGCCGCCGTCGTGAAAGAGGAAAAGTGGCGTGGCGTGCTGGATACCTGGCAGGGCGGGCTGGATGACGTCGCATTCCTTCTGGTACGTTACGACGACCATCGTTGCAGCTTTTTTTTTTTTGTGGTGGTATTTCCACTTCCCCCCGGGTCTCAGGCTTGAGATTCAGTGAGATCTGACGAGGAACTGATGATGAAGTGAGAGAACCCTGATTCCGGATACTGGGTGGCGCGAGGGATAGTGTAAACCTCTCCCACCCCCTTCGTTCGGAGTTGCGGTCCGGACCGTGCCCTTTCAATGTCCGAGTCTGATCGAGGGGGCCACTGCGGGGTTTTGGCCTTTTGTTGTTACCGTGGCGCTCCTCGACAGCGTGAGTTGCTGTTTTGTTTACCTCGATTTCGTGGTAGAGGATATCAAAGGTATATACGAAAGAGATCCGACGAAAGATACAGGACAAAATCCGCGTGGAGCTGGGATGAGGTAGGTTCAATCAAGGTTCAGATCTGGAAATGACATGAGATTGTGGCCGTGAGATGCGATTACGGCCGGACCTGCATTTCACTCACCAATCGCAGCCGTTCCGCCCCACGTAGCGGGGCCCTTCCGCATCGGCGTTCGGGAGTTCAGTTTTCGGGGGAACATGGTTAAGTTCGGGGCTGACAATGTTGTGTTTTAAAGAACATCTTCGCCGAAAGACACTGACGGAAGAGGTGCAAGATCATCCACATGCAACGCCATCTACTTCATTCTCGACCAAAACCATAACAACAATCATTACAGGTCACCCGTCACATATTTACGACTCCGATATATGTAGTAAGCCGGGCTTCAATCGATTCATTCTACAACATTCCACATCCTTCACTAACCATTACGACCTAGGCGTATACTTCAAGTACAGATTTTTCTTCGGCTTCGACGCCGAGTGCTTGTTCCTATCAACAGAATCCTCCGGCACCTTGTCCATCTTATTTCCCTTCTCATCACAGAGGTAAAAGTCGAATCTCGCAATAAAAAGCGCCGTCGTGACCCAAGTTTCCAGCTTAGCAAACTACGCGCGTCACCTCGTTAGCCACAAATTCATCTTCAAAACACACCTCTCACTGACCAAGACCGACAAATCAAAGCAAAGCAAAAAAAAAAAAAAAAAAAAAAAAAGGAAAAAGGAAATGCAAGACTCACCCTCATTCCCAAGCATGGGTGGCGTCCAGCCCCCCATCCGTAGAATCCCTGCGCTTCTTTTTTACTACCGTCCTTGGGCGGCAAGAATCTCCCGGGATCCCACCTCGACGGTTCCGGGAAGAACCTCGCGTCCATGTGCGTATCGTCAAACTGATACACGGCGTACGAGTCCGCCGGCACAATCTCGCCAGAATCCCCGATGGGAATGTCCTTGCCGGTGCCGTTGTACCTGAACCCGCACCCGGTGATCGAGTGCCGAATGGTCTCCTTGAGCCCCAGGTCGATGAGCGGGAACTCCGCCTCCCAGTCCTCGACTTCGAACCTCGAGAGCACGTCCTCGGGCGACTCGTCCTCGCTCTTGCGGTGCTTCGCGATGACGCCGTCCACCTCCCTCTGCACCTCCCTGTACCACTTCTCGTCCGCGCCGAGGAAGCACAACAGGTACGCGGCGTTGATCCCGCTGTTGATCAGCCCGGCGAACAGGGCGCCCACGATGAAGGCGACCATCTCGACCGTGCTGTCCCCCCGGTCCATGAGGTACTGCAGCGCGTCCGTCCCCTCCACCCCGCGCTCCTTGCGCTGCTTGATGACCTTTTCGAGAATCATGTACATCTGCGCGCCGCTGTAGACCCTCTTGAAATGCCCGACCGTCGGCATCCAGGGGAACATGACCTTGGTGGCGGTGCTCGCGGCGTCGATGCTCTCAAAGATGCGCACCGTCTTCATCAGCAGGTCGTCGCTCTCGGCGATCTCGTCGCACCCGACCATGCGCATCGTGAGCTGGAACACGAGGCGGTACATGTCTTCAAAGGGGTCGCTGATCCGGTCCGGGCGGGAAGCGAGGCGGTCGTTGGTGTCGCGCGTGTCGTTGACGAGGCGGTGCAGACGGTTGCACAGCTGTTCCTTGTGTAGGAGACGCACGATGGTGCGGTTGAACTTGCCGGAGAAGTCTTCTTCTTTCGAGGCATCCGAGGACACTTCGATGTGAGGAGTCGCGTTGAAAAGGGCGCCGTAGCTGTCGCCGTTAGTCTCGCTCCCACATCTCTCCCCCAAATGTTTGTCCACGAAGCCCCCCCCCTCGACCCCATTTCTTTCAAGGATCAGAAGAGGCAGCTTACTTACTTACCCTTTGGTAAAATCCAAATCACGACTCTCAAAAAAGAGCTGTCGCCCATGGTCCCCCGATAACCCGACAATCCTCATCTTTCCAAAATAAAAGCTCCAGTTCCCGTACCGCCCAAACCGCTTCCCCTCCGACAGGAAGTTGCCGCGGTCGGTGAAGAACCTCGGGGCCCCCAAGACCGGGTAGCCCTTCAACAGCTTTGGCGCATTGCGCGGGAACGAAGGACGGTAGGCCAGAAACCCCACGGCGTAGGCCACGCCCGTAAGTAAGAGAACCCAGATGCTCGTCGGCCAGTTCTGCGGGTGAAGGGCCGCGGACGCAGCTGTTGCCAGCGACATTGTTGACTGTTTATCGTTTTGACTTGCAATGATGTAACTAGTCTGGTTCACTGTGTTTCCGAGCAGACAGTCGTGACAGTTTTCGAGATCAAAGTCAAACAAGAACGTCAAGAGAAGGGGGATACGACGAAGAGTTGGCTATAGATAGTCACTGGCGCACGGGCAGAACCATCCGAGGTCAGGGATGATGGAAAGCCACGCCAAAAACAAGTTCCCAGAGAAATGGAAATGATAGCTCTCCCCTCTTTCTCCAAGAAAGTAATCAAACGGCGGGAGGAGACTTATTACTTTAGAACCTAAACTCACCACGAACATCAATAGACAGGGATACCAGAACTCAGTGATGAATGGATGACGATTCCGAATACGATTAGACCTCTCTATTCCCCTCCCGCCAAACCCTTTGGTTTCCCCTCCCTCTCTCTTGCCGTTGACATATTTCAATGCCACGCTACGTACGCAGTGTAGGCGACTAGGAAATCCAATCAGGTCAAACGCAAATCATTGCTAATACAGATACTCTGACGACGAGATCGAGGGGCTGGCGGAGGGCGTTTGGGGCAGAAGATGGCCCCAAGGTGGGGACAAAACCCCCATAGATCCGCCGCTAGTTTGGAGACGGTGCGCGGCAGATGGAGTAGCCGAAGGTGAAACCATGAACGTTAAGCCTGGGCCGATGACAAGGATCATGGGTTAATTGACTCTCTGGATAATCGGGGAGGGGAGGGGTTTGTTTGCTCGTTGGGGTGGCGAGAGCAGACGAATTTACTACGTGCTAGTTGTTGCACTATGTTTTAGTATAACACAGATAGATGCAAGTTCCTCGCTTCTGCAAGTGTCTAACCGAGCCACCCTTTCAACCAGGGGGAGCCTTTCCCTTTTCTCGCTTAGACGGGTTCGGTTCTGGTGACAGTTCACCGACATGATACTGCTGCAAGTTGATTGGAAGGACGGGAAAAGCATCCCGCGCAAGCGATGGCAGGTCCCCTAGATCAGAGTTGCATCGTGTGTCGGTTGATCACGATATAACTTGGATGTGTGGGGTTACGAAACGAGCTCGTTCGCTTCGCAACATTCGCATCGAGTAGCGCACCTTACGGCGGCGTATCGAGAGAAAGTAGGGGGAGTATGCAGGGCCTCATCATCGTCTATCGAGTCATTAAAATTCCGGAGGGATTGACAGACCCGGGACCGAGTTCTTTTGCCCAACCGGCGGGAGAGTTTACCCGGGAGATGAAGGCCTTGACGGACTTTCATGTCGTCCGTAGAGCCGCGATTGATATCAGTAGACTAAGGTAGAAACCAGAAACTAAAAAAAAAGTTTGGCTTCATCGCCATCTCTGGCATGCATGGCGATGGTAGTCGGTGGCTATACTACTAGGTGGGATCCCAGGCTCGACAGTGTCTCTTATGCATCATCGATGCTAAGGTAGTCTGATGAACAGCTCCAAGAAACCTGATAAGCTCGCCAACTCGTAACTCAGATTGCTGTACCCGGTCAGAACCATGTCAGTCCGGGAGTGCGATCTCAAAGAGATGATCCAGATCCCGGATCCCGGAGCCCAGGGACCGGCCCCCGCACGCCAGAGACAACCTCAAACTGAGGTAGCCGATGACCACCATCTAAGACAACACCCAAACCATCCCTCAGATTGTTGGCGGCACAGTCCGAGCATCCGCTAATCTCCAACCTCGTAACATCAATATGCCGTATAAAATCAAATATGCCAGGCCATGCTTGGTCTCTCTACCGTCGACACTTTTGACAGGGTATCGTCTAACAATGCATGCAGAACTGATCAAAAAGAAAAGAAAAACAAAAAAAAAAAAAAACCTCCCAAAAGCAACAAGCCCTCGGTGAACCCCCATCCAAGACACATACACACACACATACGCACGCTAAACAGCCTCCCAATCCATAGCTTCAACCATGAAATCAAACTCGTCCTCCTCAATCTCCATCTCCTTCCCGAAATCATACCCACCCATCTCACCCGCCTTCACCCCCGAATCCTCCGCAACCCGCCGCTCGGCAATAGCGTACCCGGCGTCAAACCCGGCAAACACGTGCATGAAAATCCTGTCAAGGTCGTAGCTCTCCAGCGGAGCCGTCCCGTCCCGCTCCCTCCTCCTGCCCGTCTCCTCCTTCTTCGCGCCAGACGCTTCCTCGGCATACTTCCACCGGTTCCGCAGCTCCTTCGCGCGGGACAGGTGGAACAGCACTTCCCCCGACCCCAGCGCCTCGCGTAACGGATTATCCTCCCTTTGCAGCACGGCGAGCACGTTTTCGTGGTACGTATGCGTAGAATACCCTGCTGCCCCATTCCTCGCAGCAGGCGGCATCCACCGCTCGCTCGCGTCCCGGGGGACGGTGGCCCCAAAGACGCCCAGAAGATGCACCAATGCGCGCTCGAGAAGCATGTAGTATTCGTAAAAGTCGAGCTTGAACATCAGCTCCGCCTCCTGCGCGTTCGTCTCTCCCCCGAACAGCGGGTCTCCCGGCTTCGCTATTGCCAGGTGGTATCCGTGGGAGAGATACGGGAGTTTCCACTTCAGCCGGCGGACGATCTGTATGTATCTTTTGAATTCTTGCTGGGACGAGGGGGGCGGCTTGGTTCCGTTGGTTGCAGCGGCACTCGGGTTCGGGGTGACTGAGCGGGGAGTGTTCGAGGCGGGAGTAGGTGTCGGAGGAGGAGGAGGAGGAGGAGAAGGATTGGTGTTGGTGTTGGTATTTACAGAGTCGTTGCGGCTGGGTTTCGTTGGGGAAGGGGGCTGCGGCGTCGCAGGGGTTATGACAGACGTCGATGGCGGGTTTGGTCTCGAACGGTAAGATGATGATGATGATGAATTGTAGTAGTTTGATGACTTTCCTCTGGACGCCCAGATCGAGTCGTCCAAGCCCTTGTTCTTTGCGCGCATCATGATCGGTCTCGCGGCAAGGTCGAGTAACGATGTAAGGTTCAATGAACGCTGCTTTCGTTCCGACTGTGTCCTCTCCAAGCTTTGCTATCGCTATTTATTGATACGAAGTCGAATAAAAGGATCAACCGTTGTAGTTGACCAACTGAATCGGTCGGGAGGCTAGAAGTTGGGTTCGAATCTTTGGGAATTGATGATTTAAGGACTTCTCGCTAGGTATGCAGAGTAGAATATCGATCCAACGCCTAATTGATGCTGTTACTGCCTTGTCGGACAATGTGCCCTATCAAAGAAATAAATGCAACCCTCCTTGCCGCCGGTTTCAGGTCTTTGTTGGCCCAATTGTGCAGCCTAGTCGAGCGCAGTTGAAGCTGTTGGAGGTTACAAGGTGGGGGGAGGGGGGGGGATGAAGCCATTGAGGGGAGGCGCAGTTGGAGAGAGCCCTGTAGAAACGCGCCGCAGCTTTACGCGTGGGGCGCGCCGGGATGACGCACCACCGCTACTACTACTCTGTATCTTCCGCCTATGGCTCTGGCTCCTAAGTCTCACATGAGAACCGCCTCAGTTAAGAAGTCACATCACACCAGGTATTCTCTCATTCATCTACACAAAAACATATCCTTTGTACAACGCCCTTGGCTGTATTGAATGTCTCGAAATCGTACTTGTACGTATTTCTATGAAATGTACAACCTCAACAATGCCCCTGTCATCGCAACAAATAACCCAACGCCAATCGCCAATGACACTCATCCAAGAACGCCTCTGTTAGCCAAATGGCTGGCCATTTACACCTTCTTCATCGCCTTGGCGGTGCCAATATGGGTATTATGAACCTATTTCCTGTTAGTTTCTCACATTCATTTCAGCTTCTGTCTCGGACCACACTTACTTTAGTAGCAAAACGCAAACTTGTCAGAGTCTCCTTCAGATGAGTCTCCAACGGGCTAACCATCACAAACATGAGCGTCTTGCTGTTACCTCCAAGCGAGTATTGCAGCAAATGCGTCAGCTTGGAGTTACGATACGGAATGTGCCCGCTTCCCCTGCCGAGAGCCTCAATGACGTCGCCGAGGCACGACAGAGACTTGTTGATGTTCTGTGTCTCCTTCATCCTGTCGCCCTCGGCCTGTGAGTGCTTCAGCCTCTCGGATCCGGCGAGATCCACCAGGTTCAGCGTGCCTTCGCATCGCTCTCCTGTCGCCGAGTTGAAGCCCACGAGCTTGAGGATGAAGACGCTGTGCGAACGCGAAGACCTCTCGTTGGCCTTGGTCGCCGCCACCGATCGGTTCTTCTGGGCCTCGTCGAGCATCATCTCTACTGTGTCGGCCGAGTCCAGACTAACAGACTTGCAGTTGAGGACTGTGGTCTGCTTGCGCACATCGTCATGGCGGATCTCAAGTTTGCGCCCCTCGCGGCTGTTGGGAGTCAGCAAGTCATTCAGCTCCTCGTTGTACACCTCAATGAAGGATCCCTCCATTCTGTACGTCCACGACTTCTCCTTGAGCTTGGTGACGGTTTCGTAAATCATGTGTGTCGCCCGGGGAATCATGCCGTCCTGGGACGACATGGTATGCGTCTTGCCGGAACCCGTTTGGCCGTAGCAGAAGATGCAAACGTTGTATCCATCAAGCGCGCTCTGCACGAGCTGGGAGATCTCGTCAAAGACGTCCTGGTTCTGCGCCCTGGGGTCGAAGACACGATCGAACTCAAAGTTGTAGTTCTTCCTCGTGACCTTGCCGGAGATGCTGTTGACCTCCTCGGGTCCTGCGAGGGCGATTTCTGCCGAGGTCTTGTCATCTGGGAATGCGACTTGTGCAGGCGCACCTTCCGAAGAGCTCAGCACAGGACGCACTCTGCACATAACACGAATGTTGCCCTTGAGCTCTTGGTATTTGTTGAAGAGAATGCGACGCTCCGTCTCTTCCTTGATAAGCTTCTCCTTAGCCACTTCTGCGATCTGTAGGGCCTCCTGCAACCTCGCCTCCATCTGGGTGTACGAGTCTGACTGCGCTTTGCTGTCGGACTGGAGGTAATCGACCTGTCCAGCAAGGGAGTTGATTCTGCCCTGGAGTTGATGATTGGATGATGAGAGCTCCGTGATGGTGGCTTCGAGGCCCTTTTTGAGACTCTGCTCACGGTCCAAGTCGCCCTTGAGCCCTTCAATCACGGCTCTCATCTCCGACACCTCGCGATCCTTCTTTTGCAGGCTGAGGTGAAGGTCCTGTTGCTCGTTTCCAAGCCTCATGCGAAGGTTCTCAACCTCTTTTTCCTGTTTATCACGCTCGTCTTCAAGCATGACCTTGTAATGTCGCTCAAGAGCTTCCAAGGCCTCACTCTGGCTCTTCTCCTGTCGCGATACCTCGTCTCTCAACTCTCTTCGCAGTTCATCCACTTCATGACGGCGCTTGCGGGCTTCATCCTCGAGTTCGTACTTGTGAGTTCGTTTCTCTGTTTCTGATTCGATCGTCAATCGCTGCATCTGTTCTCGCATGCTGTTGAGTTCAGTGTGTAAGTTCTCGTTCCGATCCGCGATCTTATCCCGCTCGGCTTCGAGTTCGGATACTACAACTGTCAGTTCTCGTATCTCATCGCCCAGTGTATAACTCACTTCTCTTCTTGTACATCTCGACTCGCTCGTCCATCAACTCCTTGTCTGAAATCATGCTGTTCATCGAATCCTGCACCTTCTTGAACTGAGAATCAAGCTCGCCTAATCGACCTTCGACGTCCCAAGCTGTGAATTGAGTCAAGTTAGAATCTTTAGTCAAGAACGAGGGCTTATTAGGAGAAGGGGATCTGGCCGGCGATCGCGAAGCCTTGATTGACATGATTGCCTCTTGGAGTTCGTTCATGTCGGCTTTCACTCGCTTAGCGTCTGGCGAAGGTGTGACAGGATCCGTCATGCGGCTGGCCTGTCTCCTTTTCGGTGACAGCTCTGGCGGTATCGCGGCCAGTTTGCGAGAGGGGCGCATAGTAACGTTGTCCATCTGCGTAGTGCTCGCCGCAGTTGTCATGGAACTATTGCTGCTCTCTTGGCTGAAAACCACTTGATCTTCATCTTGAGTGTAGTCCGTAAAGATGTCGTCCTTGATGGACAGCACACCAAACCGGCTACTGAGAGACACTTCTCTTTGCGACGACTGAACCTGGGGTGCTGAAGGAACAGGTTTGGTCTTGAAGGGCGAAAAATCAAAAGAGCGTTGAAAATTCAGTCGCGGGGGTTGTCGGGTCGTACCGTGCTGTTGTGCCACTGGTCCATCATAATCGTCTTCCAAACGGTTGCTATGCGCCGTCTTGGGTCTCATTATCGAGTTTGGGTTTCGAGATCGACTTTGTCCCGAGACCGATTGTGCGTGGACAGGGCGGCCACTGGCCAACGAGGACTTTGATCGTTCATGTCTTCCGGGGCCAACGCTGGCCGAAAAATTGCTATTCGAGTTGTATCGGGAAGTCGCTGAAGTTGAATTTTGACGAGACAGAATGGAAGGATTCTTAAGCTGCAGCAAGTTAGCATTGCACACGACGTGATGGAGCGACGAGAAGCCAGCGGTACAGAAATATAGTCACTTCTGCTGCTGGATTCGTCAGTTTTGCAGTGTTGATTGGCCTCTTGTTGCATGTCCGCATCAATGACAAGTCGGATCCCTCGGCTGGTCTCTGAATTGTCTTGTTGCGAGCCGAACCACAGCTGGAGTCGGCCAGACACGCTGCGGAAGTATGTAGGACCAGCTGGAGGAAATTCCCTCCGAGTTTGAGAAGCTGGACGGTCTGTGACGGACTGATGGCTGTGGTGACCATAGCTGTGGCGATCCCAGTGGAGCGAGAAGGCAAAGAGCAATTTCTGCAAGATCGCAGTTCGCGGAGCAAAGGATACCGCCGTCCGCAAAAAGCGCCAGGCAGCGTGGCAAAAGTGAAGACAGATCCATCGTGTGACACGTAAGATGTCGATATGCGGGATGATGCTCGAGGACTCCATCGGGGATGACGAACTTTGAGGTCTGGGAACGAGGCGTGAAGGGCAAAACAGACAAAGAACCTACCGAAGCGAGCGTCTGTCCTCTGATGGAACCTGCTCTGGCGATGCTAGAAGTTCCTGCCGCAGAGTTCTTGGTCGGGTATTCGCCTGCCCTCTCGGCGAGGGTCTTTCCGCGCTTCGGGTCTGAAATCTGCGCTGCAGGCAAACAAAGTCAGCGGCTGCCGTCGTGATTCTGTAGCTCGCTCCTGGAAGACCAACCTGGTTGTGGGACGTGGCGCTTCAGTTCGGTCAATGAGCCGACTTTGGCCGTCGGCGGCGGAATCATTGACGATTGTGCGCGGGAGTTGTTTTGCGCATCAGTCATTTCCGAGAGGCCGAAGCCAGAAGATGCGGCGCCCGGTCGGGGGAGGTTACTTCGAGGGTGTATGACGGACGTTCGAAACTATTCAGGGCGTCAGTCAGTGACGATTCACGACGTCAAGCAGGAGCTCCGGTCGAGGGCTGCTCAGAGACGCACCGTATTCTCTGTGGTGTCCATGTTGAGGATGCTATCAACGCGACGGGTAATAACAGGAACTATGATGCAAGATACGAGGAGCAGCGCTCCGGATCTGGACGCGGAAGGAGACGACGTTGTGAAGATGTAGTAGGCATACAACGACAAATCGCAAAAAGCCCACAGCTATGATTGAATATGGGGAGGGGTGTGGGTGCACGAGCTGTGTCGGATTTGTTTGCTGGGCTGCCCGATTGGGATGCGTGGAGGCGCATCACAAAGTGTGAGTGTTTACATATAATTGTGCAGTCTGGGTACCGGGGCAACGAGGTTGTGCAGGTGCATATCCACTTTACCCATTAAAACCATTCAGCGGTTAATGTCACTGGAGCTTAGCTAAGATTGCTTATCTAAGTGAGCTTACATAAAAGGCGAAGCGATAATTCCATGCCTCAGGCCAAAGCCCATTTTCTGAGTCCAGTGTCTACAAAAACATAAAGCGGGGCATCATTCCAAATAAAGAAAGCGGTCACTTGGGCGGTCAGACGTGACACATGCGCCGCCAGACCAACCCACCAACCCACCCACTCTCTATTGCCCTACCGCCAGGTCGAGGCACCACCGCAAAGTGTGGCCTCTTTCACATGCCATAAGCATCCGGGCCACACCATGACGTTGGGAAGCTCATTCGCTAGGTCGCACCTGAGATTTGTGTCTTGAACGCCCCCCCAAAAAAAGAAGAATCAAAGCAAACCAGGTCCCAACTTTCCGCGCAGAGGCACGCGGTAACACAGTTGTTGTCTCTCAAGCCTCAGTAATTTTTGCCATTACTCTTCAGCTGCTTGTCAACGACACACGTCTTTCACCAGGATCTTCGAGCTCCTTTCCCTCGGCAGGGAATCCCTCACAAACGAATCCGACCACCACATTTGCGCTAGAGCTCATGTCGCGTTGATATCCTCCGAAGCTACCGCTACCTCCGCCGATCCCTCCCGACTTACACGATCTTCAGCCCAATCCAGCCCAATATACTTATCCTCGAATTAAACCCGCAGCCATGGAGAAGTTTAGCCAGTTCCGTGACAAAGGTGACCCCATCAAACATCATCTCTACCGAATTTCGTCTAACATCTCTTCATAGGCTCCGGCATCTCGCCCTTCATCCCCGTCAAGACGCCCCTCTCCCCCGTGTCCTCCGTCTTCCACGCCTTCCTCTTCTTCATCCGACTCCCCATCTTCCTCACCTATGTCGCCACCTACTTTCTCCTTCTACAATACCTCCCATTCCCCGTGGCTGTCCGCAAAGTGCTCCTCTGGGGCATGATGGGCATCCCGGGGATATGGTGGGTCGACTTGCAACTTGATGGCGTCCGGCGTGGTACCCTCGCCGAGCAGCCGCCCCAACGCTTCCCGCATCCGGGCTCCGTCATCGCCGCCAACTTCACCTCGCCCATCGACGCAATCTACCTCGCCGCCATCTTCGACCCAATCTTCACGGCATCTTACCCAAATACCCGTCAAGTCGAGCGAATTTCCCTCCTCAGCGCCGTCCTCTACGCCCTCTCCCCCGTGCGCTTCGCCCCGCGCCAGGGTGCCAAGCTCACTGACCTCGCGGCCCTGCTCGAAAAGTACCCCGACCGCGTCATCGCCGTGTTCCCCGAGGGTGGTACCACCAACGGCAAGGGCGTCCTGCCTTTCACCCCAAGTCTCCTCGCTGCGAAGCCCGACGTTCACATCTTCCCCGTCAGCATCAGATATACCCCCGCCGACGTCACCACCCCGGTTCCCGGCCGCTGGTTCAAGTTCCTCTGGGACCTGCTGTCCCGCCCCACGACCTGCATCCGTGTCCGTGTTGCTGAGAGCATCCTCAACTCGTCTGCCGCCCAAACCAACGGAGTGTCTTCCTCCACCGATAGCGGCTCTGCGCAAAGGAGGATGGGCGGCGAGCCGTCGTCGTTCTCGACAGAGGAGCAGCGCGTGCTGGACAAGGTAGGCGAGGCGCTGGCCAGACTTTGCCGTAATAAGCGTGTCGGCCTCACTTTGCGGGATAAGGCCGCGTTTGTCGACGCCTGGAACGGCCGGAAGAAGTGAAACTGGGGAGTATGTGGTACACCAGGAGTGTTTGAGCGTGGATGGATGTAATTGGAACGAGAGTCACGAGAGTTTGCGAGTGACAGACGACCTGGGAGGCTGAACTACTTTCATGTTTTTCGCAAAGTGTTGCATAGCTAGGAGCTAGGGGGTTCGCCTTGATGCGCCGCGTTTCAACTCGACGACGGTAGGCAAGGAAAGATGGGAAAAGCAGCGCATGAGCGGCATCTCTTTTTTTTGGTTACAGACGCCCGCTGTATAATGTGTACTTTTTTTTTTTTAACCTATTTTTCTTTTTTCCTTTTTTTCCTTTTCAAGGGATGACATCCAGATACCACGATTCCTGTCGGGAAAAGACATCAATCAAAACAGATGACTGTACAAAACACAAAAGCGAAGTTGTGATGATGCAGAAAAAAGGTATTCCGGAACGGGGAATTGAACCCCGAGCCTGACGGAGCCCTCGTATGAGAGCGTCAAATGTTGACCATTACACCATTCCGGATGTGTTGTTGTTGTGGAGGCAGTCGCAAAGCGCCATTGTCAAGCCCCAATGCTAGAAATTGTGGAGATGGCAGACAACACCTCAGGGTAGGTACTGTACGTTTCTTCCAAAGATGATAAAAAAAAATGTTCTATCAGTCACGAACTTCTTTTTTTTGCCCATATACTACGTAGCATATGTACCGTGAAAAGAGAGCCAAGAGTGACCATTAAACAAAACTCCGATTTTGGACTACCTTTTTGTTTTCCGAAAAGCCGTACAAGAAGATGGTATAACAGTGGCAAGTAGAAAAACTCTAGAAAACAAGAAAAAAGAAAAACGTTTAATTGCCTTGCCTTCCGCCAGCCCCCGAAGAAAGAAAAAAAAAAGCCCAAAATAATAGAGAACCCTCAATATTGCCTCCTCTTTTTTGTTGCCTTCCCTTTTTTCTTTTTTTTACAACGGGCCGTCAGTAACGCAGCCGGAGCTGGCGTCGCTCACGAGAGAAGAGTACTTCTTCAAGGTACCCTTGGTGTACTTGGGAGGGGGGGCCTTCCACTCGGCTCTTCTCCTGGCCATCTCGGCGTCGGAGACGTTGGTGTCGATGACGCGCTGCTCGGCGTCGATGGTGATGACGTCGCCGTCCTGGACGAGACCGATGGGACCGCCCTCCATGGCCTCGGGGACGATGTGGCCGATCAGGAAACCGTGGGAACCGCCGGAGAAACGGCCGTCGGTGAGCAGGGCGACGTCCTTGCCGAGACCGGCACCCATGATGGCGGAACTAGGCTTCAACATCTCGGGCATGCCGGGGCCGCCCTTGGGGCCCTCGTAGCGGATGATGACGACGGTCTTCTCGCCCTTCTTGATCTCGTTGCGCTCGAGAGCCTCGATGAAGGCGTCCTCCTCGTCGAACACGCGCGCCTTGCCCTCGAAACGCAGACCCTCCTTTCCGGTGATCTTGCCGACGGAGCCGCCGGGCGCGAGCTGGCCGCGCAGGATCTGGATGTGGCCCGTGGGCTTGATGGGGTTGCTGAAGGGACGGATGATGTCCTGCTCGGCGGGGAAGGCCGGCATGTCCTCGACGTTCTGCTTCATCGTCTTACCGGTGACGGTGATGCCGGAGCCGTCGATGAGACCCTCCTTGAGCAGGAACTTGAGCAGACCGGGGGTTCCGCCGATTCTGTGCATGTCGGCCATGACGTACTTTCCGGAGGGCTTCAGGTCGGCAAGGAAGGGAGTGCGGTCGGAGACGGCCTGGAAGTCATCGACGGTCAGCTTGATACCGACGGAGTCGGCGATGGCGAGCAGGTGGAGGACGGCGTTGGTGCTGCCTCCGAGGATGTTGACAACGATCATGGCGTTCTCAAAGGCCTGGCGGGTGAGGATGTCGCGGGGGCGAATGTCCTCCTTGAGAATGTTCTTGATGGCGGCACCGATACCCTCGCACTCGGCCTTCTTGCTGGGGTCCTCGGCGGGGCTGCTGGAGGATCCGGGCATCGTCAGACCGAGGGTCTCGATGGCGGTAGCCATGGTGTTGGCGGTGTACATGCCTCCGCAGGCGCCGCTGCCGGGGCAGGCGTTGCGGATGATGTCGAAGCGCTGCTCCTCGGTGATCTCGCCGGTGATGTACTGTCCGTAAGCCTGGAAGGCGGAGACGATGTCAATGGACTCGCCAGACTTGGTGCAGCCGGGCTTGATGGTACCGCCGTAGACCATGATGGAAGGGCGGTTGACACGGCCCATGGCGATGGCCACACCGGGCATGTTCTTGTCGCAGCCGGGAAGGGAGACGTTGCCGTCGTACCACTGGCCGTTCATGACGGTCTCGATGGAGTCGGCAATAATCTCACGCGACTGGAGCGAGTAGCGCATACCCTTGGTACCCATGGAGATACCGTCAGAGACACCAATGGTGTTGAACTGGTAGGGGATGAGGCCGGCGTCCTTGACGGACTTGCGGACGATGTTGGACAGGTCGAGAAGATGCATATTGCAAGGGTTGCCCTCGTACCAGACGGACGAGATACCAACCTGAGCCTTGTTCATGTCGGCTTCGGTGAGACCAGTGGCGTAGAGCATAGCCTGCGAGGCACCCTGGGACTTGGGCTGGGTGATCTTGGAGGAGACCTTGTTCAGCTGCTCGTCGCTGTTGGCGCGACGGGCGGCGGTGGAGGAGAGGAGGCGACTGCATCATTGATTCTATTAGCCATTGAGGTCATTGACGATGAAGAGAAGAGTCGTACGCATGGCTGCTAGCACCGGAACGTCTCGTCGCAGCTCTGAGAGCTTGTGACTGACGGGAGATGGCTCGGGAGAGCATTGTGTCGAAGGATCACCAGGGGAGCGAGCCTCCCGAGTAGAAGCAAATGCAAAGAAAAAGAGAGGAAGAGAGGAGATTGGTCTGTTCGTGGTGATCAATCGGGTGGAACAATTAATTCATCACCAAATGACTCGCTTCTTTTTTATAGTATAGCAAGTGAGTCACGGAAGAAAGAGAGAAAAAAAAAAATAGTGCGGTGAAGGGGAAGACCTGAGATCACAGGGACAGTCACAGGGACACGGCGCACGTAGTTGAAGATGGTTTTGGGAACCCCCGGAAATATGGGCAATATGGGCGATGTCGGCTGGCAAAAATTCTGGAGCTCCCCGCCAGCTACTCCCCGCATTGAAATAGAATTATGCTGATTGGCTGTTGCAGGTGGCCCCAGGTTCTTGAGGTAAGCCGGCGCCGGTGCAGCTTTGGAGACAGTGGATGAGGTGAGTTCACGGTGAGTGATAAAAAGCAAGGTTTATTACCCAGAAACAGCCTGAAAATTAAGATAATGATATCAATTCGTTGCTGGTTTGAATGTTTTTCTCAAATTTTGATTTCCCCAGTACTTTTTCTCATTTTACAAGCTCATATCAAGCACAATTGAGCTTACCATCATCCATGAGATATCAATGCTACCTTACTGTGTGGAATGTATCTTATGTAATAAGCTCACGTCATGCTTATTCCCGCTAACCCCGGAATGCTTCCGGTCCCGGACCAGCCCCGGTTTTTCCAGGCCGAATCCGCGTTGTGGGTTGCGGCCACCCGGCAACGCATGTACGGCCTCCATAATGCAATCCTGTAATCAATTCCTTTGCTGGTGGATATCTGAACTCATGACGTTATTTGGCTTACTGTCGGGTGGTCTGCTGTAAATGTTTGCGGCTCGTCTATGGCTTGGTCTTCTGCTCCTCTGATGAATCCTTCTCCTTTGCGTCCTTGTCCTCTCTCCGCGTCAAGATCTCATCAATAACTCCAATCTCCTTGGCCTCTTCCGCCGTCAGGTACTTGTCGCGCTCCATCATATCGTTGACCTCCTCCAGGTTGTACTTTTCGTGTCCGAAGGACTTGTTGATGTGACGCTTCATGATCTCGTTGATCTGCTTGCGGATGCGCTGTATTTGATTCGCGTAAATCAGAATATCTGACGCCTGGCCCTGCGTGCCACCAAGAGGCTGATGGATCATGACGGAGCTGTGCGGCAGGGCGTATCTCTTGCCAGCTTCGCCTCCCGTGAGGAGCAGCGCCGCCATCGAAGACGCCGCGCCAAGGCAAACTGTCGAGACTGGTGACTTAATGTATGACATTGTATCGTAGATTGCGAGTCCTGGAATGGTCAGCCATGCCATTTTCCCCGTACATCCCAACAGGAGTGTCCTACCTGACGAAACTGAACCTCCCGGAGAGTTAATGTACATCGTGATCGCTTTGTCGGGACTGTCGGACTCGAGCCACAGCAGCTGGGCAACTATCGATGCGGAAACGGTATCGTCGATCGCGCCATTGAGGCAAACGATTCGTTCCTGGCAACGTTAGCTTTTTGGTGCAAAAGCCAGAAAATTATACCGTTATACCTGAAGCAGCTTTGAGAAGATGTCGTCTAACTGCAATGTCAACGAAACAGCTCAATCGCGCAGCGCATGGCAATACTAACATGACCTCCATCCATTGGACTGATCAGTTAGCTGTTATGCTCAGCAATCGGGAGGAGTCATGCGTTACGAACCGAGACCTCGGTGATGTATGGCAGAGGGATGCTTCCGGTCGGTGGCGCGCTCACTGGTCCGCCAACGGGGAAGTTTGTGAAAGCCCGAACATGTCGCCTAACGGGCGCGGCCCTTAGCGCTCGGAATAGTGTCCGTTGGCAGTTCATGGCGGCGCAAAACGGAAATGCGACGCCAACTGTTGTGTGTTGTTGAAGCTGGAGGGAATGCGAAGCGGCAAACGGCGGCAAGTGGAGGTGACGTTGTGTGGGCGGCAGAACTCCCAGCTACTACACTATTGACCCCTGCATTTGGGGGGCCCCCAAGCTCCGAGCTTCCCACGCGTCTCGCCTAAAAATTGCCCCGAAGCGTGTAAAGCTGTGAACCTCAGGGTCCCTGCTCCCCACGTTTTGCAGAACGTCACTGAGACCATCGACAAGAGACCTCGCAACATTCCTCTTTCGGCGCTGGCAGCCTCGAATTGCGCCCAGTACCCCGACGACCGTTTCCGCTCTATTAGAGGCTACAAAGCGATGAGTCGACGGCTTTTATCTACCCTCGGCGGCCGCCATCACCGCGCGAGCATTGCCCCGGAGACTCTCGATCGAGCTCATCGAAAACAAAACGAGCTGGCCGCCAAGTTCGAGCGCGGGTTAGGTCAGGATGGCGAAGGAAATAGTATTACAATCAACAGGGAGAGAAAGACAGTCAATACGTCAGCTGGCGAGCTGCCCATTTCACCCGTCATGGACCCGGATTTCGCAGAGGTTAGGAAGAGGTGGAAGGGCCCTAAAGAAAAGCCGAACAGAAGCAAGGTAAAGGACTTGAAGGAGAGGGCTCGGAGGAAACTTGCAGAGAACCCATACGGTAAATATATAAAGTACCAGCTCAAAAGACAACAATTGGCTGATCGAATCTACAGCCCATGCTCTTGCGACTCCCATTCGCATGTGCCCCATCACCCGCACAACCCTGCCGTCATATTTCCTCCAGAACTTCAATGCAGTCTCCAATCCTGAAACTGGTGACATATGGATAGTACCAGAGGATATGACCTCGAGCCCATTGGAAGGCTCCAGCCAGAAAGACGGTGCAGACCCGGAACAAGATAATGAACAACAAACTTCTACCCTGGCCAGCCAAGCCGATACACCGGAACCAACAGCCCCCGAGTCGCCCTTCAAAAAACCCATGATTTCTCCCCCCTCAACATACGTTCTCTCCAGGAAACTCCTCCTCAAGAACGCGCCCCAACGAAAGGGGGCTGGACCACACGCAGGCTCCGTTCCTATGCTATTCGCTAGGCGAGATCGCTTCATAAGAGCCACCAATAGTAGAATCGTCTTCCGGTCTGACATGGACGAGTTCGTTCTCGAAAACATGCGCCGCCAAGTCGTCAACGCATTTTTGTATTATGCCAAACTGCATGAAACCGACGGAAGGGACTACCTGAGGCCGTGTCCAACCTGGGACAGCGTCAAGAAGATGCAGAAGCGGGGCTGTCTTCTTTGGATACCCTCGAATGCAGAAGACCAGAAAGGCCCCAGGGCGGTTGGTGGTTACTCTGCCGTGCAACAGTTCGCCGCGTACGATGTCCCCGATGCCAAGTGGGAGAAGAGGCTGCCGGTCCATGATCTCGATTACCTCTTAGGCCCTGACCACATGGCAACTTTGCGCAAGCACGCACTCTTCCAAGCCAACTCTCTGTTGTTGTTAGGGAAACAGAGGTCGATACCTGTGCAGCTCTATCTCTGGAAGTTACAGGGGTATATGGCAGAGTATCCTGAGGATAATACTTTTGTGCCGAAGAATAGTAAAGAAAAGAAGGATCAGTCGTGAGATACCCCATTCAGTTTAATAACAATATTTGCAGCACAAGTTCTACACTCTATATCAAACTTTGATCTAGACCTTGACTCATCACAAAAGCATGAAGAGGATACCAAGTACGAACATGTTCGATTTTCCATTTCCTTTGTCTACCTAGTCTCAAGTCCACAGAGAAATAACCAAGGTAAGCGCCATGCCGGCAGCAATAGATGGGAATGACCAAAGAAGCCTGTTGGACCAGCTTTCAGCTGGTATACCTGGCTCACGGCTGCCCTCCGCAATGTTATTGGCGTGGATACACCGAAACGCGCTGTAGTCTGAGCGATTTCTTCCGTCATCATACTTGTAGGCGAGCAGCATCATGAAAACCTGGTTCATTGCCTCGTCGTAAGTATGTGCGAACCTTGAGTTTGTCGATTCGTGGAGAGGAATGGTATACGATATATATACCGGAATCGACGGTTTCGTCCCGTTGACCGACTTCGCCAATGCTGGTGTCAAATCCGCTAATGTAGATCGTTAGCCTCGTGACTGAGAGGAAATGATCCAGTTCCCAGTAAAATCACTTACTCCACGACCTGTCCCCCAAACCGTCCGTTACGCCTCTGCAGCTTTCAGGTTCGTCCATATCAAAAGCGCCAGTTCGGCATCCTGAGCTCTCTGCTCTTTGTTTCAACTCTCTCAGGCATTGGTCTGATACTACTCCGTTACAGGACCCCTCCTTATCTTCGAGGAGCTTTTTCGCCTGGTCCACACTCCAAGCAGGCCTTCGAAAGATGTGCATACAAACATTATAGTCTGCGCTGGCATTTGTTGAATTCTTCACTTCGAAAGCGTTCTCTGGACCCGTCACTCTGATTTTGGTCGGATTGTTGTTTCCAGCTGTAAGACCGCTCACATTAAACCCACTAACAATGTCGAAGCTCCATCCGTTGCCTTCACCGTACACATTCGGGTCTGGGGGGTTCAGCATTGGCACCGAAACGTCAACGCCATAGAATGGCCAGCTTCCCGTGGCATTTGGTCTCTTCTCCCACTCCGCAAGCTCTTTGTCGCTTCTCTCTCCATTGGGATAAGTGTCCTGGGAGTAGGCGTGTCGGTTAAAGCACAAAGCGAGAAAGAACACAATCAATCTTCTGGGAGGATGCATGCTAAAAACATAGCAGCCTCTCAATCCAAGATTACCAAATCGACTGTGCAAAATAATTAGTTTCAAGAAGAGACTGTGCTTCTACCATGGCGATGATCAAGATGTTGGAAATGCATCCCTCCGATCAACCATTTATAGTCTCTAGCCCAAGAGTCCTGCTGACAAGGTCATGATTCTCAAAATGCGTTGCGGAACAAATGACGTTGAGCCAAGGCTTGAATTTCCAATGCAGTCATGCAGAGGGACCTATGCCCGACACGGAGCAGCTGTTCCAAGACTAAACTTCAATGCCGAGACCAGTTCTTACACAACCTAGATAAGACTATTGAACAAGGACTAGAACTGACCAAGAGTTTTGGTGTATTCCTCTTTTGTTTCTATCGTAACTGAATTCGACCCTTGGCGCATGAAATCTACCCTGTCAGCCTTATATGGCCCCGTTGGCATATGTCACTTTACCCCTGGCAGGTGCAAGATGACCTCATCAACTCTAGGGGAATTGATCAGCCCTGTTCTAGGGCGATTTCCTCCGCAAACATGAGAAAGCCAAGTGTTGTAGTGCAGTTTAAGCCACGTGGGATTTCGCCCGGGGAATTAATACAAGGACGTTTTGCAAGGACACGGCATTCAATTAATGAAGGGCTAGTCAGTGTTTCGAAGGTTGGCGAGCTTGAGATGTCTCTTGCGAGTTGCATTCCAATAACAGCATGCTGGAGGTCTGTATTCCCCAAATCATCTGATTTCCCGCTGCTTCGGATCGCTCTCCCACAGCTCGCCTTTTATTGCACCGTCGGCTAAAGCTGGACTGCTAGGAACATATCTTGACCATCACGGCCGAACAGTCATCGGAAATTCCAAGCCAGCGAAGGCATATGATATGTCGCCAAAATTCAGACCGAAGGGGCTAACGCCGAACCCATACTCTGGTGGGAGATAGGCGCCCAACTCTCAAAAATGCCGAGGTAACAAACTATGGACTCTTGTCAGAGGATACTCGGCATTTTTCAACAAGCCGTCCTTCGATTTGGCAGTTTCTTTTCTCGTAAACCAGTAGCTTTCAGCAGTGAGTAAACGAGAAGCCCATGACACTGTCATACTGTAATAGCCTTCCTGAGAACTGGTAGCCAAACGGAAACTGCATCTGGTACGTCTTCGATAACCTCAGAGTCATATTTGACATAATTGTAGTCCCAATGCGTAAGAGCACCGGGAGACCCCATAGAGATTAAAACATGCTGCTGGCCCTGTCGGTGAAACATCACTTCAGCAGCTGCCTCAAAGCTTCGGCAGCATAAGTTTCTACCAGACGTAATATCATAAATGTGAGTGTGTTTTGTAGGTAGGATACCTCCCGTTAAAGTACGGCGGGCTCAAGACCGAGTGATTCTCCTTTGTTCGACTGGGCGGTTTGCTACCTGACGGGATTCATTGAAATATCTAGATGAAGAACCACAGTCGCCTGGCGTGAAATACTTGACGAAGTACCACTTCCGTGCAGCCAGTTCAGTCTGTCATCGCCGCTCATCTTTAACTCTCAGCTCATTGACCCTTCACCACATTTAACATTACACTAATCATGGGGGATTCTAGGGTTTTGCATAGTCTGTTTTCTGTTGAGTAGAGATCTCTCTGTCTAAGTTAGTCGGCCATTCAACTCAGCTGGCTGAATTATTGCGTATTGATACGCAGAAAAACCAAAGTCGAGAATCATCAACCACGGCTACTCACGGGCTGAGTGCATCTTTCTCGAGATCCAGCAACTGGCACTCATCCTAACTCGCAATTCGTCTCAAAACAATCAACCATAACGCCGTCGAAATCAAACTCAACCCCTCGAAAGCAAATCAGATCTCGAACCCCTTCACCAAGCTTCCAGTGACTCTATCGTCAGCCGGTTCGACCTTGATTGCTTGAAGCTTGTCATCAAATCCATGTCCGTTTTCTTCATCGTCATCTTCATCCTCTGCTTTGATGATGTCGTCTTCGTTGTCCTCTTCATCCTCACAGTCCTCTAACTCAATATGAGGAAGGCGTACGTAAACGGACTGCCATTGACGTCTCCAGTCAGTGATGACATTTCCGATCTGGGACCTGGTTTCATCGCTCATAGTCTGCAACGCAGTGTGCTTGGCCTCCTTTTTGCTAAGACGACCGGCCACTCGTAACATCTCGTCTCGAATCAGAGCCCCACAACCTGTCTTTGGATGAGACCAGAGGCTCCCTACATCCTTTGATAGTCGACGGATTTCTTCAACGAGAACACCCTCCAACTCGTTGCGACCTTTCTCTAACATATCCAAGCCGATCTCGTCTGTGAATTTGTTGACTTCGCTTATTTGCTTTTTCATGGAACCGCTGCCTATGACAATGTAAGCATGATCCTGCTCAATTCCGCAGTGACTTACCCTTGTGGTTCAACGCAGCCCGGAAGCCCGGCTTCATTTCATTGGTAAAGAGTTGATAAAGTATCTCTTTCTTAAGTCTCGAGGCGATCTGGAATGCGGCGATGCGACCACGAACTTCGGAAATGTACTTTCCGAATAGATGATCGAGCTTGTATGCATTGCTTTTCAGTAGTTCTAGGAAGGGCTCGGGAAGCGTTTGATCCTCGCATATCTGGGTGATCCAGTTTCTGAAGGCATTGAGCCCTGCAGCTTGAATTCTTGATCTGAATTCGGGAACTCTCCGCGTGAATTGATCTCTCCATCTACTGCCATGTCCTCTCCAGAAGGCATTTTGTCTGGGTCATAGTTAGCTTTAGAACCGCAGTGCTGATGTGAGAAACTTACATGCCCTCCATCCAATGGATTTGGGACTTAGACCTTCCGTTTCTCGCCGGCCGTTGGAAGATGCCTCCATTTCTTCTGATGCAGGCCCTGTAGGTAGCCCAATGAGTTGGACTATGTTTCTCCTCATTGAAAGTACTGCCTTGGGGGTTCTTTGATTTCCAGCCGGAAACTTCGCGAAGAAGGTTAGTAAAGGACTTTTGGATCTCGTGACCATTCTTGGAATTCTTGCTGAGCTTTGCCTTGACCAAAGTGTAGTCACGCAAAGGCTTTAGGCTTTTCAGGTTGCTTTGGAGCCTAGTACGAACTTTTGTATTGACGCTCTATTGAGACAGTCAGCATACTTTCAATATACGTGGAATTATGAACTTACTGTTCCCACTTGCTTGGTTGAAGAAAGTATGGTCTTATTCACTATGGAGCTTTCGGCGCCTGTTAATTTCGGAAGACTTTGAGCATCATTCTGGATCCATCCGTCAGCTGCATCAAGCAGAACTTGAATATGATGGATATCACTGTCTACCCATTCCTCCCTTTGAGGAAGAGAGACATAGTTTAGCCATTTTTTCAAGTCTGGGATTCCAGTTGACTGTCGATCTCTGAAGCCCATCGAGTTTTCTGACGTTGTGTGCTTTCTGAGATCTTGGTAAGCTTTGCTGCTCACCGGAAATACTGCTGGCAAAGACTCTGCAGTCTCTTTGGCTGCCTTGTTTCTTTTGAAAGTCTCGAAAAGTTTTTCCTCGATGTCTTTCTTTAGTTCAAAGTTGCGCTGCTGAATGCAAAGTTCCCTCAGACGAAACCTGAGATCTGTAGCGGTATGGCTGTGGCCGGCAGGTCCATCTATCTTCTGTCGCTTTGTATTGCCATTCTCAGAAGTGACCTGTCTGTAGGACCAGTTCTGACTAGCATGTTGATCGTAATCATCATCTTCGTCATCTGTTAACTGTTCTTCGTTGCCTTCCAGCCGTTGAAGATTACTGACGATGTCTAAAATCTCCTCTGTGGGAAACTCAGTAGCAGCTGATGTGATATCGATGTCGTCAATTTTTGTGACCGCAATACAAAGCGCGTCACGTTTCAGCATATCATCCATGTCTAGATCATTAATATCATGATCCGATAGAATCAAGTCTGCGGCTGCTTTGTTATCAGCCGCTCTTGTCGCCGGTGTCACAATGATTCTTTTATCAAGTCGGTAGTAGTAGTTGCGGGCCACCTGTGCGCGAGACTCGAGAGCATCCATCACACCTGGAAGGTCGACTATCTTGACTCCGTTACGAAGGACCTCGGACTTCAGGAAGATCTCGACCTGTTCAACCAAAGGCCAGTATTTCTTTTTGTCGGCCTGAGTGCTGTGACCCTTGACTTTCGTGCTGTCGACGTAAGGTCTCAGCATTGCAAGAAATTCGTCTTGACTCATAGCAGTCACATTTTTCCAAGTTTTTTGGCTCTTGTTGCCTTTCCCGCTTCTATAAACTTCTTCATATGCTCCCTTGGATTCCTTGATAATTCTCGCTGGTGAGTAATTTCTGATTTGCTCTTGAGAGAGGCCCGACCAGTTTTCGATGTTTGAAATATGCTGCTTGACTTGGGCCCACCGAAGGTCAAAGTCTGGGTCACGTTCATCTCCTCGTGCTTTTTTAGATTCTGCCAGGTCCGCCATTTCTTCTTTGAGCGCGTCAAGCTCCGTCTCAACGGTCTCCCGACTTTTGAAAGTGATGGATGCCTTAAACTTCTTTCTTTCGTCGTTCCAGCCAAAAATACAGACTGCAGCAGTGCATGCCTCGGATTGGCTGGTAGGTACAATATTGTATCCCAATAGTGCATTGATCAGGCTGCTTTTCCCCAGTCCAGTCTCTCCGGTAACACCGACGAGAATCTCTCGAGACTTTTGCGCTTCTTGAAGAAAACCTGTAGAGTATGAGCTTTGTGCGCTGGCAGCAGGCAGACATGATGGCTCTTACCTAAGTTGTCATTCCAGTCGTTTACGTCTACATGGGACTTCATGACGAGGTCTTTTTGAAGAATTTCTTGGATCCTTCTCAGACTCTCCAAGCCAATGCCTCGGGCTTTTTCTTTTTCTTGAACGCGTTCGCCAATGTCGTTCAGACACTGCTCATTTCCTCCTGCGACGGTGGATAACTGGATCATTGCCACATCTGACGGCGCCATTTTTGCAGTTTTTGGAGTAAGAGGATGTGAGTGGGCAGCTGTAGGTACGACTGTATACAGTTGTGTGAATGTGGAAAGAAGCCGGAGTGTCACTGTGAAATACTCGGTGAATAGTTGGTGTGAAGGAGGAAGAAGCGAGATACCTTATGTTCTGTGTTGGAGATGCTGAAGTGGAAGTAGTAAAAGATGAAGTCAAGGAGGAAAGAAGTTGAAGGCGGAAGTGATGGTCCCAAGAGTGAAAAGTTGAAGATGAAGAATAAGCAAGAAAACCGATCCAATTGAAGGCAAGTATGAGTTAATCTCTCGGGAAGGCGTAAGGAGTCTAACGAGATCCGAAATTTCAGGCGTACTTTCAGGAAGGAGCAACACCTGACGTGTAATCGATAATTCTGTGGGGAAAGAAGTGAAGAATGGAAGTGCGAGTGTGAAGTCGGAGATGACAGGCTTGGACGCGCGTCATCAAAGAGTCAAGGAAGATGTAAAGGGAAGTGATGCTGATTTGAAGTGTGAGACCAGAAGTCGAAGAAGTGTAAGTTGTAGAAGTGAGTAAGTGCCTGAGGGAGTGGAAGTTGTATCGAAGAAGTAAGTTGAGTTAGAAATACCACGTGAACTGGTCCTAAAGCACCCTGCCAGCTCTTAATCAACAAAAAAGGGAAGAAGCAGACTTGTTGAGGGCAAATACGTCCACAAGCAAGTAACCTCTTACTCTTCCAAGAACATTAATCGCGCAGAAAGAGCGAACACGCATCAAACAATAAAAACCCTTCACCAAGCTCAAAAGAAAATAGAAACCCCTCCATATAACCACCAAATCTCATATAACACAAAAAAGATACATCACATATCCAGCAAAGGCAAAAGGAATGCGCCGAGGGGGAATCGAACCCCCGGCTCCCCGACGCTGCTTGATGGCAACGGAGAATTTTACCACTAAACCATCGGCGCTGATATCAAAGTGGGAACTGTAGATGACTTCGAATCGGTTGTGGAAGGAATATCTTGGCTTTGCAAGTGCGTGCGTGGGTGTGGGTGTTTGTGTGTGTGTGGATGTTTGTGGGTCCGGGGAGGGGAGCAAGATACCCATCCCCACTCCAACTCACTCCTTGTTCCACCATCAAACACCGTCCTCCTTCAAGTCCATGAGACGTTCGTTGATGTGAGACAAAGTCCATCACAGGTAAATCACGAGGGTAAGCGGAATGGCATGGGTATCAATTATATAAAAATCTCAAGAGGCCTAGCCCTTTTCCTTTCCTATGCACCTTTCTCCTCTCCATTCTCTCCTCTCACTTCTCAGCGCTTCTCCTTCTCTCTCTCTCTCTCAATTCCCTTAGCAAGAACGGCATCAACAGAGTATCTCGGCATAAGAAAGCAACTCGGAAAAAGAACTTGAAACTTCAACGCCCCCCTTTTTGTAGGAAGAGCAGCTCAGAACTAAGGAGACTGGGGCGAGATGGTTAAAAAAGAAAAGAATAAAAAAAGCGCGCAGACGCCAGGCATGGATGATAACCCAGGAATAACTCCCTCCTTCTTCAACAGCTCAGTGACGGAAAAAAAAAACAATGATAATAAGAAAAAGGGACACAGGTATGTGATTGTGGGTGGTTGTGGTTTCGCGAGGTTGTTCAAAAATGATGCAATCTTCTCGAATCAAGACGCTACGATTATACATTTTTATAATCGGATCGACAAATATCATCTGCCTAGTGGTGGAGTGTAGTCACGGCTCTGCCGGCGCCCACTGGGTAATATTCAAATAATCCGCTCTTCTGCTCTCTTTCTCTCTTTCTTCCGTAGTTCAGCGCACTGGAAATATCCCATACACCCTCGGCCGCCGTCGCCACAACCATCACCTCCTAGAATGAAAGTGGCACGCGACCGGAATGGGAATCTATACGCTGACCCAGAAGCTACTGCGGAGAGCTCGTCGATTGGGTGGGCAAGGGTACAAAAGGAAAAAGCTTGAACCGTGGTGCTTCTCTAGTGGTGTCGTCGTCTTCGTAGACGAGTTGGAAATAGTGTGGGTTGATAATATGGTCGATAAATACATGTAACGTTCGGGCCGATGCTGTGAATGGAATTAAGAGAGTCGTAACGTCGTTAAAGGCTCGCCTCGCGGGAGGTGGTGGCGGTGGAGGATATGTCGAGTGGGTTAACGTAGGTACGGGTATATGACAAGATGGAAACGAGACAAGAGACTGGTTACATGACGATGCAGCAGCCGCAGCCTCCGCTCTTCTTCTTCTCGCCGCCCATGGACATGTTGGCCGCCGAGGGTTCGTCGGGCACACGGGTGATGGTTTGCGCCTGGGCGGGCGGCTGGGTAGGCATCATCGGGCTTCGAGGGCTGCGGGGGCTTGGCAGTGGACTGGACTGTGGCTTGTCTGAAAGCTTGGGCATGGTCGAGTAAGATGCGTTCTGCTTGATACTCGGGGACGTGGGGCTCTTGGGGGCCTCGTTACCCTTGAGAGGCCATTCATCGTGCTCCTGCTTCTCTTCTTCTGGCGATCCAGTGCTTGGTCCAGCCTCGGGAGGCTTCAACAGACCTTCGGCAGTCAGAGGACGGAACTCTTTGTCGTAGATGCTACCAAACTTGCCCTCCCGTTCCCATTGCTCTTGCTGTAGTCGTCTTGCTACCGTCGGGAGGAGTTGCTGTTCGGGCGGAAGGCGGGGGTCAGGCTTGTACGTTCCCACCATCCATGGCGGGTCGCCCTCTGGCTTCTTGTTGCCGGGGGATAGGTCTCCAGATCTGGTTGTCGGGCGCGCCGTGATGCTGCTCGTAGAATCCTTGCCGCCCCTGGTTCTTGGTTTGCCAGTGGGCTTGGCTTGGGTCGAAGTCTTCCTGCTCGTAGCCGTGGTCGAGGTGGTGCTAGGTTTTCGAGGAGAGGTATCGGTGACGCTGCGCTTCGCAGGTTGCAAGCTTGGCGTGGCACCAAGAGTATTTGCGCTGCCGCTCCTAGGGCGCGGTTTGGGATACGCAATCGTCTCAAGTTCGTTGGTGCCGCCACTCTGCCTACGTGCCGAGGGTGCGTTTCTCTCAATGTAGTACTCGGGAATGGGGGCTGGGCTGGCTTTTGCAACGGGAATCTTGGAGCCACCCTTCTTCTCACCATTGGACATCCAGTAGTTTCCGTCACCCTCCGTAGCAATCTCCTCGGGCCGTCGCAGGTCCCAAGCGGAGGCCTCAAGGTCTGGCATCTTTTCCAGAGGGGTCCTGTTCTCGGGGGAAACGGACGAGGTCTTCCTGGACCGCGGGCGAGGCATCTCGTCATCGGCAGCAGCGGACGTGGTCCTCTTGGTGCTCCCGTTCAGCTTCTCCTCGCTTCGACCCCTTCGCGGCCTGCTGCTCGCACGCGGCCTTGGCAAAATGATACCGGCGGCCTGGAGCTCCTCGCTCTCGATCCGAGCCAGCTTGTCACGGTGAATCCATTTAGAGTCTTCGACAAGGCCGTTCTGAAGGTCACCTGTGGATCGTTTCTCGGCGACTCCATTCTTTCCCCCAAAGACATCATCAGCGTTGTTCAGTCCCAACTTCGCCGATGTATCGGTGTCGCGGCGGTTCCTCTTTTTGGAGAGGGACAAGTTATCGTTCGAAGCCTTCTTCCGCGGGGGCGGCAGGGGCTCGAAGCCATACTCGTAGAGACTCCCAGAGTTACCATTCTGGGACAGGGGTTTGCCGACGGAGTTCTTATCATGGGAATTCTACAATCAAAACCAACGTCAACCATCTGCATCGTAACCGATATACAACCAGGGATGTCCAATTGCATAATTCACAAGCACTCTTTCAAGAACCTACCTCAGTGTTATCCCAGGAGTTTAGGTTCCCAGTACCATGGCTGCTACTGGGCGGCGTGATGGTGTTGGCTGTCGCTACTGCAGCAGCGGACATGGCAGCCATCGCGTCGTCTGGAGAGCTGGTAGACCAGCAATCTCCAGACAGTCGTATGCGGACGTGGTAGAATTCGTTGGCGTCGGCAGCGGTGTTGACGATTTCGAGATTCAGTTGGTGGCCGGGAGGTGGTACAATGGACGGCGTGCGCGTGGTCTTGGGTAGTGGAAGAAGCGAAAAGGGCGCTGGACAGACGCGGGCGGGAGATTGGAAATTGCGTCGTCGGCCGGTGGTCTAGCGTCGTTACGGTGGGATTTGCGTTGGTGGCTCACCGGGACGGCGGGTTATTAGGAGGCGCTCACAAAGCGGCGCGATGGTGGGAGAAAGGACCCAGGTGCAAAAGGTACACGAAACAATGAGGGTCAGGCGAAGGCCGGTAGGTCGAAACAAAGAAAAAGGCAGATTGACAGCGGTCAAGACGGGATTCCGGTCGGGAAAGGGAACCGGGGACTCGGAGAAGATCAACGAATGAATGTGGCGGTTGGTCGGTTACGCAGTTAGTTGAGGATAGTAGTAGAGTAGTAGAGGCGGGAGAGTAGTAGAAGGGGGTTTAGATTGAATCGAAGAAGGGGACGGAAATGGAGAAAATAGAGAGGGCTCAGCAAGAAGCCATTCGCAGCAGTGGTGACGCTGGGTCGTCTTTGCGTCTGGGTCGTCTTGTCTTCAAGATGGCCGCTTTCTCAACTCAGCGCTCCCACAGTGCCAGTGTCTTGCCGCAGCGCAAAGGAAAGCAGAGCCAACACACAACAGGATGGAAGAGAGACAAGGACAAAGACAACATGGAACTTGGGTGAATGGCAGAGGAAGTGGAGGAGAACGCACAGGCACACTAGTACAGTGCGCGGACAGGGGGGGCAAAGGACGAAAGTGAAGGATGACAAGGAAAGAGAGAGTGGTGGGTTTTGGAGACGATACGTATCTTTTGGGGGCACTTGGCCCCATTTAGATTAGCAGCTCCAACACAAGCATCTGGTTGGTCAAAGCCCTGAGGCCCATTCAGGGCTATGGGGGTCCACATGTGCAAGGCGTGGGATTCCCTCTTTCGGGAAGTCGAGCTCGCTGATAGGAAGAAAATGCGGCGCAGGCAGCAAACAGCGAATAAGAAAGAAGAAGCACCGGGTGGTGTTATGGGGTACGTACCTGGTGAGACATGCCAGTATCTACAAGGCAGGGCATATGAAATTAAGAAAAAAAAAAAATAAATAATTGACTGCGTATGCTGGGTGCATAGCCAGTCAAGCCAGTCAGTCGGAGAGTTACATCTGTTAATCCTCGCACTAATTCAATTTGTGCTTCTATTTTTTCCCTACCCTCTAATCTGGTTTGACTTTATCAGTTGTACTCGCCTCTTCCTCATTGGCCATCTAGCCAAAACAAGCACAGAAAAAAAGAAAAAAAAAAGGTGGAAACGTTGGTTCGGCCGGCATCTCGATGGCGGTGAATGAGGGGAACAGAATGAGAAAGGAGGGGGAACGAGCGGCGGCAGACGGACGATGGAACGAACTTTACGACTTGGACCCAGCCACTGGTATTTGGCACTGTCTGTCTGTGGCTCAATGTCATTGGAGAAAGACATAAGGTTCCCCTCCAATAGCCGCAGGATGTACGACTGCAAGACAACAACTGCAAGACGCAAGACAGCTGCAGCCCATGGAGCCAATGACGGGCCCTTTGGCAAAATGGGACCTTAGTTGCAGACAGCCCTTCACTAGCTGAATACTGTGTAAAAAGCCTCTCGGACCCGTGCAACGGTCCACCTTTGTTCGTCTGTGACGCCGCATTATCTCATGGCTGGACAAAGAAGAAGACGGTAAAAGAAGGGGAACACGCCATTAAAGACGGCAGCGGCGGCGGTAGCATGGCGGCTGATTCAGGGGAGAAAGAGCAAGACAAGAGGGCTTGCTAGCCGCCACTGGTACAAGAAGGTCAAAGACATGGCCTTCTGCAGCATTAGCTACCAGAAGATTGAGAAGGAAAAAAAAAAAAAAAAAAAAAAAAAAAGGCCAGACCGGGACGCACGGGAGCCCATCCTCTATTTTTTTTGGTTTGGATTTTTGGTCCTTCTAATAACAAAAGGAAGGATAAGCGAGACAGTGCATCAATTACGCTCGGACGGGGTTCCATTTTCCATCTAGGTTCTCCTCTAACCCGGAGGCAACAGTCCATCGGTGTGGCCACTGATGCTATTCCCAATGGCCCCCAAACGGAGAGGGTGTGGAGGAGAACGGAAGAAGCGAACGGCAAGTTTCCACCACGGAGCCGCAGACGCAGCACGGATAGGTATATGACCACCCGGAAAGAGAAGATGCAGACGGCGGTCAGTATCAGCTTCGGGGATCTTGCTCGTAATTGAGGTGGGGGGGAGAGGAGGAAAGTGGATGAAAGACCGTTGAAGTGTAAGGATGGGTCGGGTTGGTCGAACCCTTTGCGTTCTTTTGAGGTTGAGCGAATCTCGGTGCAATACTACGTACGGATACCAGCTACCAAAAATATAAAAAGAAAATAAAATAAAATGCTTAGCATAAAATGATGGGTGATTTGAAAGACTGGGCGGGCATCGTCGTCACCTGTCAAGATGGCACGCACTATAGGCTGATCGTCCATCTCATTCCAGCCCGACGGTCAGGACCTCAAGGTTCAAAACGTCGGGTGCAATAGGAGTGGGTGCTGCGAGCTCGGAAGATGCTCCGTGACCTTGGTTTTGATTTATTCATTTCTTTTGCTGTCGCCGCGACATGCCATCAGTTGATTATCAGAGACACTTGGCTTGGGGACACAACAGTTTGGTTTGAGCCCAGCCATTGCACAAAAAGAGTAATGAATGTAAATGCACAAAGTATGTACCCTACGACGGAAATCGTGTGCATCGCACTGTGCCCGGGGGCGCCTTCTGGACCCCTTTTCGACCACTTGTCTGCCTCTTGAGCCCCGGTATCTTTTGTTACTTCCCCCGGCACTCGTCATTTGCGCCTCCTTGTACAGTAATAAATCCCAGGGGAGGAGAAAAAAGCCTCCAACGGTCTGTGCCGCTTTTGTTTTTATTTGATTTTTAATTTATTTCCCCCTTCTCCTTCTCTGTGGACCAGATTCGGACATTTTCTTGTGGGATGGATCGGTGGTCCTGCCGCCTTGGAACTTCGTGTACGGAGTAATATTGTATAGATGGATGCTCCTACGTAGTTGGGGGTTCATGCCTGTCTACCAATGCTTTTCGTAAACGGCAAAGTAACACGAACATGAATAGCTATAGCTTGGCTGGTTGTTCGCCCGGTACTCGATTGATATGGTTGGCCAATAAGTGTTTTGTGTCTTTGCGTCGTTGCTTTTTGTGCCCTCGCCTGTTCACCTGCAGACCGTTTGTCTCTGCATCTGACCACACGTCAAGTCACCAACCCCCAAATCTCGTGTTGACTGAATGCTCCTGCTCTCTGTCTCTCTGACTATCCAGAGGGAGGGAAAGAGGACGCCGACACCTCTTCTGACGGAGACATTTTCTCCGGCCCCACATCCGAATGAGCTCCTCCTCCCCTCTCAGGCCATATCTCGTAGCCTCCCAAGGAAAGCTCAGGCGAGGCTTATTTGATGACATGGTGATTACCTGCCAGAGAGGCATGAAGCAGTGGACAGACAGAACAGCTCCTTCTTTCCAACACTGACTCTCCCCTTCCTTCTTTGTCCCCTTCTAGAAGCGCTAAACTCATCTCCATCTCGCAGGGGAGAGCGGGGAAGAGCGAGGATTAATTCAGATCGTCCTTTCCCTTATAATTTCCGGCAGCCTTCGACGGGGAGCCCGGGGAATTTGGAAAGAGGAGAAGGCAGGCGCACGGTGGAATCGATGCCCCCCAATCGCGCCTTCTGCCCTGGAATTGCAATTGCATTTCATTCATTACAGTGTCTGTGTTGTTTCAAGTGAAGCACTGCGCACAAACACTCTCATTCAACTTTCATTTGGCTTTATTTTTATTTTTATTTTTGCATTTCCTATCGACGGATAATCGTCTCCCCCCCTAAAACCTGCATTTGCGTCATCTGCCGAGCCTCGGTATTTGCACAATTCCTCGCATATCTAATATACACAACATTCATAACCACAAGCCTTCACCTTTCTCTCCCTTGATTGTTATCCACACCACTCCGAGTATTGAATATTCCCGGCATTGGACCGTCCTCCTAACCTCCGCACCGGTCCCATCATCTGCCGGCCTCCACAGCCCGCTTCCGTCCCTCCCCGGTCCATGCCTGCCGGAATCATGGACACCCTCGCCGGCAAACAGCACCAGCAGCAACAACAACTACCACACTACTCAAGATGCCGCCACCAATCACCCCAGGAACCCATCCTGCGGAGGACCCGGTTCGTCTGCGTGTCCGACACCCACAACACTACCGTCAAACTGCCGAAAGGAGACGTGCTGATCCACGCGGGCGACCTGACGAACCAGGGCAGCTATTCCGAGGTAAGTGGGCGTCGACACTATGTTTCCGCCATCACAGACGGGCCCTTCCCTGCTGTCGACTCGACACGTTGGGAACAGCTGTTCGGATGGACGCGAGCCCAAGACGGGTCCTACACCAGGGATACTCGCGGTAGGCAGCACGTAAATAAACACAGTATGACGACGTGTTGCCTCGCCATCATCGTGACACATCACGTCAAGACGAACAACGGACAATGGACAACGCTGACATCACATACAGCTGTCACGGGCAGTAGCCTGGCTCGAGAAAGCAGACTTTGAAGCCAAAATCGTCATCGCGGGTCCGTTCACAAAACGCACCAGCCTCTTACCATCAAAGCCTGACATCCCCTAGGAAACCATGACTTGACCCTCGACTCAGACTTCTACGCCGAACATGGCAACCACTTTCACAACCAAGCGCCACAATCCCCGGAATCCTGCCTCTCTCTGCTCACGGACTCACCAAGCATAACGTACCTCAACCACGCCTCGGCCACCGTCCGCCTCCGCTCGCCATCAGGACCGCAGACTTCCTTCACCGTCTTCGGGTCGCCGTATTCTCCCCGCAACGGGCTCTGGGCATTCGGCTACGACGCACCGCAGGAAGGTACGGCAGATTTGCCAAGGCTCTGGGACGACATCCCGCTGGGCGCAGATGTAGTGGTGACGCACACACCGCCGCACACGCATGTCGACGAGTCTCGCCACCGCCGCGCCGCAGGCTGCGAGGCTCTCCGGCGTGCTCTGTGGAGGGTACGTCCGAGACTCGCAGTCTGCGGCCACGTCCATGAGGCGCGGGGCGTGGAGCGCGTAAGATGGGACCTAGGGTGCGCCAACACGGCGTTCAAGGAAGCTGGCGTAAAGACCTGGGAAGATCCGGGCGTGGGAAATAAACAGTCCCTGGTGAATCTCTCGAGCAAAGGGGGAGAGCCCTTACTGAATGACGGCGGCGACGTCGGCACAGTGACGTCTGTTGGGGGCGGAGACGGAACGGGACCGGGGGTCGGCACCCGCGGTCTCGGCGGCGACCCTGCCTCTGCCCGGGCAGACCGTGACGCGTTGATGGGACGCCTGGGGCGGCAGGAAACGTGCGTCGTGAACTGCGCCATCATGGCCAAGAGTTATCCTCACGTCGGTGGGAAGACGGTCAACAAACCTATCGTGATTGATCTGGATTTGCCTGTGTGGACTGAGACCCCTGAGACGGCGCATGCAGGTGAATGAAGGTTGTTAGTCCATTCAAATGTGTCCGGGCCACTGCAAACTGTATAGCCTCATAGTGTAAAGGCGATTAGTTAGGCAGATTGCGCTTCTACCGTTGTGCGCAGATTGTTCGTCTCGGTGAGGCTTCCACAATCTGCAACACCCAGCATCCCAAGAAGGCGAATCTGGGGGAGTTCTGAACGTATGAATATGCGCCGAGGACGTGCCGATTCCAGCATTCTTTACTTCACCGCGGAAAGCAAGGCTGGTACAGCGGCATGTTCGAGGCACGGAGGTCGTCGCCTTGTTGCCTATATTTGCACATTGCCAGTGTCTCGAACGGGTGCTACACTCAGAGCACCCATTGCTCCGATCTTGCATTCTGTTTCTCCGCTCTTCAATGCCTCTCAAGTATTCCGCCTCGTTATTCGACCATTGTTTTCAGTCTGCTATAACCCCTTTCTCGCCCTCTTCCCTAATGTCCCGACACACCTTGGCTGTATCTGTAGAAAACGAACAATTCAGCCTTGGCCAGAGAGGCGGTGATTGCATCTGTAGGGCAGTAAATGGAGCTGATCAGTAGCCCGTCGTGGAGAGCGAGTAACTTTCCAACGATGTGAATCCTCATGACGTATATTTATAGGCGACGTGTCAACGTCTATAGACTAGAGCAATGAAGACGTGACCAAGCACCCCAGAAGGTACTATTACAGCCACAATGGGATAAAAGTTTGCAGTATTGAGGGGAGAATAGCCAAGTAGCCATAGACATCTCGCATTCTATCTGAAATCTAGAAGTCATTTCCATCCATCCAAACAAAAGCGTAGACGGTCCCCGGACAACTTATTAAGCTGTGACAACTATACTGCCAATTACAACTTACACAGGATACAAACCAGGCAGGTGCTTTGAACCCCGGCGATGCATTTCTCATCAAGCCTTCATTATCGCCATTAACCCATAGTTTGGTTGTGGGGCCAGTTGCCCGTGACCTCGCAACCCCCAAGCCTCACGTCAACAAGATCTGCCGTTACAGTTTCTGAACTTGAAGCCACATCTCATGAACACGGTAGCCGACTGGAGATTCTCACTTATAATCCTCTTCGCAACGTTAATACTTCCCCGTGGGGAAAAACTAATAAACGACCCCGGCCGATTGATGTGATTACAGCGGTTGTTGACCACTTTAGACCATGATATCAGATATCCGTAGTGATGATACTTCTTGACCGCGAGCGTTTCTATTGGAAATCTTCCGGTGACGCCCAGGTTGAGAAGAAATTGAAGATGACAAACGATATGACATAGCGAAGGTTCCCAAACTACACATATAACATCAACCCAGGTGAACAGTTGACGTGTAGTTGCCAATGATATATACGCTTGACGAAGGGAAACTTAATCTGGCAGAAAGCAGAGCCTACAGCTCATCATGAAGATTGCACATTCGTTACACTTGAATATCAATGGGACGCAATCACAGGTGAGAAAAGTATCAAATTACAATATAGGCGCAGAAACAACAAGGAAAACAATAGAACAAGAACATGGCAGACCGACTTCCTCAGATATGTCGAACGAGACGGAGAAGGACAGTTATGAGCGGCATAGATGGTAAGTATGCCCAACATACAGACAACAGGTATGAACATGAATGACTTCAAACGCTAGACTGAAATCACCATATAACCTGTAGATCGTAATAAAATGAGATATTCAAGTGAGAACAATCTTAATACATCAACATGTAATCAAACACATCACCATAACATCACAATTCACAACACAGACACATCAGCGCCTCACATCAAACCAGCCTCACGCGCAAAAAAAAGTCACTCCCCAGCCCTTCATTCCCCAACACACCGAACATACAAGGCATCCACACAGCCTCACGCCTCACACAAAACCCGCAATGAATTTCTCTCAGCCTCGCGCAGACGCGCAGAAACATCGCCCCAGATAAGATCAAACATACCCCAACACAGATACCAAATCTGACCCCGATGTCTCGGGTAACCCTCCCAGGCTGATGTAAGAAGGTACCCCCTATTACCCCGTCTCTTCCACGGCTCCCTCACGGCTAATCCGACGATCTCAGGAGCCACAGCTGATGTAAGACGGGGTCCCAGCCATCACGGCAAGTAATCTGTCCAAATACCCATGATCGCTTTTTTCCGTATTACTTTTTCCCTCCAAACCTGTCGCACGCATTCGCGAGACAACGCATATGGCAGTTTAAACAAACAAGACACACCAAATATCAGCGAGGAAAAAAAAAACCACCCAGAAAGGAAGTGGAAAAAAAAAGAGAGTAGTCAGATCTCACTTTGTGCAGACCAACCAAAACGTCCAGAAACTTCTCTTCCCATCACCCCAACCAATCCCGTAGACATCCGCCTTTTCCTTGGGAGGGTGTCATTCAGGTAAACCCATCACCAACGACGGCCGCCGGTCTGGATGCCTAACTCGCCTACTACGCGGAGGTGCCTGGTATACGCGCTGCGCCGCGGGGTCGCATCTCGATCCTGTACTCCGCGGCCGGGACCCTCCCTTCTTCCGTCCCTCGTGTTCCCTTTCTCCTCCCCCAGCTCTCGTGGACCGAGCTGATGGTCCCCAAGTTCGGGCCTGTAATGGCATTTGATCTTTCCTCGACTTGGGTGTTCCTCTTTGTTGGCTTGCCCTGTTAAACGCGACCAACTGGCCAACTTGGCCACAGTAACATCAACATGACAACGCCAATGGTCTCCCAACACGAGGCCGCAAAGGGAAAACAACAGAACAAGGCCGCCTCGAGACCTGACGACTCCGTCTGGCCACCGGCACACCACCTTCATCCATCCGGGCCTAATACAGGCCGCATACATACGGGCCTCCCGCTTTCAGCTACGCCTGTAAGTTACAGTGGTGTCGGCATCACACCTTCGCGAGTGATGTCTGCCGGATTCCCCAGGCAAGGTTGCCTCAGCCGTCTGCAAGTCCTTTGGCGCCTCGTTGAGAGTACCATGAAGTGAGAACGATAATGATGAACGTGGACCTTTTCACGGATGCTACGCGAGACCTTCACTCGGATGTGCCTTCTTGACAGAGTATATGTAACCTGTCAGCCAGACATGCTTGCGGCGGAAAGCCGGTTGGTCGGCAATACAAGCACACCATGCTTCAATGGAGGGCTTCTCTCCAACATCTTTGGCTGTAAAACTTTGAACGAGCCTAGTACGTCTAAAAGATTTCACCAATGGCTGCTGTTGGGATGCAGGAGAACACTCGTAGGGTGGGATCTGCCCCCTTTGCACACCTCAACAGGCGCAGGCTCTGAGGCACATTTGAGGCTGGATAAGGCAGGAATTGCACATTCTCAACTTTACAAAAGGCAAACGCAGGCTTTGGCTCAAGTGCGCACTCGAGTTGCGGCCGACAAGACTCAAGAGGGGTTGCAAAGGCGTGCAGTTGAGCGCTTGGGCATGTCCAATGAGCGCATTGGTGGAGACGCCTCAGTGACAGGGACGCCCGGAAAGGAAGGGGAGGGAGGGGTAAGAGAGGATGCCAGAGAGGGGATTGTGAGCCCAGAATCAGATGCGGCGGCTGTGTACGGTGGGATGATGTCCGGGTGCAATGTGATCGAAATCGCGGGGTTGAATTGTGTTTGGTGGGGGCTCTTCAATGCCAACCTGAGACCAATTCTGCCCTTCTGTTCCATCTTCAAGGTCATGGCTCAGGATGGGGCAGCCTTCTCATCGAGACTTGTAGTTGATGCCTGTGATCATTCCAACTCTGATTCATCGCAAAATCCACTGTGAAGCGATTAAAAATCCGGAAAAAAAAATCTCAATTGGACAACGCACAGCATCGCATGGATGGAAGCTTGAGCGAAGCTTGAGAAGCAGCCGTACGGCCAAGCTTGTCAGGAACGTTCACCGCCACGGTTGACAGCGATGTCCTAGCCTGAAGAAGTATTTAGCTTGGCCTAGCCATCACAAAGTCTGGCACTAGCGATGGAACCGTCCATGTGCACGCACTATTTCTAGAGAAAATGCCTCTTTCTGGAAGCCCCTTCCTGGGAGGATTGCCTGCTTTGCTTCGGACACTACTTCGGAGTTGTGCCAGCTTTATCCACAGTGTAGCTGGTAACTCGCCAACTACACAAAGTTCCTGGGTTACGGGCGCAAACATGGGATGGCATTCAGTGCCATCAGTCTCTTCTTTGCTGTGGGAAACGGCGGCTTCTGTCAGCAAATGAGACGGCAGTTGGCCGAGTCCCCGCTTTGTGTGATAAAGAGCCAAAAGAAATCTTATCCAACTGACCCGCATATCTCGTCGAATCTTAGATAAGTCGTGGATAGGCTATCGGCCACAGCTCGCTACCATGGAAGCACGTGTGCCTTTGCTGGGAGGACCTGGCCGAAGTTGCCGACTAAAGCAAAATCTCCTGATGATTCGCACTGGAGTAAAAGGGAGTTTCCACTGATGCCTGATAGGAATCGGCAGTTGCGAAGAGACAGTACCCGCTTTCGAGGTTCTGGTTCAGAAAGACATGTCCTGGCCATAGTCTGAGACTATTGTTGGTCGCTCAGTTCTCAGTCTCACTTCCCCCAACTTAGACACAGTCTTACTCCTTCACATTGACCTATATTGAATATATTGATGACCGACTGAGCCGTGGAGAGTGAACAGGCTGCTGCATCTAAAGCGGTTGATCGTTGCCCCGCACCAGCCCGATCGAGCTGCAGCCTGCACCAAGAACGGATGAAATGTTCATGATCGACCGATAGCTGAGAGATACCGTCGATGCTAAGACCAGGTTGCCTCTGTGCTAAGCGGGATTGCCATGTTGAGCCCTCGCAAGGCTATAGGCCTTAACACCAGCTGTTAACCCACGCAATTGCGGCACCAGCCAGGTGATCATCCGCAGTGGAGAAAACGGACCTGACCCCCGCCTGTTGCACGAGACAAGGCGAAACGGGACGATTCGGTTCCTCCCAAACCATTGGTTCAGACGGTGCTGACCGCTAAAACGTGA